TTCAACGCCTGGATATGGAACACAATAACTACAGGTATGCAGGAATAGGTTTGGTAGAATAGTTGAGCTTTGAGGAGGAGCTGAACAGACTTATTGTGACATAGAGGCGCCTCAGGCTGAGTAAGAAGGCTGCGTGCTCTTTTTATTGGTTAATTGGAATAGCGAGCTGAAAATCTCATCTCTGAAAATGATACCGAGCTGCTGAGCTCATCAATACTTAAAACTCAAACCAGGTTGTTGGTTTTGTTTGTAACATCTTAGCCTTGAAAATAAAGAAGTTTCTGTTTCCATACAGTCGATACGGTTTGTCCCTGAGAAACGACACCTCTGAGATTTTATCTTTGTGTTTGTTTGATCGTAGGCGGACGGCATAATATGAGCATCGGCTGCAAAAGTGCAGAATGTAAAATGAGCAGTGACCGACTCATGTGCAAGCCATCTCCTTCGCTGTGCTGTCTCGCTGTAGGTTATTTTCTTCCTCAGTACTCAGGCCTTACTCTTACGTTTGACTTAAATGAAAACTGACAGTAAAACACAAGTACCCGTGCAAGACACTTTAAAAATAGTTAAGAAATTAGGGTGGCCCAATTTGAACGTTGAGCTCATGAGCACATGTCTCATACAGAGGAGTTTTGGTAAGGAAACATCATAATGTGAGTAACATCTGACAAAGTAAGGGATAAGAAGTTATGAGGAAGGCTTTTAAGAAGCCAATGAAGGATTAAATCTAACAGCTGTAGATGTCAAGACCACTTCATAAAATAAAAGCATTTCACTGATGTCCTCTTATCCTCTCTGAGTCCTAATCTCCGAGGGAAAAGTTTGACATTCAGGGAAATACAGTAGCCTAATGCATTTTCGTACCAGGATGTAGAGAAGAACATGAATCCGCTTTGACGAGGGTGGGCTGAGCAAAATGATATTAGCTTAGCGTGAGGAGAGAGACAGGGGACGCAGCTAGCCCTCGCTTAGAGTAGCCTACAAGCTAGCTACAGTCAGATACCTGCTAACTTGTGCTAAGCTTCAGGTGACCATACGTCCTCTTTTACCTGAACATGTCCTCTTTTTTGAGGGCTGTCCCGCCTTGTCCAGGGGAGTTTATAAAATCCTTTATATGTCTTGGGTTTTGTGTAGAAGTTTTGAGTTTTTGTAACTGAGTTAAAGGCGTGTAAAAGATACTCGACTTGACTTGAAAACCCTCAAAATTTTGCGTGCGACTCCGCCCTGCATAGTAGCGTCCTCTTTTTAGGGCTTCAGAATATGGTCACCCTACTACAACATAGTAATTTAAGAAAACCCTCATTACACAATAAACAATCCAACTTTCTCTGCAAGTAAGTAAATGTGTGCAAAACACACGAGCTAACAAGCTAGTTACAGTCAGATACCTGCTAACTTGTGCTAAGCTACATGTTATAACTTGTTTTAACCCACTGAAAAAGCTGGAAAACAGGCTCACAAGAAAGTGTGTTATAATATTAAACAGCAAAAGAAAACAACATGTCTGTATTTGCATTAAAAACACAGCTCAACTTCAGTTCACTCAACGGTTTTAGCTGATGTGACACCGAGCAAACAGCTAGCAGCACCAGCTTGTCGCTCAAATCAACCGAGCCCGTTATTAAACACAACTTAAGGCTGGATGTAATTAAAACAGCTTGGTTATTAAAAAATGTGCTCCTTATATGGTTGTTTGGTACGTTGGTATGTATGTTTTTTCCAAACAGAATAAAATAGGAATGGACTTTTTTCAGAGGCAGTCTTTAATGGCCTCTTGAGGTACTTTTCCAGCTACCTAGTAATTTGTTTTCATATTTTCACATTTCTGAGACTGTGTTTGCTGATTTTTCTTCTTGCAGGGGTGTGGTAGTTTCCACTATTTGCTTGACAACCTGACAGCAATAACAGCACTCCAGGAGGAGATAAAAATAGTTCTTAACATAACACCTCAGACGGCAAAAGTATCTTTGTCGATTTACACCCAAAACAGGAGAAATTAACCTTATTATCACCTCGACGTGAACTGTATTTACAAAACAAGATCCTTTTTAATTAGTCTTGTGTGAAGCATCTATATTAGACGAGATAAGAAGTGATTCTTGTTCTTTTAATCTCGCAGTGTTTCTTAAAGATTTATTTGGTTGTAAGAGAGCGCCTGTTTCATCAATCTTAAAATGCAGCCATCAAGCATATGGACGCATCACAGACAGCAGATTACATCAATATGGTCCAATTAAAGTTTGTTCATTAGAATATGATCGTATAGTTTTCTGTTTTAATTAAAATAACTCTCTATAGCAGACACTGTTTATGCATAATGACGGAACAAATGGATGAAACCTGTCAGCCGTAACAGCTACTTTCAGCGTATCGCTCTGAGTCTCCTATATAGTTGCCTGCAGTAAAAAGGAGGCTAATTTCAATCCCAAACACACACTCTTACACACACACACACACACACACACATAGTATACACAATAAGAGAGAGAAGAAGAATTGTGTTTACATTTTTTATTACAAGTGTCAACTCCAGATGAGGAAAAAGTTGTTAAAGTGGAACAGAACAGCATTTCCATTATGTTTTTCATGTGCCCCAGGACAGTGTGTTTTCTATTAGTGAACATGAACTACTGTCCCCAGCAGACTGTCACCAGAGAGGGGAGGTTTCTCGCAACATATCAACCGCAAACTGATACCAAATACGCTGCCAGAGTGTGTTATTTGTTTTCTCGGATGAGTTATAAAACTCATGAATCAAGAAACTTTTCTAAAATCTGCAAATTTTAGTTGTTTCTGTCAAATCGTGTACCTGGAAATGAAGAAACTTATGACTTTATGTAATCTTACATTAATCTGTTGTGAATGGATGTATGGGACTGAGGATCCTATGACGCTTACCATAATTACCATAATATGGCTGCTTTCATTTTGAATTTAGGATTTGATTTAGGTTTTCAAAGCCTCGCATTATGACAGGCACTCGGAGGGCTTCTTCTCAATTTGCACTGACGAACAGAGATAAAGCTCTTTTGACTGGCTTTACTGTGATTTTACAGATAAAAGGTAATCAAGCTTCACCGCACAGATGCCCTAAACCTCGGAGAGAACCTGCCTGAGTGAATCATAGAGTTTATCAAAACACATCTATAAGTCAGCTAATGAATGTCACAGCAGCAGCTTCTTTGAAAATTAATCAGAAGAAGTAAGTCGTGAGTGCTGCTGGAGATATTTTAGGAGTACAGGCACACATCTGAGGACGTGTGCTGTCATTGGTGACATAAGCCCCACTGGGATGTAAAAAGATTTTTACCTTATTTCACAGTTTTACCCTGAAAGTTCTTGTTCTTGGGGTTTTATTTGGTCAAAAAGGTGGCAGTGCATCCTGTCACGGGAAGTAAACGACCATGAGAGCAGAATCTGTAAAATACAGAGCAAACATCTCAACATCTTGAGAAGTTCATGTGAGGACGGAATTAAATTTACGTTACACGTCAGCATATGCAGCTCATTTCCCCATGGATTCATCTCTTTGCAGCTTCTAGAAGTACTGAGCTCCTGATCTTTCCAGAACTTTCTGGTTGAGGTCGACTAGAATTCATGAAGCTGTCAGGGATCATCAGTGAAACATTTTCGTATCAGCCCATATTGGAGAAAATATACGTATTTTACATCTAATTAAATCTCCTGTGAACGTTTGCCCTCTGTAGACAAAATGAAACAAATACATGTCAAATACGTGTGTGAGTAATGTCCCAAAAAATCTGTGAATGTTTATTTTATCTCAAGGTTGTGTAACTCACAATGAAATTTTCATGTAGAAAATAGTAGCAAGGAAAACAAGCATTTTTCATTTTAACACCACACCTCACCACGCTCTGAAACTGAACGAACCTGAAACCCAGACCCGCTTTTACTTTGTTCATATGAAAGTGAATTGCATTAAAGTTATAGGAGGACAAGGCTGATACAGAGTGATTGCACAGGGGTTATTTATAGCGACTTGAAAGCATTTTGGCATCTCAATCCATTTGCACAAAAAGGTTACACATTTCCCCGTACTTGTTTGTCTACTCGGTGAGTAAACTTTCTAAAATTGTATCGCCACATAAACCGACCATTTTCTCTCAATATGAGTTATCCTGACAATTATAAGTCTTAACAATTAAATGTTTTCCTTAAGCGTCTAATTGATGACAAATTCAGATTCTGAGAGGCTGAACCCCAGAATGAAAAATGTTGTGAGTTCACACTGGATAATCGTAGTGTGAGCGCTGGTTGTATTGTATATTTTAGGTGTTTTGTAAACAGCGTTTAATTTCCCACCAGGCTGTGTCAGATCATGTCTGAAATACTGCTCACAGCTTCATCAAAGGCGTCTGATTTACAGCTATAAAAGTCGCTGTGAAATGAGACATAATTGTAAGAGGATGCCGCTTTTTACAGAGAATAATAAATTCAGGGCGAGTCAAGAGAATAATATTTTTATCCCTAAATCCTCCAAAGTAGGGATTTTTTTTTTTTTTCAATATTGCATTTGTTTTCATTAGAATTATTATTATATAAGTCCTGAAATAACATGGTTTTACCATTTCGAAGACATCCACCGCACTGCCAACATGAAATTATAATAAGGACTTGAATGTTTGCAAAGTCATGCGTAAACTGCCTCTGACCTCATGACAGCTCAGTGAAGAATCTTGTCAGTACCAGAAACAAGAAAAAAAAAAATCATAATGCATAATTGCATTAAGTCAAAGTTGGGCGAACTGCTCAGGATTCAACCGCTTTCAACCCGGCGCAGCATGTGGTATTCATACAATTCTCAGCCACTGTATTTGTATTATTTTAAAACGTCTCTTGACTGTAAAAGGTAAAATGCAAAAGACTGAACTCAGGAGATAAAGGAGAGGGAATCAGGAGGGGTCCACGAGGAATATTATTCATATAAAGAAGACAACAGATGAAGTGGTAATGACAGTAAACATTGTGTTCTGTTAGTGGTTACCGTTTGCTTCCAGGCAGAGAATTTCCAATGTTTCCCATCATTATGATGAGCAGAGTTCCCTCCACAGGAGCACTCAGTTTAGAGAGACAAACAAAAGCATGATGTAAATACTCTCCACAGTGAAGGAGCGCCTCTTCTCTTCTCTCTCCCCTTTCTCCCCATGATTAGCATTTCAAACAGTCCTTGTTTTGCATCAGAGCTTCATGCTTGTGTGCGTACCATTGCAGGTGGTGGCCTGTCCAACCGAAAGCAGCCTTTGCATGTGTGTGTGTGTGTGTGTGTCGTGGGTAGTCTTGTTTGTCTGAGTGGCTCTTCGCTGTAAGGAGGAGTCCGTGGGGATATGGCCTCTTTACAAAGCTCACAGTAAGTCAGGGACAGCATTGTCGACAAATGCTACATAATCATAAATTTCTCAGTATTTGTGCTTTTCTGCTTTGATCGGCACTGAGAGTCACAAGCCACCGACTGGATTCACATTGTGTCTCCTGAAAAATCCACAAAATCTCTTTTTAAGTGTCTGCCAGCAGGCCTATCCAAACTTTGATTGAGTGCATCACAATGTGCCCAGCATATCAAGCACTGAGAAGATGATACACTCTTGCAGTAGCTGCCTGTTTGAATTGGGAGAACAGAGCTGCCTCATTTTATCTTAAGTCAATTGCTAATAGATTGTCCACTCTACGGGATTAACCCCAACAAAATTGTGTTGCAGCCAAAAGAAATTAGAATAATGAGTTCTTGGAGTTTCTGGAGATATCTAATTAAATCTATATTGTTCTTTGCTCTATCTGACGAGGCGTTTGCTGTCCTGAGTCCAGTGTTAGTTGAGGTGACTGCTGCAGGCTGGGATGAGTCGGTGCTGATTTGATAGAGGTCCTTTCTTGTTACCGTGCCACCTATAAACAAGAGCAGAAAGTTACAGCGTTTAATAACTCTAGTTTCTTTCATCTCTATCACAATTATTGTATGAAATAATGTCTGTCTTAGCTGGGAATCTCAACCACTGACTGTATAATTTCTGCGTTCAAGTTACCTCGGAAGTGAGATGTCTGAGCTGGGGATGACGTCCCACCTGAGTTACCTGCGTTTCAGTTACCAAGTTGGAAAAAAGCAAAACTGGAGGTGGAAACAAGATGGCTACGAAAGGGATGCAAAAATAACAAGCGCTAAAATAACTTTCGTTGGTGTAGCCATCTTGTTTCCGCCTCCGATTTTGCTTTTTTCCGACTTGGTAACTGAAACGCTGGTAAATCCGGTGTGATGTCACTCCCGGCTCGGACATCTGACTTCCAAGGTTATTCGAACTCAGCAAATATGCCTCCAATCCGCCCATCTGGAGATATGAGGCAAGAGGGCTGCATTGATAACTTAACAGAGCTTACAATCATTCATCTTTGAAAAATCTAATAACTAAAACACGACTTCTAAGAAAATTTAACACTTTCCTCATATCAGTATAAGAGCTAACAATAATGTCCGAAATCTTGTTTAGGAAAATTTCATGTGTTTTGATTTTCTAGTTTGATCCATGTCCCATCTGTTGACATGGTGGAGGCGGGGCTTAAACTGCAGCTCATAGGAGAAGGAGCTTCCATTGTTTTGGACAAACAGTCAGTTTATGACGTATACTCCCAACCATCATCTCAGAGGCATTGCATGTCCTGTTATCGGATCAACCTTGATACCAGATCAAAACATGATACCTAGTGACATGATACCTCTATCAATCAAAAAAATCCTCCTAGCAGATTAGTGTTTAAAATGTCAGACAATTTTAGGCGCATAGCTTCATAAAACTAGTAAACCAAAAAAAGAAAAGAGAAAAAAGAAAACAAAAACAGTTATTTACCCCATTTATTATTTTGTTTTTGCTGCAATACCATAAGTGGCCACATGGCAAAACTGGGAACAAGCTTCAGCATCAACATTGTGCTGCGTTCGAGTTACCTTGGCAGATAGATGTCGGAGCTGGAAATAATGTCACACCGAAGTTCCCTGCGTTTCAGTTACCAACTCCGAAAAAAGCAAATTGGAGACGGAAACAAGATGGCTACATCTACAAAAGTTATTTTAGCACTTGCCTTACATTCAGACAAAGCAAGCCCTAATAACTAAAATAACTTTCGTAGATGTAGCCATCTTGTTTCCGCCTCCGATTTGCTTTTTTCCAACTTGGTAACTGAAACGCTGGGAACTCGGGTGTGACTTAATTTTCAGCTCAGACTTTTGACTTCCGAGGAAACCCGAACGCAGCATTAGTACCTTCTCAGTTCATACAGGAATCGTTTTAAAAATAGATTATAATTTTATTTGACATATCAATTAATTATATTACAGTTAAATGCGCTAAAACTGCATATCTGCACGTATTTCAAGAGGGAACAGCAGGCTAGACCGACAGAGAAAGCTACAGATATTTCTGGTCCAGTAAAAGTCAAATCAACCATTAACTTATGCAGCAGTTAATAAAAGTTAAATAAGAGGAGCTGTAACATCAGAGTAGATAATTCACAGACAATGAGGCACAAATTAGCGTACCCAAACCTTCAATTTTACCTGGACGATTAGAGATTTGATCCAATAATTACAGCCTATTTGGATACAGCAATCCATTCTGCATTGAGAGTGTTTTTCTATATTCACAGTGCTGAGTATACTTTGATGCTCATGCCCTTGTTATTATTCAAGTACAATCTAAAAAGCATGACCTTTCATTTGAACAGAATCCCTATACCCTGTGGTTTCTCTTCTCATACTACTGATTAAAAGATCTGAGTTCCTCTCAGCTGCTGTTGTCTCCCGCTAATTCTGTTGTTTGATAAAATAATCTGATGGACCACATGACTGCTGGGTATCTTTTGATCACCAGCTGCACGCTTGCCCCTGTTTAACTATTAAACGTTTCCCTCGGGAACTGTACATTTAAAACAGCTCGACAAAACAGCCTCTTACGAGAAAGTGCGTTTCTTGATACACTCGGGTTTCCTTTCCCGTCAGATTTAATTACATGGGTTTTAGTGTTCTGAATTAGTTTACAGCTTATTTCATGTTTGTCCTCTTGGCCCCATCATTCAACAGCTTATAGAATTAGGTTCTCTGAGCCCACTGTGCCTGGTGTAGAGCAAGGGGGTTGATATGGCCAATGGGAGCAGTGATTATACTTGATTGTGAAATCCTTCTGCATCAAAGGAGGGCTTACTAAAAGAAAGCTTTATGATGAGCATTCACAAGTCTGTCGGCCCCTGTTTGCATAAGAGAAATGCAACAAAAAGGAGGAGATTTGCTGCATGGCTGCACATAAGGGGTCTATAAATACCATGTCTTGAACCAAATCCATTTTGTGTTATATCCTTTGTACAGTGCAGGTGCCGCAGTGACTCAGACAAATGCAGGCCCCCCTCCTCACCTTTGTGGTCTTCACTTTGTTCCCGGAGATGCACGACCAGCCGGTGAGGTCAGGGAGAACTCGGCACTCCTCCCCCTCAAGACACGGCTCCATTTTACACCACCACTTCTGGCGCACAATGGAGGCTAGAGAAAAATACACCACAGCAGAAGGTCACTTTTTAGACGGAAGGACTTAGAGAAAGTCTTATTTGGGAAGGAAAAAAGCCTCATTGAAGATGTCACACTCTCTGGTCCTTGAAAGCCTCAGCATTAGCAGGTAGTGGATAGTGAACTCTGTTAAAACTTAAGACCAGACCCTACTTCAACTATTAGTATTCATATCACAAAAGAACATGGCCATTTTCAGAGAGGTAGAAGAGGAGTCCAAGCGACATTACCCTCGACACAAGAGGGCAGAGCCCTTGTTGTCCCCGCCACCTGCCCTGGAAAGCAGGAGCACTTAACAGTTTGAGAGCGTTCTTCAATCTTGTTCTTATTGCAGCAACGATGAGCTGCAACCACTTCACAAGTCCCTGTCCTCTCCTGTGATGACCCTGTGGATGAGAATTTAGAGGAAAAGGGGCTGTTTTTGTGGTGTGTTAGGCATGGTGAAAGATAGACTGTGATTGTTCTTTGAGCTGGTTTATATGTTAAATCAAATAAATGCAGATAATGAGTACATTCAGGTGAGAAAATAAGGAGAGCTGATACCTTAGACTTCATTTTGATGTTTCTAAAGCTACAGCACCACCAAGTGGATGTGAAGCATAATGAGCAAGATGAAGGCATGTGTCCTACATTTGCTGCTGCATCACTGTGTCATGATATGTTCTGTTTGTTGAGTTTTCTCCTGATTTTATTTGAGTGCATTTTGTGTATTATCCCCAGTGTTTTTGTTCCCTATTGTTTCTGATTAGATTTCAGTGTTTCCTGTATTATTCTGTAGTAGTTTGATTCCTTGTGTTTTTAGTCTGGTTTTACTTCCAAGTTGTCCCTCCTTTGTTAATCAGTTAACGAGTTTCACCTGTGTCTCGTTAGCCTCACCTGTGTCGTCTGCTGCACCTGTTGCTCGTTAACTGGTGTGTATATTGTCCCTGTCTTCCCCTCTGTTCTTGTTGGTTCATTGTATGTCAATGTGAGTGCGTATGCTTGTGTCCCCATTGAGTTTCCATACGATTTTTCCCCAGTGCCCTTTTGATGTTTTGGATTTTTCCCATTGTTGCTTTTTTTCATTCAGTTCTTTTTAAATAATTCCCATATTTGGGTCCTTTCCCTTCTGTTTTAACTCTGGCTCATGACATATTGCACACAAAGGAGGCGCAACAAAGCAGAAATAAAACATAAGGACCAAAAATGCATGCATATCACTAGCAAAATATCCCTGGAGTTGCTGCATAGTTGTCTGAACACCTGCAGAACTGAAAGTGTTATCTGTCACTGAAGTGTAAATGTAATCAGAGCAGAACTCAACAATACAAGAGCGATTTAGATGCATGCATACTTTACTGTGCTGCAATAGACTTCTGTTCTACTAGAGTTAAATCATGGATATTGCATATTTCCCTTGGATTTATTCACATTCTTTTCAAATAAAGATATTCAATTAAAAATGAATAATTAAATACTAATATTGTGGATTCAACAAGTTTTTCTGTATCTTTTAAGTCTGTGACCCTTTACCCCAGAGTTAATAACAGATTACATTTTTGGACATTTGCATAATTGTAGTTTTTCTCCAATCGTTTCTTCGACTTGGACTGATCTCCACATCAACAAGCTCAGCTTAAAAGAATCCCAAGATAAATAACCAGGTGCTTATGCACTGATTCGTTGGATTTAAGTCAATTTTATCACTCCACCTCTGTAAATTTACCCCAGTGGTATACTTTAGAGGCAGTATAGAGCACTTCTATGTTGGTACTTTAGTTTAAATGTCCCCATACTTAATGCCCTCTATCCCTCCCTGCCTCTGTCGTTAATGAGCCATTGTAGAGGTCAATGCCAAGTTAGTCAGATACAGTAGCAGTAAGTATAATTAGATTTGGCTTATTGAGTGGCAAAGTGTGTTAAACTGCTTCTTCACACAAATGTTTGTATCTGTGAATTATCTGTCTTACGGCCAGTCTCTGGAAAGAGTTGAAAAGCTTCTGCATCCATATGTCTGTATGAGAAACACCATCATCCTCATGTTCTTGTCACTTTATAATTTCTCTGCTCTGGGCTGCTGACCAAGAGCCGTAATGAGGCCCTGAGGGGGTGAGATTGGTCCAGTTGGGCCTGACACTCACCTGTCTGTCCTCGGGAGCTTTGGTTGCCAGCGGACACTATCTGGCTGCAGACACCTCCTACTACACAAAGAAGCAGAAGACCCCCGAGTAATGGTCGAGCCAATCTGATCGGCTTCATTTTACCTGCACAGACATAAAGATTTAGGCCAAATTTAACAGAACTGAGCTGATGGTTTTTGAGCACAGCGTATTAATACAAAGTCATATGGGCGACAATTTGCTCAGCGACCAAGATGGGGTAAAAGAGTGGGTCCTTGTTTTCATTTTCTGGCTAAACACATCAACAAAATTCTGGGATTCACTTTGAGGTGTAAAAAACTTGGATGCCGACTTTTCCATCAAAATACATCACTAATTTATTAAAAACAAAGATTATATGAGACAAAGGGTCATTCAATGTTTTTCTATTCTGACTAGTGTTATCTATTATCACTCTCTTAGGATTTCAAGTCCTGCAATGACTTTGTTTTTACAATATCAAACAATTACCACATTTTCTTAACCTTAAGTTATTATATAGTCATTTTATATTCTTCACAGCTTTCTGGGACTGTGAAATAATGTTCAAGAATCAAGCAAAATTAGAAAAAAAGCAAATCCCAGACCTGAGAACCTCAACAGTTTTGAAACTAAGTCTAATTTTTAAGAGGTAAAAGCACGACTTATCAATAATTCAACCTATGGATATAACTTTTTTATATCATGCTACCTGCATATGCACACCCACAAAATTATAGCCTAACCACTGTGCGCATCAGTCCACCAAATCTTTTTTAATGTTGGCAAGAGCATCTCACCCAGAAATATCAATGTAAAAAGCATTAAGTTTTCTCAGTAGGACCATTAGAGTCTGTTTAACAGCTTTAAATCAGATACCTCAGTTATTTTTCTAAGTAGTCCTTTTAACCACTTACCTTTGCTCAGTATTGATTTACATGACAAACCCCTGCAGAAGCACCACTCCGTACTTGGATCAGCATCAAGGAACCGCAGAGCCTGACGATTGTTCCTCCAAGTTTTCAGAAAATTAGATCCACCGGTTTCTCAAGTTTTTCAGCGAGGAGAAAAAAATTGCGAGACCACCTGCGTGCCGCAAAATAACAAACCCAGCAGACAGACATGACGGCTCCAAAAACACCCTGCAGTTTCACACCTCAGCTCCTCTCCCTGGAGCTACTGTACCTTTCAGAGAAAGAGATGTGTTGGTCTGTGAACACAGTGGGAGCAAAGCCTGTCAGCTTTCCCGTCTGGAAAATTAAAACTTAATCAAGACAGAAACCATCTGTCTCCCGGACAATATGCGGCCACTTTCATTAGCGGCCTAAGAAGCTTAAAGTGAGTATTGACATCCTGTCACGCGGGGGATAAACCGCCTCTGAAGGCCAAGTGCTCTGGTTTTTTTTTTCTCTGTCCTCACAAGATATTTGATTCAAGGGTTTTTGTAAAAGGAATAAGTTGGAAACAGCCACTTTATCTTTGCTGTCACTCTGCCAAACAGAGGAGGTTTGCTTTCACACCTGTTAGTTTTCTTCAAAGGTGGTGCAAAATGAAAATGACTGACATCCAGTAAGTGAGAGCATCGCACTGCACAGGAGTTCAATATGTATATTTTTTAACAAGGTATCAACGCAAAATATTTTAGAATATGGCAACATTTTTACTTAAATGTTCGGTCATTTTTATTTAAACAAAAGCATGGACACTAGTTGAACTTGAATTTATGTAAAAGGTCAACTTTAACCCAAACCTTCAACCTTTTTCTGTCTTTTCTACAAATATGAAACAAATGGCAGTCCAAAGTTTTTGAACTTATCTAAAATTAATCTTATAAAGTAGGGGTAATGTGGTGAATTGTACAAAATATGACTTTGTAATATGTCAGCATCTACACAGGGCTTTCCTTGAGAGTTAGCAGTTTATGAAACAGGTTGTTAACTGTTGTATTTTTAATCTAATTTCTCCAATTAGAAGTTTTGGGCTAGTTATGAAACAGATTAAATTAGTACTGATGCCGCTAAGAGATTTTCTATTCAATTAGGATGTGATAGTTTTGTTTTTCTCCTTTTGTGGACTGCACATTCACTAAACAGCCTTGTTTTCATCCTCTAAAGCAGAGATTCTTACTGTCTTTAACTGCTTTTCAATGAACCAAATGTGTAACCGTGAACCGGATCTGCTGCATATGAACGTCTGAATATGGAAAAGAAATCTGGTGAAAGATGCATCCTCTACAACCATGATAGTAAAACTTTATTAGAGCACAGTGCACATCATTATTTTCACTTGATCGACAGAATAACAGCTACAACATAAACCAACACGTGACAAATACACAAAAAGTAAACGCTTGTCCTAATAATATAAAAATGTAGTTGAATGAGTTCGTATGTATATGACAGTCGACCCTACCCCACATGAGAGATGTTACCCGTCTTATATTTACATTATCACACCGTATGTGCGACTGCAGCATCACGGTGACCTTGTGATGCGAGACCCGGTTTGCTCCTGGACGCAGTCAGTCTGACACCAGTGCTGTGTGATGTGTGTTTAGGTGGTGAAATTAAGCTTGAAGAGGACCGTCTGGGGCGTGGTGACGTCAGCAACAGCGAGTTCTTGTCCGTCCGACAGGCCGAGCTCTACATCAGACACGGAAAGTATACCAAGTATGTAATTATAGCCGTCAGTCGATAAAGGTCACTTTGAACACACACGGAGGGATCAGAGTTGTTCCCCTCTACTCTTACCTTTCAAAGTCTTGCAGAGGTTCGGCCTCGTTCGCTCCTCTATGGATTTTACAGACTGAAATAAAGCAGCATTCAAAGTTTAACAAAGGGAAGGTGACTTGGATTGAGTCATACTCTCACAGATAAACTCAGTACTCTACCTGCAAATACAGAGTCTTATTTTTCCCTTCCAAAGTTGTGGTGATAGCCGGGGATTTCATTTGTCTGGAAAAAACATTTGCACACAATTTTAAACCTTGTATCTTTTCGATTTTTCCAAACAAGCGTCATAAATTATTCGTCCAAATACTCACAAAGAGGCGTTTTCTGTGAGGTACTCTAAGACTTCCTGTAATTTGGCAGATGGGGAGAACTGGAGGTCCTGAGGCACCTGGCTGCAGGCTGAGCAGTTCTCCTACTCGTGGAAAATGATTCAGACAAAACTGGTTAGTGTTTGGACACGGGGGCGCTCAAGGTGGTAACTCGTGGTTAATGTTAATTAAGGGACAAACCTTCCGCTCGGCTTCGAATGTGTAGGTGTACAATCCATCCACGTCGTTGAACACCAGGTAATTATTTAAAGGGATATACGCGCTGCAATGGAAATTCAAACGCTGAATAATGCTCATTCAACAAAACTGATCATAAAGAGGAAATATTTGTGAATTTTTTTCTGCTTCTTACCTTGTAGCAATTTTAAATACTTCAGTTGCACAGGCAGCTATGAGGAACAAAAAACAATTTCAGCCGGATGCATGGTACTGAATTTAAAAGAGGCAGAAAGGTGGATTTTGTGTTCTCCTTTTTTTGTTATTTACCCTCCTGAAACCCCAGGAAAAGTGTTTTCTGAGATTGTTTTATTTTGAAATGCTGGTCACTCTAGGTACATCCAGAATATATAAACAAGGCTGCCTGGGGTTTAATTACAGCTTTCATGCCTGAATCTGAACCTTGAATTCAAAGACTCATACCAGCAATAACAGCATTAGTTGACGCCACAGCAGGGATGATCCTCTTCACAACGCCTGTAACACAAAAACAGTCACAGGTTTAATTTCATGACAAACACTTGTGTAACTGTTAATGAATGAATAATGGAGTTTTTATTCTTCGATTCACCTTGAGTGAGTCTGTACGTCACTCCTGTGATGTTGAACTCTGCGGCTCTTTCTTGGGATCTCTCAAACACCCACTGGATGTGCTCGGGATTGTCTCCGTCTAAACTTGTTTCTGTTTGGTTGAGAGAAAAATGTAGCGCGTCGTCTTTTATTTTTATGTACTCGTGCAGAAGCAATAAAAGAAATTTAGATGTAAACACTACAACTCACCTCCAAATGGCTTTTCTTTTGGCCACTGTAGGATTCTGGCATATTCAATACAATGCTCTGGTAGTCTTGGCATTGATGCGATGGTGCACATAGGAAAGTTAATCTGTTGATGGTGAAACACAGCAACAATGTGCATGAGAAACTTGAAGAGAAGTCCTTGGTAACAGGTAGATTATTACAGTTTCAATTTGATCGGTATTAGGGCCCGACCGATATGGGTTTTTGGGGCCGATGTCGATAACGATTATTAGGGGGGAAAAACTCTGACTACCGATTAATCAGCCGATTTTTAAAATTTTTTATTAAGTTATAAAAAATTATATATATACTGTAGATATATTGTAGGCTACTGCTCTTCACGCCAACAGGAAGACAGACTGATCAAACTCGGACCACAAAAGCGTTTTCAACTACTACCCCCCCACTCCCCTCCGCCTCCGATCGGTGCCTCCGCGTCTTAACTCATGTTACACATTTCCGGTCCGGTCTCATCTGAAGACATGCAGCTTCCTAAGTAAGAGAAGTAGCTCAATCACGTATGTGTATTGCTGTTATTCTACCATTACTGGCACGGCTAACAGTGTAGCAAGGCTAATAGCAGATGGCTTACTCTAACTTTAGCTTGCATATTACATGGTGTTTCACCGTTTACTCGGCGTGACCGAGACCAGCACAGCGGGGAACATCGTGAAGTGGGTTAAACTGAAACTTGTTGACTTATTGTGTATTTCACAAACTAGTTTATTTCCAGTTGAGGCGGACCACTCTCCTCCATTCGTCCCTGAGCTGCCGGCTTCAGATCCGTCACTCTGCTCTGCTGTGAGGTAGTAAGTGGATGAAGATTGTCATGAGGTCGCTGCGCCAGCTACAGGATAAGTCGGGGAACTTTTCAAATGGCGTAACATTTTCTAAGTGAAGCCAAATCTTTTTCTCCGCATTTTATTTCTTTCGGCAAAAATCAGCGAGTTTTGCCGATAACGGATAAGTCTCAAACAGGCTAAAATTGGCCGATTTAATCGGTTTGCTGATAAATCGGTCGAGCCCTAACAGGTATGACTTCTTCATGTTTTCAAAGTCTTTATTCACTTTCTTTCCTTCAAGTTTTGGTTAGATTTTCGCGCAAAGAAACCACAGCTGTACTTGTTTTGCACTTCAGCTGGCTATGTGTAATTTATTTCTTTTTCCTTGCACCACTTTTCTCCTCTCAGTCTGGTTTTTATCACTGCCTATTTTATCACAATAAAACGCCACAGGTTTTTTTCCAAAAACAGCTGCTCCTGCAGATGGAGATGTGAAAAATCACCCCCAGTGCAGCACAGATGCTCTTTCACAAGCGAAAGAAAAAGCTGAGGAGCAGATGTGAAGCTTCACAAAGAGTCCAGGGGATTATCAACTATTCTGTTGTGCCATTCAAAACAGTCAAATTGGTATCTACTGCAATTGTGGCGTGTGAATCTTTTGAAGAGAAATCCTGAAAATCATTCCTGTTGGGTGGTCACCTGTGGTGGATAAAGCTCCAAAGTGCAGTCAATGCACGCAGTCATGCCGGGCAGGATGACACGAGCGTTTCCTTTAAAGCCCTCTGTCCCTCCATCGATGAGAGGGATGATGGAGCTGGGATCTAGGACACCGTCTTCATAGCTCAGCAGGGATATCTAGACACAACAGAGCACAAAGGCGCTTGAAATACAAAAGGTAAAGAAGGAAAGTCAACGATGAAAAATATTGTAATACTGCCTACCAGCATCCCATTCATCCAGCGTCTGGCTATGATGGAGTCCAGTCCACAGACAATGATGTGGAACTCTGCAAAGACATGACTGTGTTCAACATCAGAGTAAAGCTCCCTGCTCATAAATAAACACTGAGAAGAGAAATACTCACGCCTGTAAAAAGACTCATCAAAGTCTTGGATCTTTTTGAAGTGACTGCATGTTATTCATAAGGAAAAAAAAACTATGTAATTTTATATTCTGTTCAGTGTAAAAATCAATTAATGAAACCAAAAAACATTCCTGTAAAGGATACGGGACAACTTTGCATCCAGGGATGCGATTGTTGACGAAATCAGCAGCAACTTCTGCCTTTGGTCGTCCAACATCTTTGGGCCTTAAAAATTCAGTATAAGACATATGAGATGAAGTATTAATAGTTTTATCACACTATGAGAGTAAAAGGGAAATGATTGTGAAACCTACCTGAAAAGAAACTGTCTGTTGAGGTTAGACACGTCAATTGTGTCCATATCAACAACGTGAATAAGGCGAAACCCAGACAGGGCCTGTGCAAACACAAATAAAACAACACATTGTAAGGACTCATGTATGCTTGACGTATGATAAAAACAGCTTGTATTTTCTCTGACTACGCTTGACAAACTCAAGTGGACTATAAAACTGTGTCCTACCAGATCTTTGAGGAGTTCACATCCCAGTCCTCCTGCACCAATGACCAAAATCTTGCATGTCTCCAACAAAAACTGTAGCGACTGAGATAAAGGGAAAAAATGTAAATGAAACAATAAATAAAAACACACTGAAGTGAAGCAGCGGTATCCCTCGTGAGAGTGAATCCACAGCTTTATTTTTGTCTCCATGAAATTGTTTCTTCTCACCTCAGTGCTTGGCTCAAAGTCAGGATGCGTAAACGGACCGGGTCTCTCCAAAAACTTCTTGACATGATTCCACCGACCGTCCCAGTCGCATCCGCCGTCCATGTGTACCCCATCTACAGCCATTCTGGACACCCACACACCAAGACAAGACTGAACTTGTAAAATAACTTGACATTGTGCATTAAAATCACACTTTCTTCCACAATTATAATAACAAAATGAGTCTATTAGATACAGGAGAAATTCTACCTGATGTTTTCTTTGCATTAGGGAACATAAGAGTACTTCATATTCACAAATCTAATTCTTGTAATATGTTTAACCCTAGAACACTATCGCTGGGTGATTTTCACCCGACAAAACATGTTTACGTGATTCTCATTATGTTGCGTTTGTCTGAGTATCATGGGTCTCTGGGTAGCTTCAGCATTTCCTTTGACATCTTTGAAGGCATATTTGTTTCCCTGATCCAAACCTGTTTTTTCCTACAGGCACATGTTCGGTGATTTTCACCCGGCAATAGTGATAGAGGGTAAAGTAGGTTTGGGTGGATTTGATAGCTGCATGGAGGGAATAAGGTCAGTAAGAGTGATCCTGGAATTTGTATGCTATCTTTATTTAGCGCAGTGGTTATGAATAACTATCACAAAGTAGTGATTTTCCAGGGAATTCATATGGTGATAAGAAATATTTCAGTCAGCTGGTCAAATCTGCCATATTTTGTTTCTCTCTCCTGCAGCTGTTATTGTGCCAAGGACCCTGAGTCTTCACCAGGGACGACTCACATGCCCCAGAAAATGGGTGGAAATGAAACTAAGTTTACAGTTTCGATATATGTATATTTTTCCAGGAAACTTTTTGTTAATCAATGTCTAATTTCAGTTATTTGTTGCATTTTTATATGGTCCCCTCATGGCACTATTTCCCTTCATTTGGACATTACACAGTTAAAAATCACAAGAAAACTACTTTAATTTATCATGTATTGTCCTATTTTGATATATTTTGGCACTTTTCCCCTGCCTTTGGACATTAAACTGTTAAAAATAAAATAAAACTACTTTCTTTTGTCATGTATTGTCCTATTTTGATATATTTCTGCCTTTTTTCCCCTCCCTTTTGACGTTACACAGTTAAAACTAAAGGAAAACTACTTTAATTTATCATGTTTTGTCCTATTTTGATATATATTGGAACTTTTTCCCCCTCCCTTTGGACATCACATGGTTAAAAATAAAAGAAAACTACTTCAATTTGTCAAGTATTGTCCTATTTTGATATATTTTGGCACCTTTTCCCCTTCCTTTGGACTTTACACAGTATGAAATAGTGTTCTAGGGTTAAGTAAATGCATCAACATGCTGAATAACATCAGGGTCAAATGTAATATGGCATTGGTTCAAAGCAATCGTTTTTGGGTCATGCAGACGATTTAATCGTGTAAGGATGACACAGAATTATTGCAAAGGCCATGACTTTAAGTTCGACTTTATAAATGGATACATGTAAATCAACAGAGGTTTTAAATTGATGGTTTGGTTATTGGAGATGTCAAAATGAGTAAAAATGTTGATTTCCATGTCTCCTGGCCCAGCAGTCGCTGCTCACAGTGCAACGCAAACCTGCTGCCAGTCAGAGACCTTTATTTAGCATTCGTCACTAACTTCTCAGTCAGGTCCTCTATTCTCCTTCTTTTCTTCTCCCTGGAAGAAGGAAATATAATGGAGCTTAAGCATGCTGGCTTTACAGCAGAAGGCGAGAGTTCAACTACCGTTAAATTGTATTTTTCGTCCATTGAGACTTACGGCTCCTCGGCATCCGCCATACTTTCACGGTCCCATATCCTCGATTGAGAGTGACGTGTTTCCGGGTGTCAAAGCTGCGCTCACCAGCTGCAAAGACCAAAAAAACAATAATAAATTTTGGATAAAAGTTATTTGAAATTATTTGAAAGACCTATTCGCTTTTTGTGTTTATAATATAAAGACATGTTAAGAGTAAACAAATAGCTAAGTAGCTTCAACCTACTCCTTTCCGATCACAAAAAATGGGGAATTAGTTGTCTAAAATTGTACTTGTGCATTTGATCAAATAAAAAATCTAAATAATAATAATAATAATAATAATAATAATAATAAGATAAAATGAAATAAAATGAATAAATATTTCTAAAAAAAAATGGCCTGGAATAACATATAGAACTTTGCATGAATGCAATGTTATTATGTTCTATACTAGTCGATCTTCTGCACAAGTCAGTGTTTTATATTGTGACCCCAGCCAAAAAGCCTGGACACAACCCTAACATTATAAACATTTTCATTTTTCAGACTTTATTTCATTCAGTTAATATTTAAAACATTCAATACAAACAAGGAAGAATTTCAAACCTATAATTGAAAAGAAGCAGAAAGAAGAAAACTCTCATAAAGTCTGCCCCTCTTTATTAATATATCAATCAACTAAACAAATAATAAAAAAAAATAAACAAGAGCTGCAGGCCAACATGCCTTTTTACAGTTCATTGTTTCTTATTTTCAAAAACAACCCACAAAACAAACAGAAAAGACCATGTTAATTCACAAGACTTAGATTCATATATTTCCCTGTATTTACTCAACATACTGGCTTTATGTGGATAAAATGCAAATGCCTAAATATTTTGAATAACTTTGTAATGAACAAAAGTGTGGTGTGTTACCTTTTCATCTTTTTGTATTCATTTTATCCACATACAGATGCGTCTGCGCATCCTGCAACGCAAGTCCAACTCCCTTCACTCGATCGAGGATCCAACTCTCGTGAGATATTGTGCGAGATCACAGATTCTCGTTGCCCCCCTCTTCTAAACGCGAATTTTTTTGTAGGATGGTAGGGGAAGGTCCCGCCCTCTTTCGCCTCTGATTGGCTAGAAGTGCTGATCTCCGATTGGTTATTCCTAATAGCTGTGAAACGTCATCATCTGTCGGGTAAGGGTTAGGTTAAGGTTAAGGGTTAGGGTAATGGTAAGGTTAAGGGTTAGGGTTAGGAGAGGGTAAGGGTTAGGGTAAGAGTAAGGGTTAGGAGATTCAGAAGTGCGGTAATGTTCTGTAATATTCTGTTTAGTTTGAGCGTGTGATGACGTTTCCACCTTTTCTAGCCAATCAGAAGCGAAGGGGGCGGGACCTTCCCCTACCATCCTACAAAAAAAAAAAAAAAAAAAAAAAAAAAATTTGCACCCCCCCCCAAACGCACAGACGGCGATCAGCTGACCTGTCAAAATATCACGCAGCGCGTGCGGTGGGCATGTTTGTGTTTGTGTGTACACGTTGAAGTCATGGCAGCCAAGATGGAGCTCGCACCCCTCAGACCGTGGGATGATTTCTTCCCCGGAACGGACCGGTTCGCCAAACCCGAATTCGGGGATTTGACAAAGTGGAACAACAGAGTGATCAGTAACCTTCTGTACTATCAGACCAATTACTTCGCCGTGGCTGTGGTGGTTTTCCTCATTGTAGGGTAAGTCCTGTTAGCATGTAGCATCTCTGGCGCTGTGTTTAATCAGCCCGCATACCTTCGATCCACACCCTACATGACTGCACAGGCTATTTCTGTAACCTATAGCGGTGTTGTGCCAAGCTTTGTAGCACAGAAACGTTCATTAATTTCTCATTATTGAACATTTTGTGGTCTTGAAGCAGTTTTACACATATTCTTTTGAAACTAGTGGAAAAAAACAGCATTCAAACACTATAACTGGCTCACTGTGTAGCTTATGCATAAGCCTCATAGTGATAGAGAAAATGGAAAACCCCACTTATGCTGTTATTTTTGATTAATATAACATATGGTGATGCAGGCTGCTTCTTATGAACTGTGTTGTATCAGTCACTTTTACTGTCCTTTATCATTACCAGTGGTGTGGTGTTGTTTTAACGCATAAAGCAGATTTGATAGTTTTCTGAATAGTGGATGATGTAGTGGAAATAATGAGGCCTTGCTGCAGGCTGGCTCATGCCCTCGAGTGGTTTCCACCAGCTGTCCAGGATGTTTGCAGTTATTTTCTTCACCAGCAGGTTGTGCTATTAATAAGTGTTTCATTTTTATGTTTCTCTACCACAGGTTCCTCAACCCATTTGGCATGTTTCTGGGAGGACTGGTGGTGACGCTGGTCTTCATGGGTTCGGTGTGGGCAGGAGAGAACAAAGCCATGGTCAAGAACTTCAAGAAGAAGAACCCCACTCTGTTTGTCGTCGCCGTCATGGTTACAAGTTACTTTCTCCTCTCGCTGTGCGGTGGTGTCATGGTCTTCATCTTTGGGATTACCTTCCCTTTGCTGTGTAAGTCTCATGGTGCTTCACAGGGTTTTGCAAAAAAAAATGTTGTATTAAACACTTTCTGTAGGAGAGAGTGGGGTAAGTTGAGCCACCCCCTGTTACTTGGAAATGGTAAAAAAAAATTGATCATGTGACCAAATATTTAGGAGATGGGCATCAATTCATGGAGTCTGTGAAGGTTAGAAGCACATGGGTGAAGGGGTTAGACATTGATTTACAAAAAAACGTAGGATTACGTAAGATTCACTCTTTCTTGTCAGACAAGCAAGTATCTTTTTGCAGAGTCACAATTTCCTGGAATAGCCTGGTTCTGATGTGAGGTCCCAATCTGTAGCATTTCGACTGATGTTGTTTTGCACAACCAAACACGTGTAGTCATTGCTAGAGGCAAGGACACTTGCATGTTTCCTGGTCTTAAAGCTATACAAAAAAACAAGCATTGATGGTACAGTGAATGGTTGAAACTCTGATCCTAGGTGAGCTGTTATTTCTTGAAAACAGTGCAAATATCAAAATATAACAGGACAAATTAAAAGAGTTCATTAAAAATATTCGATTTTCTTTATTTCTAATCTCAAACTCCAGTAATGGATAGGGGAGAGTGGGGCAAGTTGAGCCATCCCCCGTTGCTTGGAAATGGTAAAAGAAATTGATCATGTGACCAAATATAGACATTTATTTCCAGAAAAACATTTTTCACTCTTAAAGGGGAATTTAGTCTGTTATAAGTTTTACTAGAATTGTGTTCAGACCAAAAAAGATCATTTTAAATGTGTTTTATACATCAATTGAAGCATCTATGAGCTACATCATGAGGTCAAAAACCTAGCGTAAAAGTCCACCATTTTAGTTCAGAGGACTAATAAAGTCATCATAGTAGTTTTGGTGACTGTTATTCAGGGAGAGAGAAGGAGAGGGAGGGCTGAACTTACCCCGCTCCTATGGTCAATTTACCCCATTGCCTGGAGACCACTTTTTTTGGCATGCTACATTATCAAGACAGTTATGTTTACACTCATTCTGTTGGTTTGCAGGGATGCACAACATCTTGAAATATATGCAGATACACTAGTTAGAGACAAAACTATGATTGTCTTGATGTAGTGATCCACTTTCCCCCAGTTTAGCAGATAATCTGACTTTAAGGAGGAACATTTGCATAAATCTGAGTATAATTTCCGGCTCTCATCAGCAGATAAACTAGACCTTTAATGTCTTGGTTTCCATAGTTACAAGTTGAGTGTTACAGTAACCTTACTTTTGAGCTGCCTTTCATGCAAACACTATATCTACCACATGCATACTGTAAAATACATACTGAAAGATGTTTCTGTGGTCGCATATTTTAAAGCACTTCAGTTTGGAATTTCAGATGTAGATGTTGCTTTTAGTACAGGGTGGAGTTTGCTCTGTACAGACTGAGCTGTAGTGTCCTTTTGGTTCCTTCAACCAGTTCCAATCCAACTTGTAATTTAAGAGTGCACACTGATAGATTTAGTTATGCAGAGTTGCACAAACACAGATTTTTTCACACAGAAAGATGTTTTGTTTCTTGCATTCGCTACTTTTATTCGTCTCTAGAGGTGCTTCAACTGTTTTAGTATCATGATAAACTTGGTGTTGGGCCTTCTCGTAATAGAATTTAATCAGTTTTATTAAAAATACTCGCTGGCGAATGCTAAACCATGAACATGTTTCAGTGAGACTCTGACTCACACAGAAATTCATAACTGAGGTTTGGCTGTGGATGAACAAGTTCTTCCAAACACACTCTCATTCTGAGTCACTGGAGGGTTTGAACTCCATGCACAGTGTCATGGAAATGTGTTTCCCTCATGATACAGATTGCAAAATCAAGTCAGCGTTGCATGGAGAGGGATACAGAAGCTCAGAAGTATTGTTTTGGATCTGTTTGAGCTCTCTAAATACTTTCAGAGTCAGACCGTCAGCGGAGTGGTTTGGATAATTGATGGGTGGGATCGTTAGAGCAAATGTTGCTGCTCTAAGATCACAGCGGATAGATGAGACAGTTTGATGGCTTCCCAGGAGGCTTGCCCACTGCTGCCTGTGTTGACGGGTTGCTATGGGTTGTTGATTCGAACAGAACCACATTTACTGGCTGATGTCATGCATTCAGTATCTACCCGGCGTTGGAATAAAAGACACTTTGACCCTCACGCCGGCTTTATATCTGAGATGCAGTATCACATTATGTTTTCCTTATTCCCCTACATGTATTTATTTATATTCCCATAGCAAAAAAACATATCAATAACTTTCTGTTGTATTCCCCGTAGTAATCCTTATCCACGCCTCGCTGAGGCTGCGTAACATGAAGAACAGGCTGGAGAACAAGATAGAGGGTGTTGGCTTGAAGAAGACTCCCATGGGCGTCATCATGGACCTCCTGGATCAGCAGGAGGAGAGAGTGAACAAGATTCAGGATTTCATTGAAAGCAAACTGAAAGAATGAAGATTAAGTCAAAGGTGCGCCAAGGGGAGTCGGTATCATAGAGTATGGAGAACAGTTTCCATAGCAACATCCCAAGTGTCAAATTTTTATCTCCTGTGTTCATGTAAAGTTACTGACGTTACCATTCCCATACTTTTTTTCCATTTAGGTTGACCTTATCCCCCTAAACTTCAGTGTTTGTTTTCACCGTCCGAGGATGGATAATATCAGTATTTCAAGATTTGCACCATCACTGTGTGGATTGGTTGTTGAAAGTCAAAGGGCACCAAAGTTACCAAAGGTTTGAGCATTCCCATATTAAAAAAAAATATATTCCAAAACTAAATTATTTCCCTTGTTAAAACACAGCACTTTGTTCCACATTTCTTTATATTTTAGCAAAACAAGAGTAGAGTATATGAAGAAAATATCAAAAGCAGTTATGAGATACCAATTCTAACGTCCTGAAAAAGACTCAAAAGATTCTTTCAGTTTGCTACCTCAAAACAAGCATGCTTGATTTTGTCCTCACTGAGTAAAACCACAACAACTCAGACCGTAACATCTGGTTAGCTGCTTCATAAACAGCAATAACTCCCATCTTGTCACTCCAGGAGCTGTGGGAAGACCAATCTAAGGGGCAGTTAGCATTTTGTGGAGACATTGTCACATGGTCTGACGAATAAAACTGGAATCTAAATGTTTCTATTTTCAAAAGATTCGTGAATACGGCTCCTGACCATACAGGCTGGCCCCAGTGTATCCCTTCTAATCACAGCTATGCAATACAGAAAAATGAATGGCAAGTGCAGCTTTATTGTTTGAGTATAATGTCATGGAATATATATATAAATGCGTGTTGTTTTTTTGATGTGTTTTTATTTAAAAATATAGCATGCAGACATGTGTAAGATATCTGCAGGACGCTAAGGTCATAAATTTGGCATTGAAACAAAACTATTAATAAATGACTTATCTTTAATTCCTCTTTGTTCCTCTTCTTTTATTAAAACTCGACTGGAAACAGATGTGCACTATTTTGACAATCTCTTTGGGATCAAACACTTTTCTTTGAACTTAATCTGACTGGAATCAGTCGTGAAAATGATCAAGCGTTTCCTTTGAACCGCTCGCTTTCGCAGCAAAAGCAGCTGTTTCCTGTCTTTTTACACACATGCAAAGCAACTGCAGTTTGCATATTAACGTCATAACTGACAGTTCAGCAAGACTGTTATCAGCTTTAGAATAATCTTTGTTCTATGTGGCTTTTCATTATCGGAAAAGAGCTGAATATATTCAAATAAAGACAGCTAAATACACATATATTTTAAAGTCTCTTTACAGAGCTCCTTTTTTATGTTTAGTTGTTTTGATTTTCATAAATTACTCTTTTAACTTGGTTAAGTTTCCCTGTTGAATCAATGTAGTACTGAAATAAATCAAAAGCTTATTATAACCCTGCTGAGAAGTGATCTGATGAGAACTGGCCGCACTGTCATTTGATACAGTTTGACTGTTAGCATGGCATCTGTTCTACTCGATATGACTCATTTCCCACAGTGAAATCTCCTCCACAGAAACAATTAGTAATTTTTTTTTTATGTGTTTCCTTTTGAGAATAGAAAATAGCTAGAAGTTACAAATTATTTAATAGGAAGTGCGTGAAAAGTTTGTTTTTATTTCAATCGATAAAAAGAGAGTTTTGACCAGCAATTCCTAAACTGGGGGGCAAGACATACACTTAAATCCCACAGGTATGGGAACATCTTAACAAAGTGCTTTCAAGTCCAAATGGATGTATGTTTATGTCTGTTTTTGTGAGGGGTGGGGGCTTTTAAAATTTTACCACCTACCATAGGGGGGCGCTGCGGAAAGGCAGGGAGTGGAAGATTTGTAAAGCAAAGTTTAACAGAAACTATTGCTTCACTTGCAATCAAAAAATAGAGCATTACAAAAGAATAGCATATCATAAATGGGTTGTATATTTGGACAAGACAGCAATTCTCACTTTCAACACACAATACAAGAATCCGTGTCTACACCATGCTCTGCAATTGACTACACAAATGAATGACAGTGTGATTCACGATTTTAATGCGACTCTTCAAAGGAACATTTAAATCTTCGTGACAGAACACAAGTGGAAGAACAACTAGGGAATATCTTAATGTGCAATGAAAGTTAGATCCTCTGATTCTAATACCTGTGCTTCTCTCAAAGAGTGTCTTAATACGTGTAATAAAAACATACAGGGTGCTGATGAAATCAAACAGCTGAAGCCTCAGAGAAGACTTGTTTCTTCTGATTCCAGAGCTTTAGGGAGCGGCACCTGAGAAAAAAAAGAGAGAGATGACTTACAGTGACAGAATAAGCAGAGACAGTAGACTGTATGTTAAGTGGATGCAGCTTCTGCATCTTCTTATCACACAGTCTGGTGTGAAAAGGAAGCACATGCAGAGTGGACTCACATCCTCAGCAGGGGGGTTACTGCACTGATTGGAAAAACAAGTTTAATTTGATGAAGTAAGATGAGATAATTACTCCGTCTAAGTTTTCTATTACACTCTCCAAGTTAAATCTTTGTGCATCATGGTGGAGTTTTTGTTGTTACATAATGAGAAAAAGGAAAATACAGCAGGGATCGCTTTGGGTGTGGTGGACTGTGATTGTTAAGTTTTTTTAAACCTGTCGATCAGGATCCAGATGAGCGCATGTCTAAATACGGACACTTCTGGTTTGAAAAATCCAAGTTGGCATCGATCAAAACGTTGTTTGCGAACCAGCTAAAGCACCAATGAAGAGTTGATATTTATTCATGGTTGTTTCTCTGTTTGTCCTGGTTGTATTACAAACACACAATAATTATAAATACATTGAGATGAGGTTTTTGGTACTCACAGATTTCAGATAGGCCACATTGCTCTTCTTGATTTCATTTAGCAGCTCATCACGCGGTGTGAGGTCAACCTTCGGTGGCACTCGTCTGCGGGGGACGGGCTTCAAAGTCTTGATAAGCTCGTTCAGGTTTGGTTTTTCATCAGCCCCCCCGCTGCCTTCATCCTTCACTTTGGGAGTCTTCCTCAACTGGAAACTTGCCCTTTGTGGCCTGGAGTTATCCCTCGGATCCAGGTCCAGGAAAGGGTCACGCTTCTTGGGTGTCCTCTTTAGCTGGACATCCTTTAATGGGTTTGTTGAGTGGGCGCCGTGTTCAGATTTGCTTTTGTGCTTCAGCTTCTTCTGAGGTTCTTTTTGCGGGGTCTGCTTGTGTGTTTGTGGGGTCTGCTTGCGTGTTTGTGGGGTCGGCTGGTGCATTTGCGGAGTCGGCTGCTTGTGTGCTTGCGGCGCGGCACTCGGGTCTACTGAGGGTGGGATGAGCCCGTGTTGCTGCAGGAGCTCCAGGGTCGGTACGTACCCCAGCATCTCTAACAAACCAGGCGGCAGGTTCAGACTGTTTTCATACTTCTGCATCAGCTCCTTCTGCTCCTTCATCTGCTGCTGCTTCTGCTCCTCCTTCCTTAGCTGCCTCTGACGGTCCAGGTTCCTCGTCAAAATATTGGTCACCACCATCCTGGGCCCCGGCAGCTCAAACTGGTAACCCATCTTCAGGAGGGTGTTGTTGGCCTTGAGCAAGCGGGAGATCTCCATTTCCGCGTGGTGGCCCAGCATGTGCCTCTGGTTGTGGAATCGCAGCTCTGTGAGAGTCTCGTTGAATTGGAGGCAGCGGATGATGGCCACGATTCCCTTCCCGGTTACGAAGTTTGACTCGATGTTCAGAGTCGTGATGCTTCGGTTCTCTCGCAGCATGTTGGCGACGTTGAAAGCGATGTTTTCATCCACACCAGTGTTGGCTATGCTGAAGTTTTTCACGTGCTTGTTCTTCTTCAAAGCGTTGACGTAGTCTAAGAGCATCTCTTTGGGAATGTTTTCAATGTTGTTGAGGTTGACCTCGGTGACAGAGGGGTTGTTCTTGCGGATTTTATCAAGCGTTGACTCTAGGTTTGTCTCGTTTCCTGAGGGTCTTGAAGTCATTTTGATATTACTGAGGGACAGCTTTGGGATTTTTAATTTGTTGATTTTTTTCTCTTCCTTCTGCGGGAGATTATTGTCGGTTTCATTCGTCTCTGGCTTGTCTTGAGCCTCTTCTGGAGGCAGAGAGTCTGTCGCTTTAATTGGCTTTTCCTCATCAACCTGTGATTGACTTTGTTCTGGGGCCAAACTCTCACTTTGTTTCTCAGTGTCTGTAAGAGACTCTTCTGTTTTGGTTTCTGGTGGTTTTTCCGTCTTGCTTCCCGGAGGATCTACATGCTTGTCTGTACTTTCAGGTTCATCTGTGTTGACAGGTGGCTTCACCTCTATTTCATCCTTCTCATCAACCCCATCGTCTTTTTCATCGCTCTCCTCTTCCTCTTCAACTATTTCCTCAATGATCTCTTCTATAATTTCCTCTCCATCTGCACCATCTGCATCTTCCTCCTCAATGACCTCTTCAATCACTTCATACACCTCATACTCCCCGTCTTCTAGTTTTTGTTCTCTCTCTTTGTTTTCAGCTTCCTCCCTCAAAGTTTTCTGAGGAGAACAACGATTCACACCAGGGTTTTTACCATAATTGCTGGATTATAGCCCCACACGAAATATTTGAAGTCAAATTGATGCACAACAACTTTTGGCAGTTCAATTTCTTACCTCACTAGGCAGCAGAATGGCAGGGACTCTTTCCTCCTCGAGCATTCGTTTGGACTCTTTCTCCCAATAGAGATAATCAACCAAAGATCTGTGGTCGAAGCCCCCAGTCGGAGGCTTCTCTGTCTGGTCCTTCTGTCTCTGTCCCACCGGTACGTTCTCATCTGGGGCGATAATAACATCCATCTCACTCTGGAGCTCCTGGAGCTCCTCAGGTGAAAGCATAGCGAGGATTTCATCCTCATCAATGTCCTCCTCGTTGAGATCCTCAAGGTCTCTGTCGTCTGACATGTTTCTTGAGGCTTCTGTCTGCCGCTAATATAAAAAAGAGGAATAACTTCTGTCTAATCTATGACTCAGGACTGAGCAGAGTGGGGACCCTCTGTCTTTGAGTTCAGCTACAAACCTCCTGCCTCATGTGGAGTCTAAAATTAAACCCTGTGAAGTCTATGGAAGATATTTTAGGGGCTAACGGGGGGGAAAGACATGCTGGCATTCTTCTTTCAGCCCCTCACTCCCAGCTGGCTCGGCTGTCAGGATCTTTTGGGATGACAGTTGCTTCAGGCAAATGAAAGTGTAGGACTGACAGCAGCAGGTGTAACGTTTTCATAGAGTTGGCGGGGGGGTGAAAGCTGCTGCACCGCACTCAGAGCTCCTCCCAGTCTACCAGAGCTCTCCAACAAACGTAACTTCTGATGTGTTGCACAATAACAATAAACATGAGATGGAGCAAGATGAGGTATTATGTCCTCAAGGGGAGTGATGCCAACATTGAAAAAAAAATCTTCTCCTCTGCCAGACTTTTAGACGATTACTCAGAGAGCAGATGACAAATAGCCGGTGGGAGGTTTTTTCAGTATTTTGAATATTCATGTTTTATTTACGTAGGAAACAAGACCTCACAGGATCAGTTTGACATTTTGGTTAACAGACAGAGGGCACTTATTAACCTTTAGATAGAGCCAAATATGATGCTACTGCTTTTTCTGGTCTTTGTGCTGAGGCAAGCTAACCGGCTGCCAGAGGATGAAAATGATCGAGTACGGATGCTCACTTAATGAGTTCTCCGCATTGGGTATAGTACTATAATACTGAGCGTTACTTTGTTTGAGTGTATCCTCTAATTTAAAGGATTTAGAGGTTGCACTATGTGATGCTGGTATATCGATGACCGTATAGAGGGAGTACCTGTTGTCCATGTTGGTTCAGGTCGCCCTGAAGTCGACACAACAGATGCTTTTGGATGTCTAGACTAAAAACCCAAGGTGCCTTAACGGTGGCTGCTCTCATGCTGTGGAATAAGGACTACTCCGACTCTTAAAAGTTCAATATGCTGCTTAAAACTCATCCAGTTGAAAGTAGAAACTGTAACATCCTTTTTTGTGAGTCTTTTATTCCAAATTTGCTTTTGAATGGCACTGAAAAGCAGTTTTTTGTCATGATATGTTCTGTTAATTTAGTTTTTCCCTGGTTTTATTTTCCTGGTGTTTATGTTCCCTATTGTTCCTGTGATCCTGTCTTATGAGTTTTCAGTTTGTGTTTTACCCCCTTACTCCTATTAGATCAGTTTTCAGTGTTTCCTGTTTTATTTTGTAGTAGTTGATATCCTGTGTTTCTAGTCCAGTCTTTACTTCCCTAGTTTTCCCTCCTTTTTTAATCACTAACGAGTTTCACCTGTGTCTCGTTTGCCTCACCTGTTGCTCGTTAACCAGTGTCTGTATAGTCTCTGTCTTCCCCTCTGTTCTTGTTGGTTCATTGTGATTTTGCCCCAGTGATTTTTCTTGTGGATTCAGCCTTTTGTATTTTTCTCTTTTTGTTGCTTTTTATTTAATTTCTTTTTTTGTTTAACTCCAGACCATCACAGTTTTTAAATCCACTATATAAATAAACTTCGACTGGACTTGCCTTTCACCACCTCTGCTGCCTGCTAGCTGTGGTTTTTATAAAGTGCTGTTGATCTTCTTATTCGACCCGCTGAATGAAAGCTGATCCCTGTGACCACATTTGCAAAAAAGCCCAACTACTCCTTTAATTCTTCCTCGCTTACTCAACGCCAACGCAGTTGTTTACCGAGCCCCCCTGAAAGACAGCGACGCCGGGTCTCTATGTGTCACACACGTATTTATTCACATCCCGGTGGAAAATATTTTATGACAACATCTAACATGTAACTACGCACTGACTGTACAAATGTGTGAGAAAACAAACGGCGAGATATGAATATTATGCTTCTGACGGCAGTGGTCTTCTGTTGATATAAAAAGAAGCTCTTATCAAAAAAATCCAACCTCTTAACATGCATTTTAAAAACACATTACGTCACCAACAAAGACAAATGGATCTATAAACAATATTGACAATACAGTTTGATTCAAAGTGTAAAGAAAGAAGGAAATGGAAAGTCGTCAAATACACAATCTGCTCTAATGAATGGTTTTTCATGCCTCATTATGGACATGTTTCAACTTTGTTTTCAATTCAGATGTTTTTCTTTTTTCATACTTTACTGAGATGAGAGTGGCGGAGATGACTTTTACTCTATAACCTACTGTTTCTTATAAGGCAGTAGCTAGTTTCTGTTAAAATACATGGAGTTGGATTCCAGTTAAAAACACATGTTGCCTTTTTGTCACATCTCGAAAACACAATAGGGTTTGATTCCACTGTGGTTGTGCAACACCTTAAAGTCTCTTGACACATTCGCATCTGCCTGTACAATTCATCCAATCCAAGGCACATGGAAAAAGTCATTCAAGAGTGTCATCACTGTGTTCGGAGGTTACTTTAACACGAGGACAGTATACACAGAAGAAAGTTTGTGTACCGCTCATGTTTCAACTCGATCCCCTTCATGTGCTGCTGGCCATGGCTTTATTCATGCCAAAGTTTGGTTTGGTCCTCTTCAGCGGATGCTCATGTAGCTTCCATCCATGTGGTATCTGCACGGGTAATAAAATAAAGAAACTATCAAATCAACTGGAGTTTAACTTTTTTTAAAAACACAGAACATGCGACTAAAACATTGTGAGAGTAAATAAAGAGTGGAAATGGAAGTGTGGTTAACCAAAAAGTACCCATTTTCATGCATCATGGGATAAACGGAAACTGTGAGAGTTGGCAAATTCACCCTTGAGGTTCAAATTTAATATCTCACCTTTAGGTCTTTTTTTAATAAATTTGATTCATTGAAATGCGCTTACTATGGAGGCCCAGAGCAGACATTAGAGAGTTTGACTGATATCACTTTTTCAGAAGCTTAAACTGATACCAATAACGGGAAAGCAGGGTGGCAAATATATAGGGTGACCATATTCTGACTTCCCAAAAAGAGGACATGACTACGTGGGGGCAGAGTCACAGAGTCACACAAAGTTAATTTTGAGAGTTTTTTGGGGTCTAATCGAGTATCTTTTACGCGCTTTTAACTCAATAAGTCCATGTGACACAAACTTGAAACTTACGTACAAAACCGCAGACATTTGAAGGATTTTATAAGCTTCCCAGGACGAAGCAGGACAGCCCTCCCAAAAAGAGGACATGTCCGGTAAAAGAGGGCGTATGGTCACCCTAAAATATAGTAAGTTTGCATTTAAGAAAATATAACAATCCATTGATATCAACAAATGAGTAACAAACTGCTAATCTTAAATGTTTCGTTAAATAGATAGAAAGAAATTTTTTGGCTGAGCTATAAGGGAACAAAAGGGAAAAAAAGAGATAAATATTGGAGTTTAAATAAAAAAAGAAGGTGCTAATAATCTGTCATTGGATATGGGAAAAGTGGGTTTTCATTGAGGAGAGATCATATTGGCATCGGCCATGTAAGAGCACAAGTCAATACGACTATGCCACTAATCTGCCTTATTAACCAGTCTATCTCTCAATCATTTCATTTACACCACTATCCTGTGATAATGAGTAATTTCCAGTCATCTCAGGTTAGCAAAGATGGTTTTCACTTAATAAAAACTAGAAAATAAAACAACAGTCTGGTCACTGTAATAGACCACACCGCAAAGGACAACTATAATAAATTCATGCATGGGTGTCTGCTTACGGCTCCAGTAATTTGCAGATTATTAGACCTATTTCTGATGCACTAAATCCACTTCCTTTGTCTTTCCTGGAGGATTAAGACTCTTCATGCTGACCTTTCCTCACAACGAGGTGAAACTGTCTGGTTTTAGCAAAAGGTCTCGGCGGCATAGAGGACTGATTTGCATAAATTTTAAGCATTTATCCTCAGGTTGAATTTCTTTTTGAATGTTTTACTTTAATGATCCATAACTTTATCAAAATCATTCATTTCTCCAACCTCAATAATGACATTTCTGTCAAACTTTTGTCAAATTATGATATGCTGAATGATAATTAGCTGTTTTCAGCTAAACATCAGCATTAGGGCTGGGACGATATGCTTTTCTACCGATTTGATTCTTCAACGATTTTTTGGATGCGGATTCGATTTAAATTGCGATTTTTCGATATTGTCGATTTTCTCGATTTTTAGTCAGTTTTTAAGGTTTTTCTGAAATTTGAAAAAAAAAAAATCACTTTTGGAACAAAAAATAAAAACGATTTAAAAATTGTAAAACAAAAAATTGCAATACTTATATGAATCTATTTTTTCTCCCACTCCTATTTAGCATGTTAGCATTGTTATTGTAAATAAGGCGCTGCCCTTCCACAGTACAGCCTCACACCCTCATCCACACTCTGATAGTGTTGATACTCCGTAAACATGTTTATCATCATCTTTTCAATCGTGATGAATATCTCGAGGGCATCCCCCCTTTTGCCTTGTCAGAAGCGAGATCAAACAGATAATGAGTGAAAGTGTCGTGCCTGAGGATAAAGAAAATCAACAAACCACAAAACGACAGTCTTGATGCTTTGATTAAATCAGCTACAAAGAAGACACAGATGAAAATGGAGTTTTAAAAAATGGAGATGACTTGACACAGATATCCGCCGTGGTCTCACCCTTAAGTGCTAGAATGGTTGTCTGTTGGTTCATCTGCACTATTGGCCTCAGAGCCAACCACCTCAACTGACTCAGATTTTTTAGGCATTTTTTCAGATACTTTGTTGTCTGGAGAGCATCTGCACACATGAGCGTTAATCATAAGGCAGGAAGAAGAGGAGAAGAAACATTTTAAGATAGATTTAAGACTGTCTTTTCTAAAATTAAGGCTGCTATTCAAAGACAAAGAACAACCTCCACCGGTCTGTGATTCACTCACTGAGTTTCACATTCACGGCTCAGTTTGGAGACAGAACTGAACTGCAGTGCTCACCTGTGCGTGGGACTGCGGTTGTAAGGAGAAGGATGAGCTCCAGGGTGTGGGTAGTGAGGCGTGTCGGGTGAATCGTACTCTGTCAGGCCGACTGCCAGCTGGTTGCGCCAGTTACCTGAGCTTTCCACCGAGGACACTGCAGACACGACAGGAGCAATCGGTCACTTAACAACGAGGCGTAGATCAGCCGCGAATACTTTGACACACACCCAAGTTTGGCTTCGTGCAGTGCTTTGCATTTTTGATTTAATGTAGGTCATTAAAAGTGCTACAGAACATAGAAACAACCAGATATAAGATATAAACCTGCTTTTTCTGAGGATTCACTGTACAATGGCATGCAATAAACAGTTTGTGGATCCTGTCTTTTACTTTTTCTCACAAAAAAAGTAAAAAAAACGTTGACTTTGAGAAGGTTTTCTTAAATTCACATATTTCAGGCACAGACTGAGGATCTATTTTTCTCTGAATCCTTTCCTTGGCAGTCTGGAGAAATTTTAGACGCAGCAAGTGAAGCTTCTCGCTGACACCCACATGAATAAACAGAATAAAATTACTAATACGAGAATGAAAATTAAGAAGCCCTTCCAGGCATGTTGGAGGGCTTTTCTTGCAGGCTGATATCTCTTATGCATTAACCAACATTTATTACCCAGCGTGGTTTAATACTTGATAGCGGTTGACCAACACCCCGCACCATCAATGATTAAATCCCAGCAGCTAAAGCAACACCAGGGAGAACCTGATCCCAAAAGTGAAGTCAAATTAAGCAAAGCTAGGAGAGCAGAAAATATCACCTCTGCTTATTGGCATTGTGGGTAAAACGCCCTTTCCAAATAGCACTGGTGAAGAAAGGGAAAACGTTTTTCATTTAACTTTAATTACTGTGAGAACAAAAAACTTTAGATGTGTGGTTAATGGCTGACCCGTCACCAGAAAAGAAAATCTGCTACTTGTTAAATTGACTTGACAGTTAATGGAAATGTTAAGTCTCCTATAGGCTTTTAAGAACACACTGTTGCCACGGAAACACTGCCAACCATGATACTTTATTTAGCTGGATAAACAGATAGTTTTTAAATCACTACAGTCGTATTTAAATCAATAATTGGGATGTACATCTTCAATTCTTTAGTTGGAAGAAAAGTAAAAAGATCTCTTTGCATCCACGTCTTAAGGTCCTTACACACCGGGAGCGTTTTTTTCGTGCGATATTTCGGACGTCAATATTTTTTTTTTCAAACCCGGATTCTGTCAATACAAGTTCAAATCAGCGACGTTGCTATATTGCAATATTGCGATATTGCGGCATTTATTTTTTTGCATCATGGTCGAATTTTCCAAAGTTTCGCATACTGTGTGTCCACTTCTGACCAATCAGATTGCGTGTTGTTGCGACGTCAGATTCACCGCTATATCCAACATGGCCGACCGTTTATGTGTCAGAAAACAGAGTGCTTTTTGATAAAAAACACAAATATTACAAAGATAGCGACCTGAAGGACAACTTGTGGAGAGTCATAGCGTCGGATTTCTCATATGACGATGGTTTGTGTGCTTTAACAGTTTGCTAAACGTCTTTGATTTAACTTTCATCTGTGCTAAGTAACTTTAGCTCGTAAGCTAACCTGTTCAGATACAACATACCATATGTATTTTCATTGTCTCAAACTCAATCGCGTTGCTGTCACAGCACCATTAGGTCTCGGTTGTTGACGTTTATGGATTATAGTTTAATGTGTTTATCTGGTACTGACCCCGACTCAGTACATGCTATCATGACAGACAGACATCTCAACACTAGAGTCTAATCAGAACTGAGAAACAGTCAGTCTGCTGTTGTGTCAGTCTCCTCAATTCTCAATAAATATTTCGTAATTTCGCGTCGTATATTTGCGTCTTTCCCGGTGTGTAAGGACCTTTATGCTCAAATATATCATCTACCTTCATTTAAAACTTGATTTTTCTCTTACTAAATACATTTATCTTAAATATCATTAATCAGCTGGTTGGTTTCGACTTACCTGATGAAAAAGAGGTGGTTCTGCTGGAGTGGCTGAATCCAGCTGGCATGGTCTGGTAGCCCAAACTGAGCTGAGAGCCGTTGTCATAGTCATATCCAGCCAGCATCCCCCTCCCTCCTTCCCTGCTGTGGCCCTTGTTTCTATGATACCAGCCTTTCAGATGCTCCGCCACCAGGGCCTTCTGCATGTTTTTGGCCAGCAGCTCAGTCCTGGGTCCCTCCCTGGTCCGCGGCGGCCTCACTGTTGCGTAGGGATTCTGCGACAGACCATCTGCCCGGTCGCTGCTGTAATGCCTGAACCTGTCGTGTCCATGATAGCCATTCATTTGATAGGAAGGGTTGACGTTGTAGTGGCCCTCGACATCATTCTCGTACACGTAGGCACCGTTAGCGTAAGGCTCCATATCCGGGGAGGGGTATCCGGGGACATAGTAGGCACTGGGTGCATAGTGTGCAGGGGTCTCACAGGAGTAATTACAACCAGCGTGGTGCTGGACCAAGTTTGGCATGCTCCCAGTATTTCCATAGACTTCCACCTTCCTGTGGAGACGATGCATGGTGGAGTTTCGGGAGTCTAGAGTACTGTAGTGGGAGTTGGTCGCCCCGCAGTAGTCCAGGCTGGACTGGCTGGTGTAGGAGGAGCAGTCCTCTAACACCTCCGTGCTGTTGCTACGGTGAGCCGGAGACAAGATAAAGATGGGTTTCTCTGAGTCTGTGTCTTTCCTGATGTGCGGCTGCGACTCCAGACTCCCACTGCGGTGCCTGAAGCAATGAGGAGACCCCTCCGACCTGAGAAAGGACACAGCTTTAACTCGCAAAGCAACAAAACGAGTCACCGAACAACATCCCCGGGTATATAACAGAAGTTTGTTTGATTGTTAGTGGATGGAGAGCAGGGATTTGGAAAGGGAAGGGTTAACAATGCAGGGTTCACACCTGAGCTGGCTGCTGCTGTAGGCATTGCGGGTCATAACCGGGGTGGGCGGCATGCTGCGTGGATCTCTAGGAGGCCTGGGAAGAGTTTTATAAGGACTACTGTGAGTGGAGGAGACCTCTCTTGGATTCTGGTAGCAGTGGGGAGCCTCCTGGCCTTCAAAAGCTAATCTAAAAGGGTGCGGTAGTAAGAGAGGATCGAACAAAAAAGGACAAAAATAAAAGATCGGGGTGTGAGGAACGGGATGAGGCTGCAAACATGACACAACAAAAATTATCGTCTCTGCCAAATCATGATACTGTTGCTCTATTCTTGGATTTGCTTCCCAACCTGCTGTGGTTCTTGTTGTGATGGTTTTCCCGTGGCCTCTCTGCGTCATATTCCGTCCCCAGCGACCGCATCGGACTGAGCTGAGGAGATCCTTGGACTGAGCGGGACCGAGGCCTCAGACTCGCACTGTCAGAGTCGTCTAAACGCAAAAAGATAACAACACTTCTACTTGATCTCTCAAAAGTAGTGATTACATTAAATCGATATAATTGCAGCTCATTTAATTTCGATGCAGCAGAATGTGTTTCTCTGACTCACCATCATCCAGAGGGAGACTAGACAGGGAGCTGCAGTCTGAACGGATGAGTTCATCTGCAGGAGGAGGACATCGAATCTTGTTTACGCACAGATAATTCTGCAAAATGATATTTCTGTTCAAATTCAACCCGCTGTGTACCTGCGATGATAACCGAAGCTCGCTGTGTCGGCTTTTTCCCCTTCTTGATTCTGTACTGGTTCATCTCATCCTCTATCTGCTGGAGTTTGTGCATGGCATCCAGACAGTTTCTCCTCCTCTTCTTCTTCACCGTTTTGCACAGCTCCGACTCGTTGGCGAGCTTCTTGGCCGCCTCCACAATCTTTTGCTGCAGGGCGAACCTGCTCTCCAGGTTCCTCAGGAAAGGATCCTGCGCCAAACACAAGCAGAGGAGAAACAATAAGTGACTGGATTTCTGAGCTGCGTATGCAACACTTTCGAGTCTTTTAGCTGTCAACACATCTCATAAAAAAAACAAACCCAATCCACTTCATTTTGCTTTATAATACTCTCCGATTCCCTGCAGTGTGAAACTGGGCCTCAATCCAGTCAGATCTTTCTAAGGTCGTAAATCTCACATGGGAGAGGCCAGAGCATTTTTGGCGACAATTTTCAGCCGCAGAAATCGCGTGCCAGCAAGTGTTTGCAGCGCTGAAATTGTAACTTTGGGTTAGCTCGAAATAAACTACAATGCACATGTTTATTATCACGAAGGAGCATCACCCAGATCAGCTTTTGGAAAACATTAGAGCTAAACTTAAGGAGGATATATTCCACATTCGTAGGATCAATTTTTTGTGGTAAGGAGTGAAAAAAATCAAGAATAAAATCTGTGAAATTGTCCTTTAATCCTAAAAAAAAAAAGGGTCAAACAAAGAACAAAGCATGCAGTGTTTGCGAGTGTGATTCATCAGCTGGATACAGACCTCATTGTAGGGGAAAAGGTCGTCTAACTTGAAAGCGGTGCCAACTCGCCGTCTGACCTGTGGCGGTCTCTCACCTGAAGAGAGGGGATACTCTTTTGGCAGCTTGCCAGTCAGCTCCTGAAAACACAGAACAACAGGGGCCCCTAAACACTCGCTTTAACTTGACATAACAGCAGAAACCATCAATCTAACAGCTGCGCAGCCGCGCCGTATAATAACAAGAGTTCAGCCTAATAAATGTGGCTCTTGAAAATAGAAGAGCGACAACAAAAAGGAGTTGTAAAATGGAGGATTTCTTACCGCCTCTCTCAGGCAAATTTTCTTCAGTTCTTTTGTTTTCTTCGCCAGGATGTCTTGGATCTCTTGCTCTTTTTTTCTCAGCTCGGAGAGTTTCTCTTTCTTCTGCTCTTCACTCATTTCAGAGTCGGCAGAACCTGCGAGAACAAAGTTAAGACCGTCAACCAGCAAAACTTACAATACTCTGAGATTAGATTCATTGTTCATCGTACTGGGATGTTAACTTTTAAACTTGAACAGCTCAGAGTTTCTAAAAATGATCTAAAAGCAGTTTTTGTGTAATTATAGCTAACCTGTTGACACCAAGCTCCCATTGCTGGCTGTTATCAAGTTATTCTTCAGTGCGTCTCCCAGCCTGTTTATCTTCGCTCCTCCGTGCTCTGTGAGATCCATGGCCAGCTCCTCCAAACTCCTCGCTGTTCCTAATTTAGCCTGAAAGAATCAAAAGCAAAAAAGAAAAAAAAGTTTAAAAAAGAGATTTAAATAAGAGATGATGGAGAGCTCGGCTTTTTAAAAATAAAACAGGAGTGACGGATAAGCTTACTTTGCTTTGTTTTCTGTCCAAGTAGAACTGGTGCTGGCTGATCGCCATGACCCAAATGGTTTTGATCAGAGAGTGGCTGGCATACCACGTGTGGATGAGTAGGCCGGTCTGTCCGAATGTGCGCTTGGTTACCGCTCTCCTGTAGGAGGAAGTCAGAGATTTGGAGAAAGACACGCAACAGAAGAGAGACGCTCGATTAAAAGCCTTGAAAAACAACCTATAAATCAATATGTTCTGTTTGGGAATTTTAAAGTAAAGCTCTCCTGCTGCTCACCTGTGTGGATCATTAACTTCTACAGCAAACTTCTTCTCCCGAAAGTACAAGTTTTCCAGCTGCTTCCACTGGTACAGCTAAAGGTGAAAATAAAAAATAAGAAATAATGAGAATCAGCCAGGAAAAATGGTGTTAAGATTGTACTGTGAGTAGCGATTAATCAGTATCACCACAAACTATTAGGAAAAAAAAAAAGACGAACTGCAGGTGTTTTGGCGTGCATTTTCAACCGCAGTCATTAAAGAAGCCAGACTGTAACGTGAGCTATCATTACGGTCTGAAAACCGCCTATCATGCCAAGTCTGCAATAATGCAGGTGTTCAAAAAACGAAGAAACGCCACAAGGGGACATTACACAAAGACTCATCACAGCCTATAACACTTTCCATGGCTCATCACGTCTCTCTCCACATATCAGCCAGGTGCTCACTGACAGCAGCAGATATGAACAATCTATTAGGGTCAGTGACTCACTCTGTGTCTGGACACAATCTGGATGAGACATCGAGTCACTCAGACGCAGAAAACTGTACAACATGTGAATGCTTCGGGAGTTTTTGTCGAGAGTTTGTAACAAGAATAAGAAGGCAAAAACACACCTAGTTTTTCCAGAAATATGAGATTGATGCATTTGTTAATACGCACATTTTTAACTCGTACATAAAAGCGAAAGGTTTGTGAAATTTGTCAGCCAAACACAGACGTGTAGTTTAAAGCCTTACCAGAATAAAAGACGCTCAGAAGTCCCGTTTCCTAACTTTAAATCCTCCCAGGCTTTGCTGTCAACACAAACACATACTTTGTTCCTTCTCGTGTCAACTCCTGACTTGTCTCCTCAGGTATTCCCAGAACAGGCACGATAACGCCCCAAATCCTGCCCCCTCTGCCTTTGACATCACCAGATCCCTCCCTTCTTTCTTTTTTTTTTCTCTCCTCTCCAAAACACACACACAAACAGCTGCTGTCTTGCACAATTTTTGTAACGCAGGAGACAAAGATGGATTGCACCACATCGAGTCATAATCAGGGCGACTGCACCAGTAATTTCATGTGCATTGTTCTTAACTTTCCAACTAAGCCTTTCACTGCAGGTCTGCACCCAGCTGCAAAAAAGGCAGCAGACACTGGACAACATAGCTGACAGATCACTCATATGGGTGTTTCTTCTGTCAAGTCATGAGCTAAAACAACTCACATGAACCAGATAAGCAGGTTTCCAGTGTACAGCATGTAATATTCTTGAAGACAGAGCTCGGCGGCGTAATTACGACAAACTGTCAGACCTCTCTACTGTGATTTTTCTCTAAATTTTCAAGTCTGGCCTCGTCTGCTGCAGATGAAGCACAGCCTTTGTTGAGGTGAAGTGGATGATGCATGACTATGAGCCGGTGAATCACCACACTGTGTGCAGCAGCAGCAGCAGTAATCCTTACCCAGATCCACAGCCAGACAAGAAAGGGAAAGAAATAAGAGGAGCTGTTTTAAAGACAGAGCAGCAGGAGCAGGTTACCTTTCGAGGTTTTAATTTGTCCTGCAGGTCGTACTGGCCGATGCCTTTATAACTCAGCCCGAGCCACCACGGGATCCCTTGTTTGTCCTGTGATGCAAGAACACAGCTGACTGTGATAGCTGACTCAAGTTTCAGGTGAAACAGCGATGATTCCCCTTAAATCATAGCAGAAACCTACCTTGACTTCATAATAATGTACGCCGTACGTGGGCAAGGACTCCACTAACGTCAAATACCTGGAATGAAAACAGTTTTTATTAAAACCACCAGCTGCTGCTCAAACAATCTGACGTGCGGTTCGCCTTGGCAACATCAAAAGACAAATGTGTGGATTCGATCGGCGCGATTCACTCCACTGCAACTGAAGACGAGTTATTGATTTCTATCAGATGATGAGAAAAGGCGTGCCAGAAAAGTGAGAGAGAGAAAAGGAGGGGCTAATAGAGGTGAAAGGAAGATTAATGGATCCAAAGCTTAATATTGCTCATTGTGTAATTAAAAAGGGTTGAACCATTTCCAGCGAATAGGCCGACACATACTAATACGTACTGAACAATAGCCTGTCCTCGTGAGACTCCTTTCAGCTGTTTGTAATGTTCAATGACTCGATCCTCACTGCAACGACACAAAAGAGAGACTTTTCAGACATGGAAACACGTCAGAGATTTGTGCAGTTTTTTAAGAAAGTTGTGTAACTAGTTCACCTTAACTTAAACCAGCCAGAACAGCAGCGATGGAAACAAATCCCCACCCCTACTGTGTGTTCTTGACTCTTAGCAGATGTGTATAAATTTCCTTCAAACGTACCAGTATGCGAGTGACGGATGCTCCTTCAGCACCTTTGTGGGGAGAGTTGGTAGTTTCTTCAAGTCAGCTCTGGTGTTTTCATCGCTGGAAAAGAGAAAATTATGGAAACTCAGCAGTCAATTCAAAGACATGATATGAAGTTATTTAGCTAGCTCTGATCTCAAAGAGCTTCAGTACCACCGCCAAGACACGAAGGATACAAGTCAATCACTCTGCTGCGTGTCTTCGATTGTGAGAGTCCTAGTATTTTATACTCTGTCAACTTTACCTCCACTCCACCGCATTTTAGATTTTGATAGTTTGAAGTTATAAATATCTAAAAGAGTTACAGCTTAACACCAGATTTAATAACTTGACTAAATAGATGCATGCTTGGATCAGCCAATCACCGGTCTCATGATAGTGTTCAATGATAAAGCCATTAAAGCTCCAGTAAGGGGTTTTTCATGTTTATCAAATAGACTGAAATTCATGTTGATGTCTTTTTATGAACATCAGAGACATGATTGACAATCTTAACTTCCATTTTTTATGTCTTAAATCAGTGCAATGTGGGGTTTAGGTGCATCTGAATTAACCACTAAACTATTTTTTTTGTTACAACTACAACAAAAGATATTGACGATTAAATATATATTTGACAGTTAAAAGTCAGCAGGATGAGATTTGTTGTAAAAGCCATGACTAAAGCATAAAACCGTTTAACGTATTTTTCGCACCATAAGTGGCACCATCAATAAACGCGTCTATTCGCGTCTATTTTCATACATTAAGGTGCACTGGATTATAAGGCGCACCGGATTATAAAGCGCATTAAGCCAAACAAAACAGTCAGGTAAGTCAAACTTTATTTAACTCATTCAATAACTCCGCGAGGCTACGGTAGCTGCAGTGCAGGATTTTAAGTGCGCCTTATAGTGCGAAAAATACGGTAACCCTTTAATGCCTTTTGTATCATGTTTGATGTTTGACTTTTACGATACTTCAATCAAATCAATATGATCAACAAATTACTAAAAAAACACCTCAATACAGTCGGATAAATTATAAAAAATGTCCTCTTGTGGTTTATCAGTTTCCAAAAACATTTAATTTTTTCATCTCATGCATCAAACAAGATAAATACATATATTTGTTAAATTTTAAGGACATTTTGATTTTTTTGGTAAAGTAAAGTAAAAATTTGTAAAAAAAAAAAAAAAAAAAAAAAAAAAGCTCTAAAAAATTTGAATTTTCTGGCCATAATTTGCAGTTTCCGGGATAATTGAATAGCAGGGTAAAGTCAAAGCCAGGTGTTTTCTGCATTTTTCTCTCCTATACATGAAATCAGAAGGCCGCTCTGTTCATTACAGACAATAGATGCTCTCTGCGATGTATACGCTCCTCTGCCCAGCAACACATGACTTCTATCATCACTATGAGACTCATTAGTTGCCTGGTGCAAGTTTCTCAGCACTCTGTGGTAAGCCTCACATAACTCTGCTATTGATTTTTGTCATCCGCACTCTGCAGAAACAAGCGACCTATTGAATGTCTTCACTAAAAGCTCACTATAACTCGTCCTGCTGCTGTTAAATACTTCTTACCAGGCTGATAATGTGCACTTACCTTGTGTAGTCCCCCTTTGCCTCCTGGTGATAAAAAAATAAATAAATCTCATCAGATTACATGCTGTAAATACTTGAAAGAAAGCAGTTAATGTATGTAAATGAGTTTAATATAAGCACTGACCTGCAGGGCATTTGCGGCTAATTTGAAGACGTTATCGCTTTCCACTTCTATAACCTCCTAAGAGACAGAAGAGATAAACAGGTTGAAGAAAATGTGTGCGGAAACTTTATACATCCAGACATAGAAATCCTCTCTGTAATGCCTGACAATAACCCCTTATGCTTTTGCACCAAATGAACCCTTATTTTTGTCTGCTTTCTCCGAGCATCTACTTTACATTCCTGCCAGCAGAGTGAGAAACCGTGCCCTGCAGCCACTGTCTGCTAAGCTGAGGTGCTACAAGGGTCCAGAGACAGTGAATCATCACCAAGCTGCCGAGGGAGGAAAAAAAATCAAAACACTACCGGCAGAGAACATTATATACTGCTGAAACCCTCAGGAGCACAGGCAAAAAAGACTTACATTATAAACAGCAGACTTTGCGTTCAGGAAGAACAACTCCACGGTTATGATGTCCTTAAGCTGTGTGATGTTTTCAACGTAAAACCTGAGAAAGATGAACGCAAATACACAAAAACAAACAAGTTAAATTGCTTATTAGAAATCCTCTAACTGTATTTCTGTCTGGTGGATGCTTTTGCGAGAACATGTGAGTGACATTTAAAAGTGATATACTGTATATATATATATATATATATATATATATATATATATATATATATATATATATATATATTCTTTCCCCCTCCCCTCCCTCACCAAAGTATTTTTGTTAATTTTTTAATTATTATTATTTTGTTGTTGTCACTCTGTTTTGTTGTTAAATAAAAAAAATAAATTTAAAAAAATTAAAAATTAAAAAATTAAAAACCAACAACAACCAAAAAAAAGTGATATAAAAAGTCTAGAAAAATCACTTCACATTATAAATTTTCATATCTTTTCTATCGTCCTTAAACAACCACAACAGCTTCGTTTAGAACTTTCCTTTTTTGACAGCCACCAGCTACACTTCATGTCAACAAAGCAGCACTCCCTGCTGGACGGCGAGTGATTTGCATGACACAACATAAATCATTACCTGACCAGGAAGCTCAGAGCGATGCTCCCAGACTTCTTGGAAAAGTCATGTTCGAGAACCCTGCGGTCCATCTGCAACCATTTACGCTGGCCACTGTAGAAGCAAAGCAAACTTAAAGCATCACACACACACACGTGTTCAAACATCTGTAAATATTTAGAGTGCTAAAAAGGCAGTAAACCTAACGATTTACATACTTGTCATCAAAAAATGCGAGTCCGAAGAATTCCTTCTCTTTGAGGTTGAAGTGGGAGGAAACCAAATCGAGGAGCTCGTACGACAGCAGCTTGGGCTGTGGAGGACAGTCGAGATTTAGTTTGATAACGGCTGTAATACAAAACACGAGATAATCGCCCAAATTAAAATGACCCAGACATTCTTCTCAATTAATGTTTTACATGTTCATGAGGGAGTCATCTCTCCGCTCTCAAGAGAGGGAGGTCAATACGGGAGCAGAGAGTAGAAGATTTAGAGGATACTTCAACACTGCTGATTCCCCTGAGGGCTGATCTTCACACTCATTAAATTAAGATGCTTTCAGGACAAAAATACTAATTTTCAAACCCTTTATGTATGGTACATTTTGCATTTCTTTCACTGCTAAATTTGCTGTTGAAATGACAGATTTTGATAGAGTAGACAGTGATTGATCAAGCCCCACATTTACCCTCCTTTTAGCACTGTTTTTGGCCTCCACCAGCTCCTAGAATAGAATCTCCCTCCTTTCTGCCAAATTCCCAATTTTGCTCATCCAAATAAGGCTCACAGACATAATTAGTAAGATTAGTATGAGTGGACATAGATTTCCTGTTTTCTAACATATCAGTCAGCATGACTTGCTCCTAAAAGCCTCCGATAAGTCAGGTGACGGGTCATACAAACCCGGGGTTTTCACAAAAGTTAGTGTCTCATGTGACACCAGCGGTTAAAGTTGAATTATTAGATCTGATGTAAGATATGTCACGTTTTTAACTTCCTTCTTTTACAGTTTTAAGTACAGACTTTAAACTTAAACCACAATCTTGTGTTTATTTCTCACCAGCAAACCTCAACCACATCTTTAAACATTGTCACTGATCAGTCAGGAGACGCTCTTCTGTGGGAAACTTTTTTCTATAACACATTAAGTCATTGATCCACAGAGGTGGGGGCTTGACGACTCGACTCGATATTCGACTTGGACTTCAGTCCCATTTTTGACTTGCTTGATGAAATCAAGAAATGACTTGGACTCGCTTGGGACATGATTGCTAAAGACTTGAGACTTGACTTGACTTGAGCCCAGTGACTTGAAAAGTCAAGTCAAGTCTTTTCAAGTCACTTTATACCTTACAGCAAGCCCAAACCGTTTAAAAAGTGTCGCATCAACTAATAGTCAGGAATTACGGCCATTGGTAACACCGTGTTGTGTTGCCAAGTCTGCGTATTACCCGCAAAAAAAATTGAACATAAATCGCTCGCTGGTATTGCCCACCTGTTTCCACGTGGTGCCTTGTGTCTCTCTTTTGTTTTGAAACAGTGAATTAGAGTATCAGTTTAATGTTTAATTGTATTTGAGTTTTCCTGTGAACATTGTTTCAAGTTATTGAAGTTTACCTGATTATTTTTTGTATGACATGTAAAATAGTTTGGTTAAAGCTGCACTATGTAACTTAACAAAAACAAGAACCCTATTTGTGATTAATAATAAATGCAAGTAGTGAAAAATGCTCATGATATATGTAAATCTTTACATATGACAAATGGTTTATGGCTTTGATATGACTTGTTTTTGACTTGAAAGAAACGGTAAGGACTCGGGACTCGAAACAAAAAGTTCAGGACTTGGACTTGACTCGGGACTTGAGAGCAAAGGCCTTGGACTTGCGTCGGACTTGAGCGCAAAGACATGAGACTCGACTTGGACTTGCAACATTGGGACTTTCCCCCACCTCTGTTGATCCACGTCTATAATAAGAAATATTGACTGTGCGAGCTTTAATTCAAGAGCATTCGTACCTGAACCAGCAGCTCCAACTTCCTGTCATCCAGCAGCAGCACTTGGCAGAGTCTGCCCTCAGTCATCTGCAGGGAGAACAAAAGAGACAGTTCAAGGCCCGAGACAAAATAGCTATAGCTGTTCATTATGGAAAAACACAATGACATTGTGTATTTGTAATGGTTTTACAATAATTACAGCAGAGTACACAAAAGGTTGGCTAAGTCTGGAACACTAAATTATGGAAGAACCGAGACAAAGCGTGTGGGGTTTTTTTTTGGTTTTTTTAAACCGTGTTTACTCTCAGAAGCCGAATTGATCAAAAGCTCAAAGGTAAATACAGACAGAAAAAAGCTGGTGTTGTTATTGACAATAAAACCATTGTTCAGAGGATTTGTCGCATAGCAACCAAAGACGGATTTGAAATCCCATTTTGAGCATTTCAGTTATCTTTCAGCCTCTCAGCCCTTTTCAGCACGTGAGCGAAGAAATATCCAACAGGGGAAAGAAACCAAGAATACCTACTACCTCAACAAACGTGTAAATGACCTGTCAGTAAGTCTGAGAAAGCTTTAAGTTTAGAAGTCTGGGGAAACTAGCAATAGGAAGTAAGTTTGCAGATTTCACAGATAGTAATGGTCGAAATTTAGCCATTTTAGCTATTACTGCAGTTTAATTTACATATACTGACTGGGTAATTTTCAATTCCCTGCATCCTGAGAGAGCAGTAACAAATACTGTAAATGCTAAACGCAAACAATGCTTAGAATAGACTAAAGACTTCATTACAACTCTACTCTTTTGTCTTTAATTGTGTGTTTTCCAGTTTTGTTGTAACAGATCTTAACATTTCTCCCACCGCCAACAAATTCTCCATTAAATTCCACTCAACAAGTGACTGTTTATACCAGTAAAACCTCATATCAGAGTCTGACTCAACTGCATCCATTAAACCCTGTTTGTGGTTTTCAAACCAGCACAACAAAAAACAAAGTCGAGTCTGTTTGTAGAAACAATGACCCTAAATGCTCAATCAGGTTGGCCTACAATGAGATACCAAAACCACAAAAGCTAGTTCAAATGACAGTTTGAGGTGGAACAGTTTCACTGCAAACGCGGCTCAGGAACTAAATAAAAGCCCAAAACTCACTTCCAGGATGAGTCTCTTCATCTGACAGAATGAGGCCGGACTTCTAACACTCTGTGTGAACCGAGCAGCTGCTCTAGTACCTGATAAACCTCTCCGGAGAGAGCGCAGGTGGAGATGCATCCCTGACCGGACTCCATCCTTTCATAATGAGAGTCTCCTCCTGGATCCAGACCCATAAAACTGCTAGTTCTGGCTGAGCAGCAGAAGATCGAATTTAACCGGCTTCTCGTTCCGTCCAGGATATCGAGCGAGGAGGAGGCCTTGGCTGCGTGTGTGTGCAGTGACGGCTCACACAGTGTGACCAGTTTGTGAGAAATCAACAGCTGACTGAATGAGATCAGGCCGGGTCAGACTCCTGACCACACTTCAGGGTTTACCTCTTAACAGGCACAGCCGGGGTCAGAGAGGAAGCATAAGCTGTCAGCACAAGGTAGAAAGCTTTTCTGCATATCTGCTGAATTTATGCAGTTTATATTTAGACTTTTTGTTCTCTGGCTGAGTGAGTTTGGATACACATATCCGGTTTCTTCTACCTGCTTGTGGAGGATATTCTGATTTACTGGACACTGAAACTGCTCCCCTACGCTTCACCTCACTCTTCTCAGTTACTCCACTCTCACATTGCACTAATAAATGATTAAACAAATTGCCTTGCTTCCTGAATGGGGTGACGCACACAGCTTTCTACTGTAAACTACACCATCTGTACTCTTTAAACTATCACTTTGTCAATTACAGCCTCTGTATAATGTGTCTTTCTTATCGCCGCAGCCATAAATTAAATGCGCAGGTTCAATAAATCTGATTACTTCTAGTATGTGGCTGCGTGTGACAAGAGGAGGAGAAGATATACATTGATTGGAGCCAGAGTGAGCTGTGACAGCATCCCAGTGAGGTCACTCGATTTGTTACTGTAATAAGCATGACATTTCTCCTAACTGGCATGCACTGTACAGTAAAAGCACCAGCCACTAGATGGTGCATTTTTCCCTCCATGCAGGAAAGTAGTTCACATACAGAAAATGGCCTCTTGAGGAATTTTCATAAGCAGTTATTAGCTCAGCAGACGGGAGCCCTAATTCAGCTGGGATGAGTCGCTCTAATGCAATATAGATGAAGAGAGTGGGAGGAGGAGGAGCCCAGGTTTTTAGGGAATCTACACCATTAATCATCTGAGAGCTGGAGCTGTGTAATCACCGCAGGAGACGCTATTTATATCTGAAGGAGCAACCCAGCAAACCCACGGCGAACCCAGCAGTTTCTGTGTTACGACACGCACCAGACACTTCTCACAATGAGCAGACAAAAAGTGACGTTTCTAACTGAAACCTGTCGCTTACACGCTTTGTTTTAAAGCCTAGAAATCTCAATGTAGTAACAGAGCATCTTTAATTAGATCTCAATGCAAAGTGGGAGGAAAGAAATAAAAAACTTGTGATGCCTTTGGATGAAGTTGCTTGTGGATGATTGTTTGAGACATGCTAGGACTACTTTTGTCAGTGACAGTCTGTGTTATCTGTTGTTTTGTCCTTGCTCTGTTTGATTCTCTCTCTCTCACTTCATCCTTCTTTCTCAGCCCATCACAGCAGATGGCTGTCCGCTATGAGTCCGGTCCCTGCCTGTAAAAGACAGCTTCTCCTTGACCTGCTCTTTTCACAACGTCAAGTCAAGTCAGATTTATTCATAAGGCACGTTTTTGACGGTTCAGAACAGACAGAACCAACACAGACAAAAATGGAATGTAACCGAGTCATCTATTCAAGACAAGAAAATACAAATGCAGATCTATAAACGTATATTTTGAGGAAAGAGCAATCAGAAGGGGCAGACAGAGAGGAGCAAAGGGGTCACCTCCATGTTCAATTTTAGATCTTGGTCCTAAGACATGATTCGTTATGATTCAGCACTGAATGAAAATCCCCTTAGTAATCAAAGCTCTTCTAGGGATGAACTGATACCAATACTGATACCTGATACTGATCCAGATTGGAGTCAGACCAATTAACCATGACAATTATTGGCATTTTTGAATAATTGGCATCAGCAGCTCACAATATCAACATTTCTCTCATCCTGAATGACAGCATATCAGACCTAAAACTGTTATAAGCCTCTGGAGGAACTGCAAGTTTGCGACAGTTTGGTGTCTCTATTGGCCGAAGTACGTAAATAAATCTAATCTTGCTGATTTTTGGCAATAAAATGTACTATTTATTGTGAAAACTAAATGTGTAAAATCTCAAAACAAGGCTGTTTCTTCAGCTACATGGCTGACACTTATAGTATAAAGTTGTTGTCATGATAGGTTTTGTTCATTTAGTTTTCTCCTGGTTTTATTTGAGCACACTCTCTGTGTATTTTCCCTTGTAATGCCAGTCTTGTGAGTTTTCAGTTTGTGTCTGACCCTGTTTCCCTCATGTTCTCTGTTTTATTCTTTAGATCAGTTTGCGGTGTTTCCTGTTTTATTTTGTAGGAGTTGGTTCCTTGTGTTTCTAGTCTGGTTATACTCTCTGAGTTTTCCCTTCTTTGTTTAACAGTTAACGAGTTTCACCTGTGTCTCGTTAGCCACACCTGTGTCTCGTTAGCCACACCTGTTGCTCGTTAACCAGAGTGTATATAGTCTCTGTCTTCCACTCTGTTCTGTTGGTTCATTGTGTGCGTATGTATGTGGATGGCAGTTTATGCTTGTGTCCCCAGTTGTCTCCTTGCATATTAGGATTTTTTTGAACATTTTGAGACTAGGTTTTAGTTGGACTTTTCCTTTTTGCTTAATTAAATACTTAGTTCTTCATCTGGGTCCTTTTTTCTTTGTTTAACCCTGCCTCATGACAGAATGAACCAACCAAGATCAACCACTCATAGTACAAACTTCTCATTCACTCTGCAGAAGACAACATGCCCTGGTCAGCCAAACACTATATCTTTATAAAAGGCCTGTTTTAGATGCTGTTAGGTCAAAACAAGCACTGAACCTTTTTATTAAACAGACATCAAGTGAAGAGAGATAAAAGAACCATCAGTCTTTGTGCTTCCTCTCCAGAGACTGGACAGGCGCAGGTTGAGCATTAAGCCTGCAGGGTTTAGGTTTGTCTCCACAGTCTGCAGCCTGGGGTTAGCATATAGACAGCTTGTTATTGTGTGCTACTGTGAAACATCTCAGTGGAGACTTCTAAAGGGTGCAGATGTGGACAGTGAAACAAAGAAGAAGCACAGAATAACTCGACGTCTTACATGTTGTTACGATGTCTATCTCTTATGATGAACAGATGTTGTTTTGTACTCTGCAGCTCCTGATTTATAAAATAAGCTAACAGAATAATTCCTCTGTCTCCTGAGTAAACTAGCTGTCAGTGTTAAATACGTCACTCTGGTTAAATGTCATGTCCAAACCGCTGCCCGTCTTATCTCAGTATCCCATTTTCATGCATTATTGATGAAGGTTGGTTTCACATACAAGTCGGTGTCTACTCCCTGTGCTTCCATGCTCTCCTGAAAACACCTGCTACCACAAGGCAATGCCAGAAATTATCAGTTTGTACATTCACACACCAGTTTTGTAAGAAAAACCTCTAAAAATAAACAATAAACTGTATGTAATGACTTGCAAAACCTCCAGATATCCTCATGAAGCTGTCGTTTTCTGTTTAAATACCCAAGGTTACATGATTCCCATGTTGTATAAGCAAACCCCTTTTCATTGTGGATGATGTAACCAACCTCTGACACCTGACCCTGACCGGTGATGACGCAGAGGTTTGCAATATTAATCTTGACTTATCTCTTTTTGAAAAGGTTGTTTCAGATTGTTCAATACAAGCGGCTTAAAAATTCATCCTGAAGAAGATCCGAAAGATGTGTTGGCACTGGCAGTGCCCCGGTTACAGAGGCTGAGGACTATCTCAAACATCATCCGATATCTCATCATAACTCATTTTGTCGGCGGTCAAAAGATATCTGTCTACATCATCTCTCGAGGAGAAGCAGTCAGTCAGTTTGTGATATCCGGGAAATTCATGAGCACAATGAGGCTCAGGATATTACAGGAAAATTAGAAGGTAAAAGAAATATTAATTTTGGTCTTCTGACACCGTACCTCTTTGATATAAAAGGAGCAGGCTGCAACACAGAGGAGTGATTCATGTGAATGATGTCATCATGCAGTACAAGTTCTCAGTCCTACCCGGGAAAAAGGACGTCTGGGCGATGTGATATATTTTCTTGAGGCTGTCCTACAAATGCAAATAGAATCACGGGTCATTTTATCAGCGGTCACGGCGATAGGAGAAGCGGTCAAATCAGCTTCCATCAGTCTCTGAGAGGAGACTGTAATGCCAGGAGGAGTCATGTTAAACATCCTCACAGTTTGTGTATTTTCTCCAGAGAGCTGCTGTGTTTAAACCTTCAGAGTTTCAGTTGCTGGCGTAAAAACCGACCTTGAGTAATTGTGCCTCTTCTCAAAAGAAGAAAAAAGGAAATCTTGCGTGTTAGCTAAAATATTCACATAAACACTCTTTAAAATTACTCCATGTGTTACATGAGATCAAAATGAGCAACTAACTATCTACTGTAAGGCCATGCTAGTTCACCATCCTTTAAGCTTAATGCTAATTCTAGTATACAAACACATAGTGACACTGCTAGCTTGTTAAGAAGGACACTATCTTCACCAGCTTTATTGGGCTTGTCCGTATGCTCACATTTGTTAATTAGGTCTGCATTTGAGGTGCATGTTAGGATCAGTTGGTAGAGCAGGTGCCCAGTTCACAGAGACTAGAGCTTGCATGATAGGTTCCTGGTTCTGACTAGGGATGCACCGATCCGTTTCTTTCACCTCCAATACCGATACACGTATCTACAGTTGAGTATCGGCCGATACCAATCCAATTCCAAAACAGAAAAGGTGCGCTGAATTACCTTTTGTTGTAACCTGAAGTTCTACCACTGCCCCTCGGATGTATTGCAAGTGGATGTCGAGCTTGTAGGCTGAGGTAGTGTGATAAAGTTCAAGATAGCAGACCCCTTTGCTCGCTCCATTTTGAAAACAATGTTGGCACCCGTTCAGTGTGTTTACTTGTGGATGCCACTCACTATGCGTTGGGCCCATTGTCACGATACCTGATCAAGAATTTTCTTCAGTAAAGGGCCTGATACCGATATCAAATATTGGATTGGTACATCCCTAGTTCTGACCCTTTTACACTTGTCTCTCTAAATGTACTGGACCTTTTCCACTGTGTAGATTCCCGTTCAACTTCCAGCTGACATGTTCCCAGTTGACATTCCCAAACCCGCCTGAAAGTCATCAAATTCACTTTAAACTGAACCAGTCTGCTTGTGTGTCTACCTTCCTGCCTGTGCCACCATTCATGGCATCAAGTGGTTTACAATCCGGGCATCCGATCACTCAGCAAAAGCACACCTTTTATGCTTTAACTTCTCATAACTGAGCACATGCTGGTTCTTGTGTAAGCAGAGAAGAGAGAGTGAGTGAAATGATCACATACTAGCACATGCAGCAGCAGACTCAAGCCTCCCAACTTTGGTGAGGTTTCAACCAAATCCAGATGATGGTTGGGTAAAGTTATTGGGCAATCCATCTGAAGCACAAACTCCTTTACTTAGATAAAAAAGACTGGAAATATGAGAACCCATCTTTTGATATTTATCTCTGGATTCAGAAGAAAAGCATCCTCCGAGTTCAGGAATTACACTTTCAAAGCGCAGATCTGATTTAAAGCATACACAGGCTCGTCCAAAAGCAATAAGCTCTGCCACCAGTTGCCCTCATTCTCTGCATGGGTTTCCAGCTGTCCCCACTGGCACTCCTGATATCAAACTGCAGAGTTTTATTAGAGAGAACTGCAGTGACTTTCTGCAGAGCTCAGGGACGAAGCACTGAGGCTCGGACGTGAAGGGGTGGAGAAAATGGAACATGACCAAATTACTTGATGTGGACTAACCAGGGGGTCTGCAGAGACTGAAAATCCCCATGTTATCCTAGCAATGACAGGGATGCAATCATCGTGTTGCACTTATTGTCTTTGTGCTGAAAATGAAAACATGCATCAGCTGACGTACTGTAACTGCAATCATCTGCCATGAGTAATTCATAAATTCTATCCCCAAAATCCTGCCGTGCCAACCTGTTTCACTTCAGTAAAGCTGCCTCAGCTTTCAACTCATTGTATCAGACTTAATCCCTCCATGGTAAGTGTATGACTATAAGATTACACGTCCAAAAATAGATCCTCTCCCTCTGTCTTTACCACATTTCTCAGAAAGCCTCAGAGGCTTTGATTCCTAAATGGAAGGTTTCAAACCGAGCACTGAGACACTTCTCAGCTGCATCAAACAGAGAGAGGAGCATCTCTGCCTTGTTAGGCTCTCCAAGCTGACAAGTGAGAATGTTCAGGGGAGAAACATATTGAACCCAGAGTTGAGTTTTGACTCTAATGAATTGGAGGATTGCACTACCAGACTTAAGTGCTCTGCAAAGAGTTTGTTAGACAGTTGACACATGTGATGTATGGCACAGGACATCCTCTTTTCCAACGCAGAGGAAGAGCAGCACAGTTTCACGCTGCACACTTCTATCATGCAGACGCGAGGCATCACAACAACAATTCCTGTTTACAATGTCTGGTGCTTTAAATACACCAAGACATGTGGCTCTTCCTCTAACTCAGAAAAGAAATCAGCAGGTCACTGACAGCATTGGCAGGGTTCATCTTTGTTTGTCACCACTGGAGGAGAGAAAATCAAGGTGGATTGAGGCCTAACTGCACCAGAAATACTCTATCAGTAATAATTGGTAAAAGGGTTTCAATTGATGACATATCTGCAAATCACAGCCCCAACAAAAACTGGAAATAATGCACTAAATGACACAAAGCTGGAGTAAATCAGGACAGGGAGGACCTACAGAGCTGCAAAAGGGTTAAGATGATGATTCATCCAGCATTTTTAATATTCACCCTACCTAGTCACACTGCCAAAATCAGCCTGCTCCTTCAGAATAAATCCAATCAGTGCCAACATACATCCTCAAAACTACTTTTTAACTCAATCACACCTCTTAAAATAACACATCTTTTTCACACTGAATCCAATAAGAAGACAAGCCCACCTCAGGGCCAGTTTCCACAGTGCAGGGAGAACAATGAATGAGCTACTGTGGGCTGTGCAGAGAGGGTAGGCTGCTGAACATGGGTGGTTTCTACCTGAGCCTCATCATGACTACACTAACGTGTCAAATAAATCCACTCAGCTCCTCGTTACGGTGAGGAAACACGCTTCACACACACACAGAGCCAAACCCATGCTGCTGTAATTTCATTGATGCTCCCTCTCTCTCTCTCTCTCGCTGTAGATCACATGCGACCATGGCTTAGTCTACTTTGTCTCCACACAGCTCACATGAACCGGGTGCGATCATCTCCATCGTATCATGCACAGCCTTACCTTTGCCCTCCTGATATCCCGCTTTAGTCAACGATAAGGCGGAAACACCCCCCGCATATCCTGACGATCCTCTCCCCCTGTTCAGCGGTCTCTCCGGCTGCTTTCAGCCGCCGTGCAGCCGCTGTACGCGCTCATCCTCCGGTACAACTGTAGCGCACACACCCGCCTCGTATCGAGCCACACTCACCACGCCTTCACCCGCCGGCTATTATGTGAACAAGCCCCGCATCCCCTCCCTTCCTCCCTCAATCCCTCCTCTCCCTCCTCTCTCTCTCTCTCTGTGTCATCCAGCAGCTGCCGGCTGGCCTGCTTCACTCTGAATCCCCACAGTAATGAGGTGTGATAGCCTCAAGGCTGTGTGATAGCCTACATCCCTCACTTTCCTTTATAGCAAAAATTAGACTTAGTGTTATGTATGTTCTGATCAATCAGATTGGCACCATCCTATCACCAAAACCTTATTATTTGTACCTAAATCTCCAAATCTTTACAAAGGAGACTATTACTAGTACAAGACTCATCACTCTTTATGAGAGACTTGTCTTATGACATTGGTTTATTGCCTACTTGGAAGCATATAATTGTTGCCATGGCAGCAAATACCCTTCCTGTGGTCATAATTGAAAGTATGCTTTGGTATAATCATGATTGTGTGTGATAGAATTATACAAAGGGAAGGGTCAGACTTTGCAGATCAGGGTGGCCAAGCCTAGATACTCAAATGCAGTTTTTCAGGGTGATCATACCAGCTCTATCATTTCAGTATCCAAGAGATTAAAGATCCTTTTTTTAATGCTTAACCTTAAAAAGGTCACCAAATGGAGCGGTAACATAAAAATCTTTTAATCATTACAGGCTCAAAAAGAAGACCTTGTCCAAAGTCACCACTTTAAGTACCACCAAAACAAACTTGAAAGAAAATCACCCGCTGAAAAAGTTCATTTTAATGAGAGCCCTGTCTTTGATATGTAAAAAAAACCTCCCACTGCGCAATGCGACGTCGAAAAGATATCTATGGCTATGTTCACACAACGTAGCCATTTTTTTTAAACATAGCCAACATAGAAACGTCACCATTGTTCGACAACACAAACAGGCGTGGAAAGCAATGGCGGACAAGGGAACGGCGAACAGCCAGTTGTGCGCATGCGGGTCACTTCACGGACGCATTCCGTTCACATTAGATGCTGCATTCGTTGTTGTAATGTGAACGACCGTACGAAAAGATCAGATTTAACAAAAAATCTGAATTGTGCATCATAACCTACAGTGTGAACGTAGCCGATTTTACATATTTTTTTGCCGATGAGGTTCAAATGTGATGTCATTTGAACGTCTAAAAGAGGTCTAATAATGACGTCCAAATCTTGGATCTATTTTGCACGTTGTGCCGAAGTCTATATTCCAAATGTCAGAGCGACGTCTAAAAAAAGGCCAATTTGGATGTCAAATTTCTAACCTATTTTGCACGTCGCACTGTTGTCTAGATGTGGTCTTTGACGGACCAACCCAATACTGACTTGATCTGCATGTCTCTTAGATGTTCAATGTTTGGTGGGCTCATACACATTGCAATTCTACAACGGCGCAAGCTTGTGCACCCATGCACTAAACTCTGCAACAGCATCACATTGGCGTCCCAGTCTTACACATCAGATTATGGCATTGCAATGGCACACTTTGTAAAAACACAGCTGGAAGAGAATGTACTGATACTACACATTACCACAGCTTCCTCCACTTTGCCTCCATTAATAATTCTGGGGGGAAATGGAGGCAGAACAACTTTGAACTATCATGACAAGGTAGTTAGCGTAACAGGGCACAAATATACCGCCTTGAAACTGCAGTGAGATTCTCAAATTTGTGGATATGGGGCTGTTAGTGGGTGGCCAATCAAATTTCAGGGGGGGCATGGCCACCTCTTGCCACCCTTGGATCTGCCCCTGCATAATTAACTGAAAGCGATGAAAAAAGGGACTATAAATCTGGCATTTCTTTAGATTTTTATCTGTTAGCAACCTGCTGGTAACCTGTGATAAGTACAAATAAGTAAAAAGTTTCTGAGATTAAACAAGATTATTTATCTTTTCATATAGCATGACATATTCAACAAACAGTACTCCATCTGTATGCAAAATTACAGTTCTAAAGATGACATTTAATGGCTTGAAAATGGACTACCAGAGAAATCATGCTGGAATCATCTTATTTCCTGTGTAATTTAAGAGGGATGGTGATTACAGAATACTCCTTTCCCTTTCCAAAGCTATTAAGACAAAATGATTCAACACATGACTGTGTTTTTATTGTATCACTCTGTGGTTGTGATTTCATCATGTGACTTTTCCCCGGTTGTGAAACTTCAGAAAATAAAATAACTAAATACAGTATGAGTGACTTTTCATGTTTTGTTACCTTACTTTGAGTCTTCATAACGCCTTTTTTTGTCTGTGAGGTGAGTAAATATGATGCAAGTGAATTCCCGACAAGCCAGTGAGCAGTTAGTTTTGTGTATTTTGAAGCCTGCTTGGATGCTCTGTATTTGCACAAAGGATCCTCATGACTAAAGCTAAGCTGCCGAGGAGGACGTTGTTAACATAAACTGATACAAACATACGAGTGAGGAAAACTGTTAATTTATTCAGCAGTTCCTGCACTCTGGGGGTTGTTTTCAGCACTAATGACTGTAATGCATTGGTCACAGAAGACAGTTCTCATAATTTTAAGCTTTGAATCAATTCTCTGTTTTTGACTGTCCCTGTTGGGCTCGTGTCAAACAGAGGATATACGCCATGGTAATTTAGATTAACATGGTTGTAGTTGATATAGTGCCAAGCCAGCTTTGACCTTTCTGTTACTCCACACATCAGTTAACATGCTCGACATGTTCGGTTCAAAAGCTGATTTGAGCTTATAGGAGATCACTGGTGTGTATTTCACATGAGACATTCACTCTGCTCAGGAGTGACGGCGCCCCTGAAATATTCATTACTGTCTTTACATTCGCTCGCATGGTAGTTTTCAAAAGAATCACGCATGTCGGCTTCTTTAAGAACCTTAACAAACATATATATGATCCTTGAAAGAAGAGAGTGACGGTCATTTATAATCTGTGAAAAATCAGCTTTTTTGTCTAAATTGTGAGTTAAAGATTCCACTGCTTTATGCCCCCACAGTGTACAGTTAATTCTGCAGCCTGTCAGCACAGCCAGGCTTCCCCACCCCCACCCCCCTTCCTCCCGCTCTTGGGTTTCTGACATCAGACTTGAATAAGTATCTCATTAAGATCCCCCAAAACCATCTGCCCAGTGAATCTCCTCCTTGCAGGATGATGCTCTCTTAAACAAAAGAGAGGGATTCCCCCATTGCCCTCGTTATCCTCATTAGGAGTCTAATTCCCCCCATCAGTGACAGACTGTACTTAAATACATTGTGGGAACTAGAATATATCCAAGTCTGTGCTTTTATTCGAATAAGTGATACAGTAATCCAGACTCTAAACTCTTACATTCAAGCTTGAAGTCAGTAAGAGTGGACACTTTTGTAATGAATCAATTCGAAGTAGTCTCCAAAGTATCACAAGTGATTATTCAAAGCCGATCTCTGTTGCACAATTAGAGCATGCAAGCTGTGTATTCACAAGCAGGCGAATATGAATGTGTGTGCATCAGTGTCCATCTAAGCATAGTCAAATCCTGCATGGCAGATGCTTTATGCAAATGCACCCACACCCATGTCAACAATAGAGGCTGAAGAAGCTGAACAACAACCTATATTATATTAAAATACTTAAAATTTTGAGTTTTAAGCTGAGATTTCTAAGAAGAGAAGTGGTCGGGTGTTCCTGTAACAACAGTCGGAGGCATCCTGGTTTAACCTTGCACAGATTTCCTACATATTTGTTATTAAATTGAGGGATTTGAACCATATGGCATTAAGCTTTAACCAAGGGAAAACATTTAAGCAGTGAGTAAACGCCACAATTTTCTCTGGATTTGATTTGGGCCATTATGCTGTAATTGTAATGAGCTTGTTATGTGTTTCTTGGCTGTTTTGCCTTTTTTTTCTCGCTTATACACTGAACTCCCAAACACCTTTATCTCACGTTTCAGGATCTGCACCAACGGCTGCAGGTCGCCGCTGATTGGCCCGACAAGTGACTTCTGTGAAAGACAACAAAGTGAAAACAATAAAACAACTGTCCGTTCATACCTGAGCTGAGGCGTCTCTCTGTTATTGTTTGCCCACATTACCCACAGTTCATGCTCTGTGTTATTTGTCAGCGATGTTTGCACTGGCTGTCACAGCTTATTAAACATGCACAACACTGTGTAAACGCTGCTGTATTAGTCTTTGTGATTAGATCCATGTGTTTTCTTGTGGCAGACGGCCAGTGTGACGCTGGACATTTGCTGTCAGTTTCTATCACTGCATCTAGAGCTAGAAGTGTACACATAGGGGATTTTAGAAACTAGTAGTCCTTGAGGTGAAAGGTCATATGATAGTTTACTGTTAGGAGTAAAGATTTATAGATTTTTGTTACAATCCGAATCTACTTTTACTATTTTTACTCAGAAAACTGCACATTAAGCTCTTATATGCTTTCAAAGTTTGATGAATACTGATGCACTTAAATCATGCAGAAGATTTCAACTGATGATTACAATGATGAAATATGTATCCATTACTCCCACTTTAAGGGGTTACAAAGGGTATTGTAGTCTACACACTCTGTGGGCCTCACTCAGCAGGAGTCCCTGGATAATTCACCCCACAACAACACCCAGAATAAATGTGTCGTCTGGCCTATTGTTTATCTGCCTCCGTCCTCTATGGAGGAATGTGAAACCCCGCGGGCCCTGCATCATGTCTCCAGCTCTGAATGTAAGTGAGTGGATCATTTCAGAAAAACTCTGATTTGATTTCCTATCCTGCACATGCCTGTCTTCATATCATCATGCCATTATGGACCTCCTTTTTATGGCTTTCTTTAGAGACTGCACTTTTCAGCAGGAGCGCACTTGCATGATATTTGCATTGGTAAAAAGCAGACTTAAACCAGTCCAGCAGGATGAGGAGAATGCAAATATTGAACTTGAATTTCCATTTTGTAATAGAAAGTGCCCCCTCTGGGCCAACGCTGGAAAATTTCCCTGGCTTTATACTGCCACCAAGTGGTGCGTAGGAGTCAGATGAGGAGCAGGAGCTGGAGAGCAGTAGAGTAAGTAGAGTGAACGTAGGCTCCTCTACACAGCAAAGAGGGGGAAACAGAGGAGTGTATGTGGAAAAAATTTAATTGTTTGGTATATTATGAACAGACTACCAGCAGGATTTCACAGATAATCAATAAGAGTTATCAAAAAAAGAGCATTAAAGTGTGTTAGAGTTTACATTTTATGTCTCAAACCTGGGTTGGTTACAGAGAAAAAAAAAGCCTAGATGGAAATCCTCTTTATGGTTGAACATGACATCACCAATACCAGATCTATATTCCAGCATGTGGTGCTTTTCAATGTCAGGCTCTACAGTTTGACCCCCTGAGCATAGTCATTATAATAATTGACCATTCATTGATGTTGTCCTCTTATGCAACGCTCACTCCGGTTAAACTCTCTGAACCAGGTCCCATCCTGTTGTAATGCAGCCTGCAGTATTTTTAAATAGGAAGAAGAATAAGAAGAACTTTATTAATCCTCAAAGGGAAATTCAATTGTCTGTCGTCTCATTTGTCATGTCTCTAAGGATATTAAAAACAATGAAATAAAATAAAATACATATACAAATACCAACCCCACTCACCCTCCCAATCCCCATTCAACACACACAGCACTCACACGCTCACACATGCAGATACATACGCAAAGACCAGGTGAGGACTCTTGAACTTGCCACAGATGACTGAGGAAACGCTGTGTTAAGTTAAAAGAGATAAGGAAACACTGGATCTAGGACTAAAACGATAAACCATAATAAAATATAATAAAGGTGATAAAGCATTAAAGATTTAGGCTAAACAATCAATCCATCAATCAGTCTTTATTTATATAGCACTTAATACACAGCCATGTAGCACGAAGTGCTTTACACAGAACAAGAAATAAAAGAAGCAAAGAATACCCAAATCTACCCCAATCCAAGATTAAAGCATACCCAAATCTACCCCAACCCAAGATTATAAGAATACCCAAATCTACCCCAACCCAAGATTATAAGAATACCCAAATCTACCCCAACCCAACCCGTAATTCCCACCCAACTATCTAAATGCAACAGAAATATGTATTAAAATGCATAAACTTAAAAAGGGCTTGATTTGTGGAAACAGGAATGTGCGCACTGAGGAAACGTCATTTTAAAACTCAAGATAAGGAGACACTGAAGGTTTAGGTTAAAATCTAAAAACAAAGAAACAGAAGGAAATTTAAGAAAAATAGATAAGATGAAATAAAAACAACAGTAAGAGATACAAAACTAAGAGCACCAAAATAGCTCAATAAAAGACTATCCTGTGATTAAAACTAGAATAGATAAATGCCAAAACACTTAAAGTTAATAGTATAAAATGTAGTTAAAAGCAAGACTAAAAAGGTATGTTTTCAGGTGCTACTTTAACTCAAATCAGTGTTTTCAATAAGACTAATGTAAGTTATGAAACGTTATGAGAAACAGTGAGTTTACTCCTATTGATAAAAAAATAAAAACAAGACCATAAGGCTGAGTAAAGTCCCCTTTGGATATTGCAGCCAATGAGAACCCCGCTGACACTAACAGCAGGGATGCATTCTGGGAATTGAAGTTCACAGGGCGCCGGCAGCCCGTTAGTAGCCGTGTCCTCGCGGCTGTGTCGGACTACAGAGCTCCGGGTCCTGGACAGAGGCGGCTTGCGTTGACAGCGGTTGTTGGTACTGACTGAGCGAAGTACGGCGGCACAAATATCGCTCGTCCGTCTGTCTGTTTTTCTTTAAAAAGTGCTTTAAAAGTTGACAGCTGCAAACATGCAGTCCGAATCGGGAATAGTTCCCGATTTCGAGGTTGGAGAGGAGTTTCAAGAGGAGCCGAAAACGTATTACGAACTGAAGAGTCAACCCTTGAAAAACAGGTCAGTTGTTGAGCTGAGGGGACAGTTATTTCCCACGCTGCAGCGGTTTTTGTGTTTGGGTGATAATGAAGCTGCAGACTTTTGTGAGAGTTGTTCCGAGTCTGTGCATGTGTTAGTTAGGCTGGGTCACTGATGTTTCTACAGCTTCAGCTCTGCACTGGGATCCAACTTGCCTGTCATTCCTTATGGTTTTCCAGCTGGCATGAAGTTATGCAACACTTGGGTGTTGTCTTGTCAACATCAACTTCAAATATTAGCTCTGAGAGGAGCAGACAGGTCAGGATGAGATGCTGCTGCTGCTCTGCCTCACTTTTCTTCATGGTTGATGTGTATGATAAAGCTGATGGGTGGCTTTGTTTTTATAGGGATTCTCCAGGCAAATACCTCGACATGGTTGTAAGATATACGTGGGATGTGTCACATTATGTCATGCTGTTGATGGTTGGACTTGTGATTTATGAGTGTTTCTTTTAGGTTGAGATTATACTATGAAATGCACTTAAACAAAATAAACTTGTAGAAAGTGTCAGACCTTCAAAAAGCTGCAGAAATTGTACTAAATCTTGAGAAAACAGACCCTTTTCAACTAATAACCTTGCAGCAATTAATAGACACTGACCTATGTAGCAGTGTATTAACCTGTTTTGTTAAGACTATCACTATTTACAGGAATGGGAGGTGAAGAATCATCACTGAGTTGAGTCAGGTCTATGTGGTCTGATATAACCTTTCATCCTATTTCTGGAGGTATGTGAGTGTGCAGTCTGACTCTCCTGTTAATGATTTCACATTCATGCGGTTGGTTCTGTCAAATTGCTCATTTAAGTCCAGGAGGCAAAAAATGAAATGAAAGAATTTATCAATCTAGAGGAGGAACTTTGTGCTTTCATGCTTTGTGTTAAAAGTAACCATTCATATATCTTTGCAGCAGCTGAAGCAAGCCATAGAAGCCATAGTCTTTTAAAGCTCCTCTGATGAGCTTTCACTTTGCTGCAGTTTTGGTGCCCCTCCATGGACAAAGCAGGCTTTGCTTATCTTGACCTCTTCATGCTCAAGTAGTGTCTTTCCCTCCTGTCAACTTTTTGACGATGAAATGTACCATTTATTGTGAATACTTATGTGGTAATTGTTTTTAAAAAAGTCCCTTTTGGGGACTGACATCTTTTCCCCTCACACCAGTCTCAAGGTCCTTACACACCGGGAACGACGCAAATATACGACTCAAAATTACGAAATATTCGGAGACAAATTTTGACACGCCTGACTATACACATCAAGCGCAATGCGATTTTGCGACTTTCCCAGGGGAAGAAACGACGCGAATAGTCTGACACAACAGCAGACTGAGTGTTTTTCAGTTCTGATTAGACTCAAGTGTTGAGATGGCTGTCTGTCATGATAGCATGTACTGAGTCGGGGCCAGTACCAGATAAGCACATTAAACTATAATCCATAAACGTAAGGTAACAACCGAGACCTAATGGTGCTGTGACAACAACGTGAGTGAGTTTGAGACAGTGAAAATACATATGGTATGTTGTATCTGAACAGGTTAGCTTACGAGCTAAAGTTACGTAGCACTTACTTTTGTCCCTGATGTTGTTGTTTGCTTTTGGATATCATGAAAATGCAATAACACCAATTTCAGTCTATTTCATATGTGACAAAAAAATCCCTTATAGGAGCTTTAAATATGATTTAAATGCATTGAAACCCAAGCCACCATTGGAAGTCAGTAATAAATAAGTGTGATTAAATAGTTCTGTATTCAGCAGCAGTAGTTAAAAAACATTATTTGAATGAGGAGGTATAATGTTTTTTTTATTATCAAGTGAGCCTAAGTTTGTTAATGGGGCAAGTTTTAGTGACAGTGAACTGAACTAGCCCGGTTGTTCCTTCTTTTTACACTTTTTTTAGCCATAGTGTCGCAAACTAGCTTTGAAATGAAGAGGAAAAAAAACTGAACTAACTTTTGGCACAAGAAAAAAAGTGAATAATTACTTTTGACTTATCATAAAGCACATCGTGTGAATTCCAACTTGTTAAACTCGACAATTCCTAGATACTGTGACCTCTTTTGCTTGACATAACCTAAATTCAACTTAATTACCAAATATTACAGCCCGTATGATAATATATGAGCAGGTTTAATTTAGGTTATGACAAACAATGTAGGTCTCTTTTCATACTAATGCATCATTAAAGCTGTGATATAACAGGCGAGTTGTGAAACTCACCACTTTGCCTTAGTGACGATGACGACGGTGATGACGACAATAAATCTATTAACAGGACGGTGTGTGGTTATCTCTATCTGGTGTCTAAATGTCTGTAACGTTGTTTAGCAGTAGCTTCATTGTCAGGGTGAGACATAGAGAAGACAGTACGCCACTGTGTGCAGACAGAGCGCTCATTGCAGACGTTTGGTGGATTCCTGTTATTTCTTCCCCCTCTGGCTCTTGACATTTTGTATCAGATTTATAGTTTTATCTCTTCTTTTCTCCAAATGAAACCAAAACAGCAGTTCAGAAGGGGGGAAAAACAGTTCATCTTGTGCAGACTTAACCTTTAACCCAATTCTGCATGTTTTAAACCAATTTCTCCATTAGTGAAATGTCATTACAGTGTTGCACATACGTGGCCTGAATCGGAGCCGTGTTGTGTTGTGTTGCTGCAGTCGGAGCAGCAGTCTCAGCTCTGGTTCTGGATGATCACAGATTATTTCATTTCATGCCGTTTACTCTGGAATATGTGAAGTTGTCTGAGGAGTTGTTGTGGATTGGAGGTATCCCACTTCCTCTTCCCATCACATGAGAATGACCCAGCAAAATAGTAGTCACGAGGACTGTATGATGAGACATTGTTGCGCAAAAAAAAAGGATAAAATTAGCGTGATTGATTTTTTTGACTCGTGTGATGTCTTGCCATGTCCACCCCCACGCTGTTTCGAAATCCAAAATCCAAAGTGTGGCAAAATCAGATGTCAGTACAGTTTTGCTGTCCTTGTATGAGTTCGACAGCACGCACAGACAGCTGCAGACGATGTGACAGACTCCTTGTGCCTAATATAGATGTGAGACAGGCGCTGGAGCTAGTCTTCTATGCAGTGTAAATAAGCTGTATAAATTTAGCAGTGGATGTGTTATATCCTAAACCGAGAGTGATGGGGAAGTTTTTTTTTTTTGACATGCTGAACATTCAAGCATGATCAGTCAACTTCAGACTTGGAATTAGAGAAACTTAGTTTAATATGAGGAGTGTATTAAGCTGGAAACTGTGGTGGAGACTGTCAAATCTTTGTATATATTCAGTTTGACCTCCATCACCCCTTATTTCCTCTGCTCATTTCTCATCACATCTCTGTGTGTCTCATATCTCCTAAACAACAATATGACAAGCACTTCACATTTTTTAAAACCCAAATATTTACACTTCATTTTTTATTTTTAGTTTTTACAGCCAGCCAGAAATCAGAACACTTTATTGAGCCAACTCCATCAACTTGATAAAAACACAACATTAAAGCTACTATGGGGAATTTTTTTAGGTTTTCGAAACAGTTTGTTATTCATATAGTTGCCTTTTTAGATATCCAAAAGCAAAACAAGACAATCAGCAAAAAGATTGAAGATTCTTATATCCTCGATTTAAAGCCTGAAACTGGTATGAGGAGGTAGGTGTCAGCCCGGCAGCTTAAGAAACAACCCTTGTTTTCAAAATTTGCAAATGAAATACTCACAATAAAAATGTCATCCTGTTGACTTCCAGTACACAAATGCATCATTTAAATCAAAAATTACTAGAGGATAAGATAAATGATGACTGCTTTATCCACAGTGGGCAGCAAATTTTTTTATTGTGTCAAAAATGAGAAAGGCAAAACAAAAATGATGCATTATCAGTATGACACTAAAGTTTCTGACACACAAGGACTGACGCAAATATCCGACGGGAAATTACAAAATATTCAAAGGTGAATTTTGACGTGCCTGACTATACACATCAAGCCCGATGCGATTTTGCGACTTTCTGGGGGGAAAAAATGCGCATTCCTGGTGGAAGCGAGAAGACTGACACAACAGCAGACTGACTGTTTTTCAGTTCTGATTAGACACTAGTGTTGAGATGTCTGTCTGTCATGATAGCATGTACTGAGTCGGGGTCAGTACCAGATAAGCACATTAAACTATAATCCATAAACGTAAGGTAACAACCGAGACCTAATGGTGCTGTGACAGCAAGTGACTGAGTTTGAGACAGTGAAAATACATATGGTATGTTGTATCTGAACAGGTTAGCTTACGAGCTAAAGTTACTTAGCACAGATGAAAGTTAAAACAAAGACGTTTAGCAAACTGTTAAAGCACACAAACTATCGTCATATGAGAAATCCGTCGCCGTGACTCTCGACGTGTTGTCCTTCAGGTCGTTATCTTTGTAATATTTGTGTCTTTTTTAAAAAAGCACTCTGTTCTCCGACATGTAATCAGCCGGTCGGCCATGTTGGATACACCAGTGAATCTGACGTCGCAACAACACGCAATCTGATTGGTCAGAAATGGACACACAGTATGTGAAACTTTAGAAAATCAACCGTGATCCGAAAAATACAGGAAAATGTCGCTGATGCGAATGCTTGTATTGACAGGATACGGGTTAAAAAAAAAGATTGACGTCCGAAATAATCGCACGATAAAAACGGTCCTGGTGTGAAAGGACCTTGAGTCCTAGCTGAACTGTTTTCTAGTTATCGGCTCTTCTTTCAATTCCCCTCTTCCATCAAGGACTTGTAACAGGCTGTTGAGCTCCTTCAATATCCCTCCACTGATAAATCATTTGCAATGGGAGAAATGATCTCTGTGACTCTTCCCAATCTCTAGCAATCATGTAACCCTTCTGAGTGAACTGATCATTCGACTCAAGGCCTACTTTATTACTAAACCAAAGAACATACAAAGGTCTCCATGTCCCTACAAATTCACCCTCTGATCTTCCTCCAGTTTCGTTCTCTTGAGTTCATTTCTTCCATCTCTGCAGTTGTGCTTGTTGTTTCCTCTTTGTGTGTCATGACAGACCATATACTGCCACCTACTGTGTCAGAATGTAAAGGCAATGATTGTCAAAAATCCCCATTATTGGTGGATTATTGGACCAATATAGGCAAGATTTTCTTCCCAAAATGGAGAAACCAAAGATTGGCTGCAGATTGGGCCTTTAGCATTTGTTGCAAATGCAAGGGTAGCACTTTAGTGATTAATGCAATTGGTTCTTAAAGTCAGAAAATATTTAGCAAGAAGAAAGGAGAACATTTGACGAACCAAATTCAAAGTGTTATTCGTGGTTTGGGATCAAAAGTACACAATTTTAAGTCTGTTGTTGTATGAGGAGGAGTTGTATTGATATTTCATGTGCAGGTTGGGCAAAGAAAACACTTAAAATGAGAAAGAGGATATGATTATATGAAGGAATAGGTTTCAAACATGTCAAACAGGTTAACTGCAGTCAGAAAAAGCTGAGTCACAGATTGGCGTTCAAGGGAGATGGTGTCCGGACGGCCTGTTCCAGTGGGAAATCCTAGACAGAGATGCCTGAGACGCCAAAGAGATGCATCTCCAATTTAAGACAGACAGAGAAGTGAGTGACACAGACAGGTGTTATGGCTGAAGTGAAAGACAAACAGGGAAACTCGTTCTGCAGTCATGACCTCTTTGTTGCATCCGTGACCTTTTGTGCGGCACTTTTGAAGCCCATGTGTTGTTTACATTTCGACACGTGAAACGCTTTTTTTCTGTTCTGGGACTGTAGCAACACTTAGAAGTTGCTACACAGCATGGAAACATCCTATGAAACCTGGATAACAAAGCAGGATCTGGGATTTGGGGAGTAACATGGACTTCTAGCATGTTTGTAGTCTGAGTGGTTTGACGTACGCAGAAGGGAGAGCAAAAGTAGGCGGGACATAACTCCTGTTGACGCCAATCTGAGGATGTTTTACGACTGTAAACCAGTATCTGCATGCTGGTTCATCTTGTCCAGATCAAAAGTTTCAATGTGGGCGATAAATCAGCTTGACCATGTGTGAGATTTCCGGACTCCACCATTCAACAGAAATATGTCCTCATCCAGACGGATGCCACAAAGTTCGTCATATTCCTTTTTACAAATCTGCATTGTGATATCATGATTTTAGCTAAACCGGTAATTGAGCCGAAGTAATCCAGAGTGAATTTACTATCTGCCGTTAAACTGAAGCATATGAGAAACAGATGATAAGGGGAAGTAATAAACCAAAAAAAAAGGACAGCTGTTATTTCACAGACGCACATGCCACATGGAAAGGAAGTCTTGGCTGGGAGTCGTTTAACCTCCCAAAAAGTTGGCATCGGCTCCCAGAGGCATATATCGCCAGATGATGGATGATGAATGAAGATGTCCTCTGAGATTCACCGCCGTAAACGCAGCCGTATAACTGTTCTTCATCCAGCACGCTCGCTGTTCATCTCCAGTTGCCACTCTTTAAATTTAAATTCACCTGGTCTGCACTCGCTCTGACCGAGACTCACTCCCAATCTGTTAATACTGGAGGGGTTTCATCTGCTTCCCTACAACACTGACAAACTTAAGCACTAAAAACTTTGGCCTTTTTCATTTTTATATTAATTTCCTGTTTGTAGATGAAAGAATCGAAACTATCACACACGCAAGAGAGCACATCAAAGCAGCCCAATAACTCAATAAATTATAAATAATCCGCTCTGCAGCTGTGTTGCTTGTAGCCTCGAATTAGTTCAACTTTTTCAAGCTTTTTTTCCCCTTAATTCATAAATTGCTCTCGATCTGTCAGTGTTTCACTCTGTTCCCTTTGGCTCGTAGCTGTTTGTAGACAAAACAAGGGTGAAGAAGTGCTTACCCACATGTTGTCATTCGTTTTTACTCGAATTCAGTCAAAAAAAAAAGGAATAAGTTTGTAAAAAAATGACCATTAAAATGCCCCAAAGCCCAAACTGACATTGGATTATTTGTTAAGATCTAGGGCCCGGCCAATTTTAGCCTGTTTGAGACTAATCGGTAATCGTCCAAAACTCATGATTTTCGCCGATATTTTCAGAAATAAAACGCAGAGCATAAAATTTGGTTTCACTTCGAAAATATTCCGCCATCTGAAAAGTTCCCCAACTTATCCTGAAGATGGCGCAGCGACCTCATGACAATCCTCATCCACGAACTACAGAGTGACGGATCTGAAGCAGGCAGCTCAGGGACGCACAGAAGAGCGTTGTCCGCCTCAACGGTAAATAAACCAGTTTGTAAAATACACAATAAGTCAACAAGTTTTAGTTCAACCCACTTCACAATGTTCCCCGCTGGGCTGGTCTCGGTCACGCCAAGTTAACAGTGAAGCACCATGTAAAATGCAAGCTAAAGCTAGAGTTAGCCATCTGCTATTAGCCTTGCTACACTGTTAGCCGTGCCAGTAACGGTAGAATAAACAACAGTACACATTACGTGATCGAGCTACTTCTCTTACTGAGGCAGCTGCATGTCTTCAGATGTGACTGGAACGGAAATGAGTAACATGAGTTAAGTCGCGGAGGCACCGATCTGCGGTGGCGGGGGGTAGTTGAAACCGCTTTTCTGGTCCAAGTTTGATCAGTCAGTCTTCCTGTCGGCGTGAAGAGCAGTAGCCTACAGTATATCTACAGTATATATATATTTTTTATAACTTCATAAATAATTTTAAAAATTGGCTGATCAATCGGTAATCAGATTTTTTTCTCCCTAATCATTGGTATCGGCATCGGCCCCAAAAAATTTGTATCGGTCGGGCCCTGTTAAGATCAAGACATGCCAAATGAGACAAAGAAAAGCAGTAGACTATCACATTTGACAAGTTATTTTTTTTCATTTTCATCTATGACAGCTTTTAAATATTATAAATATCCATGTGCAATTATCATTTGGGGGGTTTTTTGCATTAAAAAAAGCTTGTAAAAGTGCACAGACTCTCCATAAAACCCTGAAGATTAACTGTGTTAAATTTCCCCATCAAGTCAAGACAAGAGATCTCTCACTCACTGGAGTTTTTATTCACGGTTTTATGTGCAAAAAAAAAGTGCGAGTCATCTTTTTTTCGGATGTAAAATCAATGCCAGCTGTTTCTTTTCCAAGTTTGAGAACATGTTGGCCATCTGTTTTACCACCTTTTGCAGAAAATCAGGGAACAAATCAGCCCTGAAGAGTCCCAGAGAGAGAGGCTTTGTTGTGCTTCTCAGACGAACTTGAGAGCCTCAAGGACTGATTCAACTGGTGGAAAGTGCATAAAAAAACTGCTTCCTAACTGCTCTCGGATGGTCTGATTTTCTCTTCATTTAAAAGAGGGAGGAGCGGGAGAAGAAGGCCGTGCAGCTGAAAACAAGTGAAGGATACCGTGAAAGACACAGAACCTAATTAAACAAATCGGACCCTGCAAAATTTAAGCTATCCCGACTGCACCATTTTCTTGGAAACACCATGAAAAGAACCTGATAACCTTTCTTAGTGGTTTTAATTTGTAAAATATGCCTCTGGTGTTTTTTAGGGATGAAAAGGTGGTTGTTTTGGAGCTTCTTCAGACATCATAGGCTGAACAGGCAGGAGTTAGTTGACCACAGGGGCCGGTTTTACAGCGACTTTCCTTAGAAGATAGAAGGAAACCATGAAACTTTGAATTTTTCCAATTGATTTCATGCTGAGTTGGACTGATCTATATTTAGATGTTGGGATGTTTGGGCCCTTTGTGGGGGAAAAAAAGACATTCAAAGACGGCATCTGCAGAAATGGTGAGGTTTTTTTCACAATTTGATCACATTTTATAATCAAGGATATAAAAGTCAGATTCATCACTGATGCCAGAATTTATCCGCCCTACTTCTGCTTTTGACTTGGAGCACACTTCAGAGAACATCAGAAGAAAATCTCACTAAAATAGTTTCTTATAGGTCATGCAAATATAAAATTTAGTTATGTACAATAAACTCTCCACCTATGACTTGACGAATTATGGATGGTTGTTGCTGGTAAGAGAAAATGTGTTTATCCTGTCTGGTTTACTCAAAAGTTGGGTTCAGCTTGAGAGAAATGGTGCAAACAGTTAATCATCAATCATTTATATTTATTTTTATTTTTATTCATCCTCACCTGAAATATCGGACCTACTTCAGTTAGAGCACAAGGAAGCTGAACAACTAGAAACCGTTAGCTCCTGTTTAGTCTGAAATCCTGTTTAACTCAACAGGACAACAAATGTAGATAAATACGAAATAATACAGTGAAGTAGTTTACAGTGCTAAATGTTTTTGCAGGTATGCAAGACCCAAAATAAACAAATCGCCCCCTCAGAGATAATGAAGACGCCTCAAAATGTCAACATTAGATGATGTAAACGTAGATGATTCTTGATCGCTGCTTTGGTCTGGTGGCTGCACCGCTAGTTGTGGCTAAACTGCTAATGCTACTCATGCCGTCAGCAGTGACAGGCTGTGCAGACTCCGCTAGCATTTTCACGCTGTCCGCATAATCACATAACATCTTCGGAGGATGACTCAAAGTCACGGCTCACATCTATTTTGCTGCCCTCAGCTCCGCATTTAGCTCCACGTTCGGTCGTTCTGTTTACTTCTCCGCTAACTTACAGAAGTGAGCAGGAAAAGCTGGACTCTGATTGGCTGTTGTGACGCACATTTCCTCTATGTTTGATCGAGTAAATACGCTCACAGCTGATCACCGTGATCGAACTGAAATTTATCACGATCATTGATCATCAGTCCTACATCAGGCCCATTGTCACGATACCCGATCTAGAATCTTCTTCAGTATCATGACAGATACCAATATCAAATATCGGATCGGTGCATCCCTAAACAAAACTATTAAACGTGTCGTTCTTTAGTGGGTTTTTGATACACTCAGATCTCTGTACTTGTGCTGACGATTTAGGTGTTTCTAGATTGTATTCACTGGTGTGATTCACTTTTAAGTTAATAAACAACACCTGTTATTCCGAAATAACTGAAATTAGTTGTTTTCATAATATCAGAATTGTGTTTTTTTTCCCTCAGCTGACTCCTTTTCAAACCACCTATTATTCAGCATGTGCTGGCTGTCTATTTAACTTGTCGCACCAATGTAAACACTGCACGTCTTCCCTGAGTTGTTTACTTGCTGCAACATCGGCCTAGTTGTAGTTGTTTGTGAAGTCTCTCTTCTTTTAAACACGTGTCAGTCTGGGTCCCAGGGGTGCGGAGCCTCCACGATGCTATTGTAGATTTACCTCTAGCACAGAGATTCTCTTGCAGGGCCGTCTTCAGCTGCGCGCACACACTGTGGTGAGAGCCTGAGAGGATCAATGTGCTGTCATGTAGGGTCATAATCCCTGTAAGTATTCCAGCTGTGAGGTCTTGTAGTCTGCCAGGAGGATCTCGCTCTGCTTTAAGAAGAAAACACCTGCAGTCTGACAGAGATTACAAAAGAAGACAAGATGACAATTGCGAGCTACCTCAGAGAAACTCCGGTGAAGCTTTTGGCAGGATACTTTAACCCATAAAAACCCATGCTGGATACTGTCTTACCACACTATTGTAAGCCAAGTGACAGAAATACAGTCCGTATACTGAATTTGAAGATATAGCATAGACTCATATTTGGATATCTTTTTGACTAAGTGTGCAACTTTCGCACATTTGATCATACTTTATCTTATGAGGGAATTATGCTCAGTTTTCTTGATCAATTAACCTCCATAAGGGTCCCAGATATGATCCAGATTCCTGCAGGAAATACCTCTGCAGTCTTGGGGTCTTGGTGCGGTGCTGGTTCGTCCCCTGTCACTGCTCTTACACTGATCCCCTCTTATAGCTTTGTAATATCAATAAGCCAATGTATATCCCCATTTTTTCCATATAATTAAGCAGAGTCATGTTGAAGCTAAAGTGCACTGAGCTGAGAGATGAAAGAGCAGCCCCTGGTGGGGGAAAGTTTTAGGGTTTGGATAAAGTGGAAGGAAGGGTTATGGTTAAGAATTTTGGAAAGCTATACTCCTATTTCGAGGATGTTTCAGTGCAGTTTGAGAGTGTCTAAGCTTTATTTAATATCACCATGCATTAAACTAAAAGCCCTACCTAACCCTCCCTGATTTGGTTTTTCTTAAGCATTGTATCTAACGTCAGAAAAAACCTCAGGATTCATAAATTTGTTTAGTGATTGCTTTCATGTCCACTGTAGTGATTTACTAGGTACCACGGCTTACAAATAACTACTCCATTAGTGATTTTCCTGTGTGTAAAATGTCCATTTGACATCTTTAAACACCATGTTAAATAGCATAAAACAGTTAAAAGATCAAATGCCCGATGAAAGCATTTTTTGCATTTCCTCTTTAAAAAATAAGCAACTTTATCAGCACAGAAATAGCGCTGATTTATTTTTGGACAATAAGCTGGTTGTTGCAGCTCTACAAGAAACAAGATATCCTAGATTTTCCATCTAAGGCTCTAAGTTTCTGTGTTTTTTATCACAGTGGACCTCTCAGAGGAGAGAAAAATCACATTTCTACAAACGACTTCGACTTTGATTTAAAGCTCCTGCAGGGGTTTCCACAAGTGCTGGCTGCCGGTCAAACAGCCAATCAGTCAAGTTGTAACCCTTTATTCCTGCACATTAAAGAAGCACTCACCTCTGCTTCATATCACAAGGCTGTGCATTAGTGTGTGTCTTTGCCCCCACCTTTTATGCTTAGTGTGTGTGTGTGTGTGAGAGAGAGAGATAGGGAGAAAAAGTGAGGTGGCAGGGCCCACAGTCAAAATGAAACGAAAGACAAGAATAAGATTCTGCAGAGAGAGAGAGACTTGATGCAAAGGATGCTTTGTTCCCATAGCTGACTACTCCATATGTTTGTGGAAAGCCCTGCTCTTGAGATGTGTAATGAGAGGAGGTACCAGTTTGTCCACAGGGGGCGCCAAAATCCTCACAAACTGAAACTGTAAGGTAAAACTTTACAGGTTCTGCAGGAAAAAGTAAAAGTTTCCCTAAGCTAGGGGTGTGTCCCAAATCACATACTTCCATACTAAATACATAGATTTTTCAAATTGAGTATACTAAGCATACTATATACTCAATTGCGCAGTGCGCAAGTTTCGAGGGTGCATTGCTGTCCCAAATCGCATACTTCCATACTAAATACTTAGATTTTTCAAATTGAGTACACTAAGCATACTACATACTCAATTGCGCAGTGCGCGAGTTTCAGGGGTGCAGTGCTGTCCCAAATCGCATACTGCTGTGCGGCGCACTCACTGGAAATGACGACGTGATTTGCCTCATGCCTAAACATTTATTTATGAAAAAATAAGAAATTATTTACATATAAAAAAAATTTAGAACAAGAAAACTAAAGATAACCTATTTGCATATTAAACATTTGGAACTCGGTAACTAAAGATAAACTAATTACAAATCAAGCATTTAAAACTAGAAAGAAACTATTTACAAAAAACTACTTTTTAAATAGATTTTATATAACATAAAAAATTAATATAAAATATAATATAATATAAGATATAAAGGCAACTTATCACTTATATCTGTACAAAGCTCCCAGGTTGACTCTCGCCAACTTACCAGCCATTCTTACCGATGAAATGAGTGCGGGCGAGTGTCCACAGCCGCATACTCAAAACTTGACCGATTTGAGTACGTCATCTGGGTACTTTTGCATACTCAATTTTCGCCTACTATTCATACTTTTTTCCATTTTAAGTTGAGTATACTCAAATTTTAAGTATTTAGTATGGAAGTATGAAAGTCCTACATTTTGATGATAGTTGTACATCATTTGCATGAAGATGTTTGTTTAAAGCTCCTGTGAGCAACTTTTAGTTTGTTTGGTTGTTCGTTTTGGCGCCCCCAGAGGACAAGGCAGTCTTGACTTATCTCATTATGGAAATTCTTAATTGTCTTCGGACAGAAAACTTCGTTCTGTTGACTCTAAACAGAAAAATTTATCATTTGCTATGAAAGCAAAGTAAATGATGGGGATTTGTTGATTTTTAGGATTGAAGATATGTTCAACTTTCACTTTTTACTCAGATGGTTTTCTTGCATACAGGCTGAGCTCACAGAACCAAAAGTGAGAGATACTACTCTCTTAACAACCAAAAGCTATGAATCTTTATATTGTATCACTTTAAAGGCTTAAATATCAGAAAAATGTCGAAGTATCAGAGATCTTTTTTCTACTACTGAAATCTTTTCCATATTGACTCAGAGAGAAACATCTTTGTTGAGTCTGAAAACCTTTGAAGGCCTCCATTATGACCAGGAAATGGATGATGAATCTACAGAGAAATCAGTGAAGACACTGACTAATGAGCAGACTCAATCATGATAATGCCAAAAAAAAAATGGATAAATGATATTCGCACAAACATCATGTGAAGCATCCAAATGAAATCAGAAAAATTCAATACTTAGAGCCACGGAAATCGTTAAAAAAAAAACTTAATTTCCTGAAAAGAAAAAATAAAAACATTTGAACAGATGACTCTAAAGAGATGAAGACTTTGCCAAACCTAAGTCGTCATACAGCTGGCATTGAGCTGGTTTCTTCTTGTGAGCTACTAAAACTCTGTCACAGGCCGTCCACTGAACAGCTTGGGCACATGTCTGGAAGTGAAACAGTATCTGAGTGGTTTTAAGGCAGCGTGTTGACGGGCAGTACATCGCCCTCTCCTCTCATCTGTTCTGCCGTCTCACTGGACGGGGCCGGTCCTCTGCCTCAGACTCTGAGCGGCGATTGGAGATTCCAGGCCGGGCCCTGGAGCCTCCCCCCTCTGACACACTTTCAGCGCTGCACCGCCGGCGTGACTTTCAGTGCTCTCCAAGGGCGGGTAGTGCACCTTCAGGAGAAAACAAACAAATATGGAGGCCGTAGGAGTGCAAGTGTACAGACCCTACTCATTTGACACTCAGTGAGTATTGAGCCTTGGGAACAGTGACATTGTCGGTCTGTGTTGAAGCGATTTGTGTGAGGTTAACATGACTTTTTAACATGGAGGGCTGTGTGCAGGCGGGAAATTCTCCTTGTGCAGTGAGTTTTCTGCTTAAACTGGTGCAAGATAATAAAAGTTGTAACTGCTTGTTTTTGAAGTTTGCAGTGACTTGTTTGTTGGACTTTTGTTAGCAGATATGTAATAAATTTGATCATTTTAGCAAATTTCCCACCTTTTTTAAAATAATTGAAAGGTTTTAATTTATCAAGATGTAAAAATTGAATAGTATTTGCATGTCACTGAGGTTAATGTCATACCATTATTGTCCATTAGGCAGAGCTCTTACCTTCAGTTAATTAACAGCACTAGTGTTGGGGGTGCGTTTGTTTCTGTTTCCTTTAACAGCTCCGTATTTTGACTACACTCCTGCTTCCTCCCTGTCTCTCCTCCTGATGCAGAACATCTCCTCTCCGGTTGCTGTCCAAATATCTAACATGAAAACATCCAACAGCATCAGTACCCCGCTCTGATTGTTGGACTAATAATGAGTTTGATGGAGTAGCTCAGAGAGCAGAATCAGAGGAATCATGAGTTGGGTGGGTGGGGCTCCACAGCACTGAACATCCATTGTTTTGTTTTTTTTTTTGCTTTGAGATACTCACAAACATGCGAGGAGGTGTACACACACACACACACAAAACACACATACGCACAAGAGAAAAAAAGTTAAAAAGGACAAAAGAGCTTTTTATGTGTTCCAGTGGTCTGTTTGGCAAAAAGCCACCATACAGTGGAGAGAGGAAGGGACAGACAGAGAGAGAGAGAGAGAGAGAGAGAGAGAAGTGGAGCTTAATTCATGAACCCACTCGCACACAAAAACACACACGAGTCAATCAGATTATCAGAAATTTATGAAAGAAAATCACGAGATGCTTCTCACCATCACCAACTCACCAGTGATTTCTAACTCGGAGACAATAAAAGAAAAAAAAAAACAGCAGATGTGGACACGCTGGTTTAAAGCATTTTCAAGCTTCGACTTGTACATTTTCATCGTTGCCATCTTGATTTTATGGAGCCAGTTACAGTTACGATGGGTGGATCTAGTGGAAGTTAACGCTGAATTAAGCTGCTGTTCGCATTAGCCGGCTAACTCGGTCAGCAGGATGAATCTGTAATTCATTTAAACTGGGATGCCGTTCAAATAGACTTAAAACAATGTATGACATGAAAAAATTAAAAGCACTCGAAGGAGTCCCCTAAACAACTAACCAACTAATAACTAACTAACTAAGAGGAGCGAGTTACCTTATATGACCTAAAACATCCTGTGAAAGGTACCAATTATTATAATTTAAATTTAAAAATAAACACCCTAAAATATGTTAACTTTGATAATTCAAGGTAGTCAAAAGGTAAGGCTTGATTATTGACTCTAAACCAGACCTGGGCATTTATGTTGCTTTTATTTTGAAAACCTAGTTGTTGTTTTATTTCCGTTTGGACACACGTGTGTACATCCTAGATCTGCATTCGTGAACAGAGACAAGTTTAAACATCGGCAAAATATTCGTATACGCCTTATAGTTGCAAAGTCTGTTTATTATAAAAGAGTTTAAGCTTGTTTCTCTCAGAAGTGGCTTGTAAAACTCGTGAGTCGCGGGTGTGCTTTTTTGGGCTTGTTTTTAACTACTAGCTGCGTATTTGAGCTTGCTTCTCTGTATGTGTGAACCCCTTGAACAGGTTTCTCATGTGGTGCCATGTGAAAATTAATTGCCCACCCCTGCTCCAAACAATCAGACCTATTTTGAACAAGTCATTTGCCCCCTGCTGGTCGTTTAAGATAATGCAGGTTTAAGAAACTTCTGCATTAAGTACTCTTGGAGGACTCAGAGTGTCATATCGTAGTTACTCATTCTCATTAATGGTATAATAGATGTAATTTAAGATATTAATAAAAGCTATTCATGTAAGACTTACAGGTCTTATTTATTAACATAAAGCAAAGATATTTGATATAGAACAAAATCCTTGAATTCATCAGAATCTGTGGCAAAGGCGCTATTGGACCACTCATTTAACTTCTACACTAAGTCGACTTGTTGTGATGTTTCCTCAATGCACATCTTACAAGAATTGATCATGCTTAAAGATGATAATGAAAATGTAGCTCATATATATATTTATGAATAGTAATGTTAATTGGTTTTGTGAACAGCTTCTTGCACCACCAGAAACCACTGATTTGTTTGTATTTTAACAGTATAGGACCCTTTAATTCTAGATTCAATGGTAATTTTAATCTAATATATAGATTTATGTTCGGTTAAGCAGTGTAGAAATCAGGATGTAACTTTGTTTGATGTATTTAGACACATCAATTGTGTCTACGTCTTCTGATGCACCGCTAACTCTTCAAAGGTTTGAGACAGAAACTGGTGTATCCTCTCTTGTGCCTGGAAGCGCTGCTACACTTCAGGTTGTTGTCGTGTTCAGGGTGTTAAAAAATGTGTCGGAGCTCCGAGTGCAGCTGAAAGTGTAAAGACGTTTTAACAGCTGGGACCGAGCCAGAAATACTCTGAGTTTTACTGTAAGACTTAGAAGACGAGTGTCAGAGATGTGTGGGGTAAACTCTGAGGGCAGGAGAGGTGAAGCTGGAGCTTCCTGCGCAGAGATAATTTGCACCCAAGTGTCTTTGAGCTGTTAAATTGAGCAATATTTTTTCTGTACGACTGTACGGAATCTCAAAAAGTAAAATAGGCACACAGAAAAGTTTTCTGTAAATAGTAGAATTTAAACAGTACAGAGTGTGCAGAAACAGAGCCATTACAGTTCTTTGGTTTTCTCTTAATGCTGCTAATATTGCTTTTTTCATTTCGTGCACAAATTAATGTTTTGATGCGGTAAACATCCTGAAGAGCAAAGACAGGTTCAGGCAGAAGACATATTAGGCTGCTACCTGTTTGTACACAAACAAATGAAATATTAACATGCAGGATTTATTACTAAGCACGCCCTGTGCACCCTTAAGCTTTGAAAAACATGTTGACTGCTTTCCCTTCCCCACGAAAACAGTGCCAGAGTCAATATTTTGCTATTTGGTGTTGTTTACATTTTTCTTTGTTAGCTCACAGCCCTCTACACCACCACCATTGTTAAAGCTCCTGTGAGAAGTTTTTATCTGGCTATGAAACAGACCCAATTTTATATGCATGTTTAAATAAGGAGGCCATCAGTGGCAAGAAGTTACTTTTTTACATACCTGTATGAGTCAGATGTGTCAATTAAAACAGACTTTTAATATATTTTATGTTAGAGATTGAACATTAATATTTCTTTATAAAATCAAATGATTATTTACATGTTTTAAAACTGCTATACATTCTAAAGCCGGTGACCAGACCACAGTAACCAGAATATTAGCCACAAATTATGTAATACCAAGAATCAAAACACTGACGGGCAATTTCCGCTGCATCCGGAACAGCTACGAAAAGGCCGTATCTGCTGGTTGTAGCTGATCATAACCATTTAAGTCAATGTGTCAATTTCCACCGGCTTCTTTCCATTCCACTGCTAATCGCCAGACTCCGCAGCTGATCGCAAGAGTTCTGTTTTTTTCCAATCTACTTTTCAATCGACTGCTTATATGGTTAGCTTATGTGGCTAAAGACAACTTGATATTGCGCGATCGCACGTTAAACCGCGGGTTCTTGTGAGTTCTAGCGATTCTTAATGTCCGTAATCCACCACGAAATTCGCCTCACAAACGGATCGGGTAGCAATTGGCGTAATAGCGAAAATCGCTGCCGTTCCGGATCGGAGCCGTTCCGAATGCGGTGGAAATCTCGGGTAATTCAGAAATGAAAAAAACAAAACAATTTAATCTCAATTTTAAGCATTGCTTATTTTGAAAGCATGGTTGATGTCATTACACCATAAACTTTGCTATGCCGGAAGAATACATGACTTATTTTTTCGACAGTATGAATCTGAATGTGTGAAGTAACACAGATGAAGTAGATTAAAAAATTAGTATTTGCTTCTAGTTTGTAGTTTGGTATTGGATGAATTTAAAATACTTAGGAAGGTTCATTTAAGGAATTTACTTGGCTACATTCACCATTTTGAATAAGTGTTTTTTTTTTTCCATGAGTATTAATTCTGACAAAAATGTGCCAATTAATAAATTAGAAATAAAAGACTCAAGTTAAGAGGCAATATTCTTTTAATATAGGTAAGCAGATCCACATGCAGTCTTTATGGTAGCGTTCATTTCTTCTTCTTTTTTTTTTTCAAAAAATTTTTAGCATTTTTTTTGTCTTTTACTCCAAAATAAAATGAAACCACTGTTGTCTCGAAAATTCAAACCCTTGGCAGTGAAGCAGATTAAATAAAGAAAAAAAAAAAGAAATCAAAGGATTCAGCTGTGGCAGTGAAAAAAAAAAATCAACATTAATTCCAGTGACTTTTGTTCGAAACTTACAGGATGAAAGGAAACACACAATCGCCTAAAGTCACATAGACAAAGGAATTATGCATATGAACACTAAATCTGATTCTATGTATTGGAGTAAGTACAAAGAAACAGAAGAAAAGGAGCTGTCGGATTGAGGCTCCCAAACTACTGTACTTTCGGAGAACAAGCTACAGTCTTTGTTTTAGTACAATTCAGTGGTCTAATCTACTATTGATTTATCCAGGATCAATAATCAGTTTAATGGGCTCAGCATTGTCCTCGGGGAATGAATGGGGCCGTTTATATTCTTCTTAAAAAATGAAAGTGCTGGGTGTTATCTCATTCGAGTTTATGTAACGATCAGAAAATGTGGTTTAATTTTACATTGTTGAGTATTTCTGCTCTTGTGCAGAGTTCAGCGGGTGTGGTATCAGACAATGAGATTATACGCAGCGCTGGGGGGAGAATTATGGTATGTTAGGGGCTCAACACCCACCGAAAAAACGCTGTAGACTGAAAAGCTGTGTTTGACTTGGCTGGCTAATTAGTGCGATTACTGCACAGCTGGATTGGCCAGACGTTTTACCGAGTTTTGTCAAAGGGATCACTCACTCCATGAAGACTTCATACCCTCAACTTCTGCTTCAGCAGAGTCTCTCTATTTTAGGACCACTGGGGAGCTGTCTGGGGAGCAGCCGTCTAAATTTAAGAGAGTGGGAAAACTGAAGCAACCTTTTATGTAAACTCTTCCTCTTTTTGTTGAGTTCACGTCTTTCTAATTTGACGAGGAAAAAAAAAAAAGCTTTGTAAGCAAAGTTGGAGCCTCTCCAGAATCATCAGAATCACATCATTCAAAGTTTTATTGTGAATCTAAGCGCAAATCTTGGAATTTATGTGTCCAGGAAATGAATATAAAATGTTTTTCAGGGAATTAGACTTTCACAAACAGCTTCTTTTATGCATTATTTTGTCATAAAAAAATGCTGATCAAAGTTTCCCAGAGCCACGAGGAAGACTCAAAAGGTCGTTATTTGCTGAATAACTAAAATCACAAAGACGTTTTATTTTCTTTGAGGAGAGATGAAGATCTGTTTCCAAAACAAGGCCTAGATAACAGTTTGTTACTAGTTATAAAAATTTTGAATCATTAAAGTGCATCTAACAACAGGGAGGTAAAATAAGATATTCTCTAAAATAATACCTTAATTTTTCTTTTGGCAATATCAAGGGTGGATGTTGCTGAATTCACACTATTTAGCAGATTCATGTTCAAAGCAGTTGTTGTTTAAGGCAGATTAAAGCTCCTGTAAAGAACTTTAGGTGCATGTGAATGTTGGCGCCCCCTATCTATCTATCTATCTATCTATCTATCTATCTATCTATCTATCTATCTATCTATCTATCTATCTATCTATCTATTAGGGGTGGGAGAAAAAATCGATTCATGGAAGTATTGCAATTTTTTTTTCAAATTGATATTTTTGCAAAAAGAAAAAAAAAAAGATTTTTTTTTTTCAAATTAAAGAATAAATTTGAAAAAAATGATCAATAATTGGTTGAAAATAGCCCTGTGAGAAATCCATAGTAAAGTTCTTAAAAAATTAATATAATTTAAAAATTCATGGAGAAGTTCAGAAATTTCATCCAAAAAGAAGAACTTTGGTTAGCACCCTCATTTAAACTATGCATTTTTTTTATATCTTACCTTTTAAAAGAATTGGAATACAGAATCGTTAGGAACTGGAATCAAAACGAGGAATCAGAATCAGAACCAAAATTGTTCAAAATCAAATGATACTTTACCCTGGTAGACAATCATAATCAAGAAAATCGACTTTCGTAGAATTGCAATTTAAGTCAAATCGGCATCCAAAAAAATCGTCGAAGAATCGAGTTTGGAGAAAAACATATTGTCTCAGCCCTATCTATCTATCTATCTATCTATCTATCTATCTATCTATCTATCTATCTATCTATCTATCTATCTATCTATCTATCTATCTATCTATCTATCTATCTATCTATCTATCTATCTATCTATCTATCTGTTGAAGCTCAAAGTTCAGGTTTTCCTTTTGATCTCCACGCCTACACCCACCTTCATGTTCCCGCTTTACGCTGTCTGCCTTTCCTTCATCTTCTACCTTTTTCTCTCCCTCCGCTCCTCCTAATCTCCCCGCTCTCTTCCTCTGCTTTTGCTTGACCTCTCCTTCCTCCTCTGACCTCCCTCTACCCTCTCTCTGTTATCACTCTCTAACTTTACATTCTCTCGTCTGATATCTTTTCTCTCTCTCCCTCTCTCTCTTTCTCTTTCTTCCTCGCAGCAGCCCGTCAGACCAGCACAGCTCCTCCAAGCCCCCGCTGAGCTCCTCGGCCATGACATCACGCATCCTCCTTCGCCAACAGCTGATGCGGGAGCAGCTTCAGGAGCAGGAGCGGAGGGAGCAGCAGAGACAGCAGGCCTCCCATTACCCACAGAGCACCGCGGCACAGACCCCCGCCATCAATGTCAGCGTGCCTGCCAGCTTACCACCTGCTGCACAGGTGCCAATGGAGGTGCTGAAGGTAAAAAATAAATAAAAAATAAAAAAAAAACAGGTTTTTTTGGTAAAGAAAGGAGAAGGAAATGTGTGCGCAACATGTGTGACTAGTCAAGTTTGTTACAGTGTAAAGTTTCCACCTCTGGATTTAGCAGCTACATGTGTCACTTTTGCAGTCAGAGCGACCCATGCAGAGCTGTATTTATAGTTTATTGAGCCGTGAGTGTGTGTGCGTGTGTGTGTGTGTGGACACTCAAGCGATTGTGGTTTTACTACAACTGAGCGTAAAAAAAAAAAAAGAAAAAAGAAAAAAAAATGAGGGGAGTGAGCAAAGTGTGTTAAAATGCGTATATGGGGATTATCTTTCCTGAGAGAATTCCTCTTTAATGCATGCTGTGCTTCCAGCCATTTGGATTTAGCCATCTTTAATCCTATTTGCTCAGCTAGATTCACATCTTTTCATAGCTTTGATTCGCTGGCAGTCTGAGGGACAGGAGACTGTTGAGATTTTCTGTGCGAGCAGAGAGAGAGAGCGTTGTGTATGAGGGCTCATTTTTAACCAGCACTTTTGGTAAGTTTGACTGTTTTTCTGCTCAATTTTTAGAAGAGTTTGTCATTTCCCTGAAACGTTGATATGGAAAGTTTTTATCAGCTGTGTTGGGCGCTGGTGGACATGTGCTGCTTTTTGAGAACTTTTGAGGCCAGACTTTCTTTCTGTGGTATTTAGCGCTCAGTTGTATTAAAAAAAAAATAGTTTCTGATTGTTGTTGGTGAAGTTTGGAAAGTTTTTTTCTTTTTTTTAAACAAGTCGCTTTAACTTGAGTTTCGTATTTGCTCTTTGGAAATTTTGAAGTTGATGTAAATGTTTGTCAAGTTCGACTTGGTGGCGGCACATGTGCTTTTTATACGCTTGTCTATATCTACTAAGATTGTCCCTTGTGGTGTAGCCCTCTTTTTTGTTTTTTGAGACCTTTTTAAAGAGTGTGGACACTTTATAGAAAACTTTATATGACTTGATTTGTTCGTTTTTCACTTTCAAGATGATATCTACAAGTTCATACTTGGCGCGAGACAAATCAAGCTTGAATTCTGTGTCAAATTAGTGTTAGTCGCGTAGTAATTGCTTCCTTTTGGAAAGAACAAACAAGGATTTTTTAATGCATAACCAAGAGGAAATCAAATCAAATTAAAAAACAACGCTATCCGAGCTTTTTAGCGGACTGCAGATCATAGTTTGGACCCCTTACTGTAACGCTGTGATCAATCAGTGTGAAGTAATGATTTCTTAGAGCTGTTGAATAATCTCTGTTTAACCAAATCCATCAACAATACATTCAGAGCTTTCATGGCCGCTTGCTCAGCCACACTTTCAGCACCCTGGATGTGTGTGGCAGCAGCAGCAGCAGCGGCGCAGGACAAATACAGTATATCCATTGAAAACACTTCCCTCCTCATGCAGCATAAACATTACTTGCTCCCCATAATCTGCAGCTCTTTGAGAGGTTTAGGACGCCCCCCAGCCCCAAACCCCTCAGCCCTCAGCGTACAATACAACAAGTTAGAGTAATGTTACTGCTTTGGCCGGAGCTTACAGACATTCTTCATTGACTGAAGCCCTCAAATGAAAAGGCCGTTCCAGCTTGGCGCTGTTGAGCTGGGTTAACCTGCTCTCCTGTCTGTGGGTAGATTAGCACAGTCCACACACAGCTCAGGGGTACCAGGCAGAGCTGCTGGACCTCAAAAAGTGCAAACATTAAGCTCAGATGAGTTTATCTAAAGACTGATTGGACCCTTAATTAACCAAGTGACCTCTGACCTTCTGGAGAATAAGTAAGGGATCAGTTTAGGGATCAAGACAAAGGCGAGCACAGCCTTACCACACACCAAACGCTAATTCAGTGAAGAATGCTCGTAATTAGCTCCCACTGCTTTCATTCCACGGCATATTTAAGAGAAAAAAACACAGCTTTGAAATTTGTGTAGGATAACTTCCTAAAAGGGTTAAAAAATGATTTGTAGAATTTTTTCTTTTTTTTCAAAGGATTTATGCTGCCATGAAAAGAACAAAGTGCCCGTCAAACCCCAAAGCACAAATTGTACGTTTCTTTTGGATTATACAATGAGTTGAGCTCGTGACTGGTATGCATCAGAAAGTATGCAACGATTTTTTAATTCACGTAACAAGACGTTCGATTAATGTGTGGACATTTTTTGTTCTGAACTAAAGGAAGAGGTTGCAGTTTATTTGTCTTTTTAACACATATTTGGAGCCAGTGTTATCATTACAGACATCTCTAAACAGTCAATAAATTATCTAACAAACAAACAACTTCAGATATGAACAAGAAAAAAAGGTCGTCAACACTGACAAAAAAATAAATAAATAAAAAAAGATTAGATAGAGTCAAATCTTTAGGCAAAAATACACTAACTTTGAGTATTTAAAGCTCTGTGACTTCGACTTAGCTGGTTGTTATGTCTGTAACTCTGTAAATGTATTGCTGCCTTCAATCACAGTGAGGATTTCCTGGTTAAATCAAGTTTCATACATTCATTCATTTCATTCCTTTTTTGAAACTTTTGGGTTGTCTTTTTTTAGGCGCCCCCTGTGGTCAAACTTTGTAAGTAATTTTTCTGATGAGAAGCCTCGCTTTTTAACACTCCTCCTGCGTTAGGGTCTGCACCGTCCCGTTATTGTCTTTAAATTCTCAACTCAGCTAAACTCAACTTTATTTGTAAAGCACTTTAAAACAACCCCAGCTGAACAAAGTGCTGTACATAAATAGACAAAACAACGCAGACATAGAAACAATCAAAAAATAATTAAAACAATGGACAAAATAAAAGCAGATATTAAAAAGTAAAATATAGTTTCAAAGTTTTTAAAAACTAATTTAAAATCATAGAAACAAATAACTAAAAACAAACCATAAAACACCAAAACAGGAGCCTCATACAGGGTTGAAAGCCAATGAATAAAAATGTTTTTTTTGCATCAGGACTTTTTGACTTTGTCAGGAAACTCTATATCAAAAAATAAAAATAAAAAATTTAATTAACTAAATTATAAAATGCTCTTATTAAAATTATGGCACTTGTCGTGTTCAGGTCGCTGTTGACCAGGTTAGATTTATATCTAGTGATTTTAGTTTTGAGCAAAAACTAAAATCACAAGTGCACTGACAGTCACCACACTGACAGTCAGATCCTCTTCCAATCATGTGAGATTTAGGAAATTCTCATTTTGCCGTTTTTTTCTCTGTACAAAAAACAACATCAGGCATGTCCAGACATGTGAGATCAATTCAGTATTAATGTCTTTGTGAGGGGTATACTGACAAAGAAAGGCCCAGAGGCCCACAACGAAAAATATTTTAAGCAATATTTTCATGGATAATGAAGCCTAACAAGGTAACCTAGAGATAAGAACCAAATTGGATGATAGAGAATTATTTTTAGTGTGATTTACAGCTGATTTAAGACACGGGTTGAAACCAACCCTTAACATAGTGGGTGCATTGAAAAAGCTAACACAGGAGGAAAGTTAAAATCTTATTTTGCTTAATGTGTTTATAATAATAAATTTTTGACATGCAGTTTAAAAAAAATGTCTGCTCCGTTTCCTGTAACACGGCTGACTGGCTTATAAAATATTAGTTGTAGTCGTTTATTCAGTCATGACAACACCAAATATTGTACACAATATTGACATTTCACACAAAATCACTCAATCAAGAATCATGTGTTGAATATTGACTGAGGAGTCATAGGCAGAAGCAGACTGCTTATAAATGCCTAGCCTGTATTGTCACTTTTTTAGGCTACCGACCTCCAGAAAAGCAAAGAAACCACAACAACAGATAATTAACTGCACTTATAAGCTTCAAAAATAGCTTTACAAACCATTTTCTTAAAAAACAAAAAAAGAATGACGTTTTTAGATTTATGTTGGCATCATTCAAGCATTTAACTCCAGTCGTAAATAACTATAGAAATAAAATTGTAGAAATACGATAAAAATAACTAAAGTAGTGAGATTTTTTTGGTGGTTTTGTAAGCTTTTTTAGTTTGTTTGAAGTCATCTAGTCTGTTTTAGGACCAGCTGAAAACTCCTTACAGGAGCTTTAACAGGAGCAAACGTAAACAGCACCATAAATCATGACCCTCCTCCTTTATATATGCCAAAGCTTCATATAATCATGTACTAAATTTAGCTATTATCAGGAAGGCAAAACAGCTGCTCATAATTCAAACACAGAATTAAAGTTTGTATTTCAGCTGCTTTTGGCCAAACTTTTGCATAACGCCAAGTCAGAGTTGGAGAAGTCCACAGGTGGCTGTGAAGTTGTAGGTGCTCACATTAGCATCACAGTTGTTGTCTGCAGCCTCCACAGAGCACATTAGCAGCTTAACTGCGAGACAAAGTGGCCTATTCTTCCAGCCCTGCGTTGCAAATGAGGGCATTCTTGTGAATGTATCCTGGTCAGACCATCGTGGAATGCCCAGAGCACGCAAGTTAAAACAAATACCATAGAGTGTCTTCTCCAAGTACAGCAGGAAGCTTTGTGCACTTTGCGAATCTTTGGGTGGGGGGGGTTCTTTTGCGAATGTCCGTGGGGATGTCGACGGCTAAAAAAGCGAGAGACTAAACAAGTAGCTGTGTTGTTTGACGGCGCTGTGAGTTAAGTTGGCAGAGTGTATTTTAGAAAGAGGACATGGAGGGAAGTTTGGTAAAGTAAAGGTCAAGTGGAAGATGTCTGTGTAATTTACTGTGCTGCCCCTTTAAATAGAGTTTAAGATGTATCACAGAGGATGCTTATAGATTTATGGCCAACGTGTCTCGGCTCCTTGTACATATGTTATAGAGACAAAGCCCCTGTATGAGTCCAGTGTCTGTTAATGTGTCCACACTGTGTACTCACCATGAAAAGGAATCTGTTTCACACTCCCCGCTCTTTAAAAACAGATACTCTTCTACCCTCAGACCAGCTCATCACAACAAAAGCTGCAGTATGTACTGACAAGGCCGAGACGTTCCACCCTGAAGCCTGCAGCCCCCGAGGTCCCTCAGTGAACTCAGCGCAATGAGATCATCTAATTATGTGTGATAATTTAGGAAATCCCTGAGGACAGAGAGGAGCTCGTCAAAAAAACACTGACGCTTGTTCGAATCTAAACAAAACCAACAGATTTCAGCTGCTTTAACACATGAAAGATCTTTTTAATCTACGCATTAACTCAACAATTAGTCGAATTTCAGGGCTGTAATGATTGAGTATACAAACATAATCAATCAGATGATTAACTTTTTTTGTTGCGTGCTTCTTTTTAGATGTATTTTCTCAAATCGGTCAATATTTAAGAACACATGTTTGACTTGCTGCAACCAACAACTTCTATTATCAATTTTTTCGCTTAATGTTTGCATGGACGATCAATTTAAGGCTTCGATCTGATCTGTAAAATTAGGTTAGAAAATTGTGAAATAGCTGTTTTACAGTCTCCTAAGGCCTTGCTTGACCTCTTCAAATCGCTTGTTCCGCTTTACCAAAAACACCAAAACATTTGATATTTGACTTTTTAAGGTGCCAGAAGTTTGCCGAAGAAGATGAGGATGCGTGTGCCTCATAAAGATTTTATCAATGCATGTCCACATTATCATTTTTTAGTAGACTCATCTATTTTCTCAATTTTACAGACTAAAATCCAACTGTTGCGTCTGCTGTAGTATTTCATTTTTAATCCACAACTTTTTTTTTCCTCGCTTTTCTCGCCCTTAATGACCTCTTTGTTTCCATCCTGAGTGTTGGAGAATAAGAGAGAGAGACAGTGTATGAAGTCCCCGCAGTAATCCTTTGTTTCTAATTTTAGACAGTGACAGCTCTCACCTCTTTCAACAGAGGAGAACACATATAGAAAGACTGTGTCGGTGCATGTATGCAGGTATGCGTGCAGGGCCGGCAGTATTGGTTTCCTGCCTGACTGTCTGTCTGGGACACCAAAGAGAACAAGAGGTGAATCAAAGAGGGGTTGTGAGATAATCAGCAGAGGAGGAAAGTAGGAAAGTTGAGTCTTTGCAGTCAAAGATGTGGAAGTGTAACCTGCAAAAGAGACAAAAATTACAGGATATCAGGAATCACTGGGATGCTGTTTAAACAAGCGAGAGCGTAGACATCAGCAAGGAACAACCATCAGATTTATAACATAAGGTATGAAAATTTACTGTTTACTGTTACAACTATTGGCTTTAGGGCAACATTGGACTCAGAAACAAACCTTTGATTTTTGCGGATTAATCCTTTAATTTATCGACAATTGTGTGATTATAATAGGCACGTGTTAAATATCTTTAATATTCTTTAAACCAGTAATAAAAAAGTAAAAACAGTAAACAAAGACAAAGAAATCAGACACCAGAGCGTCCTCTACAAACTACCAAACTTCAACTAAACAATGATCTTTTTTTTTTTTTTTTTTTAACACAACCCAACAAACACAACCTTCAGGCTTATTAAAAAAGCAAGAGTGTCGGAAACACACTCTTGTCACACTTTTGGCGACCAGCTGTAACAAAATGAAAAAATAGTTCCCACAAAGAGGACAGCACACTCTGTAATCCTCGAGGTCAGAGGGGATGAAGGCTGGAACCAACCCGATGAGACAGACAGGATTGACTGCTTCATGTATGTTGTTACACCAGTCAAAGGGGAACCCAGCCTAATTGGACATGTAGACCTTTTTTAGATTTATATGACTTACTTTGATATTTATGTCTTTAAAGGAAAAATACAGAATTAGTTTATGATCTTGTCTCTATTTGGATAGAAGAGTTTTAAGGCAAGGGATTAGAGAACAATGAGACAAGGACTTTTTTCGGTTTGCACTTTTAAAAAAAGTTAAAATTTTAAAAGAAAAAGTCAAAATACAATTTCAAGAAAAAAAAAAAATGACAAATTGAATGACAACTTAAAAGTGGTAATGTCACACTCCTGTGTTCAAGCATCTTCTGTATTTTGTATTTTCATTGCGCCGCAGTTCATCGCTGTTTTGATTCTGATGGTGCGTTCGAGTTACCTCGGAAGTCAGAAGTCCGAGCTGAAAATTACATCACACCCGAGTTACTAGCGTTTCATGTACTAAGTCGGAAAAAAGCAAGATGAAAGCAAGAAAACAAGATGGCTACATCTACGAAAGTTATTTTAGCGCTTGCCTCGTTGGAATATAAGGCAATTTTCGTCGATGTAGCCATCTTGTTTCCACCTCCAATTTGGCTTTTTGCCAACTTGGTTATTGAAACGTTGGCAACTCGGGTGTGATGTCATTTTCAGCACCGACACCTGACTTCTGAGGTAACTTGAACGCACCACAAGTCTTAAAAGATGCTACTCGTGTGACAGGAAAGAGAAAAGGCTTCCTTGTAAAATAATGCTGTGTCCGAAATGAATCACTCAGTCCCTAACCCCTAACCCCCATATGGGGTTTCACTATATAGTTGACTATGTAGTGAGCTCAATCACAGGAGGTTTCGGACACTACATGGCAAGACGCAATGCATGGCGGGATGCCCACCACTGGTGAGTGACCATCAGATGGTCACTACATTTTGCAATGCTCTATGGAAAATTTTGAGTCACTCAGGTTTCTGACACCCCTCAAAATGGCGCTAACCCCCATATAGTCGCCTATATAGGGATTGAGTGATCCATTTGGGACACAGCCTAAAGCTATTGGTTCCTTAACAGATGTAAACCATTGTTGCCTTGGTAACAGGTTAAAGTAGGAAGCTTCTGTTTTCATTGACCTAAAACTTTGATTACATGAGAACAAAAGGCAGAAAAAAACGTGTTAATTTAAAAGTATTCAAATGTTTAATCAGTTTCATTCTTAAACCACTGGAAACAAAACTTCTATAAGGTTCCTGGAAGTAAACATAAATCTATCAGTTCCTTAGATAAGCAATAACCCAGACTCGTAAACATGTTTTAAAGAGCCACAGTGGTAAATGACGACAGTTCACACAGTCTGTACAGTTCCTCTCTGTCTTTGCTGCTTTATTTTAGCCAGCTGCTCAGATTATAAAAATATGTTATATTTTAAAACTGGTGGGAAAAAAATTTGTTCACATTTTGGTGAACAATCATGAATGGCCTAAATTGTATAAGCCAGGCTGCATGTGCTAGTTTGAGTCTTAACAGAGCAGAATGACGGACAGTGCGGACATTTCTTTTTGTTGCAAAGGTCACGAAAGGTTGAGTGTTTACAAGTCAGAGAAGCAATACAGAGAAACTTCTGAAATTTTCCTGTTAAACATGATTTTTCACTTTTGAGAAGTTTATTTCAGACTTGTTCTTTTGCTGAAAATTGAGTTTCAACTTTTTCTCAAAATTTGGACTTTATTCAGAACATTTTGTGAGTTTTTAGTGGCAAAACAAAAACCCTCTTCTGATGTATTTTTCCTCATCTTTGGCCCAAATACTCTTGTGTAAGTTTCCCCTCTCTCTGTAAGCATTGAGGAGCGCAGATACAATCTATTTAGGTTCACTCTCACTTCCTCGCTTCTCTGATTGTTTTCATTTTGATCCACATATAGGATCACTTCTTCATTACTGTCCTTTTCACCGACACTTCACACAGATTTAGGAAAAGGTTAGTGGAAAAGAATGGAGCAACCATGACTTTAAGTTAAAGTTACTGTCAGTCTAAAAAAAAACATGCAAACTTAAAAAAAAAAAGTTTACTTTCATTCAGTTTAGGTTTTGAAATCAGCTGCACATAACCTTCCTAATGTGCTCAGTCAATATGGATCAATTTTGTTATCCTTAAGTGTGGATTTGGCTTAAACAAAACATCTGAACTGTTACAGAATATAGAGAAACGTTAGAGACTGACAAACAAAATAGATTTCTGATTCATCATGCAGATAAATGAGCACCTGAGGAGCACAGAAACAATAAATCAACCACCAGATAGATGATTTGCAACTATTTTAAAAGTCGTGAAAGTATTTTAGGGGTTTCTTACTTAACATGCACGATCCCTCAAGCTGTTAGAGTGACTTTTTCCGATTTTCTTCATGTTTTGTGACATAATACAGATATTTGTATGTTTTTGACAGTTTCTCAGATAAGAATGACCCCAAAGCAATAAATCAAAATGTTTAAAAACTGACTTAATCAAGATACTTTATAAGACTCCAGCTGATGTGCACCCTTTCATCTCCAAATGGAGCTAAAATTAGCGGCGGTTTAGCTGTTGAATGAAACAGTTAAGTAGCATTCACGGCTGTTTACCCATTTCAACACAATAACAACAAAATAATTGGATTGATTATTTGTGGCTCAAGTATTTCCTTCAGGATTAGGTTTCTAAATACTCTGCTGCCCTTTACACGCATTCAGTCTATTTTCAGGACCAGCGTCACTGTGGTCGATTACGTGAAAGCGTTGCATTTTTGGGATAAAGTTGTGCCTGTGTGCTGCAGCGGACTGACGATCTGATAAAGAGTGGAAGTGATGCTGTAGCTTTTATCAGTTATTGTATGACACTACTATCAATTAAAGACTATTATAAGAACAAAGCGGAGTTTGAAGGGGTCTATAAGTGAGCAGATCTAATGAATCATTGTTCCGCACTTTAGCACAAAGCGGCATTGACGTGCTGTCTGTATGTTTTTACCCCCCTCGGTGGTGTCAGCTTTACGGCCCTGTAACGACGATTTACAACCTCAGGTGATCTCAGTCATACCTGAGGGATATATGTTAATGTTCCTCTCACATGAGCATCTTCTGCAGGACAATGATTATGTCTGTGAGCATGAAGGGGAGAGACTGTGAAAGAGTTCCTGTTCTGCTGCTGCTGCGGAGGGGTCATTTTGACAGTCAGGGGAAGACATCTCTGCCGGATGTAGATGTGAATTTATCAAAAAGTGCAAACACACAGGAGACAGGTGTAAAAAGTTTGTAGAAAGTTGTCATTTGCAGGAAATTTAAAGCTGTCTTTGCATGATTTTAAACATATGTTTTGCAAGATTATGCAACTTTGTTAATCAATTTGCATAAATCGGCTAGTAATAATACAGTTAAATGCAATTTTTCCTCTTTATAAAAATGTAAAATGTAAATATTCTTTATCTATACAGCCCTTTACAAGTGCTTTACAATGCATAGAAAATAAAAACGAATAAATTAAAACAATAAAAGCAATAAAAAAAGAGCAAGATACAATGCAATATTAAAAATAAATAGGTTTTTAATCGGGATTTTAACAGGCCCATGTCAGAAATAAGTCTAACTTCAGTTCGGAGCTTATTTTAAAGCCTGGGACCAGCATATGCAAAGGCTTGGTCACCCCAGTGTTTGTGTTTTGACCTGGGCACCTCCAGCAGAAGTTGATTTGACGACCTCAGAGCTCTACCTGGCCCCCCAAAGAGGCCGTTAAGAGCTTTAAAAACAAACATTAAAAGTTTAAAAGCAATTCTAAAAGAAACACTCATGTCTATTAGTCCTACTTGTTTGAAGTTGCTGTAAGGAGTCAATCATTTGATAAATCTGTTCAATAAGCAGAGCCTTTCAGCTGTCTGCTGCACAACGCAGACTTAAGCATATTTCACAGAAGCAGAGGAAATTTCGAGGTAGCTTAAGGTTGGTCTACCGCCGGTGACCTCCGCAGCTCCGTTAATGAAGCTAAATCCTCTGAGCTTAAGCAGAACAAATACATCAACTTAAAAAATGAAGTTATTCATCACTTCCAAGACAGAGTGCTTGTTGTTCCTGCTTTGAAATGTCATTTAGAGACACGACCTGCAGACGAAAAAAGATGTTACAGATTGTATTTAATTCGATTTTAAGGGGCTTAATGTGCGTGCAGTAATGTTTCCAAAGCATTAGCGCTGTTAAATGCACAGTGCTGGAGTGGGAACACACACTTAGCATCCACAGGGTTAAAAAAAAAGAAAAAAAAAGTGGATGCGACTAACAGATAGCCCCGGGCAGGTTTCAGTAAAAGGGGCGGCCTTCTAAAACAAAGGCACATAGTGTTGGCCCCACATCCTGACATCAAGTGATACACCATAAAGGAATAAATTCAGATTTTACATAAAACAACACAAATCTGAAAAAGCTCATTGTGCTGCGCTGAGATTCCCTGACATGCATAACTAATGACTTTTTCTTGCCTTTTAAAAGATGAGCCTGGATGTGTCTGTCCTCAAACTAGCAGGCTCAGTCTCTCCTGCTGCATCCAAGAGGGAAGCAGCAGCCGCGCAGCTTCCATTAGACAGACTTTTTACATGCTTTATTTTTTTTTATTTGTAACTAGAAAAGTCGCTTTTACTGTTTCACGATGCTTGAGATGCTCGGATACCATCATTACGAGGTATGTCTAAAATCAAAGTTATCTATTTTACAGAGAGATGCGTCTTTATATCCATGGGAATATTACAGCATGCGACTTAATTCTACATGCTTTAGTATCTTAAAGACGAATTTATGCCTTCAACTGCAACTTAATGCATCTTTGTTTGGATTCACACTTCCCATTGTGCCTCATTTTTATATCTGCTGATCAGATTTCATTCAATAACTTAAATGGTTTAAATATGTGCTTTAAGGAAACAGCTCTGCCTCTTTTTTGAACATTTTACACCCTTACGATTTTTGTTTTTTAAGTTTATTTGTCTGCAAAAGCTTCTGCAGGATCATCAGTGCTCCGTGAAGGATTAATTATCCGCAGCAATCAGACTCATCCATATCCAGGGAGTGCAAAGACAGGGGTGTGAATGTTAATTTTCATGCCTAAATTATGTGGACTGCATGTGAAGAGAAGCAGAAAGCAGAGATGTTTTTCTCCACTGAGACTCTTTTGAAATAACCACATTTGACAGCGTCTCAAGGAAATGCATAATGCAGCGAAAGGCTTTGAAATCTGCGCCGAGTTTATTTTGATATTAAAGTCACAACTTTGCAATACTGAAGACAGGCAAGACTTTGAGGTATATTTAGAGTCTTTTTATCTAATAAAAGACCACGCTGCCTGCAAAAAAAATCCTAAAATGTGACTGCAAGAATAACACAGCTGGATTCGTTTCATAAACTCCTCTTCCTCACTCATGTTTTGTCATGTTTTAGGCTGTGGTGCACACTAATGTGATTAATTTCACATAAAGCAGCATTTTTCCTATTTTTATATTCTTCTGTCCTCCTTCTCACTCTTGTCTTCATTTCATTTTTACACCTAAAGGTCCAGACTCACCTGGAGAACCCGACCAAGTACCACATCCAGCGCTCCCAGCAGCAGCAGGTGAAGAGGTACCTGGGAAAGCTTGGCTCTCAGGCATTGAGCTTGCCCTGCCCCAACCAGTCCTCTGACCACGGGGGCATGCCGCCAGGGCCGGGCAACAGCGCCCCCAACAGCCCTATGGCCTTACTGACCCTGAACTCTAACTGCGAGAAAGAGGTGAGCTCTTGTTCAGGCGTGTTTCTTTAAGTGACACTTCATTAATGCAGTAATACTCATGTGTGATTTTTTTTTTTCCTTTGCTGTAGATGGATGATGTCATTGACGACATTATTAGTCTGGAGTCCAGTTACAGTGATGACATCCTCGGCCTGATGGACCCAGGACTTCAGATGGCGAACACGGTGTGTGTTTGTGTGTTTGCTTTTGTCAAAGCATCCTCAACACAGAGTCTGTACACAGACAAAGAGCCTCCCTGTTTCCAAAGGTCATAACACAAGGGTTGTTTTTATGCGTTAAGAGAAAAAAAAAACATCTACATTTATTTTAAACCCTGAATGGTACCATTGAAAAAACAAAATGTCAAGCTTGTGCTTTTGCCTTTGCTGCTCGCTTAGTTTGCTGCAGTAAATTTAAAATTAAAATAAGCTCGGCTGCCTTTTCAGGAGGGGTTACAGACCCCAGCTGTGGTTTCACAAATTGAAAGAAATCATTTGCAGTCCTCTCTTTTCTTGTCACTCAGAGATGGTTTGATAACCAGCAGAGACTCGAAGAAATCCCTGCACCTGGCTGAGAATCACTCGTCTTAAAAGCACAAATTTTTGTGTTTGAGGATTAAACAAATAAAAAAAAAACAGTTGTTAATGAGAATTAATTAGCTGTTGTGCCAGACTGGCTTTCTGTTTTGATGCTAAGTAAGGCTAAGTTGAGTGGTAGCTGGTGGTGGCCACACAAAAAAGGTTAGAATTCTTAGTAAAAAATCAGAATTTAAAAATGTTGAACTATTCTTTTAACTCGATTTGATTCAATTTTATTTAGATTACCATTAGCTAACATACCTGGTGGCAACTACTCTTCCTTGGGTCCATTAAAAAGTCACATAAAATAATCAAACACATGTAAAATGAAACTAAACTTCCAAATAATATGAAAAGCTACAAAGTAAAAAAATAAAATAAGATAAATAGATAAATAAAATTCTAAAAAGATCAAATAAAAAATAAAATTTTAAAAAGATTTAAGAAATTAAAAAATATAAATAAATATGTAAAACTTTAAAAAGATAATAAATAAATAAATAAATACAATTTAAAAAAGATTAAAAAATAAAAATAAATAAATAAATACAATTCAAATAAGATTTTAAAAAATTAAAAATAAATAAATAAAATTAAAAAAAGATTTAAAAAATAAATAACATTTTGAAAAGATTAAAAAAAAATAGAAATAATTAAATAAAATTTAAAAAAAGAGAAATAATTATAATAGGCTACTTTTGTGTCCAAACTCTTTCCATAATTCTTATTGTGTGGCTGTGATAGCTGCTTGATGTCTGCGCTGTGTGTCCTCAGATCGCTGTTCCTGCCAACCTCATGGACATGTATGGTAACCAGGGAATGTCCCAGCAAGGTCTGCCCATCAGCAACTCCTGCCCTGCCAACCTGCCCAACATCAAAAGGGAATACTCTGGTAAGAAAAGACTCATGAACACTTTGTACATAATGATCAGACAGTGAAAACGACAGGAATGGCTAAATTAATGGAAGACTAAAACTATGAAGGAGACGCTCTTGATAAATACTTAAAAATGGAACAAAGTGAGTACAGTGAAGTCAAAAACATATGTAGAAAACAAGTAGGTGTTTAGTTTTAAATGTCCTCAGAGCTTACTGTTCGATCCTCTGTCCTCTCTGAGTCTTTTAAAAGTTCAAACGTGTTTTCACAAACAAGAAAGCCACACATAACTCCCTCAGAAACACGCCGCTCCGGTTGTAAAAACAGATTTTCCCTCCAAGGTGGAACATCTGACCAGACAAGGGAAAGTTTCTGTTTAAGATAGAAATGACCCAGCGAGACCTAGCTTACCAAAGACCTTATATTGTACCGAACAAAACCACTCATAACTTGATCTTTTACGCCTAATTAGCAGTTCTTTTTTGTCTCTTAAGATTAGTTTGTGTAACTTTGAAAACTGGAGATTTATGATGAAGGAGAAGTTAAAACAACAATATGTTCACTACCATATTTTTCCAACACATCTCTAATTCTTCTTCTTTTTTCTTCTTTGTGTTGTTTTATCGTTTAGTGTCGCAGTCCCCAGCCATCATGCACATGCTGGATAAGTCGGGATCCTGCGGCAAATTCGACAACTATCAAAGGCCCGAAGGGTTCCCCGTGGGTACGTGTGGTTAGCTTGCCGCGTGTTCTCGACGCCTCCTCTGCAATGATTTGTTGTATTCGATTGATTGATCTAAATGTTTCTTCTAGAAGCAGAGGTAAGAGCAATGGCAAAGGAGAGGCAGAAGAAAGACAACCACAATCTGAGTGAGTTTAAAGTGAACTAAAACTCCATAAATGCACATGTTAAAAGAAAGTACTTAAACTTCTTTATTATTGGCGTGGTTTTATTTATAATTCTCATGAATCGTTTTCTTTTTTTCATCTGTAGTTGAAAGAAGACGACGGTTCAACATCAACGATAGAATCAAGGAATTGGGAACTTTGATTCCTAAATCAAATGACCCGTGAGTAATCCCCTTTTGATTTAATATTAGCTGGAAAAAAATGTGTAATTACATTGCTGAAAAGACACCCTTTACTAATTTGATTAAAATGAAAAACACAGATCAAGTTCTGTGTAAGAAAATGTATCCTAAAGTTCAGCTGAAGCTAATATGAGGTTTCAGCCATCGAAATTAATCAAATCAAGTAACCATGCTCCACAGTTGCAGTCTTGGATCGTGTAAAAACCGCTTCTTTGTGATAAAGAGATTGCTGTCCCTCGAGACACACAGGGATATGTTGTACGAAAAAGACTGTAAAGCCTGAAGTGAACTATCTCATATTAAATCCTCCCATTGGCTTCAGTTGATCTCTCGTTTCCTCCATGTGAGACTTGTTTTCGACAGATATCCGAGGGGTGTGAACTTCGGCGAGGCTCGGTTGATTTCACAGGCTTCAAAGAAGAGTCATAAAATATGTGAAAAGATGAAATATAGAAGTCGGTTGCACATGAACTGATTACAATCATCTTTAGAGAAAATCTGTGCAGACTAACCCGCATGCTCCGAGGTCAGAGGAGACACTTTTCTGTGAGTCCCTGACCCACGACCTTCTAGAGGTTCAGGAGAAATCCCTGCAGCCCTCCTTTTGTTGTGTCTACCCACCCGAGGCTGTTTTGCTAAACCCCAGCTGGGCTCTCCACCCACATATACGCCTCCACACACACACACACACACACTTACTCAAAGGAGCTGATTTCTTTTCAACCACTAACATCAGTCATTCTTAAAGTGACACATATACTCACCAGGATTCAAAATTCATTTGTTTGTGAAATTCTGTTAAAATATTCATGAAACTCCAAACATAATCACGATTTAACAAATCCTACGTCCTGAGGGCATCTGACCACGTCGAACCCGGAGTCATAACCCCTCTCAGACAGAGACAAGTGAGACATTTGCTCTGTAACATTTCGCCGGTTAAAAATAGATCATTTCCCCCTCTGGAAAACTTCCACTGCAACCTTTTCTCTGTCAGGATGTTCAGGGTTATCCTTATGACTCCTTGTGATATGAGTCCAGGGCAGGAGTCAGTCGTGCAGAAGCACTCGGCCTCTTGTCTGCTGCTCCACCTCTGTGACCTTCTCATTAATCTTCTCTATCTGTGTGGAGCTGGATGAGTGGTCCATTGTAGCCCTGGTCAGATTCGTCTAAACTAGTTTGTGTTTCTGGAAACTGGTGAAGTAAAAGCGAACCCCTCTGATTTTCAGGGACATGCGCTGGAACAAAGGCACCATCCTGAAGGCCTCGGTGGACTACATCAGGAAGCTGCAGAGGGAACAGCTGAGGACCAAGGAGCTGGAGAGTCGCCAGAAGAAGCTGGAGCACGCCAATCGACACCTGATGTTGAGGATACAGGTACACCGTTTTTCGCAGCTTTGTTTGTTGAGATTTCATAATCACACAAATAGATATAATAAATGTGTTAAGAACAGACAACAACCAGAACTAAACAGGACATGGAGGGACAGCTGTTCACACCAACACCAGCTGAGAAACATTGATTGAACACACTGAGTTTGTCAGTGAGGAATAAAAAACCTCTGAATGTTTGTTCGAAGAAAAAGGATCAGTCATTCACAGAAGCGGATTTAAACCGAAAAAGTCAATAAACCATTTCCTAGAGTAAACTCAGCCTTCCTAAAAACGCTCCAATATGATTTAATCCGGTCAAAAATACGAGGTTTTGATGCTTAGACTGAAGAACCGGCCGATAGTGATACACTTCAGACACCTTATGTGTGAAAAATATGTGCAAAGAAGTGGTGGAAAAACTCTTAAAGGGATATTTCTGTATTTTTTAAGTGTTGTTGTAAGAGTTGCATGAAACTAATAAGTGCAGTCAGCTTTGCCCCAGCAGAAACACAACAGTAGGTATGCAAATCCTGCTAATTTAGAGAGACTTTGATCCAAACACTCATCTCGATTCAAGTGTGCACTCTACTGTGATTTCTTTCTGTGTGTTAGATGTGTTTTTGCTCTCTTAAAGGGATATTCTGGTACAAATAATGCTCAGAACAGCACCTAACTTCATCAACAGTACATATAGGGTCCCAGACACATCTTTAAATTTGCCTAATTTCTTTAGTTAAGAGACGAAACACAACTCACCTACTCTCCTCCAGCAGCCGCTTGTTTGTAGCGAGACCTCAGGCCAGTACATTACGGACTTCAGAGGGACGACGCAGCTCAAGGAAGAACATTTATGATCATTTCTTCATGGAAATCAATCAGATCAAGACGAGGCAGAAGAACTACTGCATCTGCAGTGCAAAATGATTAAAATGGTGATTATTACTTCAAGAAAATGATAAAGAAATGGTCATAAATGTTCTTCCTTGAGCTGCGTCACCCCGCTGTTGTCCATAATGGACTGGCCTGAGGTCTCGTTACAAACAAGCAGCTGCTGGTAGAGAGTAGGTGAGTTGTGTTTAGTCTCTTTGCTAAGGAAATAAGGCAAAGTTAAAAAGATGTGGCTAGTGCTATAGCTGGGACCCTATATGTACTGTTGATTATTTGTGGCTATAGAGTGGCGTTTTGGTTGAGGTTTGTTTATGGCTCCTCAGACCGCTGTGTATTGCTATCCTGTGGTCGTTACTGAAGTTGATATAACTAGAGAAGCAAGCAGTTGGCAACATTCATCTCTCGAGGGGGTGTCTAACTCGGTGTTACGGTGTGTTTGACCCTAAATTAATTTTACACTGGAATATCCCTTTAACACCCTTTGCTGGCAGCATATTGTACTTTGGAGACAGATACTGAGACTTTTAGAGGGAGAAGGCTGGACCACCACTAGTGCAAGTCCAGACAAACATCTCTGGGTGAAAGTTAAACACCTGAAATACTGATCTGTGTTTTTGTATGCTTGTCTGTGTTTTGCAGGAGTTAGAGATGCAGGCTCGAGCTCACGGTCTCGCCATCGCCTCTTCAGCCCTCTGCTCAGCTGAACTGGGAGCCCGGACCATTAAGCAGGAGACCGCTCTGGAGGACTGTCACCAGGACCTGTACACTCTCCACCCTCACCACCAACACCACCAGGCCTGTACCCCAGAGCCGCCCGGCGCCCTGGAGCTAAACGAGGGCCACTCTAACTTCCCTGAGGGTCACTACGGCGTCCACGGCAAGACAGGCTCCAAACTCAACGACATCCTCATGGAAGACACCTTATCCCCGGTGAGAGGGGGGGACCCTTTGCTCTCGTCCGTCTCCCCAGATGCCTCTAAGGACAGCAGTCGCAAGAGCAGTGTAAGCATGGATGAGAACGAGCAGGGCTGTTAGCACCCCCTGCTGGAAGACACCTCGCCTGCATCTGCAACCCCTCAATCCTGCTGTCCTTGTCAGCAGCTAACACACTCCCAGCTGCTGAAGAGGTTTCACACCATTTTGTTTTTACTGTTTTATTTTGTTTGTTTGTTTGTTTTTTTCTCCCACTTTTGTTTACACGTATTGAATCTTCTCCGTTTATTTTTTTTGTTAGTTTTTATAATATCTCTGCTTTTTTGAAGCCCTCCATCTTGATTTCAAGGACTGATTTTGAAGTAATTTTGCTTTAATCAACACTTTGATGACAATGAGATACGAAAATAGAAGTTTTTATATTTAAAAAAAAATATGCATTTATCTTTGGATAGAGGCTAGATGATGTTTATTTCTATTGATTCCAAAGAATCTAGGGAAGTTTTAAATCATGGTCAGAAGTGTAGATATTTAACGGTGAGATGAACACTGCTTTTTAAATCAATAGCAATAATAGAAGAAGAAAATAAATCTATTTATTTTAGTGCTTTACACTCCCTGTGTCTTAGATTAAACTTGAATGTGTCGATGCCTTATGAAGATGTGTATACATCCTTGTTGTTTTGCTATGCACATATTTTGGCTCTTAGCTGCGTCTTTGTCGGTCCTCCTGTTGAAATTCTTTCCCTGACAAATATAAAATCACCTGTAGATTTGATCTAATTTATGTATCTATAAAAACAGGACTTTATTCACACATTCCCGATTAAAAAAAAAGGTAAATGTACAACAAGGCATTTGAAGGAGCCTTGTGAGATAATGAGAAATAAAAGCACATCAAATTATGAACTTTAAATGTCTCTTTTCAGGCAGTTAAAACGTGCAAAATTTGTTTTGATACTGGCATTTTTCAGGCTTTATTCAGTGTCAAAATGAACAAGAAGCAGCATAATAATGGATGGTCCTGTTCTGACTGCTCAGCAATGTGTATCTGACATGTTAAGAATATATATTTTTCACAAAAATGATGACATTTTGCAAAAAAAAATACTAAAAAAAAAGTTTTTGTGTATATATTTAAGTCTCGAAACTATGAAAATCTTGGCTCAAATCAAAGTTAGAAAGCCTGCTGTAGCCCTGACACATGCACACAAAGCTGATTTCACTTGATAGATCTGATTGTTTCGTAATCCTTTAAATTTTAATCTAATCTGATTAACCCAAAAAAGATGAATCACTTCAGTTTTTTATTGTATTGTCGTCTGGAGTGATCGGACTGAAACCGAACTGCTACACACGGTTAAACCTTTCAGCCATGTGTTGAAACAAGTGCTCAGTTTTTATACTTGTCCATCCATTTCCTAAATTATTGTTTTTTTTACAACACTGTGGTGACATTTTACATTCAGTAAGCTTTTTTTTTTCATTATGTGAACATTTGTATTGCCAAGGAGTATAAGGAGACTGCTTTTGTATGAAATGCATGATGTTGTCCAACACTGGATTGACCTCTGTAAAACGTGGTTTGTACGCCTTTTTTTTTTATCAAAGCATAAACTAACTGTTGTACCGGCTCTTTAAAAACATACATAGTTTTGTATGAGATTGTAGACTCTTTCATTGTGCAGACGTTATAATGCAGCAGTTTTCAGCAGTTGTAGCACATTGCATATGTATGCCTTTGTTCAGACCTACCTGCCATACATGAAGAGCCCTGTTGAAGCGCAGCCTCCGTTTTTTTTAAACTATGCAACGGTTGTAGACAATGTGATCTCCTTATGAATTAGTCTGAAAAAACGTCAAAGTAATTACCTTGTTGATTGATTTAAGTGCCTTACTGTTGTTTATTCTGTTATCCTGGTGGTGTAGGAGGAGTTTTAGACAATGATGCAACATTTTGTTAATGTTTATACAGTGTTTGGTGCTTCATGGTTACACTGAAGAGTGCCAAGATACAGTAGAGAATAGTAGGAAAAGGCCTTTTGTAAGAACAAGAAAACACTTAAAGCCTCTTAGAACTACAAGAAAGGGTTTGTCATTAAAGAACCCCGAAGTGCTCAGTATTAAATAAGTGATTATTTAACATTTAATCAGAGATGGAAATAGATTTTAAAGTCATTAATTAACCGCAGAATTTTGAGATTACCCGATAAATTTGTAAAAAACCTGTGATTATTATTTAAATCATATTCAAAAATTCATAGCAACACTTGTTATTTTACTTGTGTAATTGTGATTATTTATTTCACACATCTTCATTTGATATTGAACACTTTGGGATGGCTGTGCGCTCTGTTTTTATTTTTTTTGTTATTGTGAAGGCAGTGTTTCCAAAGTTGAACTGAATATTTTGCATCCTCTTTAGACTAGCATGAATGTAGCTCAAAGTGATGACTGCCAAATGTGTTGTTGCCAAAATCGGATAAAGTTAGTTTATTTAACAGTTTAAATAGCTTCTTCTTTCTCTTTTTTTTACGGTGTAGCAAAAGCACTTCTGATAGCATTGGTATCCCTCTATAGTTGCAAACAAACGCTAAAACATGATGGCAATCGGGTCTTTAAGTACAGACAGGCAATTTTTATTGCCAAATTAAATTTTTTTTTTAAAAGTAGTTGAGGATCTGTTGGTAATTCCAGTTTCAACTGCATCTTAAAGCAGGGTTCCTACGCAAGTATGGAAAAGTATGGAAGTAATTTGATCAATTTCCAGTTCCTAAAGAGTATGGTAAATGAAAAATAAAGTATGGAAAAATATTTATGTTAACAGACTATATTACCACAGTTATAAAATACTCTTTCTAAAATAGAAAAGTAGGTATTTCCAAAAATAATTCTAAAAAGTAGAGTATGGAAAAGTATGGAAATTCCAACTGTGTAGAAACCCTGTTAAAGCTCCTGTGAGGAACTTTTTGTTTGTGTTGATTCTGGCGCCCCCTGTGGACAAAGCAGCACCTGTACATGGAGAAGTCCTGTTTCCAACAAATAGTATTTCACTGTTATCATCTTTGTCATGGAAATTTTAAAAAATACCACTTAGGTATTACCCGACGCTACCCCCTACCATGATTCTAGACATTACAATTATTGGTAACACTTTACAATAACCATTATCTATCAATGGTCAATAGATAATTTATTAATGTTTAATCATCATTTAAAAACAGCATATAGACCAATTATAAATGGCAAATAGTTTATGAATGTAAGTGAATAGTTACTTTACCATTAACAAGCCATGAAATTATGATTAATAATTTTCATTATTTATTAATGGACTATTTATTAAAGGTTTAAATGTTGGTCGTAAAACATCTAGATTAAAATATGTGTCAGTAGAACTTTGTAAATGATTAATAAGTGGTTTATAAACCACCTATAAACATAACTAAGATGGTTATTGTGAAGTTAGGGTTAGGGTTAGGTTTTTAAAAGTATAAGATTTACAATTTATTAATGGTCTATATGCTATTTATAAATGGTCTATTTACCATTTATATGTTATGGTCATTGTAAAGTGTTACCCAAATATTATAGTACATAAATAATCAATCCTGAGGCATCAATATGAATGTCAGTCTATTTAGAAAGAAAACCCTCACAGGAGCTTTAAGTTTTATATTGAAGTTGAACTGAAGCTGCAGAAAGGCCCTAAAAGTGACACCAAAATCCACATACTGAGCCTTAATAGAGCAATACACACAGGCCTGTAACACTGCCATCTGACTGAACCCAGATCCACTTTTTTTTTTACTGAGTAGATAGATCAGCTAAACCTCAAAAATGTGACAGATTAGAAGGAACATCAGCATCACATTATGGGTCAACCACTACTGAAGACCTCTCTCTTCTGCTCACTCTCATTCCTGTGGTTCACGCAGACGTCCTCCTCTGCTGATGTTGCTACTGTTCTTATTGTTACACTTTGTATGACATGAATGTAGCAATAGTTACTGTACGCACTGGTTTCAGATTAGTGAGTTTGAACTCGTTGGTACTCAATGTGGAACTGTCATGTGAGAAATATTAAAAGTTTTATTTGAATGTTTAAAGAGCTTGAGTTTTTTTTTTCTTCCCTCGAAATCTAAATTCTGAGGATTTAATATGAAGTCAGAAACTGCTCAGGCTCCCTTATGTTTGACTTTTACACTTCTGTGTTTAGTGTTTACAATATACAGCCAGCAATTGACATTTTTCTATGGACATACAAGACTGTATCTTAGAACTCTGTGTTACTTTGATGCTATTAATTATCTTTTTTTTTATATATAAGATCCGCCAATAAGAGATTCCATACATTACAACTGCATTATATATTGTGTAAAAGGTCCCTTATGCAGTGTTTGTATGCTGCTTACATGGGGACTTAAAGGTCTTGTGAGTAACTTTTGATTTTAACCACTTTTGGTGCCCCCCTGTGCGTACAAAACAGTTCTTGCTTATCGATTCTTTTGTGGTGATTTTTGACTTAAAATCTCCTCCTGCTGACTTTTTACAGTCAAATATATCCTTTGAAGTGAATATTTAGGAAATATCATGGCTTTAATGTGAATTTCAGTCTATTCCACAAATGTCAAAGAACTCTTTATTGGATATTTAAAGAACAGAGTGTTTATATTTAGAATTATTAATGCATATTCAAAGACAGATTAATTTTTTTTTCCCTTAAGAAGCTCAGGTGCAAAAAGCTCGTCATCTTAATTATCACATCCTAAGATATCATCCTCAAAATGTTAATCAACACATTCTATTTTGCAGACGAAATGTGCTTCTGCTGTGTAATTCTCTTTATCTTAATGAGGGAAACTATGTTGAGGAACAAGTTTTATTGTCAGCTGTCAGTTTTTGGTGTTTGCCTTTGTTCACCCTTAAGAAGTGTCTGCTTCTCACAGCCACCTCTGCTTAGAAACATACACCCATTGTAGATAAATCGCAGTGAGCCAACACCTGAAACACTCTGCTGCTGTACATCATATAGAATTTGCATGATAGTCCTCAGATGGCATAATACAGGCCTATACATTGTTTATCCCATGGAATATTTTCTAATCTGGACTAGACCAACATGTAAAATAGGGGTGGGATTAAAAAACATGATTGACCAGACAATATTTGAATCAAACTCAATCATTTATTTCCCTTAGAATTTGGCTCACAATGTCACTGCTTTATAAATCCTTATAGTGGCATCGATGACATAAATACTATACCTTATCTGGAGGCCTTTTTGCATTGTTCATTTAATCACATGATCAGTTTCTCCTCAATAATTTCAACCCAGTTTGTCATGCTGCAGGAAGAGACAGTAGTATACAAAGGATATCAATGTAGGAATGTGGCTAATAATAATAATAATAATTGTCATGTCGGTTAAGTTCCCTTTTATTTTTGCATATTCATGTTTTGTTTCATGTCATGTATTTTTATTTTGTAGTTCACTAATTCTTGTTTCTCTTTTCTAAATTTGTTCCTGTCTGCTCTGCCCTGCCCCCCTGTATTGTCACACCTGCTACCTGATTGTGTCTCCCCACCTGTTTCCCATCACCCTTATTACCTCTTGTATTCAACCTTGTGTGTCTTACTGACTCGCCGCCAGTTCGTCCTACTTTTTGTCTCGTCTTTTTGGACCTTGCCTTTTCGCCTCACTTTTCTGATACCTCTGCCTGACCTGACTGTCTTTTTGTAAACCTGTCTGTTTGCTTTGTTTCATGACAAATAATAATGCACTTCATTTACAATGCACTTCACATTGCATACCTTACACAAAGTTTGGTTGGTGTTGTTGCTCAAACAAATGAGAAATGTGACACATAATTACAACCAAATCTGCTCTCTTTCAAAGGGTGGCAGTAGTTAATCTGCTTTAATAGCACAAGCTACAGATCATGTGAATTTTAACATGAGGCCTCCATTAAAAAAAAAAATAATCTTTGTGATGCAGGAAATTCATTACACCCATGTGAGTTGAAAAAGTAATGCTGTTTGTGGAGCATTCAAGTCCTTAACGTTTATAGTGTTTTTCTTTTTTCTTCGTAAATCAGAGAACTTGGTTTTGCAAGACAGAGAGAGAGATTAGTCAGCGGTAGCACACCTCTGAGATCTCCATGGCCAGCTCTATGAGTTCTCCTGTGTCCTGACAGCAGCTGCAGAAGTTACAGTCCAGATCCAGCTTACAAGAGCAGCAATCACTCTCCTGCTGGTCTCGTTCAGTGGACGCCTTGATGTATTTGTATGAGGGAAAACAGCGGCTAACAGCCCGCTCACATGTATCCGGTAACAGGACCATTATTAACTCGTGGAAACGACAGTGAAGACAGGCCAGAAGAAGTGCTGCGCAGTCATCTGGTCAAAACAAGAGAATTAAAGTTATTTAAAATTTCTTAGGAAGCCAGAGAAGGTAGCTTAATAGTTTAGTGGGTACTGGTAATGTAATATTCATTTATTAAAAGTTGACAGAACAACCATGTTACTTTAATCAGACAACAAAAAAAGACACAAAAGGTTGAAATAGACACAAAACGAGCATAAACAAAACCAGAATGTCCACCAAGGGACTAAACAAGACACAAACCACTACAAACAACTCAACTCAACTCAACCCAACTTTATTTGTTAAGCACTTTAAAACAACCACAGCTGAACAAAGTGCTGTACATAACTATACAAAACAACGACATAAAAAACAATCAAAAAACAATTAAAACAATGGATAAAAATAAAAGCAGAATTAAAAAGTAAAAAATATAGTTTCAATGTTTTTAAAAACTAATTTAAAAACATAGAAACAAATAACTAAAAACAAACCATAAAACACTAGAACAGGAGCCGAGTCTCATGCAGGGTTAAAAGCCGCACAACGCACACAAAACAATAAAAAAAGGTGTGAATTTGCCACAAAGAGACACCTCAGAACAACAGACGCAAGCTAAATCAACAAGAGGCACAAACAGCCAAAAGGGGGCACAAAACAACTACAAAGGGTCATGAACTGACTTCAAGAATGTCAACATGCCAAGAAACAACTACACAGATATAAAATGCTCAATAATATGCACAACACTAGACCCAAATAACTATAAAAAGACACAAAATGATCAAAAAGACACATTTTGAGTGTATTTTCTGTGTTTTCCCTGGTGTTTCTGTTCATTATTGTTCCTGTCCCCTGTAGTCCAGTCTTGTGAGTTTCTAGTTTGTGTCTGACCCTGTTTCCCTCCTGTTCTCTGTGTTTTATTCTTTAGATCAGTTTTCTGTGTTTCCTGTTTTATTTTGTAGTCATTGCTTTCCTTGTGTTTCTAGTGTGGTTTTACTTCCCTAGTTTTCCCTCCCTCGTTAATCACTCATGAGTTTCACCTGTGTCTCTTTGCCTCACCTGTGTCTCGTTAGCCTCACCTGTTGCTCGTTAACCAGTGTGCATAAAGTCTCTGTCTTACCCTCTGTCCTGTTGGTTCATTGTGTGTGCTTTTGTCTGTCAGTGAGTGTCTGTCATAGCTGTTGTTGTATCCCTAGTCTTCTTGTGGTTTTGTCGATTTACTTTTTTTTTAGTTAGACATTTTGAAGAAAGTTTTTGTTTTCATTTAGTTCTTTTTAAATCAATCCCTTTTTGCCTGCATTTGGGTCCTTTCCCTTTTGTTTAACCCTGGACTGTGACACACAAAAGACACATCTCAGTACAACAAAAGACAAACTAAATCAACAAGAGGCACAAACAGCCAAAAGGGGGCACAAAACAACCACAAAGAGCCATGAACTGAATTCAAGAAACTCAAAACATGTAAGAAAACAACTAAAAAGATACAAAATGATCAGAGTACACACACAAAACAAGAAACAGGACAAACAGAGACACAAAACAAAGTAAAAAAAACAGCCAAAGAGATCAAAGAATTAAAAGAAACACTGATAAACAAAAGAGACAAGAGAAAACAAAAATAAAAGACATCCACAAGACACATAACTACAACAAATAGGTACAAAAAGACCACAAAAGAGTGGCAAAAGACCACAATACACAACAGGAAAACAAAAGAGAGATGATATCTTTAAGGACTATAGAGATGTAAAGTAAAAATACAAACCACAAAAGGTCAAATGAAATACACAAAAAGGAAAATGTCACAAGTAGACACAATAAATCCATGAATCAGAAAGACACAACCATAAAAAGGAGATTCATTTTAGTGTTATACTGTCCTAAAGCCTCAAATCACACCCATCTGAGCATGTCTGATCAATCGTGCTTCCATGAGCACGTCAATGATTAACCCTTTAAGTTCAGGCCTTCTGTGTTTTATTACATCAACTGTTGAACTGAAGATCTGTTAAACATTACCTGCAGTGTCGGGCTGATAGGACTCATCGGAGGAAAAACGGCTGCTGCTGTTATTAAACTTGTCCGAACTTGTGGAGAAGCTGGATCCACCCCATTCACTGCCCCCCGGGGGATCATGGGAGCTGGGATCTGTGTCCACCTTCTCTGGTTCTTTCTCTGAGATGGTGCTCAGTCTGCGGACCTCGCTCACAGACTTGTCCCTCATCTTTCTGGATGGACCGCCCGGCACCAGCTCTGTAATGTCGTCTTTTAAAAGAAGTATTCACAGATTGGTGATTTTTTTTTGATGATAAAATGTTGCTGATTCAGCATCCAGTTTTTATCTGACAAGTTTTTTAGATCCTCTATGAAGCAGTGTTAATTATTCAGAGCACCATTAACATGCAGAACGTCTGGGAGGTGAGACTTGGAGTGTATAATGGAGGAGAGATTATTGATTTGCAAGCTTTTATTTGGATCTACTTTCCTGAATTGAATCTAGCCTGAGGAAAATATATACTGTGTGAAAATACACTCTCCCACTTACATTAGGCATGCACCACATCTATAAATGAACCACTTTGATCTTATCTTTATCTTTCTCACTTCTATTCTGGCCAACAATAACTTTGTCAGAGAAAGATGGGAGTATGAAGTAAACAACAACAATGTACCATCTGACACATGGTCCTCTATTTTCTCAAGCTCGATGCGGTCTTCATCATCCACTGGGGGGTTTACAGGAGATGTCATCTTGTACAAAACAAACACATTTCAGCGGTGATTTAATATCTTAATTAAAGAGCAATCAGTGATTTTTAAAGCTGCCTTTTTTTCATGTTAACTCAAGAGTCATGCAAGTCTCCCTGTTCTTCATTCAAACAAGCCTAAGTCCCCCCTGAATTCTGCCAAGTAATTCACTTTGAAGATTACCTGTGTGTACTTGCTAAATATCCAACAGTGTAATCCGTAGCATCCGCAGCTGTGAACTCCTCTGAGCTGGAGCCGCAGCACCTCCCATTGTCATGCACACACCCACAAACTGTGAGCACACTCCACATCGATCAATACTCGCCACTCAGGAAGCACGACTACAAATCCGCGCTGGCATAATGCACGGAAGATTCATTCAATTATGGCCTCGTATCGATGAGAGAGTCAAGCCAGGTCGCTTATCAAACACCTGGAGATGACATGACAGGCAACGCCACGGCGGTTTACACGTTTCACCGCATTTGCTGACCCCGCACTGATGAATTAGTGTGATTTTTTAAAGCGGATTCCCCACAGTGGGACATCTGCCACTCAGTCCATTAAACTGCACTCTTCTGAAACAATAATAAGACACACACAGTATCCACATTTATCATGAGGATTTATTTTTTATAGAGATGCATTGGTTTACATAATGGTAAATCTATATTATCTACTCTTACAGGCTCATTTCGAGCGATATCAGCAATGTTCATGTAAGGGGTGAAAAAGACCGACAGGTATAAAGAAACTACTTCTGATCAAATGATTATACCTTAAATACAAATATATCAGATCATGTTGGCAGTGAACATTTCATTTTTTTAAAGCAATAATCTTTTTCTTCATCTACATGTTTTTTTTTTTTACATTTTGCCTACTAAAAAATAAAATTAGCTAATGTGGCCCCAATATAGCAAAAAGTAGCTACAAAGTGGGTGGAAACGTTTCATTATGAAGTGCTAACTATCAGTGTTCCCTTTCCTTTGGCTTCTCTGCTCATCGTGGTCCTTTTTTTTGTGTGTGTACAGATATATAAAATAAAGAGAGAGAGAAAAAAAAATCATCAACAAACAGTTTCACAAATGTGTTTCTGTGATTTCACTCTACTGTACAGGAAGAATTCAGAGCTAGATTAAAGAACAAAAAAACAGAAATGCTGATAAATACAGTGAAAAAAAAATATTAAAATCCCCAAGTAGAGAGTGTTTGGTTACGTAGATGAAGCTGTTTGTTTTTTTTTCTTTTTGGAATACAAAGTCACACAGAATGTGAGTGAAGCGGCCTTGCGGTTGGACAACTCGGACCTCACAGTCAGAGAGAAGGCACGCGGTCGAAATGAAGGCTGGGCCTCTGCGGGCTGCTGATGTCTTCATCTCGGTTCATGTCCGGGCTGTGGCCGTGCTCGTCTGTGCTCTCTGGAGACTCGTAGGGATAATTCTCACATATCTCCTCGTCCTCCTGCTCCTCTTTGATGCTACAAACGCAGAAATAAAAAGCATATCAGGATTTGTGATCGCATAATTACCATAAAACAAAGGTATTGAAGCAAAAGAGATTCTTACAAAGCTTGTGGAGGGGACTGTGTTGCACTGCTATCACTTTGGTATCCAGATCCATTAGCAAGAGCTCCGTTCATCTGCTCCTGCAGAACATGGGGCAGGGAGTGCAGCGGGATGCTGCCCATGGAGGTCGGGCTGTACAGACAGCTGCTACCGTCTAGACCGCCACTCTGCAAAAAAATTAATTTTCTCATTATACACCATCCAAAACAGAAGAGACGCATCAGCCATGAATATCTGATAACGCGATATGCATCTGAGGAGCACCTCTCAGCTCTGTCTGTACAATGCAGCAACACTTTTATTGCAGATGCACCATTTCTTTTTCTTTTTTTTGGCTTCATTGGCCATTTCTTTTTTTTTTTTTTTTTTTTTGTAAAATTATTTCTTATTTGTTTTTAAGTCTTTTCTGTAAATTGTGTTTCCTGTGATCTTAGTCTGTGTGTGAGTTTCTCCATGACACATATCTCTTCGACAGTGCACACCCATTGCACCCCATACCACAATCTGGTGATTATCTTTTTTACTTGCAGATAATATTTTAACCAGGTACTCATCTTTTCTTTGTATTATATCATTTGATAATTTTCCCAAATCCAATGATTCAAATGTTTTGGATATCTGATAGCCTATTATTTTTTGCAGACTTTTCCAAATTTCTTCCAAGTACTCATTTGATTTTGGGCAGGACCAGAATATGTGAGTGTGGTCTGCATCAATGTGTCTACATGATCATTTCAATCTGCAAAAACAGACAAATAAGGTTTAAATATCAGACGTGTCTTACATGGGAAAGAGATCCTGCTAAGCTCTGACGGTTCTGTGAGTTCTTCAGGAGAGATCTATGAAGAGAGAAGACAAAAACTGATTAAGAATCAAGACCTGAAATAAGCTCCACACTTAAGAATGCTTTTACTTTGTTTTCATGGATCATCAGCTGATTAACAGGCCGCCTTGTAGACTCGACATGCACATACACGCAAATCTACAAGACGCACTCTACAACACTGCAACAGAAGCGTGTGTTAGCTTCATTTCTTGGATGAAAACAGTCCTCTTCAAGGATTTTAATTAGTTTTTTAGTTGTAAAAATGTGACACTTTGATTCGTGCTGAAAAAAAACACCACTCTTTTTTGTCTGCTCTTGGCTTCTTCTCCCTGAAATCTGAGCTCTTTTCTTTAAAAAAAAATCAGTCAATATTTCCAGAAGTGAGTCTGCCACGTTTATCATTGTGCCCAGGACGGGAAACATGGCGAGCATAGTAACAGTAACAAAGAGGGGTGGGGCTTAGCAAACAACCAGATGCCTAAATCATCGTACAAGGAGCTGCCAACATAAACACTGCACCTCTTGGTCTGTTTGTTTAATAAAACACACACAATTCGAGCGTCTGAGTCATTGTGGTGGGACATGACAAAGAAATAAGAAACAATGATAAGGCACTTTTGACCGCAGGCTACAGCAGTGTTTCCAAGTGATTTAAAGTTGTGTGATATTTCAAGGTTCAGCCTGCAAGCTGGCACATTTTTTCAGGGGGGAAGAAAATCATGCTTCATATTTTTCCCCGATCGTGTCTGTTTGCTCGAGTCAACACGGCACATAAACACAGAGAGACTCATCCTTGGGAGCTCCTTACTTGCTTATAGTAAACATTGTGTTTACTTATCAGGTGGAGCTAAAAGGTCAAAAATGCCAGACTTCCTCTGATGTCTGCTGATATGTGAAGACACACAGGAGTCTGCCTCTGAGTATAAGGTCAACTTTTACCCGTTGCCGGCTGTCTTCTGGGGCCGTCTTCTGTGAAACTCGATCTCGTCTACCGTCCACACGGCTCCCTTTACGTTCTCCAAACGTACGAAGCATTTATGGAGGCTGAGATTATGCCTGACCGCATTCTGGGAAATAAAAGAAACACAGTTAGGACTTTAAAGCACCGGGTTTTCAATTTGTATGTAAAGTTTCTGTTGACTTTGCTTTCAAGAAATCAGTAACTAAAAAACAAATAGGAGAGCGCATACCTTCCAGGTAGCTGCGTTGCGCCTGAAATATGCGAAGTTTCTCGTGAACCAGTTGTAGATTTCGTTTAAAGTCAGCTGTTTGCGTGGTGATTCGAATATTGCCTGAAAAAAAAAAACAAGAGGCACATTAATTAAAAAAAAGAAACAAACTCTGCTTTATTTTTTATGTTTTTTTTAATTAATTATATGCTTTACCTGTCTTATGAGAGAGGCATAAGTAAATGGAGGTCGAACTTCTGTGCTCAAATAAAACTCCTTGTTATCAACTATGTCTATGGACAGACACACACGCACACAAAAAAACATATTTAGAAAAATGAAGTCGCTTTTTATTTCGTCTGTCGTATTTGCTGTTTGTTTATCTCCAAGCTTGAAAGTAAGATCATGATCTCACCGTTACCTTGGCTCACAGAGCGGCTGTACCGCCTCCGTACGGGGGTTCCAGTGAACATGCTATTGGGAGTGAGGACTGAAGGGGATTCAGAGAGCGGCGTCAAGGGTGTGGATGGCGCCGTGGCACTCTGAGAGAGGCTCATAGGAGGGGTGCCTTTGGGCAATGTTGCCTGGGAGAAGGATACATTAGACACCAGATTCACCTGAAAAAAAAAATCAACAACAACAACAAAGCTCTTAAGTCAGGAAATGATCGGTGTAGCTACCTGCGAAAACAATATTTACTTTAATTGAAGGAAACAGCTAAAGCAGGTACTTACAGGCTGAGCTGCGGGTTTGGGTTCAGAGGACTTAAGATGAGCCATCATAGCCTGGAGTCGCTCTTTATCCTTCTTCAGCTGTGTTAGACGGAGGCGACAGAAATAGAAGTCGAGAGTTGGGTGAATTCACAGCTTGCGTTACATGATGAAATGACATTTGGTGTTAGAAATGCTGCTTTTCTGGCATCCTGAAAAGTGTAATTATCTCTGAAGACATCACTTCTGTTTTTGGGTCTGGTGTGAAAACACATCATCGCTGCTCACATTAAAAAAAGACGTCACTGAAGTTATCAGACAGCTCTTCCCCCTTTTCAATAAACTGCTGTGAGGTTAAAACTACCAAGTTAAACCTCTTTTGTCTCTTTACTGATTCTAAAAATGAACAAAAACTTGGTTACAAGTAAATAATCAACCTGTAGTACCTGCAGTTCCAGCTGCTGAACCACTTGCATCTGCACACGACACTGCGCTGTGCTCTTGTCATCCAGTATGTGTTCACTGTTCAAATGTCTGCAGAGAAACACATTCAAGATCATGAAACGCTCCAAGGAAACCATGTGCAGCACAATAAACCTCATAAATTTTAGGGTAAAAATAGCCATCAAAGATAAAACATCAGGCTTGTGCATATCATAACCGAACACACTAAACATCACACCAGCTGTAGAGGTATGCGAAGATTCGCCACTCACTTGAGAAATGCCTGAAAGTCTCCGAAGACCGTCTCGCAGCCGGGCCACTTACACATACCGTTTCCATACAGAGGATGGCTATTCTGTGAGCCTTCATCCGGAGAGCCGCTGCAACAGGTTTCATATAGTAACCCATTAATGAAAGATCTCTGCGTCAGCTTTTTCACAGTGGCAAAAGCAGCGTGCATTAAAAATGAAGGAGTATGAATCGCTCCAAGCACCTTTCTCTTCTCTTCAGGAGGTTGTGATGACCGTTGAGGGTTGAAAGATGACCGGAAGACTCTCGGGTGTCGATGCCGGCGGACGAAACGCTGCCATTCTCGCAGCCTGCAAACACACGTACACACAATAAATAAACTGTGAGTCGCTTTGTTGTGTCAACCTCATTAGCCTAAGATCAAAAGATGTATGTATTTAACTGGTCTTCATTTGATGCACGGTCACTTGAAGGTTTTATTTCGTTGTGTGGTCATTTTATTTAGCCTACACCCATCTGCACAAATAAGTATGATATATTTAAGTCTTGACATCTCGCCACAGTGTTTACTTCAAGCCGAAGAAGAAAAAAAACATACTTGTGAACCTAAAAATATTTGTTTTACAATCGTCAAACAGCAATGCAGTAAAGTGTGTAAAGCAGCATACCTGGGGCTGTCGCCGGACTGGTGGGAAGGACAGACAGCAGGCCCTGTCTCTGCAGGTTGAGGAGGTGTTGCTGCTGCACCTGAAGGAGCTGCTGCTGGATAGCTATCTGCTGGGCTGTCAGCTGTGACGGAAAGATAACACAGTGTCTGAGAGTCATTTTTTTATTTTTTTTTTTTTGCTTTTAAACTGAAGAGGTTTTTCGTTTGAGGTTAGGGTCACAGTTTGATCAAGATGAGAAATCTTAAATGAAGTTTTTGATTAGGACCGATATAGATCACACTAGATTTTACACTTTCTGGGACACAGAATAAGTCTTTATAATAAAAAAAATCTCTATTTAAAGAAGAAAAATCATCGAGTTCAGCTGTGATTGAGTCTGATGTTGCTCATTCCTGCTATAATAGTCTCTGCTGGTCTTATACCGTGAGCAGAAACAAAAACCCACCATTTTTTCTCTGTTTTGGTTGCACTTCCAAACACAGAAACACTTTCTGGGACACAGAATAAGTCTTTATAATAAAAAAAATCTCTATTTAAAGAAGAAAATTCATCGACTTCTGCTGTGATTGAGTCTGATGTAGTCTCTGCTGGTCTTATACCGTGAGCAGGAACAAAAACACACCAATTTTTCTCTGTTTTGGTTGCACTTCCAAACACAAACACTTTCTGGGACACAGAAAAAGTCTTTATAATAAAAAAAAATCTCTATTTAAAGAAGAAAAACCATCAACTTCAGCTGTGATTGAGTCTGATGTTGCTTATTCCTGCTATAATCGTCTCTGCTGGTCTAATATCATGAGAAGAAACAAAAACCCACCAATGTTTCTCCGTTTTGGTCGCACTTCCAAACACAGAAACAAATCCTCATTTTGCTTCTACCTAATTGGACACAGGAAAACTAAAACTTTTAAACACCAACCTCTGCTCCTTTTCAGAGTTTAGCCAACTGCCTGTTGTGTTTTGAACACACAGGGATAGCCAGGATTACTGATGTCATGCTGTCAGGCATAAATACTTGTAAACAACTTATTTGTGACTTAACTGCCCCGCATTATGACCTTTTTTTACTCATGCAATTTCGCCCAGGAGACCGGGTTGAGTAACCTGAAGACGGAGAAGTATCAATAGGTTGACTTGAGGCACTTAAAGAGAAAAAAACTGAACCCAATAGCCTCCTAACTAACTGGAGTTGTTTACAAATTAGTATCTTCCACAGCTAAAAACACCTCATGTGTTACCCAAGGCTGTTAATGTTACAGCGTCACCCTCAAGCGCTATATTTCGTGTGACTTACACACTTTGACAAAAGAGCTGTCATCATCAGAGAACAAAAGACAAATTTGCATTTTGGAGGAGATTTTCAGGGCGATGTGGTAAAAGCAACAGGATGTACTCGCTGGGTAAAAGTTTAATGCAAAAGTTACCTCTTGACTAACAATCCCAGCATTCTTCTGCTGCAGCAGCTGCATATTTAGCTGCTCTTGCTGGTTCTTGAAGACCTCTTGTATCTGTTGCTGCGAAAAAATGTGATATGAAACTCGGGGTTAGGACAATTAAAACCTTGTGGTCGGCGATGCCGCTACGCTAAAAATACATTACCTGGTGTAACATGAGTGCTTTCTGCTGCTGGAGCAGGGCTTGGAGCTGCTGTGGACTGAGGATCTGCTGCTGTGGGGTTCGCTGTAGTTGTTGTTGTGGAGCCTCTGCTGGTGGGGTCATCATGGACAACGACACTGGAACCTGCATTGAAGACGATTTTTAAAAGACAAGAGAAAAGGTTTAAGACAGAAGGAAAACTAAGACAGAGGAAAATCTAAAAATACCAGCTAGGTCGGCTCTAAGCTTTTATTTTATCTACACAGACTTCTTTCAAGTGCAGACAATCAGTTTGTTTATTATTTACATGTAAATAAGAAGCCTTATCTTTTTACCTTTTATCAGGCTGAAGGATTAAAAGATAGGGCCTTTCAGCTGGAGTAACCTGGCTTTGGCTAAAGATGTTTATGTTTAACAGGAGTTTCTGACATTGACTTTTTAAAGAGCACATTTGCAAGACAAAGGCCTCTGAAGGAACGCTTTGCTTTGAAGCGCCGAGGTAGAAGGAAAAAAAAAAACATGAAACACAGAACCTCTGTATCCAAAATATTTAAGCGAATGAGAAATTAAAATTGAAACTGAAATAAACAGGCCTAAATGCGTTACCGCAGCTGCACCGTCGGTTATTTGTGACATTTTCACACAAATAGAAAGAAATCATGCACTCTCTCACTACAGAGTCTGTTCTCCCACTCGACTGCAACGTCTAAAGGTGGAGAAAAAAACTTTTCAGGACGCAGTGTCAAATTTTACACTCCTAATACAAGCCAGCCTTGTTTTATTCTTCACTAAAGTATGGCGTTCTCAATCGAATCACTTTATTTTGGAGGCATAAAAATGGTGAAAAAAAACCAGGGGAAGATTTATGAAACAGAAAAAAACAATCGCAGCAATTCATGCTGTTCAAAATATGTCAACTAATCGGGTTATATCAGTGCATGTCAACACATTATCTAATTTCTGCCTATTTTCTGCTGTAATTGCGTTCATGTAGATGTACTTAGTGTACTTTAGACTCCTGTACGTGGTCAGAGACTTGTTATGGATCCTGATATACACAACCCTGTAATGTCTAACCTCGTCCGATGTACAGCGGCATGTTAAAGATTATTTTCAGTATTGATTAATCTGACACTTGTTTACACAATCCATTTGCTTTGACCATAAAAACCAGAAACTAGTTTGACATATGGTGAGCGAAAGAAGAAAGCTTTTAATACTGGCAGCTCAAAATCTGGTCAAATCTGGAAAATGTGTAACAGTGTTTTTTTTAATTTATTTTATTTATAGGGTATTTGCCGACTTGATGCTGTCAGCCAATCACAGGAAGGTTTATGACAATCATGATTATTTTGATTAATATTGAAATCACAATTACAAAGCATAATTAATTATTGATTTTGATTACTCATTTATAAAAATAACAACAATAATAATAAAAATAGTGATAATAATAATGATAACTGTCTGTGCTCACTCTGTCCCTCTGCTTCACTAACACACACCATCTGGTGCTTTTGCTTTTTTGTGTATTTTTTTTTGTGCCTGCCAAGTTTTGGATCTTTAACACGGGCTAAATCACAAACAACGTCTTGGCAATATGATATAATGCAAGTGGGTGACTTTATAAAATAAACTACTGATAACTATCGTCAATATCTTTGGTCAATCATATAAAAAGGCTGAAATTCTACAAATCTTCCATAAATAGTAGATGATTTTTTGAGACATGACAAGTGAGACTTAAGATAATTGAATTTCCTTTCAGGGATGAAATAAAGTTATTCTTATGCTTAAATCATGATCACTATCAAAATAATAAAAACATCAACAACATTAATAATAATGATGATAACTGTCTGTGCTCACTCTGTCCCTCTGCTTCACTAACACACACCATCTGGTTCTTTTGCTTTTTTGCGTATTTTTTTTGTGCCTGCCTAGTTTGCCTAGGACTAAAATGTCTTGGCAATATGATATATCGTAAGTGGGTGACTTTATAAAATGAACTACTGATAAATATCGTTAATATCTGTGGTCAATCATGAAGAAAGGACAAAATTCTATAAATCTTCCATAAATAGTAGATGACTTTTTGAGACATGACAAGTGGGACTAAAAGATGATTAAATTTCCTTTCTGGGATGAAACAAAGTTATTCTTATTCTTAAATCATGATCACTATCAAATTTAAATTCCTGCAGATTTTCTCACTTTATTACTTTTTTCTACTTTTTTTTTAATTATTAGAGACTCTTTAATTATATACTCTCATTTATTTAAGCATTTTGTTAACTCTGATATAAAGTGTGCCATTAAAAAAGCTATTATGATTATTATCTTTTTTAAAATACAGCCAGATCACTGCAGCACAACTCAAAAGCCTCTCGCTCAAGTTTCAAGAAAATAAATCCTCGCTACTTGCACTTCTGCTTATTTATCATTCTCAGTCCGCTGGTCAATCTAACAAGCTGAACTTGGCTCCACTGCCGCTGCAGCTATAAATGTACCAAACAAAAACAACTCCATCGGATGTCTTAGGGGACTTAGAACTCCATCAAAACAACAACAACCTGTGCCAGAAAAACAAAAACAACAACAACAACAACAACCTCGGCTAGGCATGCAGCAATTACTGCACCAACCCCCCCTCACTGTCAAGCCCCACAGCTCAGGGGATGTTTACAGTAAACATAAACAGAGTAATCAAAATTGCAGAGAGAAATAAATAATGAATAAAAAAAAGCATACAGAGCCTGTTTATGAAAACAGAACTTGAGATTCGTATTTTAATTAAGGTCTGAACCACAAACAAACATTTCTCTCCAAGGCAGAGTCTGTTTTGAATCGGGTAAACAAACCGACAGTGAATTTCACACAGGCTTTGGGCTAACAATAACAGACGACTGCCTCCTAGTTTGTCCTTTCTTATGAAATTCAATGCTGCAGAGGTGGCCACCAAAGCAATGAAAACAGGTCTATCCCACTAACAGAGCCAGTTGGCCCCTCTATTTTTCTGTGGACACCATCAACACAACAACAGCCTTTGACTAATCCCTGTTGCCATGGCAGCCAGCAAGTCCAAACATCTTCTGTTGTTGTTATTGTTGAAAGTCATACCAGTGAGAAACTGAGTGTAAACACAGATCTGTTCCCGCAAGACTGGTCTTGTGAACTTTGAGATGACTGACAGCGAGTAGGAACGCTGAAAACTTTGCAGAAAAACAAACACTATGTGTTTTCCTTTATGAGATTTATTTCTAAAAGGGGTGTGGTACGAGAAAACTCACATCTGCGAAAACAAAAATATTTGGTAATGAACTGAATTGAAGATTTAATAAGATGGGATCCAAAAACACAACTTTACATAGCCACAAGAGAGTGACTTCACTTTCATAGACACGCACACATTGAAACTCCACAAAACATAAAAATCTCATTAAAAATACCCTGCCATTGTTATTACTTCAAACAAATACAGATAGATTTGGACAAACCTGATAGCCTCCATTGAAAGTCTGTGCGGCTGCTGAAAAAACAAATGAAGCCCAGCAGTGAGGTTCCGCCTGACAGTCTAACTGAGCCTCACTAACCTACATGATGTGAGCATAAACAAAACTAACAATATAACACTGATCCCTCCGCCCAGCTGGAGCTGTGCTCTCCCTCCCCTTCTAAACCTCAGTACAAACCTCCCCCATCCCTGTGCTCCCCCTCAGCATAAATATAAAACACTGCAGTTTGGAGGCACTGAGATAGTCAAAGTGAAAGCTTCATGGATATACCTTTACACATAAAAACCTTCACATTCTCATGAGGCGGCGCGTTCAATGTTTTCCTCTACCTGCAATGTGCATGAATACTAAAAAAACAGATATGCTGTCGGGTTACCACACCAGCTGGACATAACCTCAAGTGTAGCATAACTCGCAGTGATTCACACTAAAGCTAAATACATGGGGATGCATCAGCTGTTAAAAAGAAAACAGAGTTTGTACCACTGAGAACAAATAGAACAAATAAGCTGAACAGAAACCATGCAGTGTTGGAAGAAAGTCACAGAACTACCGTGAGCAGCAAAAACAAAACCTTCATAAAAACAAACTATTCCCTTCAGAGATTTTAGATGTACTGAAACAACCTCCCAAACACCTATATACTGAGTTTACTACTCACAATCGAGGAGCCAGTAGTCTGAAAATTGTGACTCATCCTTACTTTGCAAATCTGTGCTGTATTTGTTTTTAATTCCATATAATATTCCAAGAATCTTCCTTTTTTAACTCATTTTTTTTGGTAGAGCTACTTCCTTAAATGCCAGAACAAACATGAACATTACTTTTTGTTTATCTATTCATCATTGTATTGTAATTTTTTGGACAAATAGGCAAAGATATCCTGATTAGTATCCTGTGAGAGATTAAAAAAAACGAGTAAATCTGCTCATTTGGAAAGCTGGAGTTATGAGCTGTTTGTCATTTTTGCTTGAAGTAGGTCTCACTTAACCAATCAGCTATCAACACAGCTGTAGATAAATATTTGGTGCAACACTCCTCAGTGATTTGAAAGAACACAATGTCATATATTTGGGGATACACAAATATTATTATCATAAGTGCTTATCAGTTGTGAAAAATAAATGAATCTGGTGGAAATCTAATGCTAATGTGTTGCATAAATGCAGCTGGAAATGACTGACCCTGGGTGCCTCTGGAGGAGGAGTCTGGCTGCTCCTCACTCGACTCTCATTCTCACTGTTATTCCCGTTCTCTGTGTGATTTGCTGGAATGGTGCGGCTTGTTGGTTCTGACCCAGACTCATGCATCTGGACTTCACTGACCTTAGAGAGGAAATGAGTATTAATGAAAACAGCTGGATAAACTGGAGCAATATAAAGAAACACAAAGCGCCAAGTGACAGAGAAAACAACTTTCTGGATGCTTTGACATTTTACTTACAAGGAGATTTAGTAACAATATCTAATTGTTTCTTTTAAAATCTAATAATGTTGAAGAAACCTGACTTGTGTTGAGAGTAAAAAGCTGCAGCACTAAAAGTTAAGAACTACCCTGTAATAGCTCTACCTTCCAAGACAAACATTCTCCTCCACAAGTGAGAGAGGAACATGCTAGGTCTATTTGTTGAATAAGCGAGTGCTGCCATGACTACTGTAAACACAGGGGCCCTGGGTCCGTGTTTATGTGCAAACATATCTTCCTTCTGGAACAATTTACCATTAACCAGGTGGTGCGATAAACGGCTGTGGCAGGTAGTACAATGCACAAGTAGGCTTTTATGTATACAGCTTGGGAGTGTTTGAGTCAAACGCTCGCCAGCATAAACAAAGGTAAATAAAAGTAGGCAAACAAATAATGTGAGCAGATGGAAACCTACACAGCAAACCTCAAATGAATCAGACCGCATAGCCTCCAGGATAATATAATTATGTTTAGGGTTACTCAGATATCAAATTCACAAGCTGAAATCCATCAGAAAGGCCTTACTGCGAGGAAACATGAACCTCGAAGAAACGTCTGTCAGATGAGCTGATAAAGTTAAATACATTCAGTTCAACTTTGGATCCAAAACTGTTCCAGGGTCAGACACAAACTACTGAAAGAATAGAGGAGTGATAATTGTTGCCTTCTGTTACACAGATGATTACAGATGGAAAGTTATGTCTAGGTGCAGCAACGTATTTATATTCAAGTCATATCTTAGATGGGTAAAACTGATGTAATTCTTGCAATCCAAAACTAAACCCTATCTAATCAAAACAGGTTTCCACTCTGTTTACTTTTGCTTTCAGGATCAGGATTAGTTCTGCAGACAAAGGGCAGTGTTTCCTGTAGACATTTTTGAAGATGTCAGGGGTGATTTTGGGTGCGGGAACCATGCTGACTGACAATTTGGTCGATTTGACCCAAGTTCCTTTATTTTTCGCATTTAACTCGAATGCGGCGGTATAACGTGCAACCATGCATTTTTTTGGGGATGGGCTTTGTTGCAAGAGCGCCGCAGATTTTCACTTTATTTAAAGTATTCTCACCACAGGGGCAACTCTGCAGCAGTAGGGGCCACCCCTCTTCAAAGAGTGGAAAGGAAACCCTGCAAAGAGGCCTTTCCTTAAGAAAGAGTAAACAATATACACCCGCGCCTAAGGTTAGTGATGACAAAAAGGGAAATTTAAATCATAAAATCCCCTTTTTGTGCAGGGCTATTCATATTTAAATGAGTGTTAGTTTAACATGTGTGAAACAAGTGGATGGTGATATGGGTGATAGGCCCACGTGATTACCCACAGTTGATATATATCTTATAAAACAGACCAACCATTATTAAATCAACATTACATTAACACATTTTTCATTGGAATCATGTATAAAATTCATCCTTATACACACATTTATATAAAAAAAATAACTACAGTACTTATTTTGATGAAGTCTTCTGTTTCATCTGGGGGCTGAAATGGTCATTCTAGGTGGGATCTTAACTAATATCTTTTCCCTTTTTACAAATGAACATGTGGCAGATCAGGGGAAGCTGGTATTACATTGTCCTAAGTCAACAGTTATGCTGGGAATACACCGAACACTGATCCATCGCGCCGCAACCAGAGTCCAAAACGACTGAAATTGAATATTACATCCGCGTCATTTGACACCAGTAATTGACTCGAATCGTTAGTGATGAATTTCCTGTTAAATTATCAGCTTAACGTTATATGAATGGGTTCAATATCCGTTAACAGCAACCATTGCGGTCTCATGTTGGCGTGGAGGACTTGAGCCCGTCTCTAACGGCAGACGTGAGAAAAACAGGAGGTATAAAACTTAAAATTCTAACACATTTACCTATTTCTGACAATTTCCACCCTCGAAAAAACACATTTCGACCAACCTTGCGGGTGGCACTCAGACACCAACGTCTCAACAAAAGCTAGCCTGCTCTTCTGCTGCTGCTAGCAGGTCAGAAACGTTTTCTCTCCTCTTCGTTTTGACACCGGGTAAAAAGACACAACTAATCAAAAGTACAATTCGATATTTGTTAATTAAAGCCAGCGCGGTTGTTGGAGGAACGTGTACTCACCGAAATATGTGGGGGCGGACAGTCTTCAGACTCGGGGTGGTGTCTGTAGAATGAACCTCGGAACAGCAGTAGTGCCTTCCTTGGTAGCGAGCTAGCCACAAGTTGCTAACAGGGGGCGTGGCTAATGTAAAAGTAAACAAAGGTGACGTCACGTCCACACGAGAGAGTGATTCAGTATAGGGAGCAGTTTTAACAGACTTTAAATCAGATCACATCTATATATATCAACCGATTTAGACATCCGAGGCAAACACACTTATAGTCTAATTCACATTTTACATATCTGTAGCAGCGCATCTCCTGATTAAATGTATAGAAAAGGTACAGATGTGTTATTACAGGTATCTACAGTGACATTATGAGTATCCACAACTGGCATCACCATTTCCCACTAGTGTAAATGATTCATCGCTATTGACATTCATGTGCTTGGCTCATAGTTTCAGATATCCACAGTGTCACTCCTCCCATCTATGAACAACATCCTGGATATCTGCAACAGAAAAACCCCTATTTCAGATAACTGTAATCCATTTGAAACTAATAAATGAAGATATTTGAGGGGAGTTCAGATTTACAGGGTGGATAACTGATTGTTTTTTTCTTATTTTGGAACCTTTATTAAATCCACTGTTGGGTTAGTTTTTTAAATAATAATAATAATAATAATAATAATAATAATAATAATAATAATAATAATAATAATAATAATAATAATAATATTTTAACAGCAGCAATAAAGTAATAATAATAATAACAACAACAACAACAACAATAATAGTAATATAATAATAATAACAGTAATAAAAAATATTTATAATGCGCTTTTACAGATGTTTAACGACACTTTACAAAAAACACAATTTAAAATACAGAAAATATCTTAAAAGCCTTATCTGGAATAGGTTTTCATTAAGGTCACTAGATAATAAATTACCAGACTCTGGATGTCTGAAATTGGGAGTTTTCTTCTTCTTCTTCTTGTTTTTTTCCAGATTTCTAATATGTTCATTTTCAACATGAAAACATTCTTAAACTCCCTTGAAAAATTCTGAAAAAAATCAAAAGAAAAGAAAACAGTATTTGTCATCATAAGACTGCAGTTCTATTGATTTTCAAACACAATTTAAAATACAGAAAATATCTTAAAAGTCTTATCTGGAATAGGTTTTCATTAAGGTTTCTAGATAATACAATTTGACTTAGAAATAACTGGACTTAAGATGTCTGAAATTGGAGGTTTTCATGTTGTTTTTTTCAGATTTCTAAAATGTTCATTTTCAACTGTTAGACCTTTATGAAAAAATGAAGCTCTTTCGAAAATTCTGAAAAAAATAAAAAATAAACAAAAGAAAACAGCATTTATCATCATAAGGCTGCAGTTCTATTGACTGTCAAAACACCCAATCTCTGCCTTCTCCCTAGGATCTTAAAGAGTAGCTTTGTGAAAAAATTCTTCACTAGAAAAAATTAAAAAACAGGAAAAATCATGCCTCTGTTGTTTAAACATACATTACACAGAGCTTAGTTCCTAAAGTTGCATTTAATACATGCAATCAAGACTGTCCTCATGTGTTATTTTATCATTTTGCCATGACAAATGTAGCAGTTTCTGTGGAGCTTTATTTCTTAATGTTAATGCCCTTTTACAACCACAAGAGGGACACATTTTTCCTTCTAGCAGTCATGAAATGGAGGCTTCACTCCTGAGGTGGGGTAAATCTACTGTCTTGTGTCTATCTGGAATAAAGCCTTTGAAGGACTTCAGTTCACAGTGTTGCCAAAAGACCATGAAATAACTGGAGTCAATCAAATATTGTAAAATGAGGTTTATTTTTGAGAAAGTTTGACCATTTGCCAGTAACACAGACACACAATGACATATTGGAAAAACCTACTGGACAGATTTTTAAAAAATTCCAGATTCATATATTCAACTTGGAATATAAAACCAGAACTAAAGGGTTATTTCACTGCCAGCTGTCTTTTTCACAGATATTCTCATCCGATATTAAAGGAGGAACTCAAAATGCCAAAGGGTGAAAGTTTAAGCGTCTTTATTTCTCAAACATGTGTAAAACTAATAGAGAAACACGAGTATTTACAAGTCCAACATGCCGAACACAGGTGACATTCTAAACTGCTGGTGAACACAAGGCACCATCCAAGATCAACAATCAGATACAAAGTCTGAGATCTGAAGTGAGTGGTCAACTGTGTATGTGCAATGGTAAATTATTCAGAGTCTCTAACAGAATGTGCTTTTTACATCGTGAAATGAACAGAGCATAAAAAGTAAAAATTCTGAAATGCTGCCAAGTCAACCAGTGAATCTGCTTCAGCGTATGAAGGCTTCCTGCGGGGTTTAAAGTACACTCCATCAATGAATAGAAAAGACACCATGACCAAGTGTAATGTTGCTTATAATCAAGGTAATCTGCTTTGCTTTCCGCTGACCCAAACTGACAATGAAAGTGCCTTAGGTGAAAAGTTAAACAGTTTAACTTCTGAATTTTCCATACATTTATTTTGAACACAACTTTTTTATAGATGGTGGTTTTAAGTGAAGTTGGATTTCAACTACACTCACGAAGTTTTGAGGGTTTTCGATTACTCACTGTTCATCTTGGGGTTTACAAATTCAATTTGAACTCAAGTCAATTGAATACAATTAAAAAAAAACATTTTTATACTTTGTCTCCTACATTAAAGCAGAACCCAATGTAAAGAAAATGAGCAAACAGTTTTACACTAGATCAAAAAAAGGACATAGAACCAAACTAGATTTGGTCTCAGTCATCAAAACTCTGTAAAAATCCCAGCAGGACTATCTAATCTTATGACTTTCACAAACTGTAAGAAAACAAAGTGCTTGATTTAGGGCAGAGCTTAAACAAAATGACAACCATGACACTACAAATTCTACAGAGTAAAAATGATTGCATATATTTCTCAGCATCTACCTATGATTTTTTTTTTTTTTCCATTTTGTGCACTGCGGCCTTTCTATGGTAACATGATCATGACTTTTTTTTTTTTTCCACAATTCGCCCATGTGTGAAAGAAAGAAGGAAAAAAAAAACAACAAATGTGCAATTTTATGCTCGAATACTAGCATGACAGCATACTTAACATTTAAGTTGTCCATTATAGGCAGCAGTGTTTTGGCTGTAACATACAAAAGAGAGGAAAGAGGTGAATGGAAAAAAAAAGGTGTGTAGTAAAGATATATGGTTGCTTTGTGGAACTTTGCCTCCGTTTTTATTCAAAAATTAGATTAAATTTGATGACTGAGCCATGTCTGTGCTCAAGAAAACTAGCCAAAATACAGTATGTTATAATACATCTAAAAAAAACAACCATTACTGTACACGATCTGCTGTTTTTGGTTTTTGCATAACTTGTCAGTATAAAAACGTACAAACACTGCTATAGATAAAATCAAACTGGAACGGTCTTACTATTTGAGTAAAATAAAAGTATTTTAGATAATGTGATGGATGACAGCAGTGCTCAAAGAAGGAAATCCCACCGACTAAAGTTCATAAAACATTGGCTACATTTTGAGGTAATTAAGATGACACGTAAAGCAACTATGAATTCGACTGCGTCAAAATTTGCCCAAACATTATCCAAAATAAGCGATTTACATGTACATCTAAAGGGTTCTGACGTGCGAGATGTGCTAATGTCTTGATCGGCCTCCCTCGAAAGCGTGGTGCTCCTCGTGAGCTGAAAGACAAGCACAAACAACAATCACAACCTTATTCCAACGAAACTGTCGATGTATGAGCGTTGATATTCAACGTTGATACTCACGTTTGTAAAACACGGCTTTAAAGGGTATTTGTGGAAGGAGCTCGTTGATCCTCCCTAAGATGTTGGACTCAGTAGCACAGGATGCATTTCCGTTCCACACCTGAAAGACGTCTTCTCTGTCTCTTACACTGACGCTCACCCCGACTACTTCATCATCTGCAAGAGCGGCAACAGGAAGCAGAGATCAACTCGCATCAGATGTATTTCCATCACTGGATTTATGGTCTTAAAGCTGCTGAAGTTTCTCATTACTCAATGCAGAAATTTACCTGAGGCACAATAATCACTGAATTGTTCTCCAATAGTCGCCAACAGCAACTCCTTCCACACAGCAGACTGTAAATATAAACATATATTTGTTATGAAAGAAATTCAATCAAATAGCACCTGAAAAATACTCACACAGTTTCTGATACTTACTGTGCATTCTTTGGGTACTTTCATTTTCCAAACACCACCTTTAGCATTGCTCTCTTCTTCCCTTTATACAAAAAAACAGGCAATATTAGAGTACACAAACCAGTCGATAAAGTAAAAAAACGCAATAATATCAGATTCAAACTTACCAGAGAGGCTTTCTCTCTCCTCTCATCAGATGATAGCTGCATCTCAGCGGCAGGCTGGAGACGCCGGGTATGTTGTTGTAAACTCTCCAAAAGTTCTACTCAAGAGCAGAGGTGAAAAGGAAGCAGATTTTTTCTTTTTATTGAACTGTTTACGGGCACAGGGAGTGCAGACAGTCAGCTGGCTTTGTTAATATTTCACATATGTTACGGTGTAGAAAATTGCTGCAGAGGCTCTTACTTTTTGCCCTCAATGACATCGACATAAAACCAAAATTGGGCATCCAAAGAGATGTGCATAGGCTCTTAAATCACTATAAAAGTTGCTATGTACTTGGTAATTTGGGATCTTTTGTATCTTTAATAAATGATCTGAAGATTACTGAAGTCTTTCTAGCAAGTTAAAGCAAATAATGAGGCAATGCACAAGCTGTAATGCAAGCATTTGATGTATATATATATATATATATATATATATATATATATATATATATATATATATATATATATATATATAGGGGTGCTATGACTGTTTATGCTGCAGCTTGATGCTGCATATTGTATGTGGCAGCAGTGTGGAAAGCAATGTCAAGTCAAGTCAAAGTTTATTTTTCAAGCACCTTTAAAAAGACAGCAGTCAAACAAAGTGCTGGACATGGGATAAATAAAAGAAGTAAATGCATCGATAGATAACAATAAAACAATAAAATCAAAAGCTGTGGAATAAAATACAGACAGTAAAAGAAAGGGGGGTCTTTAAGAATGATTTCAAAAGACTCTAAGGTCTGTGAGGCTCTAATATGGCCAGGTAAATGGTTCCACAGTATAGGGGCAACGGCTGAAAAAGCCCTGTCACCTGTAGACTTGAGTCTGGTTTTGCGGATGCTTGACAGTAACTGGTCAGAGGACCTTAAGGCTCTGACAGGTAAGGAGGGGCAAGACCATTGAGAGCTCTAAAAACAAAAGAATTTTAAAATCATTGCGAAAGCGGACTGGGAGCCAGTGAAGAGTCCGTAAAATTGGAGGTATGTCTCTGCACATGTTTTGATCTGAGAGATGCTTTGGGTCCATGGTCGCAGCTGGTTTGCAATTGTACAGCATCTTTTTATTGATACACAGATGCAGTAACCAGTACATCCAGAGATAGTCACATTTTCATTTTTTCATTTTATATCGAACCCAACACTGATCCTGGAGACCTATACATCAAAATCAAAATATGTGGGGGGTAGTTGAAAATGCTTTTCTGGTCTGAGTTTGATCAGTCGGTCTTCCTGTCGGCGTGAAACGCAGTAGCCTACTGTATATCTACATCTACAGTTTCTTTTATGAGTCTCAATGATTTCCAATCCGTGAGATAATTTGGAGCATATTGTACAGCATCTTACCTGGACAGTCTCCACTGTGTAGATCTTCTTCAGGTTAGACTCGCATTCAGCTGCTGTAGTCCCAGGTAGAGATCTGAAAGACACACATTTAAATACATTCCACAGTCTCCATTTGCATCTTTACCAGAATGACAAAGATTCCTGTCATCCTAACTTGACACTCAGACATTTTCCAGCAAGCTGCCCCTTGTGTAGACAGGTCGAGGGGGGGATCAAATGACAAACAAGCCTGTAAACAGTAAACAACATTGACCCCATTTGAACACAGCACCCTCTTATTTGTCATGAGGATGATGAGGCTTGTGTAACTTGTGGTCACTTGAACTTGCTGAACTCTGCACTTAATACTTCTTCAAAAACATCTGAATATTAAAACGTGGATTTTTTAAAGGTTATGTCAAGTGTTAAGCTACATACATCCAGATCTGGAGAAGAGGGGAAAGGGTGCACTCTCTCAACAATATGGCAGCGGACACACTTTATAGCAGTGACTCAACAAGTTTTCAGACATAGAACGAGCTCTCAGGAAAGAAACACGAACATTGCTGTGGAATGGACTCAAACTGACCTTGTCTGAGTTCAAGTCTTGTCGTTTCGTGTTGGTCAGATAGTCACAATTACAGCGCTTTGTTTATTTTAAGATCCCATGAAAGTAGAGCGCTTACGTATGTAGGTCAGAGAGAAAACTAGTCGGTTGAAAAGCTTCAGGCTCTACTTGAATATTGTTATTTGCCGTGATTTATCCACGCATACAACCCCCTTCCACGGTCTCTAAACGCACTTGTAATGTTATCTAGGTTGACTTGCAGCAGGCCTGATATGTTCGTCATCTCCTTTCTTTGTTCTCATTAAAGGTCAGCAACAAAGAGTTCACCTACTTAGAGCGAATAAACGTGAATTATACACGAACAGAAGGGTGGAAATGCTCACTAAGTTTCTTACCTATCGAGCCAGAAAGTCCACGGCGAGTGTAAGGGGAGAGTGTCGCTTTCATTGTTACTTGAAATCCTCCCCAGATCCCTGTCGTTGATGTGGATGTTGTGCTCCAGCAGACCCGGGCTAACGTTGGAAGATGTGTTCAGCTGTAAAGCAGCTACCGGAACTGCCATTGTATAAGCTCTAAAAAAAACGTCGTCAATTCAAGAAGATGTCTCTTGCTGTTTCCACAAGGGTTGTTATCGATATATATATAGGTTCGTTAGGTGAAATTAACCCCTTTCAGCAGCTGACTCATTGGACGCTTCCCCGGTTTGCGCCGCCACAACAACAGCAAAACGATGACGCCCGCTGACTGCCCGCAGCACCTACAGCAGACCAGAGAGAGCCAGAAGTTTCAAGGAGACACTACACCGAATATAGTATTTTTCAGCGGCGGATTACCAAACGATATCTGAACTCTTGTTTCTTATTCTGTTGCTAAGGTGATATTCAAGCGCTATGTTGTTCTTTAGCTAATTTAGAACACATCTTCCGCAAATGGCAATACGTAACCGTTGGATGCGTTTAAGTGCTTCTTGAATGCTCGGAGTTCCCAGATGTTGTCATAGTTTCTTCACTGTCACGTAGGTCTTTTCGTTGGTGTCTGAGGTTTAGTCGTGATTTGATTTAAAAAAAACAAAGACAACAATATATATGTTTTTTGAATTTTAAAGAGACACAAAACGATTCAATAAAATCATTTAGGTCTAGGTGGACATCAACTAACTGTCGCAATGTTACACAAGGCAGAGCCGGCACAAGCCTCAATGGGGCCCTAAGCAAAATTTGAGGGGGCCCTCTATTTCTGCCAATAATATTGATTGTTGATCATTCACCTACACCTATTACTGTATAAATTTAATGCGCCTGACATGTCTTTACACATTTAAGGGGGTGACATAGGTAATAACATAAATAATACCAACGCAACCATACAAATAATACCAATGAATGACTGATGAATGATGTTCAGGGTGCCAAATATTGTTTTTAATCTCAAAATGTAACACATTACCTACAAGAGCGGTCTGGGTTTGATTTTAACATTCCAAGTGATAAAGCATTGTGTTTACTGTAAAAGTGTCAGCGGCAGTAAGAATCATAGGCCTACATCAGCAGCAGCACTAAGATGTTTTTACTTTATCTTATTTTTATAATAATATATATTTGATCATACAGAAAGCATCACTCATACATGCAAAAAATAAAAATATTTAAATTTTAAGCAGGTGCTTAGTTCGCTTAGGCCTTGGGCTTGCTCTGCATTGGTGCCCCTGATTTTGTCTTTACTGACATTTGAGAAAAAGGACAATTACATCTAAACAGTCTTTATTCAGCCAGTCAAGTGTTTAAGGTAGATTCTAATTCGTTAAATGGAAAATGTCATTGTTTTTTTTATTTTATTTACGGATTTTAGGAAATAACTGATATTTATGTCAGCAAAAAAATAAGGCCACATTATTCTTTTTATCAGAACAGGGATTTCCTCTCCTTCAACCCCAGCCTGTTGATGTTTTTGGGACAAGATGCTGTAATTAAGGAAAACGGAAACTCCAATTGGAGTGTAACTTTTCCGATTCTACCAACCTCACATTAATGCGGCGTCGGGCATGCGCAGTCTTTACTAGCACCAGCTTTGTTGGGTTGCTATCCGCTACTGCTAACTAGTAAGTATTTCCTGCCTCTGAGCGGACACAGCCATGGACATCGACGCTTTATTGGAAGCTATTCAAGGTAGTATTCACACTTATTTCAACGGGTAATTCATTACGAGGTTGGGGTTTTAAAATTCGTTGTCGTGCTGCCCTGAAAAAACCGGCGATGTTTGCTAAGTACGTTGCGTACTGTACCGTAACTTAGCTTACTGAAACCATTAACTAGCGCGTTGTCGAGGAGCTTGGGAACTAACTAATGTAGTCCTCGCTTGACCTAGCGAGTTCTTTTCGTTTTTCACTGTGAATAAGTTGAGTGAATATTACAATTAAATCCACAATGGGGTGTATTTTCGTCGGTAGAGGTTATGTAAACAGCTAGCCGTGTAGCGTCACAATGAGCATGCTAACCGCTAACTTCTACTAAAACTTTCCAGTTATCTCCACGCGCCGTTTGTCACGTTTTTTTACGTATCAGGTTCCAACATTTTTAAAGAATAACTTAGGTTACATATCACTCTTCTGCTGCTTTAATATTCTTTGCTATTTTGAAGAGTAAAATAAGGTCAAATCAACTTTAATGTCAAAGTTTGAGCCCAGAAGTGCTTCCAGTTTACATGAACCTCATTAACAATGAACTAATTTGTCTAATTTCACTTTTTTGTTAAATACTTTTTAATGTTTCTTCACAGATTATGAGAAGAAAGGCAAGAAGGAGACTTGTCCTGTTCTGGAGCAATTCTTGTGCCATGTTGCCAAGACAGGACAGCCAATGTAAGTGGTCCAGGAAGGTTCACAATCCTCACATAATGCGATTCAACCTGAGCCAAGTCCTTGTCTTCCTGATCTCAATGCCAGCCTTATCACAGCCTAAGTATTCAGATACACATGTGTGATGAGAGCGTGCATTTTCAATGTCTTTTCAGGATACCGTGGTCTCAGTTTAAAGCATACTTCATGTTCAAGTTGGAAAAGGTCATGGATGATTTCCATGCCTCAACACCAGAACAAAGGGGACCCCATAATCCCAACGTGGAGTATGTTCCTTTTGAAGACATGAAGAAGAGGATCATGAAGATAGTGGATGGTTACAATGGGTGAGAGGACCTGACAACACTCAACTTAGACGACCGCCAACACATCCTCCCTATTGACAAATGCCTCTCTGTAGCTTTGCCTCTTTGTATAAGTATCTTGAACTTCATCTATAGATTTTTCACCCAAAGAAACCACAAGTTGAAATAGATTCAAAAGTATGCTTAATCAGAAATGTCATTTGATGCCACCTTTTTTTTTTTTTCAGAATCCCGTTCACCATCCAGCGTCTATGTGAACTTCTGACGGACCCCAAACGCAACTATACAGGAACAGACAAGTTTCTCATGGGTTTAGAGAAGGTAAGCTCTGGGCTTATTTTAAGTTTAATGATCATTCTTCCAATGGCTCAAGATTAATTGTAATTTTGTCATTTACAGAATGTGATGGTGGTCAGCTGCGTTCATCCCACCTCAGAGTAAGTACACCTGCTGTTGAGCCTTTGCCGCCCTTGCTCCACTGGCGGCATATGACACTTACGTGGATGCATATATAGCAGGGCCTGACCGATATGGATTTTTTGGGGAAGTGAAACCAAATCTTATTCTTTGCATTTTATTTCTGAAAATATCGCCAAAAATCGGCGAGTTTTGGCCGATTACTGATTCGTCTCAAACGGGCTAAAATTGGCCGATTTAATCGACTTGCAGATTAATCGGTCGGGCCCTGATATATAGAGCCGTCTTGGGTTTGTTTATTCAGTCTCAGACAGTTAAATTTTATCACCATATTAATTACTTTGTACTTCCTTTTGAAGGAAAAATGGGGCATCCAGTGTTAACAGAATGAATGGAGTGATGTTTCCTGGTAACTCTTCTCTATACTCAGACAGGTGGGAAATTCTGTGATTTCTGTAAACTTTACACAGCCTCGTACAGCAATACATATAAAATATGAACTAGTTTAGCATCAAAAATCAAGGCTACGGTGTAGGTAGCTATGTTTTTCCAGATCTGCTGAGTTTCTGTCTTGTGGTGTGATTTTTCTTCTTTTTTTTTTCTTAAAGAACTGGTTGTGCCGATTTTTGCAGTAGGAACATAAATGGACCAGGCACACCAAAACCGCACAACAGACCAAAGCTGTCATTGTCTACTTCACTTTCAACCAACGGGCTCCCGGAATGTCCGGTTGGTAAAGAGCCAGAGCCATCAGCAGAGGAGGTAGAAGAACAGCATGTCAGGTAACGAAAACAAGTATCGCATGTAGCTAAAAGGTTTTTGTTAAAAGGCGAGGGAGCGATATCTTGTTACCCCCCCAAGAGAGACCCTCCATTCATGGAAATCTATAAGAAGAACGAGTATGAGCTCCTATAATCCATTGTGTGTGATCTGTTGTGCTTATTCCTTGTGTTTCTATCATAACTTTAGTGATTCTTCGCTGTCTGAGGGCGACATTTCACCAAACACTGGCATTAAGAACAAACACTCTGACGAGGAAGAGGAGGAAAACTCCGATACGGACAAGCATGAGGTCAAGAGGCTCAAGTTTGATGAAAAGGAAGAGGATGAGGCAGAAGGTGGGGAGAAGGACTCATCCTGTTGTAAAGGGTCAGACAGCTCACCAGAGACAACAGAGTCCTCTAAAGACTCTAGTGGTCAGGAGAATGAAAGTGGAGCGTCTGGTGGTGCACCTACCATTTCTAAGGATCATGGTAAGGCTTCGCTTGGCTTTCCTTTGACTGATATATTCCATTTAAGTATTTAAGCAGTTCGAAATTACAAGGGTCTGAGACTAGGTCAAGTTCTGAAAATAAGAGAAAAGCTAAAGTGTTGTCAAGAAGCTTAAATAGGTTTGTTTTTAATACTGATCTTAATTTATTGAAATCGAATGCTTAAACGGCGCCACACTCCTCAGCTGGCTCAATACGTTTGAGCTAATTAGGTTGTAAGCTTTGACATCTCACAGCATCTAAAGGCCAAAATGTTTGGACGAGAGCACAGCTTGTCCACGCTTGCCAAAATCCTGCCGTCATAGCCACCTCCTGGCCGCGCCTCGCTGCTTTTTTGATCTCATTCCAAGGAGTAGTATGCCATGTCACAAAGCAGATGATTGTACAGCGCGGGTTAGTGTGCACACTTTCTCTCAGAGGTTGTATGGCAGTCGCTGTGACCCCAAAAGCGACAGTGATAGTTGAAGGAGACAATTTAACAGCGGCCATCCTGCCTGAGTTTGAGATACAGCGAGAAAACGGGGATAGCGCTTATCTGAAGCTGACTGTTGCCCTTTTACTTAATAGGCTGCAATTTGGCGGTGATTAACTGTATCACTGCATCGGATGAAATTGAAATGAGTGAAATGAAAATAATGCGCTTTAATTAGTACAGCTCTTTACGGAGGCCACGCAGTGACCCGTGTTTAATTTAACCTAATGCCTTTTTAGCTCAAGGACTTCTCTGATCTTTAAATGCATCATAACCACACCAGCGTAGCATCATAATTTCATAGTGTTGTTACTACTGTTAATGCTGCTATTTATGAATTAAGCCTGTAAACATAAACAGATTTGAATGCAGTTTATTGGACTGTTAACAGCTGTAAAGATAAGTCAACCAATATGTAAGAGAAAGAAATACCAAAAACACGCAAAAGTACAGAAATTTGAAGACATCACTTTAGGCTTTGGGAATGATTCACAAATGTTTTATGTGAAATTAGCGACATTAAAGGTCCTTACACACCAGGGCCGATGTGAATATAGAACGCAAAATTATGAAATATTCGGAGGCGAATTTTGATGCGCCTGACTATACACATCAAGCCTGATGCGATTTTGAAAAAAGTCCCGCCTCCCTGCCTCTGATTGGCTAGAAAAGCTGGAAACGTCATCACACGCTCAAGCCAAACGGTCAGCACTTATAGCCAATCAGAGGCAATAAGATCAGCACATGAAACTATGGTAACAACCGTTAGCTTATGTTAGCACAGATGAAAGTTAAAACAAAGGCGTGTAGCAAACTGTTAAAGCACACAAACCATCGTCACATGAGAAATCTGACGCTATGACTCTGTTCTCTGACACCTAAACAATCAGCCGGTCGGCCATGTTGGATAGACCGGTGAATCTGACGCCGCAACAACACAAAATCTGATTGGTCAAAAGTGGACACACATTATGCGAAACTTTAGAAAAATCAACTGTGATCCGAAAAAATAAATGCTGCAATATCGCAGAACGGGAAAACGTCGCTTATGTGAAGGCTTGTATTGACAAGATACAAGTTCGAAAAAAAAATATTTACGTCCGAAATAATCGCATGACAAAAACGGTCCCGGTGTGAAAGGACCTTTTAACCTGAATAAAAAGTAACCTGCGTTTCATATTGTCCAATTTTGTCCTCAGAGTCCAGCAGCACAGACACCGAACCTCCCGAAGGAGATGACGACCCATCCGACAAAGGCGATGCTCACAGTCTGGAGAAGGACGGCGGCAGCCCGGATCAACCGAAGCAGCCGTCTTCATCGGAGAAGAGCGAAAAGTTTGACGGAGACGGCAGCAGCAGCAGTGACGGAGAGGGAGCATCCAGCGCCAAGCAGGTCCCTTCCTCTGATGACTCCCCCGACTCGTCAACAGAGGGCAGCGCTGAGGATTCAAACAGCACAAAGACTGCAACAGAGCCTGGAGAACATGACTAACATGTAGCCCAGCCTGCTAGCTGACTTTTTTACACTGTATCATACCACACCAAGGGTATATCTGTAGCACTGTGGACCTCTAGACTCCAGCACCAGGAGAGATGTGGACGGCAAGGTTCCTCTCAGACGGATCTTTTGTCCTCTTCTGTTTCAACCGTGAGGCTACACATCCCCTGGTCTTTATACTGGAAGGAAATGATTTAAACGAGATTTCACAGACTCTGTTTTTTTCACTGTTGACTAAAAGTTTTTCTAATCTAATTTCTAATTTTCTAATTTCACAGTCTACTCATTTCGGCATGCATTTCCAAAAAGATAGATTTGAAAGTTTGAGTTGGATTTTGGCCTAAGAGCAGTTGATTATTTCTGATGAATGTGTCTCTCCAGTTGAATGATAAACACGCTGTTAGCTTTTTCTGTAAAGCACATACCATAAAATGTATTTCTTATTAACATGACATTGCACATATTCGCATAGACCCCCTTTGAAGGATATGAAAAATGCTACAGGTATGAGTTGTTACTGTACTGAGCTGATATTAAAACACATAAATTGCCAGTAGTTACAGGTTTTGTTAGATAGTAGTTTTGGCTTAAGAGATCCTTTCTGCTTCAGAATCTGTCAACAGAACACAAGGTACCTTTTCCACTTTCTGTATGTCATACCTTTGTTGTACAATTGTCCCTTTTGATAGCTTGGATTTATACAGTATGTATCTGTAAATCAGTTTTTGTAGACTTGTAATACTTGTCCACTGCCTTCGTAGATCAGTTCGCTGGAAATTGAATGCTTGAGGTTGTATCATAGTATTCATGGAAAGCAATAAATGCTAAAACTCTAAAGTGCAGTTTGTTGTTTTATTATAATGGATGTTGTTATCGCCCTGTTGATGCCGGCTAATGAAATTTTCATTCACTGATGCATCGTAGCATTTTGTTCAATCATTCATGGCTTCCTGACCAAATACTTGTGAAGAGTCATGACATTAGTACCACCTAAAGTGTTGGATAAGAATGCGTGATTACATTAGGAAAGCTATGAGAGACTAAAATATCTCCCTTCTCTCCAGGACTAGAGACTGTGGAACATTTGAATCATGTGAGGATAACAATGCGTGATACTAAAACTGGACTTGACACCTCTAAGCTAAGATTATCCCTGTTGTCAGCTTGTATCAGGGGCCAGGGAGGTATTGTGCCGGGCTAAGCTTTCACCTGTAAACAATAGCTCGAGTTGCCATTAACAGTGACACTGCTTTTCTTCTGGGAACATGCAGTTATTTTTACATTTCTAAGGGTATTTCCTCTGCCCAGGATTCTTACAGAGCCAATAACTTGGCATGTGTTTCACCCATTTCTTTAATACGGCTGCCCTCTTGTTGTGTTGTAATGTCCAAAATAAGCAAATGTAACCACAGAATATTTATTATAGGCTTCAGTAAGACTAAATCAGGCGTGTAAACAGTAATTAGGGTAAGAATAAGTAGACTGACACCTGAAGGTCTGAGCTTTCAGGGATAACAAACTGCTTGGTCTGTGTGAGTCATCAAAGTAGTCTGGGACTTCGAATACCTGAGGTGGTTACTAACTTGAGGGATTTTACCAGCGAGTTGCTTCCTTACAATAAAAATGTTGATACTCTGTGAAAAATGTATTTAATATACTGCAGAGGCTTATTAACACATAGAAGATTTATGTCTCGCCTATTTGCAGGTGGATGCACAGCTTTATGGAAATCCTCTCATGATCTCTCTATGGCCTAATAGATTTTGACAAGTGTCCATTTCTAATCCCTAATCATGTGATCTGTAACAGTCTGTGTCCTGTCTTCACTTTCAGAGGAGAGAAGTCATTACAGAGAAAGATGTTGATGTCAAGGGAAGTATTCAAATACTTCTAAAAGGTCAGAGTTTAATGTAATGTAAGAAAAACTTTCAATTGGCAAACATTCGAGGTGAAAGATTCAGCCATGGGTCAGCGCCTGAGCGAAGAAGGTGACCCAGACAAGGAAATCGACGTTGCGGAGCTGCAGGAGTGGTATAAAAAATTTGTCGTGGAGTGCCCGAGTGGAACTCTGTTCATGCATGAATTCAAGAGCTTCTTTGGTGTCACTGAGAACAAGGAGGCTGCAGACTACATTGAAAATATGTTTCGGGCCTTTGACAAAAACGGGGTAAGAAACAACTTCTGCTTAAGTCGTAAAAGTTAAAGCTTGTCAGAAATCATTCTAGTCTTTTGTGTCTCTTATCACACACACATTAGCATTCAGCTTTTATCAATTAGGATTAGGAATAAATAAAAATAGCAAATTGATGTAATGTGTAAGGTAATAAACGAAAAGTGATGTAAACAGCTTCTAAGATATGATTGTTTTTCAGTCCATTTATTTAGTATTCATAATAAAGTTAAGAAATATTTGCCAAAGAGTGCAACTAAACAACTTTTCATAATATTGTAACCCTTTCTTTCACTTCCAGGATAACACCATCGATTTCCTGGAGTATGTGGCAGCCTTGAACTTAGTCCTGAGGGGTAAACTGGAACACAAGCTCAAATGGACTTTCAAAATGTACGACAAAGACGGGAGTGGATGCATTGATAAGACGGAGCTACTTGAAATCGTGGAGGTAAGACCAGCTATGATTCAGCAGCCTTCAGCGTTTATTAAACTGTAAAACCTTTCATCACGTTTGTTATAAATTGGGGTCGATGCAGGGGTAGCTTTAACATTTCCTGTCACTCTCAGTCTATTTATCGACTGAAGAAAGCCTGCCATGGAGAGCTTGATGAAGAGTGCAATCTGCTGACCCCAGACCAAGTGGTGGACCGCATATTTGAGCTGGTTGATGAAAATGGAGATGGTGAGTGTTTTTAACAGTTTTCTGACAGCTTGAAATGCTTCATGAATCATTCAAAAGGTCATCATTCAGGTTTGTGTCAAGCTTCTGGAAGAGCTTTGCTGAGTGATATGTTTTAAGCGTGCTTGTGGTCATTTTTTGCTGGTGGGTATGGCTGAATCTTTATCCTCTTCTTAACAAAACACCATCCCAAAGAGAGTATATTTCCTGTCATTTAGGGGAGCTTTCTCTGGATGAGTTCATTGACGGAGCGCGGAGGGACAAGTGGGTGATGAAGATGCTGCAGATGGATGTCAACCCCGGGGACTGGATCAATGAGCGAAGGCGCAGTGCTAATTTTTAACTAAGTCATGGATTGTCAATCTGGCACATAAACATAACATCCTATCGCACTCTCCCCTATAAACATTTACAAAACTACAGTTAACCTGGAAATGCACTGCAATATCTGCTTGCACTGAGTTTACTTTTTCATTATAATATGCATTAGTTTCAATGCTTGGCAAGTCATTGTGCAAAATAATTTTATGCAACTTGTTAAAGGTCTGTATTCTATGATTGTTTTGTGTAACAAGATGAGTAAAGAGATATTCAAAACACAATTGTTTTTGTCTGTTTATTGCCTGCATAAAATATTGAGAGATAAAATAAGTAAACGTGTGTCAATTTAAGTCAAGGTTTTTTGACAAAACACCTAAAAATGATTGTATTCCCTGGTAAAAGTGAGACAATACCTGTTTTAAAAGTTGTATTGTTTCTTGACATTACATTTGCAAACCATTTCCTTCATATTTAGAGGCCTGTTAAGTTTTTCCATCAGTTTTCAACTTTAATCAAGCAGGCTGTCGGTTACCTTGATTAAAATTTTTTTTATTTTAAACTCTGTTATTGATATGGTGATAAAAAATTGATGAAAATGGGCTGTTTGTGTTGAATGAAATACAGAGAACATAAAGGAGGCATGTACTCTACAAGCTCTCGTTTAATTTCTCGCGAGATTATGAGCAGTTTGCTCACGTGTTGCCTGCCTGTTTCAGTATTAGCCTTCGGAGTTCACAAATACAACCAGAAAAACATTGTTTTCTTTCAAATTAAAGAAGGAACGGGCATTGAAGTTGTGGGATATTGTACTTAAGCTCTTTATGTTAGCTTAGGGGTCTTTAGGTAGAAGTTGGAAGCACATTATTAGTCGTTTTCAGGCGTCTTCATCACTGTTTGGTTACGCTCACATTCAGCTCACCGCTCAAAAGCTCCGTTCACTGGTCCAAATGTCGTCTGAACCTGAAGAACCAGTCAACACAGCAAAAACTGAGGTAAAGGGTATATTTTTCAAGGAAAAGTTCACATAATTATAGTCTCCTTTCCATTTGCCAGTGTTTCATGGTGTCTCAATATGAGTTTAACACGGTGTTCTGCTGCCCTCTGGTGGTCAGAGTGCAGAAGACAGTTGGAGACTGAGCTATGTAACCGGGGACCTGTTCTCCTGCCCTGAGGACGAGGCTCTGGCTCACTGCATCAGTGAGGACTGCCGCATGGGGGCAGGCATAGCAGTGATGTTCAAGCAGAAGTTCAGAGGGGTTGCAGAGTTAAAGGCACAGAGTGAGTCAGACTTTTATTAAAAATTCATAAGATGTGAAAATGTCTAATTTTAGGAGGGGTATTGATTCCCAGGCGACCATTTCGCTCTGTACTGGTTCAGTTTTCTGCTGAAGTCTATTTAAATGTAGCTTTACAATTGAAGAGACACTTAAAATCTACACAAACAAATCAGAATCAGACTCCTTTATGGCTTCACTAACATTACATTGAAAATAATTTTGATGTTTGTCGCTAAATTTATTCCAAATCTACTCTACAGCCACATAAACATAATTGTACTTGATCAAAATTGGAATAAACACTGTCCAGCAGTAACATTATAAACACCTGCATCATAATACAATCCAACACAATGGTTCTGCCACAAACTTGATTTTCAATTTTCACGGGTGGCAGCAGGCACAGGCATTTAAAACACTGCCATACATCATAAAGGAAAATAAAATACATGTACATAGAAAACAGTTCAGGAGGTAAAAAGCATTAAAGATGATTTAGAAGGTAAAAAAAAGAGCATATGTCAGTCATACCAGTATTTTTGCATGAGCAGAGTGCATAAAAAAGTGCAATTTGCAGTTTGCTTACCAATAAAAGAACCCCTAGATGAAGCTTGATCTAGAATAATAATAATAATTCTTGTTGCTCTAATGATTCAGGTGATTATTTTACTTCATATGTGTTATTAAAAATAAAATTAATGTGCTAGTGATAGGGTCAATAGATGCATTTTTATTTAAAAACATCTTATTAGGTGATTGTATTCTAACTTTTTGTATTCTCTACCCTAACAGATAAAGTTACGGGTCAGTGTGCAGTGCTGGAACGAGGCAGGCGTTTTGTCTACTACCTGGTAAAGATTTGTCCGTTTATTTAGAGGATACCTATGTATGTTTTTTTATTGATCTTTTGGTCAGACACATACAGAGAAAAACATATACCCTTATAAGTTAAAAAACACTGAAATATATTGTGTCTGTTTTCTCATTTTTCATAGTCTGTCACATCTTTTTTTCTTTTACTTTAACTTTACAAACAAGATACAAAAAATAAAATAAATTTAAAAAATATATAAAATAAAAAATATATATATAAAAAAAATATATATACCCTCTAGGAAGTCTACATAGTATACGCGTATACAGTGGAATACAGTATCCTGCATTAAAAACATACAAAAGAGAAATACTATGCAGAGGTAGGATACCTATGTGTGTGTGTTTTTTTTAAAGGTTTTACATATATTATTGCTGTGACATTAATTCAATAATCCACAGATCACAAAGAAGAGGGCAACTGGAAAACCCACCTATAACAGCCTGAAACAGAGTCTGGAGGACATGAAGTCTCACTGTGAACTCAACAACGTAACAAGAATATCAATGCCTCGGTGTGTGCATCTTTACTTCAACTAGAGCCAGCACATACTGTGACATTAAAAAAGTGTTACTATATCAGTTAAAGAGCTTGTTCTTCTCCCTCTGTCTGACAGTATCGGTTGCGGCCTGGATAGACTGGCGTGGGAAAGAGTGTCGGAGATGTTGGAGCAGATCTTCAAACACACGGACATCTGCATCACAGTCTACAGCCTTCCTCAGAGAACAGAGACCAAAGTGATGAGGGAGAACATGCGCAGATAACTGATACAAAGTTCGTTGACTGTCATGAGTAGTTTATGCACTTTTCTGGTGTGGATGAAACTTTTTCACATGTTATGTTTTATATTGTTTAAAATAAATGCTCCCTTTTGGCACTTCAGCACATTTCTACTGATCATCTGTGTGCATGCAACCGTTGATAAAGTCTGGATCAAGCTCTAAAACCTGTCCCTGCCAGTTTTACATCACGTAGTGTTTAATGAGTCAAGTCTTAATGGTCAGACGTCCCTGTATTTGCCGTTTCCTCCATCAGTTAGTCACATTGTTGACTTAGCAAACACTGTATTTGCATTTCTCTCCAGGCATCATACAACTTCCAGAGTGCTCATTGTAGCCTCTGCAGATGGCCGAGGTATTGTTTGATCTATTATTGATCTGCCCGGGTATTGTCCTTCGATACGGCCTCGTACATGACGGGAGGGACCAGATGTGAGTCAAAAGAAAGGGAGAGGGGAGGGCGGAGAACCTGACACCGCAAAGTAAATCCATTTTCTCCTGAATGAGAGATCCTTTTTGACGAATCATGAAAGTGAAGTGGGAAGCAGAGAGCTCACACTTCAGATTTAGCTTCATTTAAATCAGGTGTTACATAAGTTAGATTAAATACTCCCACTAAAAAAAAGGGGGGGGGGGGCTCCTTTAAATAAGTTGACGGCGTGTGTTATGTGTGTAATTATCATAAAGCTCAGCAGCAGGGAGACTGTCTGAGCAATCTCAGTAGTTTGTGACCCTTCCTCTCTGCCATGAGGCACCTTTAATAATTCATGAGGAGAGGCATTAACCGCTGTACACCCGTCCCCCCTCCCCATATATCCCGGCTGGCTGCTGGAAGACTGTACTTCTGCATCACTGCAACCAACCCCCACTCTCCTCCTCCTCCTCCTCCTCCTCTTCCTCTTGCTCCTCCACCTCCTCTCCCATCCCCCTTCCTTCCTTCCTTCCTGGCTATTAGACTTCACACTGCAGCAGAGCCACCTAGCCACGCTGCAGTGAGTGCAGGGAAATCTCCCTCCAGCTGACCCGCTGTCACACCTCTACGTGCCGCGGATGCTGCATCCAAATCTGCCTCCATCCCACTAAATCACCCCTCTTCCTCTCTGTCTTTGTTCCCTTCCAGCTTGTCCCACTGCGGTCCACTGATTCTCGGCTGATGCTCTCCCCCATTCCCACTCTCATCCCTCCTTTTTTTTCTTTCTCCTACCCCTCCCTCTCTTCTCCCTCTGTCCTCCATTCCTTTTTTTTTTTCTTTGCTCAATGCGTATGAAATTGCAGAGCTCAGCATTATTCTCCACAGGCACTTAGGGAAAAAAAAGAAAGAAAAAAAAAAGAGGAGAGGAGAGGGATGAGCTGGGCGGGAGGGTTTCTGGTGCACCACATAACTAGCCCCCCTTCCAATTAAAGAAGAGAGCTTATGTTATTGAAGAGCAGCTCAGCCAATCACGACACAGTGCAGGCAGAGACAGCAGGAAAAAAAAAAAAAGCAGCAGAGCGAGTGGGCAAGAGGAAGGGGAAAAAAAACTGCAGTGTGTGAGTGTGTGTAGTTTTCATCCCTCCCCTGAGCAGATCTTTATCAATTTGTGTACTCCAGTCTTGGGGTGCGTTTGAATGGGTGTCTGTGTGTGTAGATGTGGTGGAGTTTACAAGAGGACTGAGTAAAAGGTGTGTCTAGAGGGCTCTCTGACTCCTGACTTGTTCATGCTGAAACTGGAAATAAGTAAGAGAAGATTGATTCTTTTTCTCTCTATCCCAAAGTGTCTCGGAGCCTGAGGAGACGTGGGAGAGCTCGGCATCCAGAGGAGAGCAACCTGCACGAAAGGTAAGCTGCTGCGCTCCGGGCATGCTTGTTTTCCTCTCACTTCTGAAGTTGTTTTTTTTTTCCTCCTCTTTTTTTGTTTGATGCTCTGGCTTTCTTATCATCTTCTCAATCTTAGACATGCACTTCCCCTTCGAATTTACATGGAGGATTTTTTACTTTTTTGCTTTTTTTACATGATGAAGACTTGACAGACAAGCAGAGGGAGAGGCAGAGGGATAGAGAGAGGGAGGGAGAGAGAGGGAGGGAGGGGGAAGGTTAGTGCGGGACTCCCTGATGCTTCTAGGCAAGTTTCTGTGCACACGGTTCTCTAGTGCTGCAGTATCCCATTACATCCCAGAGTGGAGCTGCCTCAGCATCCAGCCAGAGCGAGTCAAATCATCTCCTAGCTTTCTAAAATCTCCATTTTGAACTTATCCGTCATCCCCACTTGGGATAAAAGTAAAGTTTGCTCCCTTATGCTGCAAATTCACTCTGATAATCTCAGCATGGCATTGAGACTACTGCAACCCATTTCAGTTCAGTCAAGCATGCTCTCATTTTGTATTGGGGGGTATCATAGGGGCTGCTTAGATAACAGACTGAATTGACTCTCATAGCGTTTGAGCCGCGTGATGAGCTTTTTGTGTTGTTTATCTGCTGTTCTGGGACTTCCTTTGACTCTGAGCCTGCAGCAAAAGTAGGCTCTCTGATTGGGCGAAAACGGCTTAGTGACTCCATCGCCCAGAAAAGAAGCAGAAAACATAGTGTGTCATGTTTGCGCGCTTTTATGAGGAGTACTTATTCGCCAAGGATATGTTTCGTTATTCTTAGACGAGCTCAAACAACACAAGAGAGTGACGCTTTGTTTGTTTTGATAGTGAAGGACAGGTGATTCATCCTCGCACATCTTTGTTTTGGTTTCTTGGTATGCATTAATTATCAGCTTGCACTGTTTATTCATTACATCCCACTGCCTTTTCAGAGGAGTCTGACCTTCATCATTTGTGAATGGAGATATGATACTGTCCAGCAGTGGGCAGTGTGTGTTTTCTCTGCTTGATAATGTCTCTCAAACACTGGCCTGCTGCTGCAGCATGGGAGGAAATATGGAAGGACTTAGTGTGTTTTTGTGTGGGCATGCTGTAAGGCATCAAGATGATGAGTACAGCATGTACTTGTGTTTACGTGTAAAAGAAAAAAAGCTTACACTTTTCACCTTCAGATCGGAGTTGAAGGCGAGAGATGTGCACGAACCCGGGCAGAATCCTTGATCCCGCTAACTGGTATTAAATTGTGTTTTAAATTATTCAGCTGTGAGTTATATGCAGGGATAAAGAGGGAGCCGAGGAGGAGATGTAACTCATTTCAGCACCACGGACAGAGCTCAGAGCTGAGGCTTTTGATAAGCCTTTCCCTGGGATAGTCTGAAGTATGGCAGTGATCAGTTTTGAGGGTTTGGATGATAGTTTTAAGGCGTAGCTGTTTCTCAAGATGACCTAATAAACAGCTTCGGAACAAATGTTTCTTAGTCTCCATTTTAGAAGTCAGAGAGCAAAGCACACCCATTTCGAGCCTTTTCTCTTTAAGACACGAGGAAAACACTTTCCATTATTCATGCACTTCATCTTTTTATAGAACACAGTCCATCTTAAAGAGAAAAATGTTCGGTGCAGACATGCTGAACACTCGTCTTCTGTCTGTTTCCTCTGTGCGTCCCATGTGGGAGTCTTTCTTTTATCTTAAAGACATCTATGTGACATCTATCTTGTTTCCTGTAAACCAATTAAGAGCGAATTGAAGAGGTGTTTGGAAACACTGTCAGTAGAATCCATGAGGAGCAAGTGTAATGACAGCAACCCGGACATTTCCAACACCTGCTGTCACACCAAGCTTTGTTTCATGTCATGGTTGAGAGCCACCAGGAAAGAGTCTCTGCAGGATGCAGCCGGCACACTGAGAATCTCATTCGAATTGCAACGATCAGAGACCTCAGCTCCGTAATGGGAAGAGGAAATGAGACCCCCCCCCCACTGCTTAGTAGAAATTAGCCAGTATCTCAATTAAAGACAGAGGCAGAGTGCGAGAAATGGAGGTGGAGGAGATTCAACCAATTTGGATGAGAAAAGCTGGTTTAAAGACAGAGATCTGCAGCCTTTGATTCAACTCTTGATTCAGGTTTTTCAGTCTGAGCATGTGCAGTGTCGGTTGAGGATTGCTAGTTGGATGAGCAACTTCCCTTTAGAGAGAGGTCACTGTGATAAATATGCACGTTAACTCTTTCCTTGAGGGATTGGGATTGTCATCGGTCATCCTGCATGTATGACACCGTCTGTCCCAGGCGGTGCAACATGGGCGTTGAGTGTGCCCCCATAAATAATGGTGTAGGCAGCACAGCAGAGAAGCGAGGGCTGCTGTCAGCGTGACAGACGACAGTTACAAACAGTCCTCAAACTCTCCATGTCAGGACGAGGAGAGGTGCTGGGAAAAAAGGCACCAAACAAGCTGAAATGGGGTTTGGGTTGCACAGATGGTAAGAGTGCAGATGTTGAAGGTGAGGATAACCTCGTGAGGATACTGTGATAAATACAGCAAATGTGTCGAAGGACAGCGTGTGTTCGTGAGTGTGTTCCTTCACCACAATCAGCGAGAGAGCACTTTATCACGCTCTCCAGGGAAAGGTTACAATATTATTCTATGATGCATTTGTGTAAATGTGTTTCTCACTGTGCATGTGAGAGTGCACTAGAGTTACAGAGGGCAGTGGAGTTAAAATGAAGAATCCAGGAGACGGCATTGGACTCTTGGGCTCACAGCCAGCCGCGAAGAGTGTGGAGAAAAAATGTGCACGAAAAGGACCAAAGCAATGAGGAGAAAGTGAGGAGAAGATGGCATGACAAATGATATCAGTACGGGCGAGAGAGGGCGAGAGAAAGCGCGAGAGAGATTGAGAGATTGTCAGAGGCAGAGCAAGAATGGAAGAGAGTGGGTGTGCATAGCAGAGCTACGAGCACTGCAGTACATTGCGGTGCCCAGCCCCCGCTGTGTTCTCTGCTCGCCATCCGGTTCCATGCACTGAAAAGACCCCTGCAGCAGCCGCGCTGCACAGTGCAAAGAGGGCTGCCTGTTGACGAACGGCAACCTCACAAAGAGCTTTTATTTTGACCCGACATTGTGCATCCTGGACTGTTGATGTTGCACAGATTTTTAAAGGGGGGGGTGATGGAAAACACGGTGTTCATGAGCAAAGAAAAAAGAGAGACCTCTGCCTGCGAGCGCATTGTAATGTAGAGAGAGAGGGAGAGAGAGGGGGAGTAGCCAATTCACGCTCCCCCTGGATTATGTAAGCATACAACACACTCACTTTACCCGATACCAGCTGAATGATAGCACCTTCCCTGGCCATGTTGTCCTCATTAGGGACATCTGCCTCTGTGTTTGCTTTGGTTTCCAGAGGTAGCATCTTTGCAAACACATACACGGACTTTATTGAACTTATTGAAAAGGAAACAAAAGGGAGACAAACATCATGTAGCCTTAAAAAGCTATTCTGGTTTGACATCTAGATGATGATGATGCCTTGTTTGCTTATTGAGATATAATGATGCCATAAATGACACTCAAAAAATAAACAGTATTTATTTGATTTGAGGTCAGACAGTGTCAGTATGTGAGAATGACTCAGTCAGGACAGCATCACAGTTCACTTCTGTTCGATTAGTTTTGCAGCTTTTGGCCTGATATTCAAATACCCCCTCCACGAGCACATAAATACATGCATGCAGATGTGAAATTTATCTCCTACATGTGAAAGCTCGAGGAAACGAAGGAGAAGCTTATTTCTGCTTCCATAAACAGTTGCTAAGTTTCCATCCCACTGCCTGCCTGCGGGCTAGGCGACTGAAGCGTGAGAGCTCCCCTCTTTGTATGTTCTTTAGTTTCCCTCCTCTTCTTTGCTGATGTGGCTGATTCACATGGTGTTATGTATGTGAATGTGTGTGTCTATGTCTGTCTGTGTGTGTGTGAGGACTCTCCCTGCTCCTGGTGACAAGTTCTGATTGTGTCTCTCGCTGTGTTCAGGAGGAGTCGAGTCAATTACACCTCGCCAGACAGGTGTTTGAGCTGTTAAGTGTGTGTTTGCCTCTCGGTACATCAGAGTGTGTGTGTGTTTGCTTTCTGATTTGCAGTGAAATCAGCAGCATGGCTTTGATAACGATAAAGCACAAATACTGTATGCGCTGATATCGTGAGTCACGCCGCAACTAAAGATAGTAACCCGTTAGAAATACACTCATTCAGATGAAAAACACTATCAGGTGTTTCTGAGCTAATATCTTTGTAGCAAGGCTGGAAAAATGAACATATTTGTTGTAAAAAAAAACAGAAAGTAAGAGACTCATGTACTTGCATTTGCACTCAGAATGACTTTTTCTATAAGTTCAAGTACAAAAAAGAGCATTTGTCCACTTTCTTTTGCAGCAGCACACTATTCAAAGGTGGCGCTTGGAGGAAAATGCTGTCTTTGAGTATAACCGTGCACGTGTGTGTAAGTGTGTGTGTTTGTGTGTGTATGTGTGTGGGAGAGACGGAGAGAGTGGGAGAGAAAGCAGCTGAGTATTGTAGTGTGGGTGAGCTGCAGCAGCAGGGATCGGAGTGCTGCATTGAGCTGCATAATTAATGTTGAGAGGGAGGAGCTAGAGGCGGAGATAACTTGCCATGAAGAAGAATCAGCCGCCGGTCTGCTTGAAACAGAGCTACCTCCTGTTTTTTTTTTTTTTTTTTTTTTGCATGTTTGTGTGCTATCGCTCTTGGTAGGGGAATATGGATGACATATTTTGATGCAAAACCAAGGAGGCACACCGGTCCAGCTCTATGTCCCCGTCCCATCTGCTCCCTCGGCCCTGACAGCCAATCACTCTCCAGCGAGCTGCGCAGCACAGCCAAATGCCTCAATGCTGGCTGCACGGCTCTGTTAATCATCCAATTTGTAGCAAAGCAGCTTCCTATATGACACATCTGGTGTAACTCTCATCTGGTCTGTCTGAATTGGACCATGAGGAAGTAGGAGGAGGAGGAGTGGCTTTCATTCTGCAGGATTGCTGTTATATTTAGTCTTTTCACCGAGTGCTTATAAAAAAAAAGAAGAGATTAGCTGTATTTTCACCCTTTTTTTTCTTCAGGGACAATCTCAATTATTCTCCCCTTTGTTTTATTTTTAAATGCTGATTCCCTGCATTAGAGACATCTGCCGGCTCAGCCACACATACAAGCATTAGGTGTGCACATGCATGCACATGTGTTTGGTGGAGATGCAGTCAGGGAGTGTGCAGCACCCTGAGATGAAGATAAATGTTTATGAAGGCATGTTATGTACATTCAGAATAGCATTTTTATAACTCTATCTGGTAGATGTGATAGCAGTGTCAGAGCTGATGAGTCTGTTTGGTTGTAGGGATCACATCTATACTCTTCTGCTCTGCTTGCGCCTCTGTCATAAAGCTTTATCATCATTCTTGCCGTTCTGAGTTCTTGACATTTATTCTGCTGCAACATGCCCATCCTTCACGCCCTCACCGCCCAACACCAAAGCTTTGCACGCTTGTGAAACAGAACCAAAATGTTTTCCTCTCCTGTCCATATGCTGCGTTGAATCTATTTGATTTCCTTTTTCATTTTTAACTCAAAGCAGAAGCCGCTCTTTGTTGAGACGCGTCTGCCAAAAAAGCTTCTGTGGGGATCTGTCCTTGTCAAAAAAAAAGGGGGCTGAGGGATGGCACAGAGGCTTTTGAAATGCACCCTGTGTCGACTCCAAGCTTCTCAATACACAGCGAGGAAGCCGGTAATGACTGCAGTTTCATTCTGGTCCCTGAAGAGCCACAGAATCAAACTTAAATTACAACCCAACATTATCAAGTGCAGGTAGAGACTGATGCAATTGAACCTCGGAGATAGGAGCCCCCGAGAGGTGCAAGGGGCATCCTATAGCTGCAATATCAAGCTTGTTTAAAGGGGAGTGATTTAATTTGTCTGAAAAGCAACGTTGACTTTGTGATAGTCTGCCCACAGTTGTCTTCAGAGTTATGCCTGCAGGGTGTCAGTGTGTGGAAAATGTAGTTCAAGGGTTTCGTATGTATTTTCTGTATTTTTCTTCTATCTAGAGAGGCATCTGGCAGCGTGATCGGGAGTTTCTCCTGCTTTAGAGAATCAACACAGGGTCTCATTAAATGTATTTTTTCCCATCTCCTGAAATATAAAAAAAAAGAGGACATGTTTGGCTTTCTTTCTGCAGTTCTGTGGGGCTCTGCAGAAGGAGAAGTGAGTTGCCAAGTGAGAGTTTGTCCATCTGACACTGATAGTTGAGAGGAGTGCAAACATCAACAAAAACCTCGAGAAGATGCTTCATTTTTTTCCCTGCTTTTAAAATAATCCCAGCCTTGAAATGAGCTTAAACTACAGGTTGCTTTTTAATCATTTTATCTTCTTTTTGTGGTCGTTTCATCCTACCTGTGAGCCTCTATCATCTTTGCTGGTTGTTTGTTTATGAAGCAGAGGTATACAAGGACATGCTTTTCATCAGAGGAACACTATGTGAGGCAATATCAGCCAGAGGAACAGAAAGAAGAGGGTGGGAGAGAAAGAGGAGGAGGGTGAGGACTTTGTAGCAGAAGCTCAGCGTGAAGGCTGCATCTTTTGTCTTTGCTGAAGCAGGTGTGTCGGCGAAAGACAGGGTAGAGAACAAATAAAACCCACCGTGAGCTTTATAGTAGTACTAAAATTTGCTTCATGTTTTGTTGCAGTGATAAGACCACATGAACGCAGCTCTACCACATTTTTATTAATATTATTTTTTTATTATATGTATTTTTTTTCAGCTTTTCAAGTAGTGTAACAGTGCACTCCATTTCCCAATTACCACCTACTTTGACTTCGATAATTCATGCCAGAGCTGTTGTAATTTAAACGTTCAATGAGACAGGAAGTGTAATGTAATGGATGATCAGCTTACATTAAAAGTATAATGAATAAAGGGGTGTGTCTGGACATGTTTTACCATGGGAACCCTCAGTGTGTGCACTGACTCATCCAGAGGTGATATGAGGTGCGCCCACACATATAAATGGCTGTCTTGTATCTATTTCAACTGATAACATTCAAGTATCTGAAACATGCTATATAACTTGGGTGATTTTAAAGGGATATTCCGTCATAAAATTTATTTAGGGTCAAACACACCGTAACACTGAGTTAGACAACCCCTTCGAGAGTTGAATGTTGCCAACTGCTTCCTTCTCTAGTTACACCAACTTTAGTATTGACTGCAGGATAGCAATACACAGTGGTCTGAGGAGCCATAAACAAACCTCAACCAAAACTCTACTCTATAGCCACAAATAATGCTCAGAACAGCACCTAACTTCATCAACAGTACATATAGGGTCCCAGCCACAGCACTAGAAACACAACTCACCTACTCTCTTCCAGTAGCCACTTGTTTGTAGTGAGACCTCAGGCCAGTCCATCACCAACTGCTGTCCGTAATGGACTGGCCTGAGGTCTCGCTACAAACAAGCGGCTACTGGAAGAGAGTAGGTGAGTTGTGTTTAGTCTCTTTGCTAAAGAAATTAGGCGAAGTTAAAAGATGTTTGGTGGCTAGTACTATGACTAGGACCCTACATGTACTGTTGATGAAGTAAGGTGCTGTTCTGAGCATTATTTGTGACTACAGAGTGGCATTTTGGATGAGGTTTGTTTGTAGCTCTTGAGAATGCTGTGTATTGCTATCCTGTGGTCGTTACTAAAGTTGGTATAACTAGAGAAGGAAGCGGTCGGCAACATTCATCTCTCGAGGGGGTGTCTAACCCAAAATTAATTTTACGCCAGAATATCCCTTTAAATGCGAGCGGTCAGCACACTCCTGACGAGGTTTCACTGCAGAAAACAGTACCAGACAACCCCCAGCATCTGATTCACCACACAGCAGTAACTACAGTAGCTGTTAGCAGTTGAGCAAGTTGAGGGTTACGTTTGCCAATATTTCCTATGGCTATTTTCCAACAATGAAATGACATGGTGCGCACATAACTAACTAATGCGAATGACCTCATCCATCAAGATGATTTGTGTCTGAGTCATGTCAGATAGATTTTCATCTGCATGGTGTTTTTTCTAATCATGAAGACAGCTCGGATGACCTGGAGCTACTTCATGAAGTCATCAAACCCAGGCATCCCGTTTCTCGTTTGACAGTCTTATCTTTTATCTTTATTTCACATTTCTAACACTTAGGACTTATTGTTTGTAGCTTTCTTGATTTTATTCCTATTCACTTATATATTGCTGGATTATTGAATTGCACATACAGCTCTGGAAGTAAGCATACAGCAACACCTTGAGTTTATTGTGGTGACCATTGTGTTGGTTGTCACATGTCATAAAACAGAGGAGAGGTGGAGAAGAAGCAGCAGATATTAAGGAGGTAGCTTAAGGAGCCCTCTGAAAGATAAGGAGGCACTTTTAAAGGAACAGTGCAAAGAATAGGAGTGTTATGCGATAGCTGTCCTAGTTCATACTGAATGCTCAAGGACAAAAAGCTCCTGCAATGCAATGAATGATGAATGCATGAGTTTGATTCTGAATTCCACCCACCATTTTTTTATGACGCATTAGTTATCAGGGCCAGTTATTCTGAAATTAAAAGACCAAAACATTATATCTTAACATTTGTGAATTGAGACATATTTAGACAATAAAACAAAACCATTCATATGTATCACACACACAAACCTGTGAGAAGATGAATAAGAGAAATACTCATTTCTTCAGTGGTCTCCTCATTTCTCCTAAGGCTGTATACATTTACATACTGTATTTATTCATACATATTTCCTATATTCCCTCATAATGTTACTCTGTAAAAAGAGCAGCTGAAGCATCCAAAGTACCCTGGGGATAAATGTAGTATATCAGACTCTATTTTAAGGGAACTGCTGTAAAGCAAACACTATTAATATTCATCTCTTTATGAAAACACATAGCATTGATTCTTAAACTGATGTCAAACCCATGACTCAGCATTAATAAAGCCTGTCTGTTGGGATCAGATTTACTACAAAGGCATGCTCTACAGCGTGGTGTCACTTTTTTTTTCTGTTTCTGGTTCCTTGAATGAACAGCTCCAGTTTTGTGAGTGGCAGGTCACTTATGTTGCTTTGTGAAGCTGAAGGTGCTCCGCTGAGCGAGGAGTCATCCTCTTTACTCATTCTCCGCTCGGGCCATTGTGCTGCTGCCATTCCCACAATCCAGACCCGGTGACACTGGTATTCAGTAAACTGCATGGAAACAGAGTGTTTTTAACAAACAGAAGCAAACACCTGCTGGCGGCACTTTTCTTGGACTTTAACAGAGTGATTTTTTTTTTTTTTTTGCTCTTTCTGCTTGTATTTGCCAAGTTTGACAAATCATCAAGATTTGATCTTCCCCAAAGAGACTATTGACTTAACAGGAAATTGGTCAGTGTCTCTAAGAGCATGATAGGGTTGCAAAAATCTATTTCCTCCATGATAGAGCTGGTAATAGTCGGGTCTTGCAGAGGGGACACGGCTTTCATTGTACTATATTGATCAAAATGATTTCTCCTATCCTTTTGTACATGTCTGGAGTAAAAGCCCAATCCGGAGAGCTGTTCATAAATATATATTTTTTGGCAATCTTTATTCTCATCTGGAAAGCTCTCCTGAATCATACCGCAAAGCCTCATGATACTGAGATTCACACTGCACATCCTCTTTCCCTACCAACTCGGTGTCTTTTATGTGAATAAGGATGCGTCTCGAATTATAGCATGGCAGTGTTAATCGCCTAGAGCTTGCATGAGAGTGGTTGTATAATATCTGACAGCTCAGGAGGGAAAATAGGTAAACAAAAAAAAAGGAGGGGGGGTGGAGGCACTGAGATTCCTCTGTGGTGGCCTCGTGTGCTGGAGGGAAGTGTGCTTTAATTCGGAGCATTAGTGAATCATGACTGTTGCCGACTCTCATTTTCCTCCTCATGTTGTTACATCAAGACAGCAATAATCATCCTTGGAGATTTAGTCTGTACTTTCGCCGACCATTATCCAATTTTTTCTTTGCTTTTTTAATATGTTACCGACAATAAAGTAAACCCCATGAGCAAATCTATTAAACAGGAAACATGCAACCTTTTTGCCTCTCAGGAATCTTTCGTCCATCTTCATCTCGTTCACCCCTGTTCCCTGCTGTCTCGGCTCTCTTCTCTTTTCTCTTCCCCTCTCTCATTTTTTGGTCTGACCTTTGCTCAGATTCTGCTTTTCTGTCTGCTGGTTACAGGCACTGGTCTGTCATAGTTGACTCTCTAGTGAGATGACAATGTGGACACTGACAGGACTGAGCAGCTTTAGCCAGCAGACTGAATATAAAACTATACATGAACAGAAAAAAAAACATTTTTTAACCTCAAATAAATCTGACTATTCTGGACCTTGTTGCAAAGAAAAGGCAAATGAAGGATGAAATTTGTGTCTCAGGTTTGTGTATCTGGTATGAGTAAGAGATGATGTATGGTGAGCGGGTGGTTAGGCGAAATAGAGTCCTGACAGGGTGAGACGACCTTGACGCAAAGCTCATTTTACATTTTCACTTATAGCTCAGCTACTCCCTTAAAATACAAACAAACTAAAACGTAGCCCTTTAATGCCTTTTATCATATTTAATACTCATATGATACTTCTATCAAATCAATATGATCAACAAATTACTAAAAAAACACCTGAATACAGTCTGTTAAATGATAAAAATGTCCTCTTATGGTTTATTAGTTTCCAAAAACATATCAAATGAGATAAATATATATGTATATTTGTTAAATTCTAGAGACATTTTGATTTTTTGGTTTTCAGTTGTAAGTGAGATAAACATTTCAGCTCCAAAAAATGTGAATTTTCTGGCCATAATTTGCGGTTTCAGGCATTAAAGGGTTAATACTGATCTTAAAGGGATATTCCGGCGTTAATTTAAGTTAGGGTCAAACACACCATAACACCGAGTTAGACACCCCCTCGAGAGATGAATGTTGCCGACCACTTGCTTCTCTAGTTATACCAACTTTTGCAATGACCGCACGATAGCAAAACACATAGGAGCCACACACAAACCTCAACCAAAACTCTACTCTATAGCCACAAATAATGCACAGAACAGCACCTAACTTCATCAACAGTACATAAAGGGCCCCAGCCACAGTACTAGCCACCAAACATCTTTTTAACTTTGCCTAATTTCTTTAGCAAAGAGACTAAACACAACTCACCTACTCTCTTCCAGCAGCCACTTGTTTGTAGCCAGAACTTGGACCAGTCCATTACGGACTGCTGCGGGGTGACGCAGCTCAAGGAAGGACATTTATGATCATTTCTTCATGGAAATGCAATCAGACTGAGACGCTAAGGCAGAAGCAAAATCTGCAGTTCAAAATTACTAATACTGTGATTATTACTGAAAGGAAATGATAAAGTAATGATCAATAAAGTAATGACCCTGGAATATCCTTTTAAGATGACTTTATTAATTAAACTATTTACCTAACTTTTACCCTTAAAAAAAATTCTCTTGGGCTCCATCCCCACAAATATATGAAAACATATATTTCTCAGCACTTTGACCCCCCTCGTCCACATGTAAACAGAAATATAGGTCACCTAAAATGACGTTTTGAAAAATTTGTAATACTCTGCTTTGTCTTTTCTGTGTGGAAATGCAAAATTAAAAGTTATAAGACACACATGGCATTTTTCGTTTCATGTATTGCACATCTGCTGAGATGGCAGGCTATCAGTCCTCTTCATTATTCTGCAGCACAGGGACAACACTAAATGGCGCTTTGATTTGCCGCTCAGTACACAATGTAAACACCACTTAACATTGACATTCACTCAAAAACACTCTCTTTACACATGTGCACAATGTTCTTTTATAGTGTTCAGACATGACAGATTGATTACACAGTATTGCTGCTTATTTGCCCTACATGTTTATGTCGGTTTTTTCATCCTTTTCTAGTAGTCATGCTTGTGTAAGCTCCTCTCTTCCTGTTACTTTTCTATTTGCATTTCCTTCTCAGACATCCAGTCCTGTAAAGTCCGGTTTAAGGTTGCTTCTTGTCTGATTTCTTTAACTTGATTGCTGTCTTTCTCACTCAGCTCCTTGTGTGTTTTTAACATTCCCCCCTCCTCTTCTTATCTTCCTTTCTCTGCTGTTTTCTGGTCAAACAAAATCTACAATTTCTGCTCCCAAAACAAATTGAGAGTAATATTTAAGAAAAAAAAAGTATCAGTGATTTTGGAAACTGATGTTTTTGTCATACAAGATTACATGAATGTGCCAACCCCCCCTTTTGCAAATTGACCTGGTTGTCACTGTTGTCTTTGGGTTTTGACCAATCAGAATCAAGTAATTAACACACCAATATGATTAACTAGTAAGGTGTCTTCTATCTCACCTGATCTCCTTTAGGGAGAAGAAACCAAAGAGCAGTTCAATTAAGAAATTAATTACATTAAAGGATAATTAAACCCTGGAAAAGTAAAGCAGAACATCCTACAATGTCAGTTTTGCAAAATGATTCCTGATTTTCGTCATCTCTAAGCCCATTTTGCTCTAAAGAAAATCCTTGCAGGTTCCTAAACAGAACAGACAGGCAGCATTAGCCGGTGTTTTTTCCTTGTCGAGCTCGTGAAGTGATGTGCTTCCCTGTGTATTGTCTGCTGTTATGTAAACCTGGCTGCTGTAGAGAGGCTCTCAATGCAGCGCATGGTACCGTTTATCTAGGACAAGGCTGGTTGTGTGCCCCCTCACAGAACTGCGTCAAAGGGGGCTGAGAAAATGAGCTTGATATTTGGTGTTTTTTTTTCTCTCTCTCACTCATGCTTTTTCAGCAGAAATGCCCTTGACAAAGTGGGTGATGATTCAGTTCGCTGTTCAGCCTCAAAATAGTCGTGTGGGGTTAAAACACTTACCACCGCTGTTGAGACCCGAGTACAGCTCCAGCCCGGTCATGCATTCTTAATACACTATTGGTGAGGTTGGTGGGCGGGGAGTCGGTGAGGGAGGGTGTTCTTGTCACTGATTCGTCGGGGTTCCTCTTTTGGTTGTGGTGGGATCTGGAGGATTTGATGAACTCTCGGGTTTCCCATCAACAGGAAACTCATTTTCTCATGGGTTGCACACCTTATTTTGAATTTGAGCGTTTGGTTTCTGATCTGGGTGGAAAAAAATTGTAGATTTTCCTAAACTGCAGCTTGGACTTGCTTTAAAGGGATATTTAAAGGTGTAAAATTAATTTAGGTTAAACACATCTTAACACCAAGTTAGACACCCCCTCGAGAGAAGGATGTTGCTGACTGCTTGCTTTTCTAGTTATACCAACTTACCGCAGGATAGCAATACTTGTTTATGATCTTTACTATATAATTTCCTTGAAGTAATAATCATCATATTAATAATTTTACACCGCAGACACGGTAGTTCTTCTGCCTCAGCATCTCGGTCTGAATGCATTTCTATGAGGAAATGATCATAAATGTTCTTCCTTGAGCTGCGTCCCCCCCGCTGCTGTCGATGGACTCGCCTGAGGTCTCCGTACAAACAAGCAGATGCTTGAAGAGAGTAGGTGAGTTGTGTTTAGTCTCTTTGCTAAAGAATTTAGACAAAGTTAAAAAGATATTTGGTGCTGTTCTGAGCATTATTTGTGACCACAGACTGGCGTTTTGGTTGAGGTTTGTTTGTGGCTCCTGATACCGCTGTGTATTGCTATCGTGCAGTCGTTACTAAAGTTGGTATAACTAGGGAAGCAAGCAGTCAGCAACATTCATCTCTCGAGAGTGTGTCTAACTCTGGGTTATGGTGTGTTTGACCCTAAATTAGTTTTACGTCGTGGTGGAAAGATGGCTCCTGTACAGATTTGATTGCAGTATCAGTGGATCTCTGGTAAACACCAACATGAGAAGCGTCCTCACATCAACTCAGAAACCTCTAAAAAAGTTGCACACTTGTTTTGATACCAGCCTAAATTACACTCGATTTCGCTGTTGTGTTCCTCTCTGAATACATCGGTTTCTGATTTGAATCTGCACAGAGAGAAAAGATTTTACCCTTGAGAGTTTTGAGTATGTGATGCTACTGCAAGATGCAAATTCTGTGATAGGTGGATATTGTTTTTCTACTCTATCTAGCATGGGTCATTTAAGGTTCTAATAGTTCGTGTTTCGAATAAATAATCTTCACAGTAGCATACTAAAAACATGAGAAAGAGAATGATGTGATTCAAGTTAAACCAGCTTTTATCAGAAACAATCAGCATGTCTTTACAATCAGTTTAAGAGCCAAAAGTAGTTTGAGTTCCCTCGATGGATGTAACCAAATCAATTCCTTTCGAGGACCAATTTTTGGACGGGACTTTTATTCATAACATTTTATTCAAATCAGTTTGAAAATAAGGATTAACTGCTGTTTGCGAGAAGACGATGACTTCTCAGCTTGGCTCTATCTCAGTTGGCAAGCTTGTTGTCCAACATAACGTTTCCTGGGCTTCCCTGGTGCCTCCTCTCCCTGAGAAATGAATGGACTTTTGGTGACTAGCTGATTGCGCTCCTCTCAGCCTGAATGCTTAGTGAAACAGCACAGAGCCATTACAAAGTACTATTCAAATTGACATTCCCTCCTTATCTAGTTGCTGGCATGTGGCTGAAAAGTTGGGGAATCTCTTAAAAAACATCTTTTTTTTTTATTTTTTATTTTTTGCAGGCTCACCGTTTTTATATTATAAAAAAGAAAAGACTACAAATTGGAAAGTTAAGCTGCCGTAGAAGTTAAACCAACTGTGCTCTACATTTTAAACAGCTTGTGCTCCAGCTGAGCTCGCTCTCCTTGTGGGGTTTTTCCAGACATAATGCCGAAGCTTTTAGTAGACGCAGAGCTCAGCCCCTGATTTATGAAGCATATGCATTCTGTAGTGTTTGCATAATTCATACCGAACGACAAACTCAGGATGTTGTGGAAAATTAATTTTTGTTTGATGCTTGTTTTCCTTCAAACAAGAGAAATCCTTTTTTGATTGAGCTTTTCAAAATGAATCATTTTACTCGACACTGAAAACATCACTCATAAATGAGACAGTTTAAAACAGGATATTTCCTCCAGTCTTACAGATGTTCACACGGATATCCAAACAAAGATGTTGTCAAATGATCCAAATGAAAATCAGATCAGTGGAAAATCCGGCTTTGTAGACAAGTTACCAAACCACAAGTCAAGACTCACTTTGACTAGACTTCTAACATACTGGTGAGATCTTGTCCGGACAAATAGCATCACACAATCCAGTCGTCACTACCCAATAAGTAATTATCAAAGCAAATGTCAGCAACCTTGCTTTGCCCTCTAACACCGACCTTACGTTTGAGAATCCCACTAACAAGGTCATGTGACTTTCACCACCTGAGTATTATCACCGGGGCGTAATCAATGATGAGTTTTAATGACGCTCGAAATATCCATTTTCAATCAATAGCAGCGAAATATCACTGCTGTGGGTCCCGATCATGGGGGGATTATAAAGCTGTTCAACATCTTTAATGAAAGGATCGATGGGCTGCAATTTGTGGAGCAGAGGGACTGAAACCGGTGAAAGAAAACACATAAAAACACTTTTAACAACCGGACCCAAGCTGCCCATTTCCTGAGAAATTGATTTTAATTTTTTACTTTTAAAGCTTTGTATTCTCACTGCTGTACTCCGTTTTTTTGTGTTGTTGTTATGTGGTACTATGAAGCACAGAGTAATCTTGGTTTGATATATGCTGTACAAGTAAGCTATTTTGTAATGGAGCTATTTATAGAGAGGATGGTTGTGTTGAGTTCAGGCCAAAACAGCAGCACAGAGAGTTTTACATGAAGATCAAACAACAGATGACAACAAACAAACTGGAGACATCAGTAAAATTAGCAGCAGGAAGTAGTGACATGTTTGCATATGCAGATCAGATGATCCTTAATACCGGCTTTTAAAATCTGCTAGCATATTACAATTCTGCTAATGTGTTCCTGTAGCTGGTAACTTGGGTGTGATGCCATTCTCAGCTCGGACATCTGACTTCCGAGGTAACTCAAATGCTGTATTAGATCAAGATTGGGAGCGAAAGCATGAAACTAGATACGCTTGTGTTCATTAAAGCTCCTGTGAGGAGTTTTTTCACTCTTTAAATTCATATTGATAACGAAAACATAGAGGACCATCAGTGATAAGGTTGTCATCTTAGTATACTGTAATTTCAAAGGCTAAAACCAGTGTGAGGGCATAGCTGTCAGTGGAGCAGATAAACAGCTGTACTTTTTCAAAAGTTCCTTACAGGAGCTTTAAATCAGTCAATCAATCAGTCTTTATTTATATAGCACTTTTCATACGCGACCATGTAGCACAAAGGGCTTTACACAGAAAAAGGATTAAAAGAAACAAAGAATACCCAAATCTACACCAGCCCAACCCCTCATTCCCACCCCACGATCTAAACGCAACAGAGACAGAATTAAAATGCATGTTTAAGTGCTTAAAAAGGGCTTGATTTTGTGGAAACAGCATATGCACACTGAGGAAACGCCAATTTAAAACCCAAGATAAGGAAACACTGGAGGTTTACAATAAAATCTAAAACACTTAAACAAAGTTAATGATATAAAATTTAATTAAAAGTAAGACTAAAAAGGTACGTTTTCAGTTTGCTTTTAAATGACCATATTAGATGACATCAGACACTGTTAAGACCAAAGAAAGAGGTCATAATGACGCAATGTGTTAAATTTGGCTCAGCATATAATGAATTACTGCTATTATCTATGAGAAAAGTGCCCATTTAACCAAAGGAGGGTAAAATGTTATATTTCATACACCTGTCAACCCTTTCTAGCTCATTGTAGTGGCATAAATTGTCTCCAAATCCCTTTTTTGCTTGAGTTATTTCACATTAGAAACACTATTGAGACAAAAAGGGTCAAATACGGTTCAGTTGTCTCACACAGAAAAAAAGTCAGGAAATGTACACAGAGAAAATAATTACATGGGTAATTCTTTGAGTGGCTGAATGACAAGACACAATATTAGGTTTGACGTGCAGAATAACTGATAATCACAGACATAATGAGAGCCAGCAGTGATTCGCTTCTCCTGGCATATCTGCAGCTTAAGACAAAAAAGCAGTTTCCTGAATATTGTTGTGGCGACTGTTGCATATTTTCCAACTCCCAGGGAGATTTTGAATGGCTGAGTTATGATTGGAACAAGCTATTAGTTCTCTGACAGATACCAACTGGAAGTGATTTGATCTAATTTTAGTAAATGCACTATGTAGACAGTTAATCAATCAAAACTGTCACTAAAACAGGAGCCCAGAGAGTCAAAGCGAAAACTGGTTCACATCATGATTCTTTATATAAACTTTGTGAATGTTGGGTTGTTTATTTTCCCAGAAATACTGAGTGCACAGTAAGCCTGCAAACTGAATTCATGACATTGTCAGCGATTAGTCAGATGTCAGGCGTAGCAGCCCTCAGCCCTCAAGAACGAAGGCGTTGCATTATTGAAGTCTGAATACGGGACATTTTGTCTCTGGAGGAGGGAGGCTTTGAAACACCAACGAGGGTGAAGGACCCAAAGTCGAGAGGATAAATCATCCCTACATCCTGGCATGTGGGCGCTCAATATTTAATGAGGGATATTTTTTCATACTCTTTTTACAGTTACATTCTCCAGCTCAGGTAAAACAGGAGAGAGGGCTGCAGAAATATCACACAGCTCACAATAGGGTGTGAAATTACTTTATCACCTGAAGAATTTCTGTATAATCCATGTTCCCGCATCTTGACCCGATAGTTCAGGCGCTCTTTGTACTTTATGATTCACAGTGAAAATTAAACTGACCTCAAGGATCAATGCTGTTCTTGCACTTCTTTGCACACATCAGCTATAGCCTTGACAAGCAGCAGATGGTGTGCTCTACAGTGATTTACTGCTGCATAGCCGGGGGTGCGGTACTTTTTGTGAGGCTTTTTTTTCTCCTGAATAATTGATAGAGTACTGACAGTTGGCTGTGTAGGGTTTCACATATTGGGGATGGAAGGGGAAAATTTGGCTGGTGTTACGGAGTTTCTTCAACGCTCGCTGGTTTTTAATTGTCGGGGCATTAGCTTGCATCTGTTTGGATGCAGGAGCAGGAGGAATGATGTTTATTTTTATGTTGAAACCCAATAAAATGCAATGTAATCTGAGAACTACCTGCAAACCTAATGACGGGGGAGAATAATCTTGTTAATTTGTGAACATTATAGGTGGATTTGTTGCAGTTTGTACAGATGTTGCCACCTAAAAGCGGAATAAAACATAGATCAAGCAATTTTCAAGCTCCCCTTATCTAATCCAGCTAGGTATACAGTAGGGCCCAACTGACATGGATTTTTTTGGGGCCAATACCGATTATTCGGGGGGAATAAAATCTGATTAATTGGCCCGATTTTTTTACATTTTTTGTGAGGTTATAAAAATATATATATACTGTAGATATCTACAGAATACTATATACTGTAGATATACTGTAGGCTACTGCTCTTCATGCCGACAGGAAGACTAACTAATCAGAAAGCGTTTTCAACTACCCCCCAAACCGAATCTTATTCTCCGCATTTTATTTCTGAACATATCGGCGAAAATCGGCGAGTTTTGGCCGATTACCGATTAGTCTCAAACAGGCTAGAATTGCCCGATTTAATCAGCTCATCGATAAATTGGTCAGGCCCTACTTATAATTCATGATGACTTAAACAGCAGCTGTAGCTTTTTTTCTAATTCTGCTTACATTTCAAACTAAACAAAACTGCTACTAAGCAAATAGAGAAACATCCTTGTAAGGATTCATCCAAGGATGCAGATATTCAGCTGTGTTTCCTCTTGCCAGGGTAAATGTAGGAAAATAAATCATTGTGAGGCAGAGGCTTCTTGTGTTTTTTTAATCTAACCAACTTGATGATTATTAATCGTTATCTATTTTAAAGACATTTGGTACTAATTAGTTTTTTTGTTTCCACTGTGTAACTCTGGGACTTCTCACCTGGCGGCAATTGCTTATAAATGGGTAACCAAATTGTCAGTAAGCCCCCCGATGAAAACCCGGGGCTGAAATCTGTTTGTTACTGTCATTATTCAAAGTTATGGACTTTTGTGGGAGTGCTGGAGCATATTTGATGATATTGCATCAGCGATGGATCATTGTACATGCAGGCACTGGGGGCATGGCTCCTGGAAGAGGGTGTCTTGGTCTGTCTTGTGCAGACACTGGAGATGGAGTTGTTTTAGCTGACTTCATTTGCCATCAAGAATATCAAGACAGAACTATTAGGCTGTCATTCACTTTAAAGCTTCGATGAGGTGTTTTAACTGATTGTTAAATAGGTGATGCCTCCTGATGGCTTACCAAGACTGTTGGAAGATTAAACTGCAAGTTGCTCATTCTGCTGAATCGACCACAGCAGGAGAGGGCAGAGGCTATATAAAGCAAAGAGGCAATAATTCACCAGCTGAATCCATGAGGCAGAATTGTTAATAAACCAGATTATTCATTTAAAAGCCAGCAGAGATGAATACCACCCTCTCCCTGTCAACAGTTTGGAAAACATCAGCAGTATTTCCAGCTTATCCGATAAGCGCGGACTAGCAGAACAGCTTGCAGCCAACGTTCACCACACTGAGTCATTGTTCAGGTGTTTTTCACTGTAGCAAACACTCAGAGAGCCTCGTTAAACGGTTACATAATTTATACACAGATTTCTAGTAAAGCCAACGTTAACACCCTCTTCATGACATCTGCAGAGACGGTTTCTCGCAATAACACAACTGCCAGCATTTGGCATATTTCACTTACTTTCATGAAGGAAAATTTAATCATATTTGAATGTTTGATAAATCTTTCTTTAGCATTCAATAGACAATTAAGACAGCAAATAACTCAGTTGTTTCAGTTGAAGTAAGAGTCTAAATAAGTGACTTCTCCAAGGGTGAGGAAACAATCAGAAAACAGTCAAAATTGAAGAAAGTATATTTACACAGAGTAGGGCTGGGTGATATGGCCTCAAATCAATATCACGATATATTGAGCAAGTCACCTCGATAACGATAAATGGACGATAACTATTCCAGAAGCTGCTAACCCCTTCCCACATTAACTTCCGCTACTTCAGCTGCCGCTTCAGCCGCTACAACCTTTGAACCTTCCTCCATCTCTTCACCTGTCTTTCCCTTTTTGTTACGGACTGGATGAGGTGGAGTCACGTCTCTGATGTAGGGCAACGTCTTAAAGGGACATGAGACCATAACCTACCTACACACATCGAAAACCAATTTTTATTTATTTATTTTTTTGACACTGAATATACCAATATGGACAAAATGATTGGTTTTGGTTATTGTTCTAAATTTTCGGTTTATCGCCCAGCCCTACCACAGAGTCCCAGAGTGTCACTATGATAGCAGAGCTAGCACCACCTCCAGCCTTCAGTCCTCCTCACAGGTTTGTGTCCACATGCCTGTGCTGCTTACACATTGGCAAGATCAAGTAGTTTTATGTAAGTGTAACCAGACTCAGCTACACACAACTTTATCTCTATTTTCTAAATCAAAATACTGCTAAATCACACTGCACTATGATACCGTCTGTCATCTGTGCTCTAAAGAGAAAAGCCTAATTTGAAAATCCATCTCTGTCTGCCTTCAAGAACAGAATACTGAGCCGGCTTTTTGGCTCCTTAAACAAGCCTCTTGGTGAATGTGGTCCATTGGTTGGCCTCCAAGCCAACCTGCTGTTGCCTCTCCTGTTACCAGAGCAAAACCATGCATGGTTGATTTGATAGTCTCATAACACAGAGCCATGTTGGGAGTATTGGTTTGGACTGTTCGGTGTGCATTTTGCCCGAGAAGTAAAGCAAATTTGAAAACGTTTACTCGCCAAGCAACAAGATTGTTTGTGTTCTGTTGCCAGCTGACACTGACTGCCAGCTAAATCTCTGTTGTGGCAAAACATCTCGGTCCAAACCTTAAGTTGCTTTTTGCCACAGTGTACAAAGGCTGTTCAGTTTGGTTTCATGGATGAGAAAGTTTGTTTTCCAGTTTTTGTGACACCAGTTTCTAAAATCCTGTTACATTCACGATCTCCAGAGGAAGAAAGCTTATATTTGGGCGATGTTTTTCTCCTTTGTGTGCTTGTGCATGGGCGAGTTCAAATTCCTGGCTTTTAGACTTACTTTTTAATAAGAAGTTAGGATTAGAGTGATAGCAGAACAAAATGATCAAATTAGAGTAATTTTTTAGCACACGCTAAAAATATTTGGAGAACAAAGAGATGTTCATTTTTAGACTGATCAGTATTTTTTCATGAAACCTCTTTGTCACCTCCTCCCTTGCAACAGGTACAGCATGACTCTGCTGAAAACACTGGAATACATATATTAAATTTGACTTTAGACTCTTGTACTGTCAAACTGTTGCTCTGAGAACTAAATGTTCCAGTTTCCTTTTTTGGCATTTTCTCTAGGAGCTGTAGGCTTTACACCCGATAGTACACCAAGTACATTTGATTTGGACTCTCCTTAGCAACAGGCATTGTCATCTATAGATTTCTTCACGTTGGTACTGATATAGGTCATCCTTGAAATTGTAGCCTTTAATGGTGTTACTCTGATACTCTTGTTCCTCTCAGAGCCAAACCCAAAAAGGAAATAAAGATGGGGAACAGTATCCACTCACTATAAATCCGTGACTCTTATAAAATGTTTCAATACCTTGGCTTTTCTGAAGATGATCTGAGGTGCTATATCAGGAACGTTGATCCAATTTATGGCCCCCGAAGTTCGGAGGAGTCAGCCACAACATACTGATAAGTGCACAGTTATCCTAGTGTTTCTAACAGGCATCGATTGCTCTTGTCTTCACTTTCCCTTCTTCCATTGATTTGTGATGCTGCTCTCAGATTACAAGGTTATGTGAGGACAAGTGATAATTCACGACCGTCTGTCTGCAGCAACATCTCTAATGTACATTATCTGTTTCTTTCCTGTCTGTTTGTGTGTGAAAGCCAAAAATCATCTCGAGGCAGCTGGAGAAGTTTTCTCAAAGATGTGCTCATAAATATCTGTTAATATTTATGAATGAATTCATCAGTTTCTAAGCATAAATAACAGCTTACTCGTGATTTTTAGCTTTTGTATGAGCAGATATGAGCTGTATTCTTGAAGATATTTACGTCACAATAAGCAGTTGGAGATTTCTGTCCTTTAAGAGACCCTTGAAAGACAACATTGAGAGATCTGTGTTTTAATCGAAGATGGGCGTGTTAAAATACACGTCTACCTCTCTCTCCTCATCCCTGTGCTCGTGTGTTTCAAAGGTCAGTGCCTAATTTAGTTTTTAATGAGAGCTTAATTGAAAACGACTCTCCGTCTACTTTACAGATGATCTCAGTTAAATATCCCAATGTTCTTAGGTCAAATCTTTCCATCATTCAGCTGGAGGCAGTTTTTTTTAATACATTAGAGATTTCCTGAGAGGTAAAGCCATTCATTTTTAAAAGTAAGTAAAACCTCTCTTTTATACACAACTGCAGGAATTCAAAGAGAATAAGGATGTACTGGTAGAGCTGCAGAACTCTCTCACTTATATGAAATATGTATATACAGTACATTGCTGTAAATCGTACTCGTATTGGACAGAACAGTCAATTCATAACCCTTCATTTACCTCTTCAGTCTGACTTTGCTCCACTGAAAGAATATTTCAAGGTAAGAGGGTTTCAATTTTGCCAAACCGATGACTAAAGACCCAATTATCCACCTCAGTGCAAAGAAATTAGTTCACGTTAAAACGCCTCTTTCATACAGGGGGTTACCATTGTTGTTGACAATACTTGACAAAAGCTAAAGAAAGGTGTTTGCCCCACCTGTAGTGTTGATTAGATAATTATAGTTTCCTCTTGCAGTGCTCATTGGATTGATTACTTGCTAACGAGTAAAACAGCTGTTTTAAATCACCGCACCAGACCAATCAGTCAACTTTCAAAGGGATAGACCCCAACGACGACCTCCGGGTGTGTGTTTGCAATTTTAATTTGTGTTTGCCTTCATTGGCATTCAAGCAAAGAGAAGCCATCGTTGCTATGGGATGGCAAGCTAAAAATACAAAGATGGTCTGCAGAAATATACCTGGGCAGAATTCTCCGGTATTGTCTATGTGTGGGAAACACTGGATTAATTGTATTTAAAGGTAAAGTTTACGATCTGAGAAGCAGTTGAAAAAAACGTCCCACCCCCACGCACAAACCTGTCCCCTCTGTGCTCCACGATAACTCCCCTGTATCACCCTTCCCACGACACACCCCCTCTGGCAGAGCAAGAAGCCGGCCGACAGAAGATCTACACTAGCTTCAAATAGGATTCACCATGTCAGATTGCTAGTGACTAGCAGCAATAAACATTAACTCTGCTAGCGAGCACCGTCTGCAGCTGCCTGGACAGCTACCATGTTGACATTGCAGAGACTAATAAGAGTTATTTATGTAACACGCACCACGATAAAAGGCAAAAATTACCTGTTCAACAAAAACTCTGCTGTCTTAGCGTTTGTTTTCAGGCTCACATCCTGGCAGAGGTTTCTCCACTGCTCGAAGGATGACCCAAGGTTTATTCGAGTTAGATTCCTCGCTTGGTCACATTTCCACTTTGCCTCTGCCCTTTCTTCTGTCGGCTTGCGTTTTCTTCCCTCTTTTGGCGGTGGGGCAAGTAGAAGTGTTTTTTTTCCATCCCTCTTTATCACAGCTCCTGTAGCTAAGCTGGTACGCTACTTTTAGCCGCTCAGAGCTCCGAGGAGGGCCAGGAGAGTGGGAGGGGATGGGAGAGGGGTGTGACGAATACAGCAAGATGATTGGATGGAGAGGCGGCGCAGGAGGTTGACCAATAGGAGCTGTCCGGGATGGATGGCTCCTATTGGTCAATGTTTTTGCAGCCCTGCACCTGCTAGAGTGAACAAGTTTTTTCCATTCTGTTTTCTCTTCACTTTGTGGAGATCGCACTATTGGACCATTATCGCCATATAAACGAGGTTCATAATAATTACCAATCTCTCCAATTGTCAACCATGCCTTTAACCCTGTTTCAGGATGGGATTTGACATTACTTCTGCATGTGCAGGAAAGGATCACCAAAGAGATAAGAGTCACCTTTGGTCCACAGAGGTCGCCAAACTAACTGGTTTTCATGAGTTCAGCATTTTGTGACTCCACTTTGGAGAATGTGTTATTTTGTGGTGCTGCCTCATTTTCCCCAATATTCAACGTATCCTCACAGCTACTTCGTTCAGTGGCTGCTTAAATAGCTCTTTTGTTATGACATACAAAAGAGTCGCTGTGATTGCATGAAATTACCCCCGGGCCATAACTATGAGGTCAGACAGATTTCAGCATCCAGAGTCGTTTTTTTCCGCGGTGCACAGAGATCATCATGTGAGGTTAGCTGTCACACTCAATCTGCGTTTGACTAATGACGCAGCGGTTTCCAAGATTTGGGCCTGACTTGTAATGGAGTTCACTGACGCTGTGAAGGTGAATGATCCCCATGGGCAGCCACTCTGTCGGTCCACTTGCGGCTTGTCTATGGTTTGTCCTACAATACCTTTGACCGCATTACACGGTGCAAAATAAGGACATCTGTATCTGCACTGACCACTGGATGGAGTGTGTAGTGTATTATGAACTGCACTCTAAAATTTCCGCCATTTTATACCCTGTATCATAGGAATGAGAAAAGGTTTAATTCTTCACTGTAGTTTTGTGCAGAGATGTGACCTTCCAGCAGGATAAGAGCAGATTGTATTTGCAGCTAAAGAGAAAGAGGCCTTGGTAGGTAATGTGGTTTACTTTGTCAATAGGCACAATCCAAAAGAAAAAGCTGCTTGCAGAGCACATTACTTGAACTTTTCTGACATTTATAAGAGTTTGTTTGTTCCCTCAGGAGTTTTCTTATTTTCCTAGCATTGCTCTGCTCTCAAGAAGGATGTGATTCAGAAACTGTAAGGTCTGGAGGCTTTGTAGTACTTCTCCGGTTTTATTTTGTCTTATGTGAAGGATTGTTTTCTTTTACGTGCCTGTGCTTTTGACCACGGACAGTACAATTATGTCTGTTAATTTCAATTAATGCCATATAAATGCATACCAGAGAGATAATTGATATGTTTCATCATTCTCTTCATGATATGTAATCTCTCTTTCTCTGTCTGCTGTGGTTTGTCGGGTTATGTTTCATTCAGCGGGCAGGGAAGAGAGGAAGCAATTAATCTGGAATTGTGTGCAGTTTGGTCCCTGCTGTTGACCATTTTGCTGGGACTGGTGATGATAAATGACCTTATTTCTGCACATAAACACAGGTCTTGTCTCCTAGCGAAAGCAGGTAGCCAGAGGGGAGAAGTGGGCGCCATCCAGCAGGATTTATGGACAGTAGCTCTCTTGAAAAATAGCACTTGCTCGAAATAAGTGAAGTGAGATCATCGTTTTCCTAAAAGCTGCGAAGACAGTTAAAAAGAATTGGCGCCAAAGCTAAATCTTTCTTGTCTGTGTTTATGCTTTGTCATGTGGATGATGGAGCAGTTACTTTTTTAACTGCGGGAACATTGACTTTGAAGGGATTGATTTTATGAAGCCGTTTTTAATTTCGCTGAGATAGAAAGTGAGGAAGATCTCTGCGAGGCTTAATGCAAGATTGTCTGGTATCATCAAGGCTGGATCAATGCTAAATGGTGTTTGATCACAGTATTTTATTATTCCTCTGGCCTCAGTGTACATTCAGGGACAACAATATGGAGTTAAACCCAGTTAGAAAGAAAGTTGAGTTGATTTAATTTTAAAGTTAATTTTCAGTACAGTTCAGCTTGTGCCTCATGTTGAGAAAGCAGCAAAATGGGTGTTATCTAGCACCTTGATGTTTCTTTAAAATTGTTCCCACATGTTTTTTTTTAATCATCTTTCACAAATTGATTCTACACAAATAGAACAAGCCCGCTCAAATGACTTCATAAGATTGATTACTGCCCCAAGACACAAAACAATGAATTCAAAACCATGGTAATTGTTTTGCTGCTGTTAACATAAAAGGTAATGCTGGAATGAACTTTAATTAATCTGAGAGAGAAATAACACCAATAAAAAATCCACCATATCAAGAAAGAAGAAAATAAAGTAGTCTTGGCCAACTTGACCCCTCTAAATGATTGTATACTCATAGCAGATACTCATTACTTCATCCGCAGCCCCATAAAGCAACACAGAGTGAATGTTTTATATGCAATTTCTCCCCAAACAAAGTATAAACCTAAGCCACCTTTAAGCCCAATTTAGTATTACACTTCCAGAGAAGTGAATTTTAAGTAAGACTGCTCAAGACCAGAAGTCAACAAAGTAAATATGCAGTCAGATGACATTGCAAGGCTTTGAACTGTTCATTTCAGCAGCAGCAAAACATTATTCGTGTTGACGTTGAAGCTCTGACCTCATCATTCCCTGCAGTTTTACATGCAAAAATTAAAGAGTGATGAGACAATATCTTGAGCCCCGCGGTCAGAGCCTGTGGGTGGATGCTGGAGTGATGATAGGGATGAATATTTAAGTGCAGCGTTAATTTATGGTAGCAATTGCAAAAGCAGAGCAGAGGCAGAGATCTGAAATCCTGCAGCTCAAGTAGAGCACCAAAAATGGGAGGATTTGTTTGTCCTGCGATTATGGGGATGACGCATGTCAAGTGACAACTGGAGCTGCACTGATTTCACACTTGACATGCGTCAAGTGTGAAATCAGTGCGGCTCCAGTTGCTTGCCTGGACTAACCCCCAGGCTCGGCTCTGTTTATTCCAGAAGTAGGTCTGCTTTTGTGCCAGTAGCACCTTTGCTCTGGAGAGTAGTTAGCTTTGTTGGCAATGAGCTAATCATACACAACCAAAGTGTATTATGTGAAGGATAATGTGAAGTGTGTGGGCAGTGTGTTTGACAGGTAGTAAACAAACTACCACCTCACCTCTTATCATTACTGCCCCCTACTGTCAGATGCTGTTGGATCTATGTTCCTTTAATGTACTCAAAGGAAGAGCATCGAGAAACTCTTGTAAGTCTGTGCAGATCAATTTCATGATGGGTTTGGTTATATTTACTTCTTCTCTTACTCAGCACATGTCCTTCTACTTTGAAGGAGTCTATTGTTATACCACCAGCCTGGAGCAAATCACCTCAAGAGCTCAATAATGTCAGACCAGTAGCTCTTATTTTACGTTAATGAAATGTTTCAAGTGATTGGGCAAGCAATTCCTGACTAACAAAGCACAGTGCCTGCTTGACCTGATGTTCTTTGCTTAGAATAGAGTGGAGGGAAGCACTACTGAACTCTCTTTACAATCATGGACACAGTTGGTGTTTACTCATACTGTGGTTTCATACTGAGTGTCCACCAAGAGGGGAAATGTCATTTCTCCAAGGTTGCATTGCTTCCCAAAGCAGTTTTACACTGTTTGGATATGGTGAACATAACTTTAAAGTTACTTAAATGCTGACTACAGGCTTTGGATTTGGATCCTTTTGGCAGCCAAGCTCACCCTCCTGCCAGATGGCTTGCAGCCACAGTGTTCTTCTTCTCATCTCTGTGCTTTATTTAGGGAAATAAAACCTAAAATTCTTTCTTTTAAGTTTGCAGTGCATAAAGGTACACAGCAGCTCTTGGCTTTGTAGCTGGTGTTTTCCTTTACCTCCTCAGTGCAAACCAGATGTGATGTTTTCTGGTATGCTGATTGTATCCATTTATAGGGTACAAGGACTCTTGCTAGACTTTCCACTCAGGTAATTTAACCCACAAATGAGTGTCCAATTGTAATCTTGACGTTTGCTTCTTGTCTTTCTTAAAACACAGCCTCCAATAAGTCAAGGCTAATGTTGTCTTATCTTAGAAGAAGCTGTCGTCCACATGGTCACCACAGGGGTGTGTCTTATCCAAGTAACTGAATATTTTGCATCCAAACGACTGCTTTGGTCACCATATTACCAGGCTTCTCCTGAAATTTGCCCATGACTCAGTCTTAGTCATTCTCCTTCAGGACGGAGAGGTCAGTCATGGGCCAGTTGCGACTGATTTTACGGGATGGTATGACAGCTATTTCCTCAGGTTAAACACACAAAAATCTGAGGACACGGGCATTGATCTTTGAAAAAGAGGCTCAGCTGCCTCTTTCAACCAAAGTCGAGATGGCAATAGCACTTCTGTAACATCTCTTCACTGTAACTCATCTATTGATATTTTCCTCTCTCTGTGTTGCGGTTTGTTTGGTTGCTTTGTATCTGTTTTCTTCAATTTAGTTGATGTCCGTTTTGCTCTGCAGTGTCCCGCCGTATTTCAAAATCCCTTTGTCAATTCCTATGTGGTTTCTTACCTGTGTCTCCTTTTCCTAGGAGCTTAGCTTTATAGAGAATCTTAAGTTTTGTGCTCTCAAAATAGATTGAGAGTGGGATTGGAAAATATTCTTTATGTTGCTACCCGTTGCTATTGGAAACTGACATTTTTTCACTCTATCAACAGAAAGAGGTAAAATCATAAACAACATAAATGTGCAGTACTCTTTTGTGTAGATGGATTTGGCATGATGTGTCTTCTGGGTGCCCCATTGCTTTTGCTATTTGGAATCAATCATTGTTTTTGACCAATCAGAAGCAAGTATTTTACCCTGCAGGAGGGGACCTAACACGAATGACAAGGGATAATACTTCTTCAGGGATATTTCTACCATTAACCCCTCTGGGTCAGAATGATGGTCAGTTCTGGATGAGTTAACAGAAATTTTTTGCAGATTCAAAAAACAGTATATAAAATACAGCATCTCTAAATCCCTCAGGCGCTTTTGTTGACTCTTTCATTTTTTGTTTTTTTATTTTTGTATGGATAACAGTGTTTCTCTCTGTTGTCACCGGCTGTATCAGAGCGTGAAGAAGCCCAAGTGTCATCAATTGCTTTTTTCTGCTGACTGTAAAAGACTCCCACAGTCAGCAATCTGTCATGTAAGCATCCACCCATCACGCTGTTCACCTCTCACACTGAAGAAAACTGTATGGACTAAACAGCGAAGCCCACGGCTGCCTCCACCTCTATTTATATACAGACAATGGTGCAGTGAGTGCTGCTGATGAAAACTTTGAAACCGTTTGAATAACCTCCAGTACAGAAGTTTCCATTAAAATTCTGCAAGACTAACAATTGTTGTAATTTTGAATAAGAGAGTCCTCTTTTTTTGACTGGTTCTGAGTATTACACTCCCAATAACAACTGAATTTTTAAACCTGCATGATTTCTGGCTTGTTGAGATGAAAGTTATCATGATTGTTATCAAAACTTAAAAGCCACCCTGTCAAAGGGTGAAAACTGTTAAATCCATCACAACAGTTTTTCTCTTATGACTTAAAGCTCCTGTAGGGGGTTTTATGACCTACAAAAGCAAAGCATCAGCATATTTGATTCTTGAGTAGCTTTTAAGATGAATAGTATCACATTGTCATTGTGCATTTCATTTTATTTTCAAGACATACATCTTGGTAGGAGACTTTAAAAACATGCAATATATTGAATTTGTTTGCATTCTCCCTTTAAATGCAAAAGTCATTTTCAAATGTCCAGCTGTAGGTATCTTAGTGTTTTTCCAGGCGGTTGCAACACAATTTTTAGCCCAAAGTGTGCAGGAATAGGCAACATTTTATTGGAAAAGAAAGGAAATTCACGCTTGGAGATAACCAGATAAGCCAAAAGATAAGGAACCACTTTGTCCACAGGGGGCGCTAAAAGCAACACAAGCTTGAAATTTTCTCATGGGAGCTTTAAACCAAATCTTGAGACTTTTAATTTTTCCCTTTAGAAATTTTTCATCCAAGTTGTGATTTTAATCCAGACCTTTCTCTGACCTCACTAGACACTAAGATGATCATGTGACCTGACTCTGCCCTTTAAATCTCCCTGTAGAGTCTCATAAGGTGTAGTCTTAGTGGAAGATCCCGCCTCCCTGACTGTCAAATGCTCTGTATGCAGGCATCTCGGATAATATGGGCTTTTGTGGGTGTGCATGCAAGCATCTGCCATCTGCCTTCATGTGTTTGTGTGGAAAAAAAAGTGTGTATTGTGTGTCGTCAGAGGGCCAGCTCTTTAATGTGTTTGCCTGCCTTCTGGCTCCATGTTAAACCCCTGCATTGCAGCACTGCCAGTGGGATTTCAGCAGGCACGGCCCTTTTTTCCCTCTCACCCTTCATCCTCACAATAGACGGATTAAGTTTGGGCCAGATTCCTCCTGCGTGGAAAGCTCCTTGCACACACATGCACGTCTTGAAGTGTTCATACGCAACGCTCCAGAGAGCACAGGGCAGCTCGAGGGCCCCCAAAGTCTCCTGTAGGCTCCTTTTGCCCCGTATGAACCCCCCTACCCCCTCTGCTGTATGAGTGATGGAGCAACAGTCATGGAGGGCCACGTGTCTTGGAGACAGACTGAGACAGAAAGAATGAGAGACTCAGAGAAAAAAAGGAAAACCACGGGATCCTTGGGGGGCTCAGCAATTCAAGAGCCGTCTGTGAAGCTGCACAGAAACTGTGTTGAAAAATGGGAAGGCAGGAGCTTGGTGTTGAAAGACTTTCCAAGTTGTTTGGACTGCATGGTCCTCTTCATTAATAGGAGGGCAACAGGGGAGTGAGAGTATTGTCTTTCCCTTTGACAGCAGCATGATTTTGAAGTTTGATACACCAGTGGAAAGACTCTTGCCATAGGCTAGTTTAATCAGTGATACAAGCTTGTGGACAAAGATGACACACAAGCAGCAGCCGGTATAGACAGCTTCAGGAAAGAGTAGAAACAGCCTGAACTGGGAGTTGTTGAGAAAGAGATACTGAACTAGAGTTTGTGGCAGAAATTTGCTAACAATGGTAAAATGATAGTTTGGAGATGATTATTAGCTATTCAAAGAAAATCAATGCAAAAAGAGTCAAACATTGTACAACTAAGAAAAGACTGTTTACAAGTTTGGCTCAACTGATGTTTAATTTTTTGTCAATAGACTGAATCTCTTTTGAGAGACATCAACTGTCATCCAAATGCCGATGATTATATCACATCAGTTAAAAAAAAAAAACACCTATTCAAGCCAGAGAGACAAGCATAAGGAAAATAAAACACAACAACATTTTCATTTGAATGAACTGAAATTGATCAAACTATTAAACTGGGAACATGACTTCATATGAGAGAAATATACAGTTTAATAGCTATACATATACTAGGGCCCGACCAATATGTTTTTTTTGGGGCCAATGCCAATACTGATTATTAGGGGGGGGAATCCGATTACTGATTAATTGGACAATTTTTAAATTTTTTTATGAAGTTGTAAAAAATATATATAGTATACTGTAGATATCTACAGTATACTGTATACTGTAGATATACTGTAGGCTTCTGCTCTTCATGCCGGCAGGAAGACCGGCTGATCATCTCAGTATTATTCAACATATATATCATGAATCAAAGGTGGACCAGAAAAGCATTTCAACTACCCAGCTGTAATGGATGCTGACATATTAAACTGATAGTATGATTTGGAGGCACATGTTAGACTGATCTGGTTGGTGGAGCAGCAGGATTGATGTCCAATAAAAGAGACTTGCGGTGATTTGAATAAAGTGATCGTGATTATTGAAAGTTTATTGACATTTGTATTAATGTTTCCTCGCAACATCCTTCCTCTAATTTGCTAATCTGTTATGATTTTCTAATTCCACCCTTTTCCTGTCTGTCAAATGGAGGAGGTGGGCTTTATGAACTCCAGAGTGTTTGGCTTCATTTTATCGCATCTGTGGTGCTGTCCACGCTTTTGTTCACACAAACATGGTCCAGGATTATGTGCTGACAAATGATCTTAGTTTATTCTGAGGTATGTTGCAGCATGACTCAACTATTCAAATCGCTCAGACCTCAGAGAACCTGGTGATTGTTGAGCACCTGGTGGTGTCTCTCTAACAATTTGTCGAATCACTGTTCATTTTGACGTGACTCCCCCGCCAGCGTGGATCTCTGTTGTAGATATGTGATGAAACCAAATGGCAGCGTGTTCATTAAATTCCCTTGCCTTTCCCTCAGCGTGGTTTGCTCCCTCGGGGACATAAATAGGTGTGGGAAAGATCCAATTATGTTCGCCAAGAGGCAATTCCCTTTAACGTGATTGTATCTGCGAATCTGCACATCAGGGTGTGACGCCTCTGACAGCCAGCCAGCCAATTTATGATCATTCAAGATCTTTCTCTTTGACCTTATATTTGTCCTCACAGGATATGAATGTTAATTTCTGCCATGAGAGCATGATGCTATCTGGCAAAACTTTGACATTAAGGTTTCACATCGTGTTTGTGTGAGTGTTTTTTGTTCTTTGATTTTGGATTCAGGCCTCATTGCGCGACCTTTTGGATTTCAAAAGAGAAAATGCCACTTGTATTGTTGGAGTGCCGCGGTGTGAGGCAGCTTTGAAGCGCTGCTTTTCTCCTCCCTGTCACTGCGTCCCCTCAGCTCGCTGCAAACAACTCACTTTGACAGTTTTGTTGTGTTTCTATGAGGACGGTAGGTACTTCCAAATGCAGGGACTTCAAGGGCTGCTGGTTTATACTCCTGAATGTGCCACCTACATTTCATTTATTGCAGTATTTATTTGCACTTTTGGCTTTTATTTAAGGTTATACAACATCGGCCAGTCCAAAGTATGGATCCATCTCAAGAGTTTTACTTACTTGACTAGCAAGTTCAGTGGAAAATGAACTGTAGTGTATACTTGAAGGAATCCTTATATAATACACACAAATCAAAGAAGCGGCGCTGTTCTGTTGATGGCAGGTTTAAACTGTATGAACTGTTTTCCTTCACTGAAGAGCACAAATTGATGTTGGTTATCTCTCCCAGTGGATTTTTTTTATGATACAATTACAATAAAGCAATTAAGTCCAGTGAGTCATGAAATTGATTGTTTTGCCAGAATAAGGGAGAAAGAAATTGGCCCACAAATGGGAATTCCTTAAAGGCCTGTCTAAGAAGAACATGGACGGAGTTTGACTCAGTATTAAAGTTTCTTAATTCTCTTGGCAGAATGTTGAGTATTTAAAGACCAAGCAGATCCCGGCAATGTTGTGCTGCAGAGTTGAAATGAGTTCAGTCTTGCAGTCCTTATGGGAATTCTTTGACCTGTGGAGGAAAATACCTTATTTGCATCACCGCCTTGAGTGAGATGAGGTGATTGACTCTCACATCTGCAGTCTCATATCTGCTGTGTTGTTTAGATAAGCGAGGAAGCTGAGGGAAACAACTAGTCTGGCCCCATCAAGAGGTTAAAAAAACACCAGCTTCTATTAGCACCTGTATGGCTCGCTGATTAGCATGTTATGTCTCCTCTTTCGCTGGCAGCCTCACAATGTCAGCAGGAAGTCTCTGCATACTGCCAAGAAATAGTACAGCACATCACCCTCCGAAAACCTGGCATTTCACACTCTTGTTTATCTGGCTGTGACAGTAACACTGGAAATAAACAACCAGATATAGACCAGCGTGTGCAGAGAGCAGGTGGTAATGGGAATAAGAGAACTTGACTTACAGCAGAAACGAAGAGATGCATTCACCAGCTCTGTTACCATGGCCTGGATTGCAGGACAGGATTTAATATTGATGATGTAATACAGTGTTTCCCCTAGAATTGTGTGTGTGTGTGTGTGTGTGTGTGTTACCCCCACTCTCTTGCCACTCCAGGAGCTACGCTGTTACATTTGCGTTACATTACCCGCGCTACTCGCTGTTCCGTGTATACGCTTAAACGTTACCCTTCACATTAATGAAAGAGGGTCGGACAGGATTTGATGCGCTCGTTGATGACTCAAAACAAGTTGAAAACAACGTTGTGTGTTGTTGTGCTCACACAGTGCGAGTAGAAATCATTTGTGCTGCATTGATATTAATGCTACTAATGCTATTAATGCTACTCGCTATATAGACCGTGTATAAGCTTGAACGTTACCTTTCACGTTGATAGAGGAGGGTCCGACATGATTTGATGCACTCCTTGATGACTCACAACAAGTCGGAAATAATACTGATATTGATGATGATCATGTGAAATTTCAGTAGCGGCGCACATAATTATGAATGTAGGGAAAACACTGCTGATACATATGAGCCCGAGGTAGAGCTATGTGAGATAAAAACTAATATTTTTTTAGGTGTGGCGGCTTTTATTTAGCCGTGGCGGTGCGCCACGATCAATTGCATGAAGGGGAAACCCTGTAACATCAGTATTGTTTAGCTGACTAATCCAGAATGCTTATATGAACATTTTTGCAGTTTGTTTACCAATTTGATGATAAGGGAAGTCAAGTCAAGTCAACTTTATTTATAGAGCACTTTAAAAAACAAACAAAATTTGAGCCACAGTGCTTTACAGCAGGACAATTTGGAACAGAATTTGATTGAAAACAGAACATTAAAAAAAAGCACACTCAATGATAAGTTAAAAATATACAGATATACTTTACACAAAGGAGAAACAAGTATTAATTAACACTGTTATGGACTTCTTCACCTACCGGAATCAAGTATTTAATATAGGAAAGCTTGGAGGGTGATTTATTACCCTCAGACATAGCTAGGCCAAATAGCCAAACTTTAGCTTCACATTTAATGACTGTAGGGACGTGCTAGTGTTATTATTCAACTGTTTTTAACTCTAAAGACCAAACAAACCCATCCTCAACAAGGCTGATCATTTCTGTGTTATCATTTCTAATGCTTGAAACCATTGTAAGAGGGTAGGTGTCAGATCACATGATGAACAGCAAGATGAACCAGTAGTGTTTTACTTTTTATGCAGCTAGCACTCTCCGTGAGTGATACATTTCACTCATAAAAACAATGCATGTACTTTTGCATGCATAGGGCAAGATTTGAGGGCTTTAATGACACAAATGAAAAGTTCTTTACTGCAGCTTTAATACTGTTAAAGACAGCTTTATAAACCAAAGACGCTCTCATGTAATTTTTACCTTAGTTGCTGTGAAAATGCTTCTCTAGATTATTGTTTGTCTAAAGCATCCATTTCTATCGGTTCTGTTACTCTGTCTCTGCCTCACTATGCTAAAATATTCATGAATGCCTGATGTAGAAATCTTTAGAGGTTAACCCTGGAAAACCTGCCTTGGAGATAAAGAATCTCACGGTGACAAGAGTCAAAATGAGGTACCGGACCTCTCACACTTCAGGTTTTAAGGGTCACTCACAGCTCTTGGTGCTCTGTTTAAAGGTTAAAAAAACAGTTTTACTGATAACACGCTTTGATTCAGAGCCAGTTTTCAGAGAGACATTCATTACAGTGGTAGTACGGTAATGACAACAAATGAATTCGATAACTGGCGAACTGTGGTGTGCAACGGATAGCTGTCAGTGATAATTAATTCATCCTGCAGCTCTGTGGATCAAAACGGATGGCCTCGAGTGTATATCAGCTTGTTTATGTGAGACGGAGACGGCTATCAATATTCTTCTCTTGACTGAAAATGATTTTTTTTGTAACACTATATATGAAGCATCCCAAATGAAAGTTTCATTTGTTTTTTTTTTCTTCCTCCATTTCATTTTTTCATTTCTTCGGTTCAGGAATGCTAATCATCGCAGGTGTACGTGAGGTGGGATTTAAAAGCATGGATTATCTCGAAATGATATACACACCACTTAAATTGCCAGTCACACACTCATTTGCATCACAAAAGAGGATAAGCCGGAGCAAAGTTTAAAGTCAACTTTAAATTTGCCAAATTTTCCTCAGGGCGTTTTGATCAAATCGTTAAAGGAGATAAAGAAGCTTTCCAAAAAAATACGATGCAGATGCTGGCTTGAAGAATGAGCTCCATCTCTCTGACTTCACCTTGTTTTTCTCTTCCAGGAGTTTCTGACTGACAACATCCTCACTGTGATTACCGCCCGACACTTTTCAAGATCCAAGATTTGGCTGTGAGTATCTTCAACCTGTGGAGATATAATGTGCATGAGTCCTGGCTCTGGGCCAATACTGTGAATACTTAAAGATTGTGCGATACAGAGAGAGAGAGAGAGAGAGAGAGAGAGAGAGATGGAGCAGAGGGGGGGAGATGATGGGAAGAGGGAGGGAGGGAGGAAGGAAGAGGAGGAGATTCTCCACTTCATCAGAGCAGTCCAGTGTCATTGCAGTGACCGTCCTCTTTAGAGGAGACAGATCACTGCACATTGTGAGATGCCTCCATCCTCTGCAGAAATACCATCGACTCCTCACTATTGCAGAAATCCAGCCCTGCCTCCGCTCTCTTCCTGTCCACTAAAGGCATGGCCCAGATGGCGGCCCGTCTATGGCTGGATGCTTTCTGAAACTGTCCTCTAATATAACACTCTGATGAGCTGTGGGGCGAAAAGAGGGGAATTATGTTTGTCGTCATTAACGGCTTGGTAGATATGGATTGTTGTGGAGTTATTTACACTTCATGCCAGTTATTTCAGAGGCATCTATCTGAAGTAATCTTAGAATCCAAGAATGAAATCAGCGCAGAGCTGCAGTGTGCGTAAATAGATTAGTGTCTTGCGTAATCACATGTTTAGACTCCACTAAATGTCGGCATGAAACGTTCTGTGTTGGGTTTTCCCGACTCGCCCATCTGTTCCTGGAAGAGCCCAGCCTGTGCCAGGGAGAAGGGAGCCCACTGCGGTGTGCAGCGAGCCTGGAAGGCGTGGCGAGGATGAAGGTCTAGCCCACTGTGAACAAGCATGATTTACTGTAGGATTGGCTCCTCGTGCGCCCGTCTCCATCACGCCCTGCACACTCCAGCACTCAGCTGATTAATCAGAGTCATTTCAATGAGTGATGAAAGCTCCGGCACCTCAGGAGCTACAGAAAGCTAATAAAACCCCAGCGGACAATAGCCACGCCTGGGAGGACGCTGCCGACTGGCCGCTGCTTTTACACCAGCTCTTGTTTCTACAGCCATCTGCCGTTATTCAGCTCTCCGTGCCCTGCGTCAGCCTCATCGTTATTAACATTGATCAGCCCAGCGTCCATTGAATGAGAACTCACACCCCGGGGACTGGTGGGGGGACAGTTTGTTGTTTGAATATGCAGCATCAGAGGTTAAAGCTTTTAAAAGATGCAAAATGATGTTTTTCTAGAGCAACTGGAGATTTATCTTTATCACTAGGGTCTGGAAGGAAGCCACCACCGCTGAGTGAATGCTTTACAAAACAACACAAAAGCCTGTCGACGCTTTCAACAGCAGATTTGAAGAAACATTTGCATTAATTTGCAGTTGCATTTCAGCCACAGAGGGAATTTCCAATTTCCCTCAGCTCATAATAGAAATATTTAGCAGCTTATGCTCCCGTTTGTTCACCAGCTTGGAGCAAACTCTGTCTGATTGGTGCTGATCTGGTTCTGTACTTTGGCTTTTTGAATCTTTTTTTACTTCAAATAGATAAGTGCTTCCACGAAATTGGCACTGTGAGTCTTTAGTTAGAAAGTTTTAGAAGAAAATAGTAAGAAATCAAAACAGTCCACCGACAGACACGTCAGTGGGCTGACGATTTAATGGACATAGCTGACAGTTTCTCTTTGAGTTTGTCATCATGAGCATCTATTTCTTTTTGCGTCTTTTTCCTTCAACTTCTAAAGAAATGCTTATTTGGTGCGAGAGGTGCATTAGGCCGCCATGATGCACCCGTATGTTTCTTTAGCAGCACATAACGAACAAACTAGTTTCATACACATTTCTGTTTTTCGAAAGTGGCAGAGGAAGATGATGAAGTAGAAGGTGAATAAGAAAAGAGAGGTTGTTGCTGTGCTCAAAGGAGATATTTTATTGATAGACATGTTTGATGGTCAAACATGACAAATGGAGATTCATACTTATCATGCATCACAGGAGCTTCTTGTCCTTGACGACTTCAGCGGCTAGAGCTGGAGAGCGATTCAATCGAGTATCTGACAGCAAGATATCGCTATATAAATATTAACATTTCTAGACTCTGTATCTTTAATTGATGACTTTGAAAAGCCTGAAATTATGAGTGTGTTTGGCTGTTTGTATGTATGTTAGCCATGTGATAGACTTTGGAGCTTTGGTTATTTTTTGGCAACATCAGAAATTCCAAAGACATGTAAAGGGTAAACAAATAGGAAGAAATGAGGGTAGGTACATATAAGCTAAAAAGCTTCGACCTACTCCTTTTCGATCTCCAAAAATAGAAGGAATTCCTTGTCTAAAATTGTACTGTATGCATATTTGATCGAATAAACAATACAGTGCAATACTACTGACTTGTCCAGGGTGCGCCCTACCTCTCAGGCCTAGCATAACCCCGATTTGAATAACCTGTATAGCTAGTATCCTGCATCCACTGATTTAGGCAGAATTTTGTTGGGAAGTTCTTGCAAGTTCTTGCAAGTTCTTGCAATACCGCAATTCAAACATATCTTGCATACAACAACACTTCAGGGGAAATAGGCCTTATGCACAACTCAAGTAATCCAGGAATTGATGTTTCTTCATGATCAGCAACCATCTAAATAGTTGTTGATAGGGGTTGGAGAAAAAGATTGATACAGCATAGTATTGCGGTATTTTGTCTGGTGATATATCTCATTGACCAAGTAACAATTTTTCAAATTAATTGCTAATATGAAGTTAAATCTTTGATAATGGAAAAGTAAAATCAACGGTTTGTCCAGTGAGGTTGGCAGAGGGGACATCGTAGAGCAGGAGAAAGTTAGTACAACGAATACATGTGAGGTTTGCAAGAAGTACTACATGAAAATTAAATATTGTGTCAATAAGACAAACTTAAAGGAAAGACAAATGCTAAATTGACTGAAAAATTGTATAAATCGCAATATATCGTATCGCAATACTCACTGAATTGCAAAATGTTAAAAGTAATATCATAATAATCATAATAATATCATATTGTGTCCCAAGTATCGTGTTGATAGTGTGTCATGGGGCCACTGGTGATGCCCACCCCAAGATCTTGTCACAGTTTATTTGTCGGAACCTGGAAATATTTGACATTTCTTTAAATTAGTTAATCAATAATCAACAGCAAAGTATTTAATTGCATCCAAGGACACAAGGATTATTTTATATGCTTATGGTTTTGTGAAAATGGCCACCATTGCTGTAAAGGAACTATCTTATGCCTGAGCTAACATTCCCTTTACAGTACGTGCAATTACACTCCTGACAAGTGGTATTTTTTCCTACAGCTTCGATTTTATAGGCGGCACCCTTTCAATCTTTCGCTGTTATCACACATATTGTAACAGTTTCTGAATAGCATGGGATGGATCCACCCTCTCTCTCTCTCTCTCTCTCTCTCTCTCTCTCTTTCTGCCTGATCTAAAATAGGCCAACACAATGAAACACAAAGAATATCATTGTTGCACCTCCTCACATCTGCCGCACCACATCCCAGCACAGCCACAAAAAACAGATTTAATCCCTCACAACCAGCCACAGTGTTTCATATTTCCCACTCACACATGAAGGCAGCATCTACTTGAAAGACGTGGAGATCAGTGCCGCCCCTCGCAAACATAAATCTTCAGATTTCACACAATTAAAACAAACGTGAGATGTTGTATGATGGCATATGCTCTGTGTCGTTTTTTATGTAAATGTAGTCTTCTAAACACTCTGAAGCCGCCTGTCTGTTAAACGTCTTCTCTGTCTCAGTGAAACAGTTACCTTGTTAAAACACAGACATGTAGCTTAAATCAATGCACAGAAAACAAGCATGTGATTTTATAGAGTAGTCTGGATGGCAGTGCATCTTAATAGCTTCCTATAGTCATTGACTGGCTGGATTTAATATGGAACGGATAGCTCCATGCAGTTAGTCTCCACAACACGCCCGCCTTATTAAATATGTATTCAAAGATGCACTGAATATCTCTGGAGCGTTGGCCTGTTTAGTTCAAAGTGAGGTCTGATGATGGAGTCTTTTTTCTTCAATGAAATTATGCTGATTATTACAAAATTATTGGCGTATTTGCAGTCTGACGTAACAGCGGTCCTCTGCAGAATAAGAATCGTGTTGAGCGGCGTTTATATTTTCATGTGTGGATGCAAACCAGTATGTCTCTGTGTTTCATGTCTCGTGGGACAGGTCCCAGTGTTTCTCACCATGGGTTTACCCAGCATGCTATGAATCTCAGCTGGATCGATATCCCGTTCCCACTCAGACACTGAATCAGACCCTGTCTGTGTTTCAGGGCACTGAGCTGTAAGATCCATGTGGAAAATACTGCACAAAGTAACAGGCTTGACTGGCTCTCACAGATTCAATAACAGGACCTAAATGTCAGTCCACATTGTTGATGAGGAAGAAACAGAAACCATCAGGCCTTATTTAGTCTGTGGAAGAATGGCGTTTTACTCCCACCTCATACAAAAACAACATGGAGGTATAAAAGTATACAAGAGGAGCTGAAACGGTCTACTCTGCAAACCTCAAGGTGGTTTTTATTTGCTGTCAAGAAGCTGATAGAAAAAGAAGTAAAAAAATGGAAATGGATTGATCATGCTAACAAGTATTGACCATGAGGCTGAAGCCTGGTTTAGCTCAATGCGCTGAGGTGCAGAGCATCACTGTTTTCCAAAAAACACATCAGTGAGTCAAAACACTTCAGTGAATATCTTCTCCTCTTTATAACAGAGTGCTGCTGTTTTAATAGACGCCTAGATATGCAGTCGATAATGTATTACGGACATTTACTTAGTATTTGAATGAGTTTTTTCCCCAGTTAAAGCTATGGTCTACGATCTGAAAACCAGTTTGGCTGTTGAGACATATTTGAAGAACGCAGCCTGCTTCCGCTTCACTCACCCCTCCCCTCTGTGCTTCAAGATCCCGCCCCCCCCAGCTCGTGTCGCCTCCTAACAACACGCCCCCTCCGATAGAGCAAGAAGCCAAATATTAGCAGGGTGAAGTGGTTCTGGCGTCGCCACTGCTAGCCGGTCAGAGCAGATCCGAGCCGATTGTGGGCGAGGCTTTACCTTTCTCGGCCTGTTTTCACCAGCTCAGTTTATAATGCTAAAGATACATGGCTAACTTATGATAAGATCTATTGACAGAGCCTACCCGTTCCGACCAACTACGTTCAGTCATTAGCCAGTATAGGCACAGACTAACCAGAATGATTGAGCGGACACTTCCCACTGTAGTAAACAAAGTAATTACCTGTTCAACAGAAATTCAGCTGTCTTCTCCAATGTAGACTATCCGTTGGCACCTGTATCGCTCATATTTCTTCCTTACCTCGAAACTTTTACGTTTCCTTCCCTTCGATGTGGAGGGTAACAGAAGTGGCCTCCTTGTGTTTGTCTTCTCTGGCTCCATTACGATTCAGTGGCTGTGCAGCTCGCTAATCACATGTACGTGAGGGGGGTAGTGGGGAGGAGGCGGGACCATGGGCGGTTCGGATTGGTCGATTATTTTGCCTTTTTGCAGCGGATATACTGAATGGGTTTTTTTCGTTCTTTTTGATCTTTATATTGCGTAGATCGGACCATAGGACCATAACGGCCTTATAAACGGTGTTATTGATAAGTAGCTTCCAAATGGTAGACCATAGCTTTAAGTAAAGGTTAATAAATTTGTAGTGAAATCATTCCTATTTATGGGGTACAAACACAGATTGTAAAGGGAGCAAAAGCACAAACGGAGGAGTGTTAAAACTCACACTGCTGGTTTTGATGTTTCCATCAGATTTGTCGAAAATAAGAAACAATGAAATACCGCCAGCCTCTTCCTTTATAGTAACAAGGCTATGCCCCAGTCATTTCTCCTTATGTGAGTACTATTAAGACAGCTTTACCTTCCCTATAATTACCCGATCACTACCAATTCAAAACCAGCAGCCATACATTACTGCCTCGAACCATTGCGGAGAAGAAGGATTGCCGCGGACAGCGAACAAATTACATTCTCCCCTCCAGTTGTATGTTTTGAAATTACGAGAAGCCATCTCTCCTTCTCTTCCATTTTTAACAGATTGAGACTTTATTGATTTTTTGTTCAAGCGCTCATTGCCGGCCAATGAGGAGGGTGATTCACTTAGGGGACCATGATAATTCTCGGTGGCACACAGTAATACCCGAAGGGCTCCAAACTGTCTGGTTGAGGGTTGGTGTTAAGGGGAAAGGGTGCGTCACATCTTGTCATTAAAAGAGCAGATTTAAGGGGAAGTAAGTAAAAAGGGGGATTGTGACGCATTCAGGGCTAAAGGGAAAGGGTGCCTTTGCTGATTATAAACCAATTTCATTACTTCTTGTTAGCTTTTAAGCTTTTTTTGACTTTTAAACCCTTACAACCAAGACAGTGTTAGATAGAGAGGTTGCCAAATCTAAAAAAATAAAAACTGCTCACACATTGATATCTATATACACCAAATCCTGCTTGCCTTTGTGCTGTTGTCCGTGGATTAAAACCTCCCCTGATGGCAGTGGGAGTGGTGCAATTCCAAAGTCATAACTCGGATAAATGGATATAGACGGTAAGACTGAAAAAGAGACTCAGCAGCCGGCTTCTGCTGCGATAAGCACACAGCAAATGACAGCCTGTCTTTCTCCTATTATCTAGAGGTCTCCGCTACAGTATGTGATGCCTTTTCCTCTTAACTTATTTACATTCACTCTTTTTTTCATGCAGATGCAGCCTTGTTAGCACAGGCACACGTCTGGAGCTCGTAGGAGTCCCTGAGCGGGGCTGCAGTTTGCAGGGTTGGGTGGGTGGGTGGGTGACTGTCGGCCGGTGGAACATATGGATGCTTTTGGATTGCCTCTCATGTAGTGGACCGGGTCACATATGCTGCATAAGGCACCTTGTGAGCTGCATCTCAAATCAGCAGGCTGAGTAGTTGAGGGGCTAGAGATGGAAGACAGAGAGAAAGCGAAAAGGGGGGGAAAGGAAGGAGAGGAGAGGAGAGAGGAAGGGAGGGGAGGGGGATCCTTTCAGTGACAGAGATAGAAAGAGTGGAGAGAGAGAGAGGCAGAGAAGGGGGAGGAGGGGATTGAGCGAAACAGAGGTGGGGGTAGTCACCAACAGAATGAGTGAGCGTGTGTGTGTGTGTGCATGTGTATGGGAGAACAAGTAGTGCTGCAGTGGAAACAGTGCGTAGAGGACTGCAGTTTCTGGTGCTGATGGGAGAGCGGTCGAGGGACGTTAAAAAGGCTCTGTAACGTTAACCCTCAATGCCCGTTTGGTGAATGGGTTAGTCTGTTGTGGACAGCAGGATTACGGAATTACGGTAGTGCTGGTAAGGGTGTATTTCAACTCTCCTCTCAGCATTGCTTCAACACTTCCTTTGAGCTTTCTGGATTGGAGCTACACGCATCTAAAGCTGGGGGTTGCTGCAGTATCTGAGCGTTTTTACAGGCTGTATCTTCTCTCCTTTTTTTGCTACTATACTCCAGGTGCTGTGTGCATGTTACTTCCTCATGCATGTGCTCCAAAACTTTCATAATTCATTGTGAGGGGGAATACTGAACATCCTCCGGGTCCTAATCTTCCCCAGCATCCAGCGATGGATCTTGTCTTCGTGCAATATGTGTGCAATCTGTCATGGTTCCACATCAGGCACTGTTTGCAGCTCTGGATCTAGATTATTCTCATTGATCATGCCTCATTTAGCTTCGCCTGGTGGGTGTAGTACCTCTTTTCCTGGAGAGTGTCCAGGAGGCTGCCCTGCTGACAGATGCTTTGCTTACTCCTCCAGCCACACCAGCATCTCTCACGACTTCCCCGAAGCCCTGAGATAAAAAAAAACAACAAACAAACAAGTGAAGCTAAGAAAAGAGATACCTCGGGTCTGCTGTGGTGCATCTGCATTAAAACCCAAACAGACACCAGGCAGGGGTGCTTTTTACCTTCTACCTAGACATAAAAAGGGACTGACAGTTGTGCTGAGGAGTATACAGAGTAGAGGGTGGGGATTTTTATAAAGTGCTGCAGGATGCTTTTTTTTCTGCTGTCTCTCGTGGGACGTACAGCACAGGCAGCACCGAGGTGACAGTACAAGGACAAAACCTATCCCAGGCTGCATGTACCTATTTACCACCTAATTCTGACTCCTGCTTGTCTCTTTATTAGAACATCAGAGTTTTCATTACATCCAATTTAATTCCATTTCATTATAACAACCTGATTGTGTGGAAAGATAGGGCTTTATTTTCGAAGAGTTATTGCAAAAGGGAGTTGTTTCATGCTCCTGTGGATCTCTCAGGGTGCCAAAACAAGTCCAAATATAACAAGTTTTCCCATCATGCTCAAAGAGAATCATTTATTATTCTGCCTCCACAGTGCTGGAGTAACATCCTGAAATATCAACCTGCTTTCTCTCCTCTCTCTGGCATTGTACTGATCATACAGTCAGTGGTTTCTATTTGGAGAAGTCATATGATCACAGGGGTGGAGTAAACAAACGCACTATGCAGAATGTGAGGGATCATGTTAAATGTACACACAGCTGGGTGTGTACTGTACCTGCATACATGCTTACACCTCCAGCGTCCAGGAGGCTGTTTTGTCACTGAGCATGCTCTGAAGGTTTCTATTTTTCCATCAGGCGGTGAAACATTCATGCAGGCTCATTAAGTCTGTACCTCAGGCGGCCGCTCCTATTTGCTCCTACCCTGAGAAATACTCTCTGAATCTCTCATACATAACCAGAAAAATGAGAGGATGCTTTGAAGTTCACCAATCTTATTCCTTTTCCTTCTTCTTCTCTGTGTGTGCTCCCTCCAAGAAGGCAGCTGGCGCCTGAAGCTGGAACAGCTCAAACAAGAAGAGAAAGACAAGAGGCTTATTCCAACCAGGCAGCCACCTAGAGTGATTTGCTTGAGTGGGTGTCCCCTCTTGCACCCACATCACCCTTTTCTTTTTCCACTTCCTGCTGCTTCATTAGTTTGAAATAACTCCTTCCTGCTTGTGTTTTGAAGCATCCCAGACGCAGCAGCTCGTTCAGAATTACATTACCGCCTATACAGGACTCCAGGAATGAGTCAGTGATTTTCTCGTGGACACATTAGCAAAAGTACCCGTGCAATTGCTCAGCTGCTGTCAGTTTCTCACTCCAGGTGAGAAGCTGAGTCTTCCCAGTCTTGGCCTCGGCCCATTTGATGGCGCGTTGCTGGCAGGCGATGGCAGAGAGCGTCAGTGTTAAACGTTCAGATGCTGTCACCAGTCACGGCCTCCTACAGGGCTGATGGCAGCATTTTCACCACTCTTTAATCTGTAGAGGAAGAAAAAAAATATGCCAATTTCTCTTCTGAGACCTCTGGCAGCACTTTTTCCCCTCCTCTTGGAAGAGTGGATTTGTGACGGTCAGAGAGAGTTTAACACGGAGCAGGGTACCACTTTGCCGTGGAGACTAAATGAAATGGAATTAATTTCAGTGTGTTTCATCATTCTGGAGATGTTTGTGTAACACATTCAATGTTGGTGTCAAATCTTTGAATTCACGCTTAGAAAGAAACACAAATATTCAGCTGTAAGGGAGGTAAGGGTTTGGCTTTGAGATGCCTTTTTAACCTGGAAAAGGTAAACAAAACCACCTGCAACAACACTGATATTTTTTTAAATTCTAATTTTTCGTTTGTTTGGGTAGTTTTGCTGGAAAGGCTGAAAGAAGACAGTGGAGGAGAACATCTAGCAAACATGTTGTATGATGTACAGTTTTAGGTCTATGTCCTAATTGTTTCTGAAGCAGAGTTTTGAAGCCTATTCACTGCAGTTGCCATATTTGTACTGCTGACTCAACCTAACCTGAGGTCATCCTACCAGAGGCGGGCCTTTAGCCTTCTTGTAAATGACTGCAGTGTGCCGGCCTGTCAATCAAGTCGACTGTGCCTCTAATGCACCACTCTTGTGACCTTAAGATCTTCAAGATGAATGTGATACAAAAAGAAAAAATCATTTCCCATTTACCGTGAATGCCAAGGGAGCCTTGAGCCGTTCAGGGTGAGACAGTTTTTTGAGGTAGTTTATGGAGGTGTTTATTTTAGACCCAAAAATTGGCTTTATTGGCTCAGTTTGACAAGGTCGTCTTCACTTGGCAGCAAAGGATTTTATTATCATGTCAGCCACTGCTGCAACAATGACTGTAGCCTCTATTCATGGGGTGCTCAGTGCCCTCTTATTCTTATCTTTAATGCCTGGATCCGCTGTGAGAGGGCGCCAAAATCAACACAAACAGAAAGTCTGTCACAGGACTTTAAAGTAGGATTTTATTTGAGACGCACCATTGATTTTTATCTGAGCCAATCCGATACTGATACCTGGGCTGAGCGTATCAGTCGATATCCGATACCTGTCCAATACTACTGTTGAATGAATGAACTGCATACCTTTTCTTGTGAGTGAAGGCATCAGGCTTGACATTATCCCTGTTAAAAAAGGTAACAAATAACACAGATATAAATTTACTTAATATTATTCATTAACAAATAACAAGTTGACCTTGTTGGTCTTTTATTTGGTTTTACACTAACAGGGCTGAGATGACCCACATCTCCTGGGGGTGATAAGGTTCATTTTGACACTTGAATGTCTCTTGATAAAAAAACAAGAAATTGATGAATTGATACAAAAACCAGAAGTTAAGGTGACTGAGTGCTGGTCAGTTTCCTCTTTAACCCTGGTTGTTTTACATGTTTAACAAACATTCTTAAAATGTCATTAAGGAATCTTTGGAGGTATTGATCAGTAAATTTGTTTTTTCTAACCTTTGGAGTGAGCAGGCTTGCAGTTTCCCCAGGTGTCTCACTATTTTTGGTAAGCTAATTAGTTGCTGGTTGTAGCCTGATGGTTGAAAAGACAAATAAATGGTTCAAATCTTGTCCTGAAACTTTCCACTTTAAAGTAAATACAGCCATTTCTGAAAATATCCACACTGCAGTTTAAATCGATGGTTCCCCTAAGTTGAGAAACATGTTTTGACTCCCCGAGCTGCTTTCCTCATATTTTCCTGTTCTTTAAATCTTGGCAGATGTGTCCTATCTGCAGCACCGCAGAAGCTCTCCTCGTCTTTCAAATTTTCTCCTCTCGGCTTTACATGCAGATTGGGTCACTATCTGTGTGACAGAATGATTAATCGACCTATCAGGGGACAGGGAAAGGGGCTGCGCTAAGAGGGGGGGAGAGGGAGGATGTATGGCAACTGAGTGTAAATGATCCCTGCAGCTCCTCGCTCTGCATTCAAACCCTGGCGCCTCCCACCTCCCTTTATAGCATCCCTCTTGATAATAGCTGAGTCACATTCAGCTGCAGGTGAGAATAAGCATTGTTTTATCTACACAAGCAGGTTCCTAAATGAGCCTCTCTGGGCCGCCCTCCTGGGTCGGCACACAATGAGATGTATGAGGAAGAGGCTCTTCTCCGTGAGATGATGTGCGAGGCTTTTTGACATCCTTATCTCTGCAGCTGCCCTCAGATTAGCGGTGGCAACCAGCAGGATTTCCTGATGCACTTGCGATTAGTTGACAAAAAGCTGTAATTGCCCTGTTGACATCTCTGATTGATGGTCACGCTCTTTCTTGTGGATGCTTGTATTGTGCGTGTTTGTATTCGCAGCGTTTGTGCAGCCTTGAGGCTAAACACAGGGGTTTGATACCTTTGTAAACTTCCCGTCCTGGATGGTTGCATAAGCAGTTCTGCTGACCGTGGAGCAAATATGTAAATGTTACAACGCCACATAGATCTCTTGAAACCCTATCATAGGCCGGATTCAACTTTTATTTAATCATTTGAGGAAAACAAACAGGGAGATTGTTGTGATAAATTGCCAGGCTTTTTCATTTTTAAGATATAAAAAATCTGTTTAACTGTTGCGCCACCGCTAACAAAAGGCTAATTATAGTTTGAGGCCATTCAGCCCAAATTAAACCAAACAAAAAAAGGCATACAACTGAACAAGCAAGATAGTTGGCAGGATTTCGCTGTTAATCGAAGTCAGTGCCTTGTTAGATTAATTAAATGGCTTAATTACTGTTTAAGTCACAGAAAAAAAAACATCCTGACAGTTGTTTGGCATGTTCCCGCAGATGCATTGTGGCAGCAAAACCGAAGGCTCTTGGTTTCGAGTTTCAGAATCTGGCTCAGGCGTGCGTTTTACACCACGAGCTGTGACTTTGGATTCGCCAGGGCTTTTTTTTTTTTTTTTTTTTGTCAGACTCTTGGCTCGCCGCTGTAAAATGACAAAAGATGAAGTGTTCTTGTAACTACAGAAGGCTACCTTGCAGATATACATCTTTGCCAGACACTTGGCATTTGTCTGACTCTGCAAGCCAGCTGCAGGATGAGTGCAGCTGCAGGACAGTGCTGACATTACGAGCACTGCTGATGAAGAAGAGATAGCTTTGTGCAGAGTGGCTCATATCAGCAATAAAAGGTAAAAGGCACAATAAGACGCAACAATCCAGACCTCCTTTACAGTTTACGGCTTTGTTTAGTCAGGTGGCTCCCAAGAAAGTTACTGTTTCTTTGGGGATTTTTGATGTATTAAGTAAATTTATAACCTAAGTAACAAGCCACTGTAAGGTGATTTGTGTTGCAAAGTGATCTGCCGTGTCGTGCAGAGGAGAAAATGGCGTCACCTGTGTGGATGTTTATCATTGTTTCAAAGGAGGATAACGTGACCGCAACTTGCAAAGTATGTGCCGCTAATATTGCAAAAGGGAAATGTCCACGGGTTTAATACAAATGTCTTTTTAGTCACTCTTTAAACCAGAATCACAGATATACTGAGAAAGTACAAAACAACAGCAGCCACAGCTAGCATTAGCACCACTTAAAACAGTCAGCGCTGGGCCACAAATGGTCTTGTGGTGATGTAGAGGCACGTGTAGAGGCTGTGGACCTCTTTGCAGGTTTGATTGGTTAGATTTCCTGCCACAACCATTTGCTATGTGTCCTCCCCAGTCTATACTCCACACGTTTCCGGTCTCTCTTTAGCGGTCCTGTCTATAAATGCAAAAATGCTCAAAAATATAACTTTAAAAAACAAAGATTACTGTCTATCTGATTTTGAGAAGTGGAGAAGGTTTCCAGAGAAAACCTTAGAGCCAAAAAACAATGACAGCCTCATTAAATCTACATCATGAGAGGATCCAGGTAGGAGACAAAGATTTTTCCAATTTATGGTGAATTTAAAACTGCGACTTTGTATATGCCTGCCTGATCTTTAGACATATTCACAGCCTGATCCACAGCAAACAGCTAAAAAATCTCCTTGATGCACAGCCCTACTTTTCATACTTTCATCTCTAATTTAGAATAACTTTATTACTCTGAATCTAAACAACTCATCTCCTTGAAAAAATGAAGCCATTAAAAATCAAATAAGGAAACTGTCGTGAATTACGATGGATTTGGTCCTTTTTAAGAGCTCATGTTGGGTGTGTTGCATTTTTATTTTTGACTTTAACCACTGCTCTTTCTTTGCAAGTTTTTCTCTCAAAACAGAGATTTAAATCTGGTTAAGTCAAGATTAAATAAAGAAAACTAGTAGCCCTCTGAGCAAAAGACAGCTAAGAGACATCTAATTTTTTATTTTAGACCTAATTTCAACCGTCTAGATTCTGGAATGGAATCCAGACGTTGCACTATGATCCATTACTGGATAACTATTTATTTCAAAAATCAACTGTGAGTTGCATAACTGATCTCCAAGTACTTAACCAAAATAATTATGATAGCTGTTGAGCAATATACAGTGTAGTATCGATATAGCCCAGATTTAGACTTGGTCTAAACTTGGTCTAAATTTAGACGTCTAAAAAAACTTTCAGTTTTAGACCTGTGGTAGCCTGATTTTAGACCAGTCGTCTAGACTACATTTAGACATCTGTTAGACCTCTTAGACCAAAAAATGCTCAGTGCGAGTTTTCATCAAGACTAAATAATAGACTCAAACTATGGAGTTAGCATCTCTCATCTCCTCACATTTAGAATAACATCTAAGTGAATGTTGATCAGTAACACGTTGATTTAATACACAGACACGTTTGCAATCACTGTTTCCCTGTCATAAAAATATTTTTTTTGCACATACAACTAAATACTCTCTCAGGTTGGACTTAAGCCAAATCCTAAATAGTGTCTCATCCATCAGTGGTAAATAACAAGCAAAGCAGCCATCAGTATCTCCCCCCCTGTAATCCTATTAAAACTTGGCCAAAATGAGACCATTACGACTGCGGGAGCCCCAAGTCCATTTCAGCAGGGGTAAATTACCATAGAGTAGCAAGAGTTCAGGAACAAAGCTGCACATTATCTCTAATTGAAACAACTCCACCATCTCAGCTGAGCTCCCTGACTGGAGTAATGCTCCGTCTGATGGATCTAATAAAATACAATGCCTCTTTTTTTTTTCTTAATGTTCCTGTACATGTGTTTTTAGCTGAAATAGAGTCCGGACAAATCAGAGGTCAGCTGTGACTCAGCTGACTCAGCTCAGTCGTGCCTTCCCGCTTTCTGCAAGTGTGTTTATCATCAACTCAGGTTGCACGTCTTTGAACAATTATATCCTCGATATCTTGGCAAGTTGGCCCGCTACTTAAAATAGCTCAATGGGATCAGATGAAAGAGTCACTCAGCATGAAGAGGAGAAAATACAGATATAGAGCGCACACACATGCGTGGCCTCAGATGGAGATAATCTGCCCCGCTGCGTAAGAAATACCAATTTGCATATAAGTTGCGTCGTGCTCAATCCCAAATTATCAAATTAACAGTCTTCCTACTACTTCTGCTCCATTTTTAAATAACATACTGAGGCAATCACAGCACTGAGACTTAGAGGAAATGAAGCCGCACAGGATGCTCAGTTAGATCGGCTGGAGGCCAAGCAATCCACCCACCCACGCATAACCCGTAATGTCACAGATGGCGGAGGGCCACAGTGGGAGCTGAATCATTCCACCGGGGTCATATAATTCCGTGTCTTCAAGGACTCCAGGTTGTCTGGTGGCTTGTGACGAGTTAGCAGCCGTTTGCTCATTCTCTTTTCTTTGAATTCGGCAACCTTTTCACAGCCCCTAATATTCAATACTTAATTTGCCGCCCCACTGCTCCTGACTGTTGCTCCGGGCTGGAGTCACATGACCCCCCATGACCAGTTTGTCACCTTAAACAGACATCGTTTCAAGACATTCAAAGGGTTTTAAATCATTCGTTAAAATTAAAAAATCTATAAAAATATATACGTAAACCAGCTCTTTGCTAACAGCTGTGTTAGCTGCTATGAAGTCAAGCACAAAGAGCCTGAGGGGGAAAAAGGACTCTGCCGTCTGGCTCCAGGTTGATAATTAATTGCTTTTCAGGTTCCTTGTTCTTGTGTAATGAAACAGCTGCATGACTTTAGCTCACTCTCCTTGGGTTGTTTTCTCTCGGATCTGACCTGGGTGTTAATAAGCCCCCCATTAAAACAACCCCCCTCCCAGCTCGTGTCGTCTTATCCGCGGGCAGGGGTTTCCTGTCACTTGAGTGGATGTCACAATGTGTGGGCAGTAGGTCATCACACGCATGACGTCAGATGAACAAGGGCATTCCCAAGTCAAGTTCTTCCATATGTGTAAGAGATGTAGTTTTTCATCGGAGGAGGGAGTTAGGTTGGAGAATTTCGCCAGCGGGCATGTTTAAGTGTTTCTTATAGACATGTATTTCCTATAATGATGATGAACTGAACGTATGATGTGATTATCCTCAAATGAGCGTGAGTGCCCCACACATATTCATGTCTTTAACCCACATTGATCTAAAGATATATGCAGATTAAGCCTGTGAAATATACATGAAATTGCAACCCTATAGCTTAGAGAGGCGAAGACGCCAAAGTCCATCAGGGGAACCTTTTTTATCCTGTAGTGTGAAGGTACAAATCATCATCTTGTACGTTACATCTATACTACACGTCTCTATAAGGAAGCTGCAGAGTAGATGAGATAGTTGAGTCTGACGTTTGGCTGTTTTGTCCCCAATATTGGCAAAGTTTTTCATTCTACAGCCACTGTGTCTGTCACATTTTCTGCTCATGGATTTCTCAGACTTCTTTGTATTTTTTTCACAAAGAAGCGTAACATTGGATGGATTTTTATTTCTATCGCGAAAAGACTGGATGAGAAAAAAAGGATTTTGGTCTTTTGAAATGAAAAAGTATTCAACTCAGATCTTTTATTTCTCCTCAGTGCAGGAGTATTTTTTACAGAAACTGTAACCACCTGTCTTCACCTTCTTATAAGCCAGTGGAGCTCAGACGTATTTTACTTTAGTGTAACACAGATTAACTGTTTAGTGTTCCTCCTGTGCTCATACGTGGGATTGCAGCAGCATATTTGTTTACGTTCTAAAGATAGAAGTGCTTGATCCCCCTCCAACTCCGAGCAGTGTGTTTAGTGATAAGGACCGGATCATGCCCGTAGCTGCGCTGCTCTGGGCCATGGAGCCGAGCCATTTTGTTTCCACTAATTCCGATGACTCAAACACTAACGAAATGAGACGTACATTGGGAGATGGAGCTGAAAAGTCCCGCACGATTCAGTAATTGAGAATTATGTGAAATGCATTTTGGATAAGGGGTTCTATTTATAACTTTTATTCACCCAAGGAGGGAATCCAAGGAAACACCCCTCTCAGCAATCACTTGATTGTACCTGGATGCTGTTCAGTCAAGCAACAGTCTGATCCTTAGACTGTGCAGTGGAGCAGGTGGAGGTTAAGAGCCGAGCTCAAGGGCATCTCAGTAAAGAGCAGCAGTCATGTGGTGCTCTGTTTCTCCCTTTTAAGATGTAAGAGGTGCCGCAGGGGTTCAATCACCAACCTCCTATTTTTAAGAAATCAACCTGAGATTAGCTTTTTGATTTCAGTTCGTAGTTGTTGCAGCCATTTATCACCCTTATTTATTCATAACTCAGTTTTCTTTTTGTTTCATATTTTGCTGTCTCAGCTCCAAGGATGGCAGTGTTGTATAGTGGATGTGCTGCTTTTATACAAACTGAAATATCTCAACAACTGTTTGATGAATTGCCATAAAATTTACAGAGACATTCATACTCAGCAGAGGATGAATCTGGAGAAATTTGACTTTACTTATTTGGCTCTTCTTCTTCTTATGCAGTAGGTAAATATTTACAATTATGCAGTGATAAATCTCAATGATAGATGACACAGGATAATTTAGAAATATTTGTTGTTTACAGAGGATACACCATTGATTTTTTGGGTTATGAGATTCATTGTTTAGAGCTGATATTAATCAACAATTAAAGCTCCCCTGAGGAGTTTTCTGACATTTATGAATTGACTGAAATTCATATTGATGCTTTTTTACGATGTAAAACATGATCAGAAACAAGATTAACATTTTTTATATTCTGATTTTTAATGCCTGAAGCTCCTCCTCTCCCCTCCCTCTCTGCTCCAGCAAGCCCCGCCCACAAACAGACACTCCTGCTTGCTTAAATCATTTCAATTAAATTCAAATATAATGCAGATAAATACTTTAGATAATTACAAATGGGGCCCAGTCAACGTGAAAGTAAAAAGCATTGGTGCTACTGTAGATGCCAACAGACTACCAGAAAACACAATGTTTGCAGGACTTCTACAACTAGGATAAAGTGACATAGTCCAGGACCCGAGGTAAACAGTTTAGCGGCGCTACAACACGCTACAGCAGGTCCTGTTTGACAAGAAACACTTCTGTTACAGACACTTGGCTTACTTTGTTCAAGCGGTTTACCTGTCCAGCAGAAAGGTTACAGGGTCTGTAAGGTCCCGAAGCGTCCCCCATTGACCCGGCTTTTTAGCTCTTGTCCGGCTTTTTAAGCACCCGTTATTCCGCCAGTCTCCGGTATTTAGTTTGTTTTCTTGCTTGTGTTGGCAGTCGTGGTCAAAGGAGGATTCAGACAATTTTCCATACTTTCTGGTTGGTTTCTACTGTCTGATATTGTAGCACGCTAACTTTGTTTGGGCTCGTGAACAACACAGGGGAGCAGCGTCCGCCTCACAACCAATTAGGATGTGGGAGGTGGGGAACGGCTTTGTTTACAATCAGAAAGAGCGAAGCGCAACAATTTTAAAATGTTGATGACACAGACATAAAACACAGCGATATCGTTATATTACCAAATGTCATCAATGACTAATAGCTATTGACTGATATTAGAAGGTTTTTTCGTATATACACCACAAAAAAAGATGCTTCTTTAACAGATTCCTGCGTACCCCACCTTTAAATATTCACAATAAACAATACACTTGACTGTCAGGATGAGAGGGCAAGATCAACAAAGACTGCTTTGTCCAAAGGGGGCGCCAAAACTGACGCAAAACCAGATGTTCCTTACAAGAGCTTTAAAGAGACATTAGCCAAACAGCTTAGTTATTCAGTGCATGGTAGTTTCAGGATGTTGCTCACAAGACTTGTGTGCTTAGGTACCCCCTGAGAGCTGCTAGCGTGATTACTTCTGTTCCAGATACAATCGTCAAAATATCAAATTTGGTATTGTTCTTGATTGGCGTTTTGTAGATCTCACCCCAGATTTGCAGGCTTGTTAAGACACACAAGGGTATCAGACTCTTAGAGAAACAACAAAAGAGTTTATTGAGGTTACTTGTCTGGAACAAGGACTAAAAGCCCGCCCTGACCGGGATTAATGGTAAAAAACACGAGTGTACATCTGTGTCCTCTCTGTCTGTCCTCCCTGTCGCCCTCAGAGTGCAGGAGATAAAATGCTTTTGCACATATTCATGAATATTAATTTAACTCCGTCTGATGTGGGGGACGAACAGAACGCACATAAACTGCAGATGGATGCGGATGCTTTTAACATTGTGTAACACATAAAGTAATGTATGATACAAAAGAGGGCATGAGGCCTGTGATTGCTTTTTTATTTAGTGGGACACTCATTTTTGAATGTGTGACGGTCAAAGTAATACTGAGCCATTTTTGTCAATTTTCACCATAACTGAGTCTCTATCTTGGTTTATTATGACAAGAGGACGACTATTTGTATCATCAGTATACATAACAGCAGTAGCGGTTATTAAAAAGACGTATATTTTAAGATGTATAAACGGTTCCTGGCCTGTGAATAATACAAGCTTATCCTTCCAGCTGTCAGTCTGAATTTGAATAATTTATACATGGCAATAAATAGAAGCCGAATCTCTAGCACCGGCTTGAAGAATTGACACTTGAGAAATGGGAAATTCCTCTTTTTTTATTTTACTCATATCACAGTGACGTTAATAAAATCAACGGTAGAAGTCTCCTCTTGTTATGCTTGTCATCTTTCTGTGGATGGAGGTCTCACCCGATCACTCATCACCCCGCTTTCGGCTGCACTTGTCACACTGTGATTTCTGGAACCGATAAGAGCTCTGATTGAACATTTGTTTGGGCTGTAGCGAGGACGGCTTGTAGTTGTTCATTTTGTTTCTTTTTTTACGGTTAAACACCTCCCCTGGTCAGGGACCGTTGGCTGGAGAACAGGGCAGAGCCGGGCCGAAACAAAGAAGTGATTTATTAAGGAACGATTTTTATTTTCTGTGAATACTCTCCTGATCAGAGCTGATCACAAATCAATGTCCACTGGCCTCAGTGGGCTGTAAAAGACGGTTGTATTGGTGGTTGTACTCAATCATTTTATAAAACTGACCTAGGTTTTCTTTTTATTGAAAATACATGAAATATGACTCAGCTACAAGGTTAGAGTTTTTACTGAGTCATTATTAAACATATACCCTTCTTTATTTTACAACCTTGTACTGTTCTTTTCTCTACCTAGAACAATATAACATTTAGAAACCAGTAGATGATGTTGCCACAGCTACCTTCAAGTTTTATACAGCCGTAAGGACCTTACACACTGGAAACGACGCAAATATACGACGCGAAATTAAGAAATATATGGCCAGTACCAGATGAGCACATTAAACTATAATCCATAAACGTAAGGTAACAACTGAGACCTAATGGTGCTGTGACAGCAACACGATTGAGTTTGAGACAGTGAAAATACATATGGTATGTTGTATCTGAACAGGTTAGCTTACGAGCTAAAGTTACTTAGCACAGATGAAAGTTAAAACAAAGATGTTTAGCAAACTGTTAAAACACACAAACCATCGTCATATGAGAAATCCGACGCTATGACTCTCCACAAGTTGTCCTTCAGGTCGTTATCTTTGTAATATTTGTGTTTTTTATCAAAAAGCACTCTGTTCTCCGACACGTAAACAATCAGCCGGTCGGCCATGTTGGATATACCGGCTAATCTGACGTTGCAACAACACGAAATCTGATTGGTCAGAAGTGGACACACAGTATGCGAAACTTTAGAAAATCCGACCGTGACGCAAAAAAATAAATGCCGCAATATCACAGGACGGGAAAACGTAGCTGATGTGAATGCTGTATTGACAGGATACAGGTTCGAAAAAAAATATTGTTGCCTGAAATAATCGCACGAAAAAATGCTCCCAGTGTGCAAAGACCTTTAATTTCTCGTTTTGATTACTTTTTTGCACATCATATTGGAGCCACCTCTCTCCTGGCTGTGTCTCTGTTTCACTCTTTAGTCTTGCGGGTGAAATGTATCAATCAAGAGCTTCCACGGATCACCACATGTCATGTAAACACAGCCCTCTTAGCTGTGTTTGTTGATAATTTGTTCTGGCATCGATACTTTGGATGTGATAGACAGGGAAGCCTTTGGCAAAGACGATAAATGACTTCTCTTTAACGATTACGATGACTAACAGTAAGTTTTAAATAATAAACTGATGGTTGTGCTTAAGTTATTAAAACACAAGAGCCTAATGATGTTAATATAGAGTGGGTTTGCAGCAGCAAAATGACATCTACTTTAATGAAGTATTAGATTGTCACATTAAATATATTTGAAAAATAATCCATAATGCAATAACTCACTCTATAAATGAAGAGCACTGAACTGAGGAGGCGCTTCATGTTTTGTATCATAATTAATGCTTTTGGGTCGATTCTGTATGATGACTGCTTTGTGGGGAATTGATTCACTTGTAATGGCGTTGTTTGTAACTTGCATCCACTGAACCCATCAGCGAACCCAGCAGAACCAGTTTCAGGCTGCTTGTCTGACTGTGTTTGCTCTTGTGGCAGATGTAGAAATCAAGACAAATGGCCCAGGGTTGGACCTCTTGAATTTACAATTCCCTCTTTCATTGCCACCAGCAGCTGCAGGAATTACAATTGACAAATTGTTCCTCCGGGTAGTTTGATCTTTTAGTCATGCAAGTTTCCCAGCGTTGTATTACATTAGAGTCATTCTCCATATGAACTTTGGGTTCAGTATTTCACCAAAAGATGCATGTCCTTGGAAACAGAGGCTGAGATATGAGAATCCTTTCTCTATTTTTGTCATTTGGAAAGTTTTCAGAGGACTTTCCTAAGTGTTTAATGAATAATGAGTCTTTGGAACCAAATTTCCAGCCTCTCTTTTGCAGTCTTGTAAAATATAAAGTCCAAGAATGAATAACATAAGCAGCTTTTGGAACATGTAGTGCAACAAGCATATCGAACCATCCAGGCAGACAAGTCTAACAAACCATGACTGTGAAAAATTTTCAGCTTTTGATTTTTTTTCTGGTGACTTAGCGCATAAATATCACAACTTACTTTAATCTATGATTGTTTTTGTCTCTCAAACACATAATTGCACAACAAACCTGGACCTGGAGAGTGATTTCTCTTCAAATGTCTCCAAAAAACATGAGACCTGGCTGAATGAGCGACTCTGGATATCTTTATGTGCCAATGGCTGTTGGGTACACTGCCTCCTCTAATCATGATGCTTTCATTCTGTGTCTTTTTTCAGGGACTGTGCGTGCAGCCTAAATGACGAAGTGGAACTTGTTCAAGCATCAGACAACGCCCATGGTCGCTGCTAAGCCAACGGGGGTCAGTGCCTTGACTATGACTCCAGCCCCCGTCGCGTTAGTCTCCAACGAGAACTCCACCGAGCCGGTCAACAAGAACGATGCCTTCGACGAGATCAAAAACAAGTTCCTGAATGAAATCGACAAGATCCCACGTAAGTGCCGAAACAGAACCCAAACCTGTCCAGATCAACCGACTCGGACTGATGTGACACAGAGCAATGATTTTAGGATTAGATTCTCTCTTTGGCTTCAGGCATTGGCAGCCTCATAATGTCTTTATTCAGTATTGATCACTGGCTGCCTTTCCTAATGGCAGAGAAATCTAATTTGCACCCAATCTAATTGCTCACCTGGCACCTCTCACTAAATATGTTTGGCCTGAGACATGACATGAAGGAGGCTAAACGATTGCTCGGTCAAATGTCAAAGTATTCACTTGTTTCTCTTGTCTCTGGATTTGACATATATTCTCCGGTCTGTACGCCCTTCTCAGTGCCGTCCTGGGCCATCATCGCCATCGCCGTGGTCGCTGCTTTACTCATCCTTACATGCTGCTTCTGCATCATCAAGAAATGCTGTTGCAAGAAGAAGAAGAACAAGAAGGGCAAGAAGGGGAAGGGTGACATGGGGATGAAGAACCTGAAAGGGGGAGAGGTATGTTCCACTGTGAGAAGTCCTCTAGCGTCCGAGGGGGATGGACACGTACACTGTAGGCGGCACATAAACAGAAGCCTGCATATGACCTTATTACTGTATGTAACAGCTGTGAGGCTAACAGCATCACACTGTGCTGGAATATAGAGAAAACATGCATGTAGTGCTACCTTTGACTCAGCTAATTATATAAGAAACTGTAGTAACATCTTGAAGTCCAGTTTGTATAAATCCTACGTATCATTAACTCTTTGATTGCTTTTTAACCCGGTTTACTCTTCACAGGTTTTAATCACGTTCTTTATCCATTCTTTCTTCTTTTTTTGTCATTGAATGTTTTTTTGTCACTGATGTAATTGTTGCTCTTTCTCTCACTATGCTTTTTGGGATCTGAGTGGAAAATGACAGGACGGTTATCTCTTCATCCCCAGCTTTTGTTTTCAAAGTCATTAAAGAGTAAATTATGAAAATTAGAGGTTAGCACAATGCTGTTGTTTTCAGGCCTGTAATTATCATTTTTTACATACATGACGGCTGATTTGACAAATTATGATTAAAAAAAAATCTTATAAAAGGAGTTATTTTAAAACCCAGGGGCCCTGCCGCAGGAGATATGATTGTGCTAATGAGCAGGCTCCTCTCTCTGTCATTTTCCTCGCTCCCGTACAGCGTAGCTGACTGCATTTGCTGTGATGACCCTTCTTTTGGTGTCTGCTGTGAGTTCAATCTCTTCCTTTGTCTCTGCTCTCCTCCTTCCTGCTTTGTGTCTTATGTGTGCTCCGTGTATCTTGACTGTGGTGGACTTCTCTGCCTACGGTAGGTCTGACAGCACGCGGCGCCCCTCTCTGGCCGCTCTGTGTAAGCGCAGACCAGGGCAGGGGGGGAGCGTTGGTGGTGGTGGTGGTGGTGGTTGATGGTGATGATGGTTGGGGGTGGCGGGCTGGGCTTGAAAGGGGAGGGTTGGATTGCAATGATGATGACAATGAGTGCTATGGCTTCCTTAGTTTTTTGCAAGCTTAGGTGCTGCGGGTGCTTGAGGAATCTATGGGAGCGATTAAGCTGCTTCGCAAACCCCACTGAACTGATATGCCGCACCAACTGCTATGTCTTGAAAATCCAGAGATTGCAATTTTCTGGCAAAAAAAAAAACAAAAAAAAAACAAAACAGAGATGTGTCTATGGATTGAAATGAACATGAAACTCATCCTATGGTTGAGCCCTTGAATGACGAGTGCACTCAGCAACTCACTAGAGATCACTAACATGCATGTGCAAGGGGTAAGCTGGGTATTTGTCAAATAATAGCTGGAACTTTGAATAACTGAGAGCTTTGAGCATGTTTCCACCAAGATTGTGCAACATAACCAAAAGAAACTGACATCCCACGCACACATTTCCTCTCCAAAGACATATAAAAGTTGGGTTTGAAATTTACACGCTGAGCCACACCCATGCAAACACGCTCCAAGTTCCATGCCAAATAAAGCTGTTTGTATCCCTTGACAAAGACCAGCATATGCCCTTGCAGTAGGTACCATTGAATGGCCACAACTTGACTTGAGAGTAACTTTCCTGGATGACCCATGCTGCTGACATACAAGGTGACAGCCATCGACGCCCTCTCCCCCCTTGAAGCACTCGGGTCTCACTGAGGAGAAATGGTGGGCCAGAATGTTTGCCAACATTTGCAGATTTAGTAGATTTAGAGTTAAAAGAAAATAAAAAAATTCTTTCTCTACATTTTGCTTGAAGTAACTTAGCCAAGAGGGTGCAATTAAGCCCAGAGAGTGGAGCAAAGGGCAATACATTCAGACGCACCATGTCTTTTTCTTTGAACCCCCACTGGAAGTTTGACAACATTTAGAAATTTTCGATCTTAGCATGATCCCTTTCATGGATGTGTACATTTCACTCAGTAAAGGTGAACAGAAATTTTTGGAGTTGACAAAAATTTGCCCCCCCTCAGAGGTTAAAAAAAGCTTTTTAGGTAAGACGATACATTTACATCCTCCATCAGAAAGACACTCGGACCCTGCATTGTGTGGCCTGGCATGCGTGAATGAAAAGCATTTACCACAGTAAAGATAGAGAATGCCACATGTACTGTAAGGATATTGTGTGCGAACGTGAGCGAGTCTGAGTGAGTTCTTATGCATGCATGAGAGCCCGCATGGAAGAAAATGTGTGCGAGGGTACATGCTGTACAGTATGGTGTGTGCGATGGGCGTGATAGTGTGCGTATTATCTATGTGTGTCTGTGTCTGTGTGCGTGTGTGCCTTGTTCCTCTTCCAGCTCATCAGTGAGTAGCTGGACCCTCCAGTCTTACGAAGACATCAGTGTTTTTTCAAGAAGGAAAGTAGGCCATACTGAGATCTTATCAAGCTTTGTGTAACATCCGGAATAAAATTTTTACTTAAATACTCACGTTAGAGGAAAGCGCTCTCATTTTTTTTTTTTAGAAATCACCGGTTTCTAAGGAGACCAAAAGACTGAAGAGTAATCTGGTTTAATGTAAAGGAAAGATGGATGATAACAGACCACTTGATTCATCTTCTTTATCCTGCAGTGAAAGTTTTCAGGAGAAGTTAGTCATCTGCAGAGTTTGAGTTTAAAGTTTAAACTGCAAAAATCTGGACTTTGTTTGGAGTAAATTGTAGAACAAATCACTGGCCCCGTTTACATGGGTCCAAAAATCCTATTTACAATCAGATTGAAAGGTCAATCAGATTCAAAATGTCTCATATAAACACCTTAGCCAATCTGATTCACCCGGATCTGATTGTGTTTCGGGTCGGATTGTAAAAGGTAGTCTACACCGATTGATAATCCGCTCCATATAAACGGCTGAGTGGGGCGGATTGGGTTTACAGAGAGGCTTGTTCAGTCTGCGCAGGCGCTCGGTAGTACGTAAGAGGCACGTAGTAACGTACGCAGAGCGTGCCCAAATGAAAACAAACATGGCGAACAAACAGAAAAACTGGACGGTGGAGTGTTAAAGTGTGTTGTTTCGTGCTACTGGCGAAGCGTACATTTCTTGCTGTGTAACCCGGCTGGATTATACTTCTATTAAACTTCAACACATCGGGTTCCTTACTCTGCTCGGTTTGGTAACTCCGGCGGTGTCACACACAAACACGTCCGTGCGAAACTCTAAAACGGAACTAAAACAATGGTTCCTGTTAACAATTCCCATTGATACAATACAATACAATTAGATTCAGCTGGGGCCATGAAAACACGGACTGAACGTGGATCTCTTTACTTAAAGTCCATGTATACAGATGGAATCAGATTCATTTAATCCGATTGATTTCAATCAGATTGAGGAAAACTACCCATGTAAACGGGGCCAGTGATTCAGTTCGCTACAACAAGGACTAATCCTGGTAAAATCCTATCAAGTGTACCAGTGTAAACACATTAATGAGACTGTGAGATTTTAGGAGGCGATAAAAGCTGCACAGACGTATTGTCTGGGCTGAAGTGAAGCAAACCTGTTTGTCAAACAGCTTACGCATCAGTCTGAGGATTTTTCAGCCGCAGTTTTAGAGGAAAGTGTCAGGAATCACTGTGTCAGTGGTTTGATCAAATCGCATCTTTCCCTGTGTTGCTGCGTCCTTCACTTCCTCTCAGTAAGGACGCTCTGCTGCTCGTGACAGCCTGGATTTGAAATACTGTACATGAGGTGGATAAAATAACAAGAACACCTTGCACTATAGAGCAATGCTTTTGCAACGAGTACTTGAATCGTCCACTTTCTTTCCCAAAACGAGCAAATTTTGTTGCATTTTCCAGAATATAACCCATAATATCCTTCAGCCTGTTCACTTGTCACATTAGCTCATCTTTGCTGATACAGCTTTCTGCTGTGTGGGATATGCTGTCACGATTTTTAGGACTTTTTTTTTTTTTGAAAGAACTTAATATGACTCACTTGGGTTTAGTCATTTCTGGGATTTGTGTAGTTGTCTGTGTTGTTGCTTGTGTAACTGCATTGCAGACCCCTCAAAGTTGAAAATCCTCTTTCCTGTTATGTTCCCGTTACTTTACCTGATCCCTCTTTTTATCACAAATACAGGCAGCTACACAAGTGAGACATATTAGTCCAAAAAATAAGATACTAAAACAGTAATGAAGAAGTTAAGATCTGGGAATCACCAAAGAACTTCCAGAGGTTTCTGCATGGCTGTGGTTTTAGATTGCGATATATTGTAAGGTGCTCCCGGTTTTCTGTCCACCCCTTGTATTTTGACTGTTTTTAATCTGTTGTTTCTCACTTTCTCTCACTCTTTCTTTTTCTGTCTCTCTCCACTCTTTGCACAATAAAATAAGAATACTAGAGAAATTTTTAAGGCATGTTACAGCTCAAGAGAAACCCCCTTTAAGCAGATTTTATGAATACACAAGTTTAAGCTCACGAAGTAAACTAAAACAGCAAATGGCGTCACCCAAGAAACAGTGAAATCAAGTCAGGTTGCAACCGTGGTCATCGATGAACAGATTGCACTAGTAACACCGGGGTGAGCGGGGGTAAGTGGCAGGTAGGTGCTGTGACTAACCCAACTGCTGATGCCCTGGGTTTAGAGTTCAGCACAGCCGCCACCTCCCAGACGTCCGTCTCACTCCTTCTCCTGCCGCCTGCCTCCCCTTTTTTTGTCTCTGCAGAAACAACAGGATGATGATGACGAAGAGGAGGATGTGGAGCCTGGACTCACCGGAGACGAGAAAGAGGAAGAAGTGAAGGAGAAAGAGAAGCTCGGGAAACTGCAGTATTCGATTGACTATGACTTCCAGGAGAACAAGGCAAGAAATTATAGAAGATCTTCTGCTTTCATTCAGTGTTCTAGTGTAGTTTACATTATTAACCCACTGAGCAATAGACAGCTATGAGATGTCTAGTTTTTTTAGGCCTAATTTCAACTGTTTAGATTCTGTATATTTTTAGACAGAATTTAGACGTTGCACTTTAACACATTATTCGATAACTACTTATTTCAAAAAGTGAGTGTGAGTTGCATTACTGATCTCCAAATACTTAAACAAAATAATTATGATAGCCATTAAAGGTGGGGTAGTCAGGATCTGAGGGAGTGCCAGTATTAGTATTGGGAGAAATCTTGAATGTAAACTCTACCCCTCCCAACCAGTTTTCCCCTCAGCTCCTCCTTTTCCTTCCCTCTCCGCTCCACCAAGCCCCGCCCACAAACAGATGCCACTGCTCGCTCATATCGTTCCAATTGAATTTAGATATAATGCAGATAAATACTTCAGATAATTACAAATGTAGCCCATTCAACGTGGAAGTAAACTGCATTGGTGCTACTGTAGATGCCAACAAACTACCAACGAACACAATGTTTGCAGGACTTCTACAACTAGGATAAAGTGACATACTTCAGGACCCGAGGTCTACAGTTTAGCGGGGCTGCAATACGCAGCAGGTCCCGTTTGACAAGAAACTCCTCTGTTACAGACACTTGGCTTACTTTGTTAAAGCGGTTTCCCTGTCCAGCATAAAGGTTACACGGCCTGTAAGATCCTAAAGCATCCCCCATTGTTGTTGACCCGGCTTCTTAGCTCTTGTCCGGTCTACCTCCTTTTTAAGCGCCCACTATCCCGTAGGAATCTCCCGTATTTACTTTGTTTTCTTGCTTGTGTTGGCAGTCGTGGTCAAAGGAGGATTCAGACAATTTTCTGTACTTTCTGGTTGGTTTCTACTGTCTGATATTGTAGCACACTAACTTTGTTTGGGCTCATGAAGCCGGCTAGTCTAAACTTGGTCCAAATCTAGATGTCTAAAAAACTTTCATTTTCAGACCTGTGGTAGCCTGATTTATGACCAATCATCTAGGCTACATTTAGACGTCTATTAGACCTCTTTTAGATACAAAAATGCTCAGTGGGAAGACGGATCATATCAGCTGATGCATGTTCATTACTGACTGCTGGTTAAGTAAAGGTCAAGCTAGTTAACACAGACTTCTTGCAATACCTTAACGAAGACATAATCATTATTTATTGACTGTTTCATGATTGATCAACTGATTGGAGAATATCTGGTGATAATTTGGAAATCTGCCAATATATATATATATATATACACACATCTCAAATTAACAGCTTTATATTGCTGGCATACTGCTGGAAACATTTTGCTAACCTGTTAGCCAAGCTACTGCTTTTGATATTGGTATTTGTATTCATACGACAACATCCAACAATTTAAACATATGGCAGTGATGAAAATAACAATAAAAATATGACAAATACAGAAGAGGTAAATAAATAAAAATTCCTAATAAAATAAATACTTAAAAAGATAAATTGAACCAACAAATTAGTCAACTAATTACTGAGCAATAAATACATAAATTAAAAAAAAAATCATCTAAAATAATAGCAATAATGATCAATTACTATTGAGAATAATAAGAATAAAAATAAGAATAAGAAGAACTTTATTGAAGTGAAATTCAATAATAGTAATAGTATTAATATAAATATAATATTAAAATTATAATATATGTTATAAGACATATATAAGACAAAAATATATTAATATGTAATAGTATTTTATTAGCTACCTTTACGTTAACTTTGCTGTGTTTCGGCTGGTTCCCATACAAATAAAGCTGATAGCTTGCAAAGCTTTACTTCTACTGTTTGCACCATATATTTCACCTTTAAAATAAATGAATAAATCCCACTCAGCAGCCCACGAAGTAGAGAAGTGCACTACTATCTCATATCTTTGCTCCTGATGACACCTGATAACAGTCGTTTAGAGGGCTGATAACACCTGAAATCTGCTGAGGGATTGCATGGCGTGAGCTGCAGCAACTCTCACTATTTAATCTCATACTTCCACTCCGCTCCCTCCTCAGCTGACTGTGGGAATCCTGCAAGCAGCCGATCTCCTCTCCATGGACAGCGGCGGCACCTCCGACCCTTACGTCAAAGTCTTTGTGCTCCCCGACAAGAAGAAGAAGTTCGACACAAAGGTCCACAAGAAAACTCTCAATCCTGTCTTCAATGAGACTTTCACTTTCAAGGTGAGCTGAAACATCACTCGGTCACCCTGCACTTATTACTTATTAAAATAACATGTGCGTCATGCTGTTTGATGGGAAGGCAGGACTCATTAGAGGTCAAATGTTCCCTTCTATCTTGTGTCTGGCCCTGTATCCTGGTTTCTTTCCTCTCTCCCACACACTCTCCAGTCCAGCAGCGATAAAAAGCAGCAGACATATTGAAGGTGTCTGACGAGGAGCTGTGGTAGAGAATCAAATTAAAGGAGAGGGCCACCTCTGGTGCGCTGTGCCTGCTGACACAGCTCTATGAAACACAATTCGAACAGATTTCCTCGCTCAATGTGAGGCTAGTTCTGCTGAAGCTGCATGTTTGGGCGAACATAAGCTTCAGGCCGAAGTCAGAACCTGTGTTAAAATACTCCTGAAATGACTCGTGCTTTTAGTGTGCGATACGTCCAACCCTAGAAATGAGTTCAACAAGATCAACCTCTGTTTTCTAGATTCCCTTCCAGGAGATGGGAGGAAAGACTCTGGTGATGTCCGTGTACGACTTTGATCGCTTCTCTAAACATGATGTCATCGGAGAGATCAAGATACCCATGAACACCCTGGACTTGGCGAAGCCAATCGAGGAGTGGAGAGACCTGGACAGTGCAGATCAGGAGGAGGTAAGAAGACTGTCTTAGCGCGCTGCTGTTCTGGTCCATTACTTCTATTGATGTGAGCTAAAGAGATGTATGTCACTTCATTCTTTGGGCAAGTAACACTAGAGATGTCAATATTTGGGAGTTTTAGAATTTATTACAGGACTCAAAAATGATTGGCTGATGTACCTCAATTCAGTATAGATGTCTGTGTCAGGGGTATACTGACAGAGAAAGACCCAGAGGACCACTACAAAAATATATTCTAAGCAATATTTTCATGGATAATGAAGCCTAATAAGGTAACCTAGAGATGAGAACCAAACTGGATGATAGAGAATTATTTTGCGGGTGCGTAGTAATAGTAGTAGTATTTTTACAAAACAGTAGCTGATGATAGCGCTGCATTGTAGGTTCTTGAGGGACAGCTAAGAACCTACAGACAAATCCTGTAACTCCAACATGCTGCAAGATTTCAGGTTAAACTCACTTTTTATTTGTCCATCCTACAACTTTGATGCTTGGTACACTCTCACTTTTTACATGTTGGTCTCAGCTGTCGAAATAAAGTGATTCAAAACTCAAAACTATGAACCTCTCTCAAAACTCACAGAGCAGAACAGTTAGCTGGTGTATAAAAGAGCATCTAAAAGCAAACAGAAAGAAGTATTTCCATTAGGAAGAGGAAAAGAGTCCAAAGATGAAACAACAAAAACACATGACATGACTTCTGAAAGTGCATTCAAGCAAATTTTTCTGCTTCAAGTTTAAAACTGAGACTCAGATATTGTTGATATGCCTGTTTTTGCCGCTAAGAAGCCAAAAAGGTTTAATTGCAGGTTTAGATTTCACATTTATGGCATTCGACCTATATCTGTCCTGTGTACAACACTATACAGTAAAAACCAATTCGTCTTTCCTCTCAGTTTAACATCCTTTCTGAATACTTGTAATACAACCTGGGAAAAGTTTAGATGTGATATAGACTAAGACACTTTTCCACAGAGAGAAACTTGACCAGCTGACTCAGCTGATGACTTCCAACAAAAATAACCAAGGTGTCAACTTTGTCTGTTTACCAGCGTGATTCAGAGGGCTGGAAGAAACACTTTTTTGTTTTCCTTACCAACTGCTCGGCCGTCTCCGTATTTGTGCAGCCTGTTCGCTGTTTTTTAAATCCTAAAGCTGCACTTGATTCTGAAAACTGTGTGTAATCAATTCGACCTCCCAAGAGCACTTGTAAAGGAGAAATACTCACACTTCAGATGCCTGCAGGCTCAAATATTTCATGTTCTTTTGAAAATCACAACTAGGTGTATTTAAGAATGTCTCAGGGGTTATTTCAATTCATGGTTTATATTTCAAATGATTATTTTTGCATTAGAATGACTATGAAAAAATCCCTGCGTCAGACCTCCTCTAACGTTCTCCTCATTTCACCCCTTCGCAGCCTGAGAAGCTGGGTGACATTTGCATCTCTCTGCGTTACGTCCCCACTGCTGGCAAACTTACCATCTGTATTCTGGAAGCCAAGAACCTGAAGAAAATGGACGTGGGAGGACTGTCAGGTATAAAAATAGAGCTGAGCATGAAATATTACACTTTAATATTAAATTTTCACACTTGACACCACTTCTACGGATACCACAGGGAGCTTAATGTGAAATGTGAATGCTTGCAGCAGGACTGCAGTGTACGAAGCAGCGTGCCTGTGAGCACAGCCATTAGGTCGGTCCCGCTCTGCTCACGTGCTGACGCTGCAGTGCTTACCATGCACCAGCTCCTTCTCCCTCTGGCCTCAGCATGAGCCCCATCTGTTGGTGCATCACAGCATTGCAGCTCCAAACATGCATGTGCAAAGACAATAATTTCATGTTTGTCCTCTTCTCAGATCCATACGTGAAGATTAACCTGCTGCAGAACGGAAAGAGGCTGAAGAAGAAGAAGACGACAGTGAAGAAGAACACTTTGAATCCGTACTACAACGAGTCCTTCAGCTTTGAGATTCCTCTTGAGCAGATGCAGGTAGGGACAAGGACTTACTTGGTGAAAATCTGTGTTTTTCTGGAGAATTACTGGTGTTTAAAATCACTACATTCACGGAAAGCAACACTTCAGCGTTTATTAAACATGACTGACCCTCTGACACTTAAACCACAGATGGTTATTGACAGCTTGAGCTCAAAATGGCAACCCGCTGATACGAGCCATTTGTCACCTCATCATTCACTTAACGGTCAAGTGCATTTAAGGACAAAAACAGACCTATTCTTCGGCTCACATAAGTGGAAGTAATCACACAAAGCCCTTCATAATGTCTCATTAGCATTACATGAAAGTGTGGCGGCCATGTAAAACAAACATATCTCTCCAAGGAAAGGTCACAGTCATTAGCATGAAACATATTCTTGCTTAGTCAGATACACTTGCTGGTAGTTATTGTGATTCTGTCGGTTTAATATAAGCATTATGGTGTAGAATCTAATGTTATAGACTCTAGGTGGACGTTGTTTAATGAGGATTATTGTTTGTTGTTTGACAGTAACACCAAAATCCATTCTCGTATCTGGCTGTTAAACATACTGCTACTCTTAGAAGCGACTAAACTTAGCAGGAAGCCTCGAAGTCTTGCTGTTACTGAGAGGCTGCCAGGCAATCTACAATACGTACACTCAGAGCTTGTGTCTGCTCTCCTCATTGTTTATGTGTTTGATACAAACCCAATACAGATAAGCAGTTTTAAAAGTCTTTAAATTGAAAGTAGCGCAACTTTTAAAACACCATCAACCTTCTCAATGACACTTCTAATGACGAAGAATTAGGGCACATTAAGAAAAAATTAAGACTGTAATTACAAGAATAAAGTTGTAATAAAATAATTACTTGCGAGAATAAAGTTGTAGCTAATAGCTATTCTAACCAGTTGTTATTTATGATTGTTGTGGAGCATTTAGATGAATCGTTCTTCAGTAGCAAGGTTTCACAAACAAGGAGATAAATCCTTTGGCGTTTCAGCATCACATTGTCATAAGTATCAGGACATATGCAAGAAACGGCTGACAGACATGAGTATTAAAAAAACAGATGTACAAAAATTTACTAAACCTGATGCTCCACATCCAAAATCAGGGAAAGTTTGGTGTCAAAATATGACACACATTGTCAAAAGCCCCTTGAAATACATCATACTAGTTTGCGAGAAACATGTAATAATTTCTACTGGTCCCAAACTGCTTAGCCTTGACCTTTGCAAGTGTCCGGGTGGCGTCAGAGTACAGAGGAGAGTCATTAATTGTTTTCTCCTTTGATGTGAGCTTTAACATGATCCCATTAATGACATTAGTGGTCACAGTGTCCACCATTAAGAGTTACGCCTACAGTACTTTTGAAAAGAAACACTGATGTTGTGCCATCCTTACGTCTTTTCTGCAATAAACTCTTATGAAATTAAGTTGGTTTTGCAGGGGCACCAATATGCAGAGACTTCAGTCCAGATTCAAATCCAGATTCTGATCCCTTTGCCTCATGTGTGCCTCTGCTACTCTCTCTTTCCAGTTTCCTACTCTATCCACTGTTCCATCTCAAACTAAAGGCGTAAAAGCCCAGAAGTAACCACAGAGAACAGAGTTGTTTTTCTAAAATAATGAAAAGAAAAAAATCACATTTAAGCCAGACATTGTCCATTTTGGCACTGCACTCAGTCCCCACCACAGAAACAAAGATTCCCGAGGGCGCTGACACCAGCCACCATGACGCACATCCAAACACTGAGCATTATTCACCATCAACCTCTAAAGCTTGCCTGGAGTATTTGAATATGAATTTGCACAGAAAACCTCCTTCACTGAAGCAGAATTGATGATTTTGGATAATCCTGTGAGAAAAGGCAAACATCCTACTTTTTTTTTCCCTTCCCCTTTTTTCTTAGAAAATCCAAGCTGTGATCACAGTGCTGGATTATGACAAGATTGGCAAAAATGACGCCATTGGGAAGATCTGGGTGGGGAGCAAATCCACAGGAGCCGGCCTCAAACACTGGTCCGACATGCTGGCCAATCCCCGCCGTCCAATCGCCCAGTGGCATCCACTGCAGCCAGAAGAGGAGGTGGATGCCTCCCTCGCAGCCCTGAATGCCAAGAAGTAAACTCCCACCTGAAATCCCACCTCCACCTTACCTACCCATGCATCTCCCATCATCCTCTCCGGGTCCCACATATCAGTGTATATTCCAGAAGAACACCCCTGACTGTACATCTGCTCCCTCCACCCCCTTCCTACTCCTCCTCCTCCTCCTCCTCCTCTCTCTCCTTCCTCTCCCTCTGCCACCTTTCAAAAGATCCATGAATACCATTCAACATGATGGGAAATATAGTTTAAAAAAGCATCATGTGAAAAAGAAATCATGTCATTGAAAAAAGAAGACAAGTCACAGGATGGACAGATACTCCGTTGATTTCCTTTAGATCTATTTTTGTATTGGGGTTGTGGTTCCATGAATAAGAATACAGAGTAGACTATGAAGAACAGTGAGAGTGCTAAATGGGAATCTGGTGATAGAGGGGATAACACAAACATTCACCCATGTTGTACTTCTCACCCTTTCCCTTTAGTGACACAGTTTGCTTAGAATAGTGCTTAATAATAATAATAATAATAATAAAATGCTTTATACTGCCATATATGATAGAGAAATAACACAAGCAGGTCCATTCCTTAGGTGTATTTATTGTGCACCATGTTCCACACCTGCCAGTTATCATTCTAGATGATTCTGTTTGTTTGACGTACATTCCTAGAGTTGGGTAGCGAGTAGGGATAGGCACATATCCAAGTTACCCACAAACACACTGCCTTGTTTCGATTCGTTGACCTTCCACCCATCGTCTCAGGAAAACTGAGAGGAAACCGAAGCTCCATGCCTTTTTTTCTAAACGGGTTGTTTATCATTCGAAATATATTCCAAGATACGAGAAACCGCTGGGTTCGAGAAGCTTGAGCGCTTGTTTTTTTTAGGGTGACGTAAGGCTCAGTTTATCCATGAAATGGTACGTCAGGGAACAGGGAGGGATGGATTTTTCGGTTGAAGAAAAAAAAAAGTGTGTGTTTTTTTTTTTTCGACTGGGAGTGTTATCCGAAACAACAACAAAAAAAGCGGGGAAAAATCAGAGCAGGTTCAACAGAGACTGATTCCACCCACCAATGACATGATATTTACAAGGTGTCGATTACTGCCTGCAGTCTACCACCTCCCCTCCCAACGCCTCTGATTCTGTATCTCACTTGTTCAGTGCTACTGCCATTAGTCATGGACTTGACACAAGGATTTTACTTAAAAGAAAATCCCTATAACCGTCTTACAGTCATAAAGGAGACAAGCCTTCAAAGTAACAAAATAAGCAATTTTCAACTACCAGGGACGCCTTCCAGTTAAGCGGTGTTGTTCTCTTCATTTTTCCTTTTTCTATTTCTTTTTATTTCTTTATTTATTTCGACACTTTTATTCCTCAAGCACTTTAAATCCATATGTTGCGTTTAAAGTACCCTCAGAAACCAGAGCTTTAATTATTTACTTTGGAGATATCAGCTGGTTATATATTTGAAAAAAAAAAAGAAAGAGCAAGGGCGTGTATTATGTCAGCTGTTTTTTGTTGCTGTTGCTTTTTCCTGTATGTATGTGTGTGTTTTTGATTGTTTGAATAATCGGTTTCTCTCTTGATTGCAAAGACACGGTCTGGAAGGAGGCACTGATCCATGTGTACTTTATACACAGCTTACCAAACTGTTGAATTTAATTGCACTACTGGGTATTAATGATCCTGTTCTGTAGTAATCTGACGCTGTTCTCTGATCTGTGTAGTTTTTTTTTTGTTTTGTTTTTATTGATCAAATGTTGTGAGATTGAATATTTCTGCGGCATTTGCTAAACAGTTAAAGGAGACGAGTTTCAGTCCAATGCTGCTTTCTTTAAGGTCAACATCCTGCTGAAGAGAAATTCTCATGAAAGAACTTATCAGCTCTGACTAAATTGGTGAAAGCTTAATTCTAATTAAAATCCAGATATGCATCAGTGCCGAGTCGATAATTAATATCAGTGCTGCCCGTTGAAAATGCAAAGTCAATGTAGATGTCACTGCGGTTTTTTGGGGTAATTTTATGAATGTTGGCTCTTGTATCTTCCTCTGTTGGAAAATTGTAACTTTTTATTTTTGTAAAAATCAACCTAGACCATGTTTAGATTTCCGTTCCTCATCTCACATTATCTTTTTATCTTCCGTTTAATGAAGCAGCACTAAAGAAAAAGGCAACATGGAAGCAATCAAGCAACCCATCGGTGTGTAGTTTTGCCTATATACATAGTTCATACACGTTGATACTGCATGTTTATACAAAAATACTGTACATAAGAGCATGTTTTAGAGACAAAGCAAAAATATCTCGTGTACGTAAATGGGTGTCATTTGTCATTTTAATAACACGAAGAAGGGAAAAAAAGATGCACTGTATATTTTCTAAATGAAACAAATGTGTATTTATTTTCCATGAGGGTCATTGGAGAGAATGTCATACAAATATTAGAGTACTACTACTACTAATAAGAAAACCTTTCCACGCCTGAAATTCTTAAGCAAGTGTGTCGTCCAGTACTGTGTGTGAGTTCATGTAGGATGAAAATGTAGCCGCATGCTTGCTAGCTAATTCCTTGTGATCCAAATCTTTATTTTTCTGCCATATTTTTTTTTTTTGTTACAGCACTTAATCTGAAGGCTAATGTTTGACTTTGATTACTTTTTCAAAAGATGTGTTTTTTTTGGATTTTTACTGTCTGGGATGGTGGGAGGGGGTCTCCAAGTCTATACCAGAACTTGTTTTTCCTATAATGACAGATTTGGCTCTTTGAAAAAAGAAGAAAAATCACATTAAAGGAAGTTGAATAATTCAGAAATCCGTGGGTGGGTTGCAAGAGTTGACATTAATGCCAGTACTGATACAGAATCAAGTCTGTTGGACCTTATCTTTGTATAAATGTGTCTCCAGGGGCCAAAAATATGAGTTCTTCTCATTCCAGTGAACACAAATGACTTGGAATCCCTTCTTCTCTTTCTTCTTCTTCTCATGGAAGTTGATTTCTTTAATTTTTTTATTTCCCACTTCTATATTTAAATGACCTGAAACCCTTCACGGCTGTGTCTCTTTTACTGTGTTTATTATACAATACGTGTATGTGTATACAAGATAAATGAATAAGATAAAACTAAAGCCATAAAACTCAAGCACTAACTCTTTAGAGCTCAGCTGAGTAGCTAGAGTTTATTTATGAAGACAAAAAAAAAGAAAAAAAAATCCAACATGTCTGCGGTTTTCCTCGGCCAGTGTTTCTCTTTTACATTCCGTTCAGAGGTCTCTGTTCATCAAGAGGGCGAAATCCATTTTACTGTATATGTGAGCATTGAGAACAGTTGTGTAGAGCGAGTGTGTCTTTTTCTACTTTCCAAGCCGTTGATGTCCTTGTTTCATAGAGGTAGCTGATTTTACAGTATTGTGATTAGTAACGTATATGCCTTGTTTTGATAGTATAAATAATAGATCTAATATCACACAATAGGTTCTCAATAATACTGCTAAAGTTATATACATATATACATATACAGATATATGACAGTGTGTTCTATTATTTGGGCTGAGTGCAATTACTGAACCAAACTAGGCCACTCTTTCAAGTTTCTCCTCTTTGTACAATCAATAACACACTGATGGTTATTTACTGCTCATGCTGTTTAGCGGCAAAACAAACACGGTTCGAGATTTTAAAGAGCGACGGCTATAAAGAAAGAGGAACGTCAAAGATTTAGGCCTGAATCCCTTCCATAGAACTATGCATTGAGTCATGATTTCAACAGATTCAATACATAGAAAAGGCGTATTATGTCAAGCACATGATATAAAGTTTAAAATGTCCTTTCAAGTTATTTGCCAAGGAATGAGAAAACGAACACAACTCGCGCGAGTGTGTGTGTGCAGTAAATATAGCCAAAGCTTGGAGGTAAAAAGATTTTATTCTAGGCTAGCTCACAACTCAAAAAACACATAAAAAGCGGTATTACTCTTCTTGTAAGACGGCGAATATTTCCCCAAATCTCTCTTTCCTTTCGATTCACCTCAGTTGCCAATTTTTTTTAATGAAATCAACTTAAAACTGCCATCGAACCCTCCCGGCAACAATCCTCAGTGCGCTGCGTCGATGCGGCGCGCTGTCTAATGCAATATTATGGTAAATCACTGTCCCATCAATGCTACCGACTGTGACCAAATAATGCACTGAGAACAATTCACATACAAGGTTTCAGTGTGTTTTTCAGAGATACTGCCAGTACCCGATCACAGCTGCCTGCATTCGTCAACACTGTTTGAAACCCGCACAGCCAAAATAACAATTCCTGCAGAGGCAAACAGAACGCATCAAGTGACTGATGAGGCAGCTGTGATTTCAGGTGAACTTATAGCACATTTTACAGATTTTTTTTTCTATTTTTTATGGTATTTTCTTTTACTGCTTGGGTCACAACAGTCACATGACCACCTGAGTTCTATGGGGGACAGAAACTGGGAGATAAAAAAATGCAGCGTAGGCCTTTAAAAGCAGACCCGGTGCAAAAAAAAACACAGCACTTACCTATTAAAGATACAAAATACAGTACAGGTCTGCATGTATGGGACACATTACTCATTCTTAAATGTGCATCTATGTGTGTGTGTGATGCTCAAACAATCCCTGTTTTATTTTGAAATAAGGGGGTTTTCTGTTCTGTGTCGATGTTCTATACCTTATGCACAACTGCGCCTGAAACTGTGGGGTGTTTCAGCTGTGCAGGGATCGTTTAAAAAAGCACCGTTAACACCAGTCTCCTTTTCTTTTTTTTTCTTTTTTGGGAACAAACAGTGGGATTTAAAAAAGTGAACTCAGTCGATCATTTTCCCACCCTGTCAAAAAGTGTTTAGGCGCCACTTTGAAACACGTTGTCTTGTCTCCTCTATTACTCGCTGTATTTCTTCTTTGTATTCTTGTGCATATGTGTAATCACTCCTTCTTGTCCTTTTCTTTTTGTTGTGATGTACGCTGTTAACGTAGAGTGTAGGTCTGTACTTGAATCAAAAGCCAGAATCACGTTTTTGCTTTTTTCTGTTCGCGTCTGTGTCCTGTTTTCAGTGTAACCAGCTCTGTTCCATCAGTATCAATAAGAAGCAGGCTCGCCGAGTCCTCCTCTGAACCTGCTTCTGCTGAGCGTAAAGAATGCCGGCCTTCATGTTTACAACATGGACATACTGTATACTGCCAAACATGCAGGACCGTACCAAACTCCCCTCTTGAGCGCTTAGTCCTCCACCTCTTCTCCCCTTCCTAATGCAACTGTACTCTCAAGACTCTTTTTTCTCTTTTCATTTCTCACACCTCTTTCTCTTCTTCTTCTTCATCCTCTTTTAAAAGCGTGGGAGGACGGTCAGGTTGTGTCCTCTAGCTGTGTTTCTTCTTCGTGTCTAGTGTCGTGGTGCGCGTGTTCATGTCAGTACTTGTGCCTACTGTGGATCGCATGCTTTAGCCCTTGACTGGACACAAACGTTGCTCACAAACTCCTCTTGACCCTTATGTGGACAAACGTTGGGGATCCTTATAAAGTTATCAAGGGAACCAAATAACTTATTACAAATTTATCATATGTGTTAACAGTTCTGTAAAAAAAGACAAATAGGAAATAAAGGCCTTTTAATTACCATGACTTGTTTGTGTTTCATATGCTCAGCAGGCTCACAGTTGATACCACACAGAGGCTTGATCGCTCTTTTACGGTTTATTAAGCAAAGTGAGAGTATAGTGCATAATTCAATACATATGCAGCACATACCTTATCCTCATGATAGCTTTGAGTGAAAATAACACAAAATCCTAACATTGTAAAAAAAATCCAGAAAACACTGTGGACAAATCAGCTGTTAAATGAGGAGAAGACAGATACCAAAGTCATTTACATCTCAGACACACTGTTTGTCTTGTATAGCAGCTCTACAGATGAAGGAATTTTGGCCGTCTGCAACATTAAGTTTGACAAAAGATGTAATTTTTCACTTGAGACGGATCTATCTCTCTTCAGAGTTTGTGATAAATGTGGCTGAATGATCAATTTTTTTAGATTTTTGTGCATTTAATGACGTGAAATGCCAAATAACGGCTTAAAGGACTAAAAAGAAACAAAAGCCAAAGGTTGAAATGCATAAAAAGGTTTTTAAAAAGGCTGCTTCGTGCCTGGGATTTCTATTAACTCGTGCAGATTTACTTCAGTTTTAAAATAACACTGTGCAGCTGCAGCATGAGTAAATACAGCCTCCAGAACAGAAAGCCGATAAGTTAATGAAGTTTAGATTTATTGCTGCGGTGTCAGATTGCATGTGTACCTAATGAACTGGCACCCTGGTGCTCCTAGATAATAATTAATACAGCATAACCTTATTCGTCTGAATGATATCATATGAACAACACCATTAAGTAAAACTGCAGGTAATTTACACCACGTTTAATGAAAAGTGCCAGCAACACTTTATTTCATAAAACATTCCTTGTGTTAATAAGATCACACGATATTGTGCAGGATAAAAACACCAGCAGTGATTTTATAGCAAATTTAGGCGTTTGTATTGTCAACACCTTACATGTAGGTTAAGAAAAATAATCTGTGCATGACTCTGAAAGAAGTATAAACCAAAGTATAAAGATTAAAACTACAAAATGCTTAAATAAATAAATATATCTCTTCATCTACAAACACACACACATAGAGAAACAGGCAGGCGGCCTCCTCCCCGTCGCCAAATGTTCTCTAAAAAGCGCTCGCTAAAGAAAAAGTTAAACACGGCTTGGAGAGCAAAATCTGGCAAACAATAAATTATTTTACTTTCTGCTACTGATGCCCAAGTGCAGCACCTTCCACTCTGTACAAAGTGTTTATGACTCAGCTCTGCTTTTCAGCTGTGACATATGGTCCACTTCAAATACTCAACACACCGAGGACATCGTTACATGTCAGAGGAACCGAGAATTATATAAAAAAAGAAGAGAGAAATTTGACTGAAATATCACCAAAAAATCTGACCGCTTGGAAGTGGTTGGCAGCTTAGCCGTTATGTAACGTGTTTGACTTTCTCCCGGGGCTCTGACACAAATATTCATGTTTTTTTTCTCCACTGACTCGGGTCAAAAGTTCACAGGGTTGAAATTTTAGAAGCGCTGGGGAGCGTAAGCAGACACAGCTGAGTAAAAAAACCTGAGAGAAAACCATCTAAGAAATCAGCTGCTGTATTCCTGACGTCTTACATAAAACATCATTCTCAATTAGGAGCAAAGGAGCGTCTGAAGCTCTTAAAGGGATATTCCGGCATAAATTAATTTAGAGTCAAGACACCCCCTTGAGAGATGAACGTTGCCGACTGCTTGCTTTTCTAGTTATACCAACTTTAGTAACGACGATAGCAATACACAGCAGTCTGAAGAACCATAAACAAACCTCAACCAAAACGCCACTCTATAGCCACAAATAATGCTCAGAACAGCACCTAACTTCATCAACAGGACATATAGGGTCCCAGCCATAGTACTAGACACCAAACATCTTTTTAACTTTGCCTGATTTTTTTAGCAAAGAGACGAAACACAACTTACCCATTCTCTTCCAGTAGCCAATTGTTTGTAGCGAGACCTCAGGCCAGTCCATTACTGACTGCTGTGGGGTGACTCAGCTCAAGGAAGAACATTTATGATCATTTCTTCATGGAAGTGCAATCAGACCGAGACGCTAAGGCAGACGAACTACCGTGTCTGCAGTGGAAATGATTAATATGGTGTATATACCTTCAAGGAAATGATAAAGTAATGATCATAAATGTTCTTCCTTGAGCTGCGTCACCCCACTGTAGTCAGTAAGGGATTGGCCGGAGGTCTCGCTACAAACAAGCATCTGCTGGAAGAGACTAGGTGTGTTGTGTTTAGTCTCTTTGCTAAAGAAATTAGTCAAAGTTAAAAAGATGTTTGGTGGCTAGTACTATGGCTAGGACCCTATATGTACTGTTGATGAAGTTAGGTGCTTTTCTGAGCGCTATTTGTGGTTACAGAGTGGCGTTTTGGTTCAGGTTTGTTTATGGCTCCTCAGACCTCTGTGTATTGCTATCGTGCGGTCGTTACTAAAGTTGGTATAACTAGAGAAGCAAGCGGTCGGCAACATTCATCTCTCAAGGGGGTGTCTAACTTGGTGTCTTTGACCCTAAATTAATTCTACACCGGAATATCCCTTTAAGTTCAATGATTGCTTCTCCTCAGAGCCTATCGGTTGCTTGATTGGGACTTATTTTACCTGTAGGGCTGTTTAACAGTTTTATTTTCAAATTCATTTACAACAATATAGCAACAACATAAATGCCTACCTTCTTTTTACACAGATTAAGCTACGTTTGTGCAGCGCATGATGTTGCAACAGATGTGAAGCCTCAGTGTGATGATACTAGAAAATATACCGTCATGCAAACCTCTAGATTTGTTGAACTAGGCTTTTTTTAAACATTATAAATGGTCCCCTATGAAATACCTCATGATGCAACATATATGCACATAACAAAACAGGTTCAAACACTGATATTTTTTTTAAACTCTTCTCTTGGATCTTCTCAAGTCCCAGCAGGCCAAAGGCAGCCTGTCACCATGACACGTATAGGTATTAATTAATCTGCAGTGTCAGTGTAGGAGCAGGAGCTTCAGACGGCTTTTCATTTGGACAGTTTGCTGATGACCCGAATGAGAGCCCCGTTCTCATCCTTTAGCCTCTGGTTGTCTGACTTGAGCTCTGTTAAGATCTGGGACAGCAAAGGGAGAAAAATTAAATTAGACAATGATATCATCATTACGATCAGAGTTACACACAGGGAAATATATGTTAAATGGTTTGTGGATGATGTGGAGTTCATAGCTGCAGGTGGTGCGTTGACACAGTTCACCAAGGCTACCCAGAGAAATGGAAATCTACCTTCAGTCACAACATAGAAAGAAAATACTGGATTTTTTTTTCTGTTAAGTCTGAGGCCAAGCGATGAGGACATGCTTAACGGTACTTCATCATGCAAGTGAGGAGTGACTTTGACAGCATGGCCTTCATGTGAAAAGTGAAATTGGATAAAGTCAGAATGAGAGAAAAACTGAGAGGGTCAATTTCTAAAATCTAGGTCATGTCTCTGATGAGGAGCAATGACTAAAAATACCCAGCCGCTTTGCCAAAGTATTTCCCTTCTACTAGAGACAAACAATAACCCTCTGCTGCAGGCTAGCTGTGACGTATACTACCCGAAACCGGAGAGCGAGCAAAGGAGTAAACGAGAAACAACATTTTCATAACAGGTTTGAAGACTAAATATTTAATCAAATTAATGGCACAAGATTTTTGAGAAATATACTGGCAATTCAGCCTCAGTGGAGGATCTGCGGCCTCTTAGTTTCTAACTCTACAGACTATGTGGTGATCTGAGTGGGCAGGGAGGCTAGAATGATGAAGTATTGAGTGGATTTGCTGACTGATAGTTGTCTGAGAGGGCCATTGCAGATGGATGTAGAGGTAGAAAAACACCAACAAACACAGTATCCAGAGTCTAACCCCAAATGGTTGAGTCCCAGCTGCATCTACAATATCACATCCTTAAGTGGTACTTTAAAATCTCATCTTGCTTTTCCAGGTCGGCCTTTGTTGTTGCACCAACTTCAGGAATAAAAAGCAACCATTGTTTTCTTCGATGCTCGGACAGATTACTGACATTTGTGTCGGGTTTGCAACTTATCTGGCTTTAACCTTTCCGCTTCATGACGGCAACACCAAAGCCGCACCACAGCGGCGTAGGAGGAAGCAGAATCGCTCGAGGGGTCGGTGTGGGAGTGGTTTTGAATGCATGCCTATGCAAATCTCTTGGTATGTCAGTACAGCTGCGAATTTAAATCGACTTGTACAATCTATGCTTTCTCCGTAGATGGGACAGAAACAATGCCGAGGCTTTTTAGCTCCTTGAATCTCAGATGGCTTGAGTATAGATGTATAGGGCTTTTAACGCAGAGCTGGGCTAGTTATCGGTAAGCTACTTGTGTTTTGTTTTGTTTATGCTCAGCTAAGCAACCTTATATTTCTGCCTATTGCTTCATATTCTCCATAAAGACAGGGGGTGGTATCAATCTCCTTTTAAGACTATGTTCAGAGGGGCGAAAAAGCTTATTTTTTGGTAACATATTCATTAGTTTTTTTCTCTGAACTGGTTTGTCTACGTAAACACAGTTATTTGTCCTTGTGTCTCGCAGACTGGCGCAGCTCTTATTCATTTTAGAGGCCAGTGAGCTCGCACATTTCATTTCCTCTGAAAGACTGTAGTGAGATGGCTGTTTCCTTGGGATGCAGCTTTGCATTGATTACACAGCACATTACACAAGGACCCACACAGAGTATTTTTCAAGATCGATGAATGTTAAAAACACATTTGTTTTTTATGGCGCAGACTCCTGCGGTGGATGTTTGAATTGGGCAGTAACCGCGATGTTTATGTCAAGGCCTGTGAGAGGTGTATGTGCGAAAAAATGCACTTTAACTGAAGCTAATGAGGATCATTTGAGGGGAATGGCATCAGCGGGGTTGGAGTGTAATGCAAGTAAAGAAGACTGGGTTAAAAGAGTGCAGAAGGGGATGCAGTGCAGTGTGGGGGGAGTCAGCGTAGGACCTGCCTGAGAGGAACTCAGCAGAGAGGACGAGGGGGCTGAAGAGGCACCAGAAGAAGGAGGGAGGAGTGTAGAAGTTATGTGGCTGAGGTAGGGGAGAGGAGGGGGGGAGGAAGGAGGACAGCTGATGTCAGAGGATCAGAGGTCCTCCGTCTCCGGCATGGAGGCCGTCTCAGAGAGGCGGGCGAGGACGCGCAGCATGGCTCTATTCTCAGCCAGGAGACACTCGTTCACCCTCCGCAAGCTCTGGGCCTGAGCCAGAGCAGGGAAAGCCTGCACAGAGGAGGAGAGAGATACAGAGAGGGGAAGAAGACAGAGAAAGCGTGCAGAGGGGGAGAGCGGGCCATGTGCAAAGAGAAAGACTTATACATACCCACTCACACAGACATGCGCCCACACACCCGCACACACACAGATGAAAACAACAACAGATCAGGACGACTTATATAAACCAGAATTTATACAAGAGGGAGAGTTGGAGAAGTAGAAAAGCTGCAACAAGCAAAGAAAATGATAAAGCTGTATGTAAAGAGGTGAGCTGCAGTGTTTAATGTTGGAGGTTTTATGAAATTCACAGAAAGTCACCCCACTGTTTCACACTTTGCATGAGAGCCTGGTCAGTAATAAGTCAAAAGGAAAATAAATTATTCATATCCTTCTCTTATTGGCTCCAGTTTTTGAGGCAAACCCCACTGTGGTTGGATTGAAACATCTGCGGTTTGACGCGATTCCTGAGGGTAAACCACAGAGCACACTCACACACTCACAAACACACACACACGTACTCATGTTTCAGGCGAAATGAACACAAGTTTTTAGTTTTCAAAAGAGCCGTGGATAAGACTTAGAGAGCAAATCCAGCTGCTTCTCATTGCATCCAAAAACCACTTATTGAAGCCAGCCTGTTCTGTACTGAAAAGCTGGTTTCTTAGTGTTGGACTAAAGCTTTTCAGTTTCTTTTGACATGCCCTTGGCAAGGAGAAAGAGAACAGCAGAGTGAGGAGAGCAAGAATACATAATGACCAGTATCCTTTATTAGACTCTTTTAATATTGAGGCCTTTGATATGAAATTAGATCTGACCACACTCCCAAGTCCTGCAGATAATTCTACACAGTTGCTATTAATCAGGTTTCATAGGCTGTCTAGAATAATTCAGCCTGTCGGAGAGAAATTTAACACCCTGCTAAGCAATCTCACATTTGCATATCGATACTATTTCAGAAAGGGGAAACAGGACACGCGGTGCCTTTGACTGGAGACACCTGAAATCAGAGTCAGACAGCTGCAGCAGGTTCAGACATCCGGAGGTCGATCAGATCATAGGCTGTAAATTAAACGCTAGATGCAGCTCATAGCCAAGTGCTTTACACCCTCATTATCTGTAATGGGCAGAGAGAGGGGACTCCACCTGTGATCAGATCCAATGTGGTAGGATGAGATACAACACAATACGATACAACAAGATACAATAGGTGTATGGTACGATATGATACGACATGATGCGATGCGATACGATATAATGAGATACGGTATATGATACGATAAGATATGAAGCGATATGATATGATATGACGCAATATGATATGATATGATACGATATGATATATGATGCAATACGATATGATGCGATACAATATGTGATATGATGCAATACTATACAATATGGTACGATATAATACGATACAATACAATGATACAATATGGTATGGTATCGTGTGATACGATATAATACGATATGATACGATACGATACGATACAATCATACGATATGATATGATATGATATGATATGGTGAGATACGATATACTAAGATACGATGAGATACTTTGTGATATGGTGTGATACAATATGATACGATGAGATACGATATGATACGATGAGGCACAATATGATATTGTGTGATACGATATGATATGATATGATACGAGGAGATATGATATACCAAGATACTATGAGACACCTTATGATATGGTGTGATACAATATGATAGCTTATGATATGATTTGACACGTTGAGATACGATATGATATTGTGTGATACGATATGATATGTTATGATACAATGAGATACGATTTGATACGGTATGATGCGATACAATGTATGATACCGTTCAATACAATACATCACGTTGCGTTACGATAGGATATGATGAAATATGATAAGATACAATGTGATAAGATTTGATACGTAACAATATGATACATTATACAAAATGATACAATTATTCAAAACAATACGACATGATTAAGTACAAAACACTTAAATGTATTCATAAAAAACTTAGTTTTGGACTGAAGTGCCGCACATATTTTAAACCACATTTAAATTCCTGAGACCTGCTGGAATTGAAATGTGATTTTTCGATCGTTTCACACATAAAATAGCAAAATCTCTGTTGTTTGCCTAAAGAAGAAAGTTTTCAGTTTTCTTGCTTTATTTCTTTTCCACAAAAAGAAACAGGTTTTGAAGTCTGAACAGTGCCCCCTCATGGAGATTCTGTCATTTCTTCGGTGTAAATGTGACTTTGTGAGTGAGTGCTTCGAATCTAGATCTATCATTTTTGAGTTTTTTCAGTGATGTGTCCACACGTGTAAACATGCCCTGATCTCTGACAGTATAACGTGGGGGTGACAGGCAGGTGTCAATCACTCCTAAACTTCACAGCGACCACTCACCATCCCCCCTCCCCTGAGACAGCCTGCTCTCAGGGCTGGTACCCACAGCGGAACCGCACTGGGGCATCCTGCTGGGGGAACCACGACAACACATCAAACATCTTCTGCTGGTTTATCATACTTCTGCATGTATCCTATTTAAAAGTATGTCATCATTGTCTGCATAATGTATTTTCTTAGGCTGGAGCCATGATTTGATTCCTCATGAGTAATATAAAATTCTCGCTCCTAAAATCAAATTATAATCTCATTATTTCACAACACGTAAAGCACACATGAGGTCTACTCAGGCCTGAAGTCTTTCTTCTGCTCTGCCCCGTTTCGCTGTGAAGCAGAATACACACAGTGCAGAGAAGGAATGTCTCACAAAAGCAGGTCTTTTGCTCTTGGACAGGGTTCGGTATTCAGCTGGAACTAGGTCACAGTGTTCACCCCAACAGTGGGATAAGTGGAGCAGAGGAGCAGCAGCACAGGCTCCTCCTTAGCCTGGCAGGAAGTGGCCCAGCAGAACACTGTGGGTAATGAGCCTGAAGCTTTAACCTTCTCTCTCCTTGACTCCAAATCCACCTGGCTAACCAAAACCCCCGGGGTTTGGCTACATGTGTGTTTTTCGCTCTGTAAAAACACTTAAGGCGGGCTTGATTTAGCACGGGTGAGACGAGCCTGACTGGAGGTGTGTTTCTTCAAATACTGTTAGTGTTTATATGGCGTCTGGGAAAACATCAGCCAAATAAATGATAAGTAGCTTGAATTAGAGAAAAAATGTGGCACGTAAACCCGACCTGCATGTGGTTTATTTTAGCGTGCACTGACCTTTAAGTCCTCTTCCATGTTTGACACTCTTTTCTCGAGAGCTTGTTTTTCCTGTAAATAAAGATAAAAAACTAAAATAAACGTCCAGTGCAAGGAGCAAGAAAGCTAAGAAAAGGTAGGCTTGTTTATCCGTCCTGAAAGTGCAGAAAAGCAGAAACGATGAAAATACCAAAAGGTTACCGAGACACTTACCCTTTTCTCTGAATCAAGCGCTGAAGATCTCTCTGATATTCTGTCATGCCTCTGGAAGTCACAGCGAGGATATTATCGTTAAGTATTGAAGCAGATATAAAGAAATGTATTCATTTTTGAACATTAGATATGGTTGAAGCCTTTCTGTACCTGGGTAACTCTGTCCAGCTGGGAGCGTATCTTGGCCAGCTCTTGTTTGCTGTCCTGCAACCTGGACTTGAGTCTTTCATTCTCATGCAAAGCTTCTGCATACATCTGAAAATGGAGACACAAACGTTTTTGGAGTGATCTGGAAAAAACTGTTTTTTTGTGACAATGGAAAAAAAATGTCATGATATATTCTTTTAATCTAGTTTTTCCCTGGTTTTGTTAATTGAGTGCTTTTTCTGTGTTTTTTAGATCAGTTTTCAGTGTTTCCTGTTTTATTTTGTAGTAGTCCACCCTTGTGTTTCTAGTCTTGTTTTACTTCCTCAGTTTTCCCTCCTCTGTAATTGTTTGCACCTGGGTCTCAGTGTCTCACCTGCCTCTCGTTGCTCGTTTCCCTGTGTGTATATATATATAGTCCCTGTCTTCCCCTGTTTCTTTTTTGGTTCATTGTCTGTGTGTCAGTTGTGTGAATGTGTGAATCCCCAGTCTCCTTGTGGTTTTTTTACCCAGTGCCTTTTTGTTGGATTTGGGATTTTTCAGTTGGACATTTTGAAGTAAGTTTGAGTCTGCATTTCTGGGTCCTTTTTCCTTTTGTTGAACTTTTCCTATGACAAAATCTGTAGCCTAAGCAAAGAACAGCAGTGTCTCACAAGTTAGCTGAAGATGGCAAAATGTCTTTTGGACAAGACACATATTTAATCCATGGATAAATTTATCAATAATCTGGACTTTTTTTGTAAACATGATCATTTTGTGTGCTGTGTTTTATAGGACACTGTAGTTTAAGGAAACCTACCTGTTTGTTGCTTTGGTTAATTTTGTTTGCTTAAAGATAAATGTCCACCTTTTGACTCAGACCTAATAAACAGGCAGTTGTTAAAATATGTTGTCTGTTATCCTTCAAGTCAAATGAAAATGCTGCTTCTGTTTATAATCTTTAGAGTACTTTAAAATTGCCACATTATTAAGGGCTGCACAAAGTTGGCAAATTACAACCCCAACTCCAAAAAGTTAAAGTTGAATAATATTCTTGATGATTTGCAAACTTTAAATTTCTTTAATCAAATGCATTGATAACATTAAATACTGAAACCATTGTTCACATGAAATTTAAGGCATTTTACATTAAAGACTTGTGTTTTTGAAATACAATTATGAAGGCTTTTAAATTTGAGTTCATAGACCTGTTATCGATAAGAACAAAAAGTGAAGTTTCCCCCCCAAAATCTTGGTTTTATCAGTTTATTAAATTGCACAAGGGTCAGAAATGACAACACATACAGGCCACTGTCAAAGCCTATACACACATACTGTAAGAAGTGTGTATTGCCTTGTATGAGAGGCAGTCAAGATATGAATGTTTGAGTGAGTTTTCAAGTGAATATTTCAAAGTTAAGTGGTTTTATACCTACGATCTAAAATTTCCAGATGCTTGCCCTTGCTGGAATCTCACAAAAGAAGTACATTTACATCCAGTAGGTTTAACGTGGCCGAAATGTGGTCTCTCTGCACCACAGGGGTCATCAAGAGCAGTGTTGTTCTTGTTTAACGTCAGGTCAGAGTTACCTTTTTATAGTCCTTGGTGCCGGAATCTTGCTCCTGTCTGTTTAGAGCGCCCAACCTGGTCTCCCTCCGTGAGTAAGAGCTGGTACGGCCCAGTGGTTTTTCTGTCGCACTCTCACCACTGGAGTCATATCTAAATGCAACATGTTTATTTTCAGTTTCTTTAGCATTTTAATGTTTCTCTCAGGTCATTAAGGTTTAAAACAATGCTAGCTTCTTACCTTGACAGTCTTTCATGCTGAAAAACAAAAGAGAAGTCTTGTTAGTTCAATCGTTCTGCACCACAGCATGCAAACTGCACAGTGTAGAAAATGTTCTGTGATGGTTACATCAAGATTTATTTGTTTGATAAGACCCAACAGAGGCTTGGCAGTGAAATATTTTTCCGTTTTGAGACTGCAGAGAACAAAAACAAAACTTCCAAGTGAATTATCACATCATGTTCAGGGACCTGAAGTCCCAGAGGGAAGAAGTGCATGAAGAGCGGAGATATAATTCACCCCAACACTGCAGCGACAGGGTTCACACAGGTCAAACCTCCCCGGTGAGCCCGGTTAATCTCTCAGAACAGGCGGCAGCCACGCAAACGCCTGCAGCATAAAGATGACATCATGACATCAGAAGCTGAGTATCTCCTCTGTGGCTGGTTGACGTCTGACCCCAGACAACAGACTGATAGCAGACCGTCAGGGCAGGGTTTTTTTGGCTGTGGCCCAGTGTACGGTGCTGCTGCTGCCTGTTGAGATCAGAATTTCAAAAGTCTGGATATCATGTTGAAACCAACCTGATTTAGAAATCATATGACCTTAAAATTGTTTCTCATTTTTTCAGTACTGATGCTGATCGGGTTTCTGAAATGCTGGAGAACTGCTGTGTCATGCTGGCGGAAACTGTTGCATGAGCCTAAGCTGTCAAAATGTGAGTAATTGGTGATTTTAAGGCTGTATTTTTTTTAAATTCAAAGTCAGAATAACTTAAAACTAAAAACTACAAATAAAGCAGTTCTTCATTAGTAATCTCTAAGGAGCAAAAGGAGCAACTTCTAGCTGAGCTACAGGGTCCGTGTACAGCGGCCAACAGATTTTTGTTTTAAAATGAAAAAACAAAAATCGGGAGACGAGCCATCTCCTGACAACCAGTAGGGAATTGGAAAATGAAAAAAAGCAAACAAACAGTTTTACATTATTTGTTTTGATCATAAAAATCAGAGAATGAAAAAAACAACTCAGTATTTGACTCTCTGCCTTGTGGCTTTAAACAGAAGTTGAAGATCAAAATAAGTGCATGGAAACTTGTGTTTCAAGTTTCATTCACTTGTCTGTCACGACGCGGAAGTTGTGACTTGGAGTGACTGAGCGAGAGGCTCTTGTTAGCACAGATATATAAACTACATACACCAGCGCGCTGTTGTGGCCCACTTAGTGACATGCTAACATAGCAGCCATCTTGGTGCGGGCAACGTTCCCATTAAAGGCATTAGACGTACATGGAAATTAAACATCCTGCTCATTTCTCAGTGGATTTTCACACGGTTTACTTTATACTGACTGAGTTGTTTTTTCGTTCTCCGATTTTTATGATCAAAACAAAAAATGGAAAACAGTTTGTTTTCTGATTTTCGTTTTCCAATTCCCTACTGGTCATCAGAAGGCGGCCCCTCCCCTGATTTTTTTTATTTTTTTATTTTAAAACGAAAATCCGCTGGCCACCAAGTACACGGACCCTACAGCTTGTTAGTTTGGTTTATTGAAGGGTTTGCATGGTTATGATACGCTGAGTCAGACCATATGACAATGACAACATTCAGCCCACAGCCACAATCCCATGATAAATGGCTAAACACATAAAATAAATGCTAATGAGAGTATCATGTAGCATTTTTATAGCGCCATTATTGCAGGAATTCTCCAAATCTCCCATTTTTGGAATCAGTGATGCAAAGGAAAAACAGTAGCCTGAAGGAAAATGTCTAATTCCTATCAGAGGCAGAGAAATGGCGCTCATATGAGACAAGACTGATGAGTGTCTGATATGTCTCCTAATCTGTTTTCCTAAATACAAATATTTGGGGTTGCTGTGGTGCCAGAGAAACAGGGCTCAGATATTTTTGGAAACAGCTTTGCAATAAACATCTTGTGTGCTTGTCCAAAATATTCTAGAGACGAAGAAGCAGATCTAGGAACAAATTGTGCTTCATACGAGAACAATTGATGTCAAGAGGAAAAGAGCTCACAGTTAGTTATTCATGCACCCACATTTGGCCAGTGGGGGGGATATTTCTCACAGCGCTAAAGGAGCAAGTGTTTACATAACTGAGCCAGCGCTGCCTGTCCTTATGTGGTCATGTGCTTCAGCAGAGCCATCCAGGAAAAAACAGACCTCCGTGACCTCGGATGAAAAAGGGCCAAGGAAGGAGGCAAGAGGGGCTCTGATATTTCTGCGATACTGAGATTCCTCGGCCAGATTTGGTGAAAGTGCATTAATCAGCTGGGGTGATTGGCTGCCTGGTTTCCATGAATAAATCATCACAAAGTCTGCTTTCGGGGAACTTTTTCTCACCCCTTCTTCGCCAAACTCTTTCAAGATTATTAGCTCCTGTCTGCAAAACTATTTCACACCAAAGGATTAGCAAATCGGTGAAATTACTCTTTTAAGAAATGAAACCTTTTGCGAGTTTGTGGTGGTTTGAGGAGCTGAACGAGCGGCAGGAAAACTGTAACACATTCTCTTACATGTATGTCTACATTATTGGGCTTTTTTATCCAAATTGAGCCGCAGCCAAAAGCTGAATCATAGCTGAAACTCTATGTCTGATAGCAGCTGCGGCAGAGTGATTCCCTTGTTAGGAGAAGCAGAGGGAGTCAGAAGTGGCCTTTGAGGCTCGGTAAGCTATGTGAGGCAGAGCAGATGCAGGAGGAGAATATCAACTGGAGGGGGAGAAAAAACAACAGGGTGTCAGACTGATGGAAACAGACTCCAAATGGGTGCATACTTGAATCACGGGTGCTCTGTAAACACCTCCAGTTTTTATGGTATGCCAGGACCAATATCATGCACACCATGCAGAGGGGGACAGAGAAGGAGGAGTGCATGATCTCAGCCCTGCAGTGTTTACACCATCGTGTTTACAGCAGTTTGCAGGAATAGTGAAATCATCTTTAGGAGACTCTTCTCCTTCTTTGTGTTTCTCTCCTTCTCCCTGTCAGCATCACTTCTTCTGAGCTGACTGGATTATGCAGTAGGAAAATGTGAGCTACACACACACACCCCAGTGCTCTCTCTCTCTCTCACACACACACACTTTTCACCCTTACCACTGGGACCGAAACAGTGCACACGACCATAAAAGACGTTTTTCTACATTCACTCACCTTTCCATACTTCAGCAGCTCCCTCTTCTCTGTTAACTCTTTACAGTACATCTGAGGCTGTCATACAACTGGGAGTATCTCCTTTTTCAAGAACACTAACTCGTTATAATAAATATTCCTCATTTAACCGACTGACAGTGCCAGTAAAACTTCACCCTAAAAATTACTTTTCCTTTAAGAAGACAAATTCTGGATGAGTAAACTTGTTTGCTAAATGTTTAATTGTCCTGGCAGGTCAAAGTGAAAGTCATTAGTTAGTCCAGTTGTTGGAAAACTCAGGGGACAGGTCTCCTTTAAAATGTCACAACAACCATAATACAGTAAGAGGTCCAAGGATGTTAGCATGGCACAAAGACAAGAAAAACTCTGATTTTTCCTCTCCAGTTCATATTCATTTTTATTCCTTTCACTAGTCTTTGATTTTTGGTGAAATTTTGCTTGAAATAAAAGTCATTGGTCCTCAGTTTTTTTTACTTAAACTTTCCAAGAAGTTTGAAAAAAAGTAGATTTTGGAAGACTGCTGCTAACATTTCATCAAATAGGATTGCCAAGTGTTGCTTATGATAGCAGAGTTAGCTCTCAAGGTTATTCACATGCCTGTGCTGATTATGCATTGGTCCAGTTGAATGATTGTAAGCCACTTTAACCAGACAGCAAATAACTAACTGGAATATACATCACAAAAGAAAACATGATTTCGGGCAGGTTAGCAAAGAACTGCAGTGTCATGCTAAAACTTAAGCTCAAGCTAGTAAAGATTAGCAACTTGTGGTTTTGAATCACAAATTTTATGGTTAGATTCACTGAAACTTTTAAAAAACATACAAATAAAGCCACGTTTCATTAAAAATCAGGGTGTCTATAACAAATTCTGATAAATCAGCTGCTAGCTGAGCTATGGCTAATGTTTGCCCATCTTGTTAGGATGTCAAAAAACGATTAGCCTACTGTTGCTACTAGCTAGCGGTGCTGCTCTGACTAGAGGTAGATGCCTGTACTGCAAAGGGTGACCATAAGTCCTCTTCTACCTGAACAACTTTTGTCTGGCCTTGTCTGGGGGAGTTTATAAAATCCTTCAGACGTCCGGGGTTTTGTGTGGAAGTTTTGAGTTTGTGGACTTACTGATTTAGATGCGCATAAAAAACACTCGACCCAACCCGAAAAACTCTCAAAATTAACTACATCCAACTCCATGACTCTGCCCCCACGTAGTCGTGTCATCTTTTTTGGAAGTCAGAATATGGTCACCCTAGTACTGCAGCTTAGAAACATTGACTGGTTGGGGTTTAAACAGTGAGTAATTCTGGTGCTCGTGAGGGTGTCTATGGAGAATCGTTTATGCACTGTACTTTTGTGGAGAATAAAGCAGAAGTATTCTAGCACCACTTGTCAGCTCTGAGGTAGAGCTGGCGGCCTGGTTTGATCCAGCCCCCCCACAGTCACATGTGTGTATGTGTCCTTGGGCAAGTCACTAGACCCCAGTTGCTCCTGCGACATAGCCAACAGTGTGTGAATGGGATTAGTTAATGCCAAAGGTCATTTCAGAAAGCATCCTCTTTTATCAGTTAACGCAAATGTTGCCTGAATAGGTGGATCAGATAAGTTGTGGGTATTTCTTTGTTTAAAGACTTGAGTAAATGCTTTCAAGGAACAGTTCATCTACTTCTTACTGTAATTTTAGAATGCTGTTAAACGGAAATACTCATGTGCTCCTTCAGCGCCTCTCTTTTGCAGTACTTGAGTAAATATACTCAGTCCCCCTCCATCTCTGTGAACGTCTGCCAAATGACGAGTGTCATCCAATTATGCAAATTTGTTCCTGTTTACACAGCTTCCTGTAGTTCACAGCTGTACCACAGATTGTGTTTAACTAAAGAGGACCAGGTCTGTTCTCATCAAAACATCAGTGGGATCTAAAAATACTTCATCAACCTGATTCCACGCCCCTCTGCATCATATTTTCTCTGCAATCAGATTTGGGCTGACATCATGGAAAATGAATTCCTGGGTTTCCTCGTAGACACGGCACAGAAAGGCTGAAAGGTGGAAAATGACAGCATCTACCAGGTACCATCAAAACCACTTCAAAGACAGCGTCTGCAGGCTGGTATGACATGACATGAGAAAATGAGTGCTGCAAATTTTTGGACATTTCCTCGTGTCCCTTTAAAATGCATCTGTCACAGTCAGAGTGCATGCTCAGTCTGTGGCTCTGACATAAACACAACCAGTCCAACAGCACCCATGAGAATAAGCCACTTAGACAGGGGGGAAAACATAACAGGAAATTACACAAGGAATGTTTCAATCCAAAAAGTCTTTCCCAGAAAGTTTGTTCAGACTCCTCGAGCAGCAGAGTGAATATTTGCCTTTCTTTAACAAGTCATCTAATAAGCCTGGTGTGGTCAAAAACTGTTTGATCATTTTAATGAAGCACTAAAGAGAATGAGCGGCGGTCAATTACTCCAGCAAACCATGAATAATTACACTGAAATTGGAGGAAATAAAACTGTTAAAGCTCCTGCGAGGAGTTTATAAATGTTATAAAAATGATTGATATGGACATTGATGCCTCTTGATGACTTTTAAAAGCAAACTACACCATCAGCAAAAAGATGTCTGTAATTGGTAGGTGTCAGATGAGGCAATTTACAGTATTTGCTTTTTTTTAACAGCAAGTTTTCATAGTGGGTGATGAGTTTATAAGAATGAGACTTACCTGAGTGCAAGCTGAGATAAGCAGAGTTATTAAAAGGTATATTGTGCCCAAAGGGGGCGCCAAATAGACACCAAAAGCTCCCCACAGGAGCTTTAATAAAATGATAAAGTTTTACAAGTTTGGAGTCTGATTCTGTGATTTGATTAGTTTTGTCTTAAGTATGTCATAGTAGGAAAAGTTAGGTGCACTCACTGACAAGTTCCCAGTCATTTTTAATTAATTAGTTTTTTTATTTTGTAGAGAGTCAAACTCCCAAAATATATAATGTTCCTTAAACAGCACAGATTTTTCACATTTGAGAGGCTGAAACTGAGAAAAACTCTGAGCTTTTGCCACAAAAATAAACCAGATGCAGTTTAATTTACCTTTAGAAAACTGAGTGATTAAATAACTAACTGTTTGAGGACAGCATTGCAGGATTTGTGCTGACATACATTAACATATAAGGTTAATGGATTAATAATTGATTTACAAAGCCCATAAAGAAAAGCACAAAATTAGGATTGATAGAGGAAACCCTCCTGGTCTTACTCTGTAGTTTTTGTCTGTAGGGGATGGAGAGGACGGCGGTGACTCTGTCAGGGACTTCCTGGTGCGAGTCAGGTCTTTGGAGCGTGGGTAGTACGATGACATCTCCCTCCACATTTGCCCTTCTTTGATAGGTCAACTTCTACTGTAAGAAAAACGAGGCCACGGCCAGTTCACAGCTGCACGGACGCACAGGTTCCCTCAAGCAAGAGTGACGCAGATGCCCATGACTGCGCTCCAAGGGAATCCTCAGCAACAACAGGTGTGTGAGCGTGTGTTAAAGAGAGAGTAGGTGTTTTAGTCCAGACTCTGCAGAGAGCGTCAGTTAAGTTTGGAGGGGTTTCAGATCTTCAAAGTTCCAGCAGTGAGGAAATAATCAGATTAAAATACAAAAAAAGAAACAACTGATAGACTAAAGCAAACAAATGATCATCTCGTGTTTCCGCTCTGTCAACACTGAAGTCTCTGATGAAATGTGAAAAAGTCCAAAAGGAAGCAGCCAAGAGAGAAAAGTTTGTTCCCAATGCTGCCTCTTCCAATGTTTCCCAAAGTTATACACACTCTCTCTCCATCGCACTCTCTCTCTCTCTCCTTTCACTGCTTGGTCGCCCTTCCAGTCCCCCTCCCCCCTGTACCCTCTCCTCTGCCTCTCCTCTCCCTCCTGTCTTCAGCGCTGGCAGCCTGCCAGAGGCTCTGCTATGGCAGCACTCGGCACCGAGGGCTAAAATTGTCCACTGATGTGGACGGGGATAAGGGGAGGTGGAGCACAAAGCCACAGAGGAGAGGAAGAGCTGCAGCGGTTTGTGTTGTGAAAGGTCAACACGCCGTATTACCTGAGGAGCCATCAACAACCGAGAGGTGTCAAGTAACTGTGCGCGCCCTGCAGTGTGATGGAGAGGGGTGCAGTTAGAGTGAGTGTTAACACAGAGTACTTGTGCCAGGTTCCCCCTGAACCAAATTATGTTGAATCTATTTCATGTTTTAGCCCCGTGGCTCATCACACAGCTTTAATGAGGTTTGCAAAAATCTGAGAGATACATCTTTTTATCAAGTCACCACCTCATTACAGACACGATTTTGAGGACTGTGCTTATTTACTTTCTTCTGGAGCACAATGAAGTGATTGTACAGTGGTAACAAAGTTTGCATGTTAAATTAGAGAGTAAAAGAGTTCGATTTCACAGTTTGGGTTGTTGCATGAATCTCTTACTTGCAGGGTTCCTATGCTAGGATGGAAAGTATGGAAAAGTATAGAAGGAATTTGATCAATTTCCAGGTCTTAAAAAGTATGCAAAAATGAAAATATAGTATGGACAAATATTTATGTTAACAGACTATATTATCACAGTTATAAAATACTCTAAAATACTATTCTGAAATAGAAAAGTAGGTATTTCCAAAACTAATACAAAAAAGTAGGGTATGGAAAAGTATGCAAATTCCAACTGTGTAGGAACCCTGTACTTGGCTGTTTGTCAGACTAAATATTTCTTTTTTTTTTCTTACCATTTGCATCTACATTGGTATTTTTTCCTTTTAAATCTACACTTCTATTGGACGTTTCATCATCTAGACTTTTTCGTCCATGTTAACTGGTCACTGCAAAGAAGTAATTTGGAATTTTTTTAGGATATGTGGGTATTATTCAATAGGCAAAACCTGACTGCTGTTGGGTAGATTAATACCTTTAATTAAAACAAAAAGCTCTGAGAAGTATTTACTTTAAAGCTCCTGTGAGGAATTTTCAGGGATACTTTTATGGAGCTTGACCGTTTCAGTAGAGTGGCTCTTCCTCGGTCTGCTAAGCTAACATGAGCTGAACCCAGGTCACTGGGTGAGCTGGCTTTCTGTAGAGGTGTCTTGTTTGTTTAGGTGAGATTTAATTTTTCAGTTTTACATTCTGCACATAAATCATAACTCCCCACACATTTCTAATTACCTCAAACACGGACAAATAGTGCTGCTATTTTAAAGCAGAAAGCTCACACCTGAATGACTGACAGTAATTGTGTGTATTCTTCCTCCCTGGATAGTACTTCACCTCACAAATCAAATGATGAATGTAATTTAGTCATCAGCTATTTGGTGTTAAAGCTCCTGTAAGGAATTTTGTCCCTAAATTTCTGCGATTCAATCAGGATTATTGGATTACAAAGTAACTTGATACACTTCTGGTTACTGTAAATAGGAGTGGATTACAGTGATGTGTTACTGAGTCAATGAGTAGAGTAAAAATCTGCATGGTGAGACTTAAAAAAAACTCTTCTTCACAAAATCAACAAAGAGATTAAACCAACAGTTTTGTCCACAAGGGGCACCAAAAACAACACGAACCAAGAGTTTCTCACAGGAGCTTTAAACAAAAAATATAACCAGCATACATGGACTGACTGTTTCTTGCTATGTTCACCCTTGGTGCACAGATGAAGTACTTCCAATGCCAAGAATATTGTAATTCTCCTTTAAAACAAACTCTGCAGCCCCTCTTACTTTCTGCTCATGGCCCACACAAACCAGCTCAGCCGTCTTCCTTTTATAGAGAGGTTTGCAGCGCTTTGCTGTTTCCAAACTCCCTCATCCTTGCTCTGAGCTCAAAACAGATAAAAGAAAGATAAGGGTGAGAGGAATCTAACGGAAACTCTGAGGAGAGATTGAGAAAATATGAAAAAGAATCAAACAGGAAGAAACAAAACTTTATGATGCAATGAAAGACTTGGATGAGCTGATGCGGCTTTCAATGAAACATCCAAACTGTGATGCGGTTTGTCCTCAAAGGATTATGTCCATGCTTTGGTTTCTTGAATATTCTGTTTTGTATCAGTGGCACACAGTTTGGGATTTTAGTTCAAGATATGACCCAAAACAGGGTTCCTACGCAAGTATGGAAAGTATGGGAAAGTATGGAAGTAATATGATCCATTTCCAGGTCTTATAAAGTATGGAAAATGAAAATAAATACCACAGTTATAAAATACTCTTTTCTAAAATAGAAAAGTAGGTTTTAGAAAAGTATGGAAATTCCAGCTGTGTAGGAACCTTGAAGAAAGGTCCATAATCTGAAACTGTTAAGAATCACCATCTTAGACATCCAGCAGCTTTGTAATAAGTTTGTTCTACAGAGACAATCTGCAGATAATAAGAGCCACAGCCAGTGAAATATGCTAAAACTTAGTTTTATTGAGAGTTGATCCACGCTGGAGTTCCCCTGTCTTATCTTCACTCCTTTAATCACAGGAATTTTGCATGAAGTGTGGCTCATATGCATTTCATATATCATATTCAGGATAAAGTAGCAATGCAGTTTTAAAAAAATGGTCCTATTCTCTCAGTTTCATCTCAAAAGTAGCAGCTGACTTGGTCTACACCTGTCTGTCTCTCCCTGCATGGCTCAGAATCAACGTGGAAAATCTGCTCCGATCATCATGGAGTCATGCAGAGGTCGGCTGCAGTGATGGGCCGCCTGTCATGCTTCTGATGAAACCTGGCTGCTTGGTATGATTATCACAGACAGATATAGTCCTCTCTGTAACGCTGAGAGACTCTCATGTTACTAACAGATCTCTGTGTCAGATTCCACCACCGGGGACAGCTGAACCAATGGCCTTGAGTCGGCTTGCAGGGAAACCAATTTCCTTTCATACTGAACGGTATAATCTTGTAAAAGTCACCCCCGGCTGCCTTATCATCCCGGTGTCACCTCTGCTTCCTGCTCCCTGTGTTGTCTATTTTTATCTCTTTTTTTAAAAAGACAAACAAATAGAATATCCTCTGTCTGTATTGCCAGGTTGTACCCTCTAAGAGGAATTAGCAATGCGGATCAGGGTCAGGGTTTTTCACATGCAGCACACAGGTGGAGAATGAAGGAGAATAAGAAAGTCAATCCCCTCGAATCCAAGGCTAAGACCAAGCGGAGAGCGTCTCACTTTTGCCCAATAAGGTATGGAATGCTGAGACACCTCGGCCATGTGATGTGAAGAAGCAAAGCGACTTAGAGGGAGAAAAGGAGGGGGTCAGACTGTCTTTCTGCGAGACATTAAGCAGCACTTCTACTTTCAAGAATATCTGAACACATGCTTTGCGTCCACGATTGCTGAGCATCTTGAAATGTTGCATCAGAGATCTGAAGTCAGCTGCCTTTGAAGCATTATGAAGGTTTTAGGCGAGGAGGGGAGGATGTGAACATGAAGCAATGATGCTAATGAATACCGAACGGTGCAATGATGGTGGCAGAGGATTCCCAGCAGTAAAAGATCTTTTATGTGAATGATTTTGTCATAAATATGGCATTTTTTTAACTTCTTATGTTATTATAAAAACTGTGCGAGGATGTTATTTACCTTCCTAAAAGTATAAAACTATTCTCTCGATCTAATTGTACTAATCAGTACTTTGAATCATGTAAACTGTAAATATTGGTGAAACCAGGTATAAAAAATGTTAAATCTGCATCTTTTGGCTCCATCTAGTGGTAATAAAGGAAAATAACATCATCAAGCATCATCTTTGTTGAGATGATTACAGATGCTTTCACTTACCTCTGAAGTGTTGGAGTCTGGACCGTCAACAGCACAGCAGCGTCGTCTCTGTTTGGTGGTAAAGGTCAGCTCAGCTGTTTCCTCAATAGGATTCTGATTTTCGTCTCTGCGCCATCTCTCACCAACTGCATATCAAAGGAGGTTAAAATCGATCTGATCACTCATAAAAATGATTAAAGACAGGACAGTAAATCAGACACAGAGCCCTCTGTCTTACACCTTTAAACTCTCATTATTCCCTTCTGGTACAAGACACTTTTCTTACTTTTACTAAACCTGATCTAGGGAGGTTTATCACTAAAAATGTACTAGAGTCACCCCAGAGTCTGTAAATGTACATTTGAACATCACAAACAACATATAACACAACACCCAACAGTTATAGTATTGTTTTATTCATTTAAAACAAGGTTATATGTAGTGTACAAGTGATTGTCAAGTTTAGACTGTTGCAGCAATAGGACACAGACTATTTAACAAGCAGAAGAGTCTGTGTGCAGCTGTGGTTTTTACTTCCCTTCAAGATACTTATGTAACGTGAAGGTTCGATGTAAGGTGGTTGGATAATTCTAATGATAAGAAACAGCAGGATGGAGACGGATAACTTTCTTACCAGCACTTTTACTGTTCAGCCATCTTCTCATGAACTCAGACATAACCCCACAAAACCTAACATCCTGGACAACCCTGATCACATGTCTCAGCACTTACCAATCAGAATCTAGGAACTCAAAGTAAATGTAAATGAACCTCAAAAAACACATCATGCATAATCTGCACACCCTCACAAACAGCTGCAGAGAAAACAGAATTTCTACTTGTAAATATGTAAATATGAACCTGTCACTACGTTGTGAATAGTTCTTTGTATGAATTCCATAAACATCTTTTTTTTAGCTTAACTTAAAGACAGTTAACTTTAATAGTTAACAGAAATATATGAATTGACCTCGCTGTTAAAGCTTAAACTTAATTAAGCTGAACTGCTGAGAACGTAAGCTAACCTACATATGTGCAGATGTAGCTGTTCCCTGTGCTGCTGTAAATGAACCTGCTGAAACTGATGCTGTTGTTAGTTTTTTGTAATTACTACCGGACAAGAAACGTAGAAAGCTGATGAGACAATATCTTAATTTTCACGATCAATCTGAAAATCCAGCTGCTGCTTTTTGGTTGTGACTTATAGCTCATTTCTGCCTTCCTCCTCTTTCTGCCTGCTGCACATCTGAGTCATATTAGTGTTCAGCTAGAAGGGGGTGATCAAGAGAGGGAGCAGGCCTGGTGGTATCAGCATGCACCTTATGTATTCAGGCTGATGTCCTTGCTGTAGAAGTCACTGATTTGACTCCTGTCCACAAGCCTTTGCCTCACCCTGCTCTCTGCATTTCTTGTCTCTCTTCATCTTCTTATTTTTAAACAAAGGTTACAATGCTCCCCCTTCAAAGAGTGGTAGGTAGTGCCACCTTCAGCACCATGCAGGAAAGAGCATCTCTCCCTTGGAGTCCTTTTCCAAACATGCTTTAGATAGTTTGTTTTGCTTTTCTATTTGGTTGCTTTAGTTTGGGCTGGAGAAAACTACTTCTCATGCTGATTTTCAGTTTTAGTTTAGAGGGTTTGTTATGGCCGATACCACTTTCCCCTGTGTGGACCTTTATCAATTTCTTTTTGTAAGCGAATGGCAGGAATGTGTGAGCGCAGCCTCGTGATTGGTGCGTCCCCTAGGTCACAGCCTCTAATGCACACAGCTGATTGGTGCAGCGCAGAAGTCTTAGCCAATCAGGGAGAAGTGCTCAGTACGAAGTAGCTGGACTGCCTTCGCTCGGGTCAGGAGATTTTCATTCATTTTCTCCAGGTTTAAAACTGAAATTTATACATTTCAGTCGTAGGATCTTTCCTTGTCAAGCTCACCAGATTAGGGGTGTTGTTCATTTGTAGTTTTTGTTGGGTTGGACCCGAGTTCGCAGGGTTTTATTTCCGTTTTTTTTTTTTTAGAAAGAGCAGTGTCTCTGTGTCGACTCGAGGTTAGAAGTGAATTGATACCCATCTCCTAAATATTTGGTCACATGATCAATTTCTTTTACCATTTCCAAGCAACAGGGGGTGGCTCAACTTACCCTTTGGCTCAACTTACCCCACCCTCCCCTATTATAGACTGTATGTTCCTTATTTGTTGATTTGAACAGCACTGTCTTGCTCTTTTCCTCACCTCAGTCTTTTCTTTTATTTTCCAATTTCACCTCTCTACAATAAATAACACTTAATACTCAAAGATCTGTTTTTTATGTTGCTTCCCTTCCCACTTGATGAGCCAGGTTGTTACAGGTTTTAGCTAAATTGGCCAGAGGTCTTCAGTCCTTTTTATTTCTTGTTGCATTTTCTCTTTTTTTTTTTTTACATTTTACAGATTGTGTCGTGTTTGTGTGTTTCAGTCTCCATTTTTAATCCTTAATTTTGTAAGAGAGGTTGTAGCAGAAATACAAAACAAATGCATTTGTGATTGGTGTCGATTGATGTCTCTATTCAGCCTGACCCTGTACCACATCATTTATATAAGATCCAACACAGGTAGAGCTTACCTGTGGAGCCCAAGTGACCCCAAACATAAGTGATGTCCCTGAGTAGGAAAACATTTGGTGTGATTTACTTCCTCTAGCAAACACATTGGATATGATCTGTACATGCTTTTATTGTTAATTTAATGCTCTCACATGCATAATGGTATTTCCTCTATTGTCTTACATTCATCAAATGTGCTGCACAGTCTGTTGCAAAAGGAAGTGTTAACATTTACACAGCAGATTGGGCGTCATTAGGTCAGGAGGAGAGGAAGATTTGTGATCATAAAGCGGTGAAGTTAGTTAGACTATACACATGAGACAGTGGAGCCAATTTTGAAGAATGATAACCACACAAACATTAGCATAAAAAGGTTTTAATGGATACTGACCTCTGTAGGAGCTGTTGCAGTAGGTCAGGCCACAGGATTCAGCGGTCGAGGGATATGACAGATTTGGAACCGAGCACTCAGTGAGGGTTTCTAGTCTTGTGTCAAAGTTTCCTTCCTAAATATGCAAACGATAAATACAAACTCAGATAAACAGAAAACAAATTCCTTCACCAGCTTTGATCTGATTTCTTCACGAGTGTTTGCTGCTAACCTCATCCACTTTGCTCCACTTCCGACTGATCTCTGTTTGCTCGATTGACTCTGCCAGATCGATTCTGACTCTCCTGTCTTCAGCAAAGTTTTTCCTCAGACAGGATCTTTCATCAAGAGTCCCTCCTTCTGCTGCCTGCCTGTCCTGAGGAGGCAGACTGAAGGTCTTCTGAGCCTCTTTCAGGTCTGTCAGAGTGACGCCCTGCGGGATATTCAAGTCACGTAAGCTTTCAACACACAATCCAATAAAATCTGAACTTCTGATTGTCTTTCTGTTTTTGTTTTTACCTGTGTTGACCTGCGGGTCTGCCGGGCATGGCGAGATTTTGCTTTCCTTTGAGACTCTGCCTCTTCATCTCTCACAGGGGTCAGATATGACCTGGGACGATGGCGGATGCATAATGAAGAAAAGTCATTGTAAAGATTTGAAGTCACCTGAAGTAAGTAGTTTGTCTACAACATGACATTGTCACAGAAAATGCTTAAAAGAAATATAAAACCAAATCCAATGACATGGTGGATATTTTGTACTACTGTAGTATATGGTTACTGCTCTGAAAAATATGATTTAGCATAGATTCATAAGTTTTCTAAATCTTTCTAGTTTTTATTATGACCCTTTGACAAAAAGAAAGAACCCCAAATAGACAATTTTATTGTCAATTAACAATAACTTATGAATAAGGGGCCTTTTTTGCTCTAAGAACAACAACTACAAATCTATGGTGATTGTAGTTTCAGCAGGTGTGGTACTAACAGAGGAGGTGAACTGAGTTTTAATCATTTAAAAAATAGTAGATGTAAATTTTAGTCTACTTCATAGATTTAAAAAACTCCTCACAGGAGCTTTAATAGTCATACCAATCCCTTTGTTTATTCAAAAAATGCTAGTGAGAGTCTTTCTGTCAGTTTCCTTTTAGCCTAAGTGGAAAATTCAGGCTCAGTGGATGGCAAAATGTAATTAATACATCTATGCAAGACTTGTTGAAAAGCTATGTGTCCTATTTGTTCTAATCCACAAAATCAATTTAAGAGCTTTTTTTATGAAAATGTTAAGGTTTGCTTGTCCTTTTAAGTCCAATTTAAAGACAGAAAAAATGTGGTATATGTGAAACATTTTAATACAGGGTTCCTGCTTACAATTAAGTGGTTGTTGTCACCTTAATGACATGAAAAAGACAGCTTGTCAGATACAGTGGTGACAAATTTTGCATGTTAAATTAGAGAGTGAAAGAGTTTGGTTTCACAGTTTGGGTTGTTGCATGAATCTCTTGCTTGCAGGGTTCCTATGCTAGTATGGAAAAGTATGGAATAAATTTGATCAAATTCCAGGTCTTAAAAAGTATGGAAAATGAAAAATAATATGTTAAAAATATTTGTTTCCAGACTATAACCACAGCTCTGAAATACTGTCTTCACAAATAGAAAAGTAGGTATTTCCTAAAATAATTCTAAAAAGTAGGGTATGGAAAAGTATGGAAATGTGTAGGAACCCTGTGAACACATAAGAATACTGTAAACTACATAACAGAGACCACAGTTGTGCTGGGTTAAAAGCAAAGGGATAAAAGTTCTTCGAATAATGCTTTAAATGTAGATTTGCAAAGTTGTCCAGATGGGTTAGAAAATTCATCTATATTAAGTTTACTAAGTTTTCCATTTTGTGCTGAGAGAATAACTTTTCTAAGTTCAGTACTTTTACATTTTTAAACATCATCCTCTGAATTTGAAGTAGTTCTGCTGAATAAAGCAGAGGTTCAGAGATTCTACATCGCTACATTAAGACCAGCGGTTTACATTGAAAGAGCTGAGCAAGCATCAGAGGAGAAGCTCATGTTTTACCCAGAGAGCTGGCCCCCTCCTCTGCTACGCTTTTACTGGTATTGATCTCTCTGTTGTAGAGTCACCCTGAATCCTCTCTGAGAGTTAGCTGGCTGGATAGCCGCACACTCTTCTCTATAATGCTTGGAGCAGAGGAAATGGACCCCATGACTGTGCAAAGTTCTATGAGCTGAAACTGCAGACGGCACACTAAAGTAATCAACTGAAAACAAGAGAGGGATGCAGATGTCGTGAAAATTGATGCATTAATTTCAACAATTACAATTATGAGATATTAAGTTTAGATTTATGCCCCCACACTTTGGAAGCAACAACATTTGCCGCCCACATGCAGGAAAACGCTTCTCCTTAAGCCACAAAATATAACAAGGTTAATAATTAATAAACCAAAACAGTCACAAGGAATAATATCCTTCAGCTAATAATTAGCAATGTACATAAAGAGGCTAATCGAGCAGATCAAGAGAGTAACACATTTCTTAGTCCCAGAGCAACAAGCTCACATTACATTAGTTCATTCAGGGCCTACAGCATCTCAGCAGGGCACAGTTGCTCCACATTAAAATCACAAACAGGACCAGAAGCTTTGCCAAACTACAGACTTGTCAGGTTGAAAAAAAAGGAAGAAACAAGAACTAGGAATAGAGCAAAGCAGCACGACTTCATCTGTCTGACACTTACCTGGGAACAAATGCCTGCATGGTCCCCGATGAGGGTCAAAGACTGAGGCACTGAGACACTGCAGCAGTGATGCGAGGGAGGAGAGGCTGGACCCAATGACTCTGTGAGAGAGGAGAGTGCTGAGCGAGAGAGAGAGAGAGAGAGAGAGAGAGATAGGGAGGAAGAGGAGGAGAGAGGCTTCCTGTCTATAAACTGAGTGATGCACAAAATAATCAATGGAGACCTTCTGTCTACCTCAGGATGTAAGCAGGTCTATAAGTGCTTCAGTCCAGTAGAAAGCTGGATTTATAGAGCAAATAATGAATCTGAGAAAAATGGGAAAAAAAGGTTTAGCCCACAAATTACAGGAAGAGGCTGATGCTGGAAAAGAACAGAGAGAGAGAGGGGAAGAAAAAGAAGGAAAATATGTTCCGAAAATATCAAGATTGAATGGTTTGACCTGCTCCTCGCTGTCAGAAACAAGCTTTAAAAAACGCCATCACACAAGGGAAAGAGAATAAACAACAACAAGACACGACAGGGATGTGGTTTGATGTTCAGATCTGCTGACTCAGTGTCACAGTGGGTTGGTTCAAGGTTTGAGTCCTGTCTAGAGCTTTACTGTGTGATGGCCTTGTCTTTGTCGGGCGAGCTAAAATATTCTGACTCTCTCCTCGTAGAAAAGGAAACATAGATTTTGAACTCTGAGAGTAAACTGCAAAGTAAATGACAGCACAGATGTCCCAGCAGACAAAATAGTCAAACAACATCTAATCAGATTATTCTGATCTGATGTGAGTATTTAGATTGTGTATAGAATCAGATTACATAGTCAAAGTTCTCACATTGCAGTTAATTAAGTTACTTTTTCTGGAGCAATCAGATTAAATGTATCAGATTACTTTTTTGCAATCATTCAGATTTAACATAATCAGATTACTTTTTCAAAAGTTCAATACAGACCCTCTCCACCTTCTTTATCCTCCTCTGGCTGCAGACCCTCACTGTGAGGCATAAGCAAACTAAGCCTCTGCTTAGGGCCCCACAGCCAGTAGGGGGCCCCCAAGAGCAATCGAAAAAATAATTAAAAATTGTAATATTTTTTATTTTTTGCATGTTTGAGTGATGCTTTCTGTATGATCAAATATATATTATTGTAAAAATAAAATAAAGTAAAAACATTTCAGTGCTGCTGCTGATGTAGGCCTATGATTCTTACTGCCAAAATGTCAAATGTGCCTCCTGCTGTGCAATGTGCACTGAGCATGCTGATTGTATTATACTTTGAGATTAAAATCCATATGTGGCACCCTGAACATCATTCATTGGTATTATTTGTATGGTTGCATTGGTATTATTTATGTTATTACGTAGGCCACCCCCTTAAATGTGTAAAGACATGTCAGGCGCATTAAATTTATACTGTAGTAGGTGTGTGAATGATCAACAATCAATATTATTGGCAAAAATAAAGGGCTCCAAAATTAAATTCTGCTTCGGGCCCCATTGAGGCTTGGGACAGCTCTGGTGCAAAAGTTTTAGTAAATTTCTCTGATTTCTTTTGCTGAAAACTGCCACTTTGTAAAATGCACCTTACACAATTTGAAAAGTAGATGCTAGAGTCACGTTTTTTTACTCAGCTTCAAAGTATTCATACACAATGTACATTTGCTGTATGACAGAGCTTCTTATGCTAAAATTGGCTACAGAGGAAATGAGGCAGCTTCTTCTTTCGCTGCTGCAATAGTTGTAAATCATGTTCGCCACAGAAACAGAGAATCATAGAGGCTCAAGTCAAAAACCAGTTTATTTAAAAAAAAATCAAAAGCAAAAATGAAAAGCATACAAGCATGAACAAACATTTTAGAGATGCCAATTTTCTGCTCTAATCTGAACTCTTTACAGTCTGTAAAGCAGAGGATTGTTTTAAGAGTTGAAAATGTTTCTGTTGTCTCGCAGTGAAGCAGTCTTGTGATATGTATCTTTTTGCTATTTTATCTCATATGCTCCAAGACATGCCCTGCAGGGTCAAGATCTGGTGACCATAGAGATAAGAGCCAAGAATTCCTTGCTCCACCTTCACATTTCACAGTCCTTGCATGGTTTCCACCATGTTAGGGGCCAGCGTCCCACTGGAAAACACAGCAGCAGGGACGTGACTCTGCAGCATTAAATAGTCCTTATATATATATATCTAATTACCTTGAGGGAACTTTCCCAAAAGGATCAATAATAGTCCTATCTAATCTAATCTATATAGTTGATATGTTTGCATTTAATCCTTTATTTAAGCTGTTGCACCAGATTCTCAAATAGAAAAATTCTAGAGGTTGATTTTTAATTTATCCGTTATTCATGACCGTTAAACGAAGATATGTTTAAACTAACCTTATCTTTAGACTGTATGTTTTAGCTTGCCACACCTAGTTGCGCTATAACGGTGGTTCAATAGTTGTTTTGAATGCAAATGACTTTCATAGGCCATCTGTTTAGCTTGAACTTTTCTGTTCATCTGAAGAATTATTAATCCCTGAGATGTTTCAAAAAGCTCTTGTTGAAGCTTCTTTTCCATAATTATTATAGGTATTCAAAGTAATGCATAGAACAGCTGTTATTGTCGCCGAGGTTTGATAATTAACAGAATGATGCCTAGAAATATATCCTTGGTAGAGATCTACAACAAATCACATCTGTAGTGAGTGCAAAAAACACAACGAGCCAAACTTAATCAACCAAACATTCATTTTTTTTAAGCACTGAACCACAGTAAGTACTTAGAAAAGTAAATAAAAAAGTACTATCAACTACAGTTTGTCTTATACATTCAGGAATCTTTCTTGCTTATCTCACGATAGATGCTTTTGTTTCTTTTTGCGAGCTCTTCAGTTGGCAGTACAGCCAGTGTAAACAACTGGGGTACGTTAAGTTACAGCAACCGTTTTTTTTCCCTCTAAGAATGCATTTCAGGCAGTGGTACAAAGAAACATATTTTAATATCACCAAGAAACAGGCATTACTTATGGCTTCAAGTGCATTGAAAAAACAGTGTAGGCGTGGGCTTCTTGTGATGTCCTTGGCTCTTGTTTTTTCCAGTTTCGTACAGACATATGAAGAGTGAAAAAAAGGCTCTGCAGAAAGACGTTTTCTGGATTAAGGCTTCTGGGGTTGTTATTGGGAGTCCTGAAATCCTGGAGTACTCATTTTCATACACAATAGCCATCTTTCTATTTTGAGGTAAAGACTTCAGCTTAGTAACCAATTTTCTTCTGCCTTTCAAAAAGAGCAACCACATAGTGAATACTGCGCCTAAACAACATCAGCGATCGATAGCGCCTCCCTTAAGCATTTGTCAAAGTGTAGAGTGTATCCGTAGACTGAGAAAGTTCCCATTTAGCTTGCTGGAGATGTGCAGAATAGAATCCATGGGCTCTGTAAAACAATAGAAGATATATTAGGCTGAGTGCGTTATGTTAGTGAAGCAATTGTATTCAGAAAATGTAAGTGATTTTTAATATATTCCTACTTACAGTTATCCTGTGGTAGATCATTATTTTCTTCTACTGCATCCTCTTCTTCATCCTCAGCTGCTACATCCTGCTCCTCTTCCTCTTCAAACACTTCCTCCCCTTCACTAACGTTCTCCTCTTCTGCTGTTACCTCTTCCTGAACCTCTTCTTCTTCTGCCTGTATCGTATCCTCTTCCTCCTTTTCTGATACAGAGCCGGTCTGATCCTCCGCCGCCGCCTCCACCTCCTCAGAAGGAGCTGTCTCATCTGTCACAGAGTCCTCCTGCTCGACAGGAGCTTCATCCTGTGCAGCTGCCTCTGCCCCTTCATCTGCCTCTGCTACCTCTTCTGCCTCAACCTCCTCTGAAGGAGTGTTTTGATCAGCTGGAAGTGCCTCTTCTTTTACTGCTTCTTCGGTTACTTCATCAGCTACTGGAGCGGTTTCTTCCTCTGTTTTATCCTCGGGCTCTGCAGGAGTTTCTTCCACCATCTAAGACAAGGCAAGCAATAAAACAATAAAGATAAGTTCATGGTGGACTAATCATTTTACAGATTTCTTATCTGACAAAGGTGACGACAGGCATCTTTGCTGGATGAATGTAAGAGAGAGGATGCAAATCCACCAGAGAATCCATGCCAGGCAATTAGCTCCTTTAATTTAATGAGATAAAATTGTATTATAGGTCCCTGTGGGCAAGCAGGGAACAGAAATAGTAACCAGACTATGTGTGCAGATGGATTTTGTATGAGCACCAATGCAAGATCACATACAAATAACACACAACTGCTTCTCAAACTGCTTCATGCTGCAACCTAATATCTGATTTAGTCTTGTTATTTCTCGCCTCATTTAAATTCAACTTGATTATCAAATAAAGAGGGATAACATCGTAAGTCAGTCCAGTGCTGTCTGGCTCGTGTGTCCGATACCTGGGTAACCTGCTTCTGTATGATCTCCAGCTGAGCCCTGAGTCCAGAGTGCAGACTGTGGGCAGCTAAGTTCTGATCCTGCAGACTCTGACGTACCGTATTGAGCTGCTCCTCCACGCTGGCCTGCTGCAGCTGCTGGGACTTTTCGCTCTCGAGCAGCTCTCTGAAAGACAAGACGATCGAAGTGAGTTTCTTTATTCTTCAAAATGATGTTTATTTATTTCAAAAAGAAGTGTGTGTGATTCAAAATGCTATTGATTTCAAAGCAGCATGAAGCTGCTGACACCAATGCACCTTTGCTCATCCCTCCTACAGGTGATTAACCAGAAGTGATGGAAGCTCACAAGGACAAGACGCCCCTGTGATTTATAATAAGTATGAACCTGCACTTGTCAAATTTTAATGTTCAGAAACATTTACTTCTACCAATTCTTTGGCACAGCAACAACCACTCTCTACTTTTTGGACAACATTTTAAAAAATCCCATTTTGCCCTTAAGAGTTTGTCTATTCAAGCAAAAAGGAGGCAAAGATTGGGACCAACTCCTTCTGTTGACAGAAAAAGCTGATTCTAAAATAGTTTATACATACTTACTCTGCTCCTACACTCCGTGCCTTTCATTAATTTGCTTTCTTAAGCCTTGCATGCAATATCAGCCTGTGAACCACATTTGAAAGCTGACATAAGCCTGAACAGGATGCCAACTCAAATACAAAAGGTAACTACAAATATCACCAAAACAAAAGAAGTGTTTGCACAGATCAGGGTGATCTTCCAACACGAATATGAGGCCTACCAACGGCCATGCAGAGTAACACAGAGACAGTGGCAGCCAAGAGGCTTTGACTAAGTCAACATAAAGTTATGGGTCAAAGGAGGGGAGCTATTTTCCTTCACAGACAAAGCTGCCGCTTTTTCCACCACCTACCTGACTGTGGCCATCTCCTGTGTGCTGGCCTCTAGCTGAGCCTCATAGGTTGCGAGCTGCGTCTTCAGTCTGAGCACCTCTGCCGACTGTTCATCCAGGGTGGCGCTGAGTGTTCCCACCTGTTCCGCTCTCTCCTCCAGCTTTGATTCGGCCTCCCCCAGGCTTCCCATCAGGACCTCAACCTTCTCGGACAGATCGGTGTTCAGCTTCGCCAGGCCGTCCACCTGGACCTTCACGCCGTCGAACTCGTCGCTCTTCCCCTTCAGCATGCTCTGAAGCTGGCTCAGCTGCTCCAGAGACACGGTGGCTTGCTGCATCTCAGCCAGGCGGGTTTTCATCTCGGTGTGGAGTGACAGTACCTGAGCGGGGAGGTCGGACGTCCTGAGCTGTTCGGCGGTCGCCAAGGCCATGCCCACCTGTTTCTGGGCCAGTGCATAAGACTCCTCGAGGGCGATCAGGCGGGTCTCCAGACTCTCTGAGAAGGGCTGCAGAAACAAGAGAAACAGTCGGGATGAGAATCAAATGGGTCACTAGAAGCACTTCTCTCATTGCGCTGGAGTTTAAAGTCTCTTAAATCATTTTATACTTTTATTTTTTCTACATTTCTGACGCTTAAATGACCAAATCTGATCGTCTCTGGTTACATTTCTTCTCCATGATGCCAAACAATAAATATTAGTCGAGTAAAGCTTCCTCTAATGATGTGATTTAATGACAATCATTATTGTAGTATCTACACAAATATTTGTCAATCTCTCCCATTGTGGTCCTGGATCCTTTAACTACTTAACACCTCTTATGATGCGAGTGTAGTTTATCTTATGCAAATATGTCTTCCCAACCAAACGTTACACTAAAACAAACAGATTTTGCTTAAGTAAGCATTTGACTATTATTTTGTGTGTGTCTATCAGGAGCCAAACTCAGGGGTAGTTAACCAACTAGTAAAACTTTGGCAACTGGAGAGGCGGGTTTACGAGAGTACAGCTCGAACAGGAAATATTTCTCTAACAAGACTGAGCTAGCAGGGCCGCTCACATGCAAAAGAATTGTAGGTGAATGAGTTGTATTAAAAGAGGAAGTGAGATGAGAGGATTTTTTAGTTTTCGTTTTGGACTTGTAGTTTAAAAATCCAGTTTGTCTACCTAGGGGCGGCCTGGAGCAATTTAGAGATAGCTGAAATATGTGGGCTTCACAGGTAGAGAAAATGTTGCTAGAGGCAGCTGTGAACCTCAATTTGCACTGACACAATAGCTTCACTTCAGCCAGGAAACTTTTAACAGTTTCCGAACAGTCAAGAGTAATACCTTTAAAGTTTTGTGTCATTGCAGAAAATACACATGGAACAAGTATATCTGTTTTCTCAACTTTCCGTAGCCTGAAAACAACCTCTGAACTAGTGTTAGGTATCAAAATCTCAGACTAAATTTAGCCTTGGCACACTTCTGTCTTGTGTATTATTATTTTGGCAGCATCCTCCACACAGCCCTGGCAGCGTGTTTTCCACTGAAATTATAACACAAACTATTTCCAAGAGAACTTTTATCGCTCTTTATGCTGAATTATTTTGGTGTGATGATAAATTAAGCGCCTCTGTTGGAGCAAGTTTAAGAATAATCCTCATTACAAGCTCCAGCAGCTGTGTGGATGTTAGAAATAGCAGCGTTTTGTGCTCACTCCAGTGAGGCTCTTGGCATTTTGAAATCTGATAGAGGCCTGCAGCTCCTAACTTTCCTTACTTGTAGGTGGCAACGTGGACGTGTGCATGAGGTGAGGCCTTCACTTTTTTCCTCAAAGTGTTATAGCCTAGGGGGGGAAGTTAAAGGGATCTTGAGTAAAAGGTTACAGGCCACGTAAAGGGGGCGTCTCTTGCGGTTCCTGCTGCAAACTCATATGTCTGATCACGCCTTGGCTGAGAAAAAAGGCAGTGTGAGTTGAGTTTAAATGCCTTACCTTGCTGCTTGACTGTCGCAAATCTTCATGGGAGGCCTGCAGCTTCACTATTTTCATCTGCATACCCATGAGATTGTCTGTTAAGTAGGTTAAAGTTTGGTGCTGCTGGAAACAGAACCATGCGCCAATTGCACCGCCAATTACAATCATGAGAAACAAAACCAAAAGGAGAGCGTAGTTTGTCGCTCCTGAGCGCACTTCTGTCTCCGTGATATCGTTTTTGAAAAAGTTATCTTCATGTTTGTGGTTGTTCTTTCCTCTCCGATGCTTGGCAGTCATTTTCCCCACACAAAGGACACAATGTTCCGGTCAGGCAAAGAGGTGATATTCAAGAAGCCGGCGCGTCAGAAAGCGTGTATCACGGAGTGCGCGGGTGCTTTTTTCAATTGGCGCTGCGCAAATTCGACCCGGATTCAATCACCGCGCAATAAAGTACCGAGAAGCTGCAGCAGCGAGTTCCTGATGAAGAAGAGGTAGAAGAGAAGATGAGGCAGGGAGGCGTGGACCCTTAGGTAGCGCGCTCGTCCATTCAGGAAGAGGAGGGAGGAGTGAGAGGGATGAGGGCTGAGCCTGCTGCACCATGTGCGCTGCTGTCATCTAATGGAAAACCTACACGTCCGGCTGCTGTGCTGTGCGCTATTTTTTACTGTGGCTGAGGCCCCCGAGTAGAGTCGCGTGTGCAATGGAGCTCTTGCACACCTCAGTCACAAGCAACTGTGAGTGTCTATGACATGACATGACCAGACTGAAACAAGACTAACAACAATGGCCTTACCAATCGACAGATCCATCACTTTTCTACCTCAGTGTCCTTTAAGACGATATTCGACATAACGAGACAAACTCAGAGGTGTTTTCACACTTTGGAAAGAGCAGCCACCTCTAAAATAAACTCATCCTTTCAGTTGTAGACATGTTCTTGGCCTTTGCTGCTTTCTTGCACCCTATCAGGTTCTCAGGATGATCTTTGAAACTATATATTTCCTTTAACTTCTATTTTTTATTGACAGGATAGTTGAGAAGAGATGGGAAATGTCAAAGAGAGAGAAGGGTTTGTGTGCATGAGTTGGTCAAGGCTAGGAATCAAACCAGCAACTGTCACATCTGAGATTGGATTCTACAGGCCTGATCCTTTCTTTCTTTCTTTCTTTCTTTCTTTCTTTCTTTCTTTCTTTCTTTCTTTCTTTCTTTCTTTCTTTCTTTCTTTCTTTCTTTCTCTCATGGTTCCTTTAATGGTTTCTCTTTCTTTCTTTCATGGTTTCTTTCTGTCTTTCTTTCATGGTTTCTCTTTCTTTCTTTCTTTCTTTCTTTCTTTCTTTCTTTCTTTCATGGTTTCTTTCTTTCTTTTTTCTTTCCTACTTTCTTTCTTTCTTTTTCTTTCCATTGACCTTCTATCTTCCTTTGTTCCAGCTTTCTTACTTTCTGTGGTTTGCTTTTTTTGTCCTTTTTTCTTCCTCTGTTCTCTAATTTTATGTCCCTTAAATCATCTATCGTTTCATTATTCATCCAGAGACCGTTGGCTGTAAAGAAAAGGTAAGATCAACCATCTTTAGCTTCAGTTTAGATCTTGAAATCTGACAGTACAGATAGACTCCAAAATTGGGAGGGTACATTTGTAAGATGATTATGAAGAATGAGGCACGTCAAGTGTGAAATCAGTGCAGTTGGGTTTCCTGCCTGAACTAGCCTGCAAACGTCACTCCATTAACCTCGATGCATAAACATAAAGGGTGTGTCATCATGAGGAAGTTTTGTACTGATGAGCTGTACTGTTCAGCTGCAGGCGGACCTACCTGTTGAATATGACATTTTGCGTACTGCTGTGTATTTGGAAATGATTAAATGATGCAATGAGATATGTTGATTACAGACAGCCATGCACTATACTGTGTTTTATTGTCAGTTTTCCCCAGTGGACGCATGGAGAGATTTCAGTACCTGAGTATCAGACAACATTTGAAAGATCCTACATATTCACAGCCACTTTCCTGCAGAGGTCTTGCTACAGTCTTAAGCTGAGCGGAGTAATTTTGTACTAAACACAATGAGAGAACAAAGTGATGACTTTCCTCCTTTTCTTTACAGAGCGCATCGGTGTAAATGGGCTGATTCTGCACAACTGCACAGTAAAACCCGAACAAAGGTGAACTCTGCACCGTGAGCTCTCTGGGTATCGCACAGAAAACAGTTGAGATGGCCCCAACTTAAGCAAACACGAGACTGAGTAAATATTAGCAGAACTGTGAAGTGTAATGAGTCATATCTTAAGTATCACATCAAGGTTAATTACACCGACACCGATGGCCCCAGGTTTGCTCCACCTGACATCCACACAGAGATTAAGTCATCTGAATTCATCAAAACAAATGTGGAAAAGCACTGTGTAAACTAAACATATCATTATAATAATAATAATAATAATAATAATAATAATAATAATAATAATTATTATTATTATTATTATTAGTAGTAGTAGTAGTAGTAGTAGTGGCAGTAGTAGTAGTAGTAGTATTGAGACAGTTATTTTGGTGATTACAGCTGTATTGTATGTTTACTCTTTGACCTTCAACAGTGAGAGAGCTCATATATCAGTGGTTGCATCAGGTTTCAAATGCTTTCTTGGTTACACATCTGTGTGAAGCTATCAAATGGTTTCTTTGAGATTATTTATGTGTGTTTTCATTAGTGGTACATATTTGAAATGTTATAAATATTACATATAAATATTGTAAATTAAAGACAACATTTCAGGCTAATTGCTAAGAAGGTTAAAAGTGGGCGAGACATCAGCTGTGGTGTTTTTGATGAATTAACAATGAACACTTTTTGTTCATTTATGGCATTTTATTGTGTGAATTATTAACATTAAACAAGTCCAAGAGTGGAAAGACTGAGTTAAATAATCCAGTGAGTGATAACTGGATTCTATTCAGCTTGCTTGGTGTCAGGGTCCTGATTTTGTGACTCTATACCGCTCTGGAAAAAGGTCATGTTCATGTCTGCACTTACTTTTATTGATTCCAACCTAATGAACAGAAAATAATAATCAAAACTAAAACAATTGTATCATTGTGATCAGTTTTTTTATTCCTAATTTCAGTGGCATTTCATTAGATATAATATCCAATTATTTTATTCTTCAGTGTAGCTGCAAAACTACAACAACTGAAACATGTTTGTTTTTGCCTGAAATCACTCACTTCTGACTTACAAAAAATCTGAACTGGCAGTTAAATTTAGCGTAAAGAGCTTTTTCATTTTGCAGACAAGTTCACTTCTTGTCCTGTGTAAATAACTCTCTTCATAGTGAGCAGGCAGTCATGAATGTGTGAGTTATTTCAGACACAACCCATGTTTTCAATAACTGCAACGACTGCAGCTTCATGGGGCCTTCAGCGTCTTCAATCTGTATGGAAAAGAGAGGAAACCGTTTAGCTTAATTGTGAGTAAAGGCCCTCAGTTAAAGAGCGGATGTGTTTTTCCCTCACCTCTGACGCTGAGTGTGGTGGAGCACTCGGCTCGCCCGAGGGCGTTCTCTGCGCTGATCGTGTACTCGCCCGTGTCTTTGGGGCCTACACGGAGAATGAGCATGGAGCAGACTCCACAGGTTTCAGAGATGTAATAGTTGGTGTTGGTGTTCAGGCTGATGTGGTTTCGATACCATGTGATGCGGGGTTTAGGATTTCCCTTCACAGCGCAGCTCATGTAGCATTCGTAGCCTTTGGGCGCACTGTGAAGCTTTAAAGGGACTATAAAGGTTGGGGCACATCGTAAATCACAGTCCTCTCTGGTTGGTAAGTTCACCACAAACTTCTCTACAAGACAGAAAATACATTTAGATTATATTTTTCAGGCTTTTTCTTGCTTTTGAGGTCGTTTGAGTTGTGCAAAAATACCTCTTTTCTTCTCCATTCCCCAGGTTGGAGACTCTGAGTGTGCAGAAACTCCCATGTCGTTTTTGGCGTAGACCCTGAAATGGTACTCCCTCCCCTGCATGATGTTGCAGACTGTGAACTTGTTATTGAAGAGCCTGTCTGCAACTGAAGTCCATGAGCGTTTGGTGGAGTCCAGTTTGGACACCATGTAGTGGAGGCGGTCATCACGCTTCTCATCAGGAGAAGGTTCCCACATCACTGTGACCGTACCAGGGACATTTTCCTCCAGTTCTACAGGTCCAGGAGGCTTCGGGTCATCTGTAAACATGTTTGGTTTCACTGACTCAACCATTACGATATCACTTTTTTCTCAATGAAAATTTAAAAGCAAATGTCTGCTTTACCTGTGACCCTGACCTCTATACTGAATGTCTCCTGTCCTGCAATATTTTTCACCACGATGGAGTAGATGCCCGTATCGGAGCGCTCAGAGGTGGGAATCAGCAGCTGTGATGTGCCATCAGAGTTACTGATCGTCACTCGCTTTGTGACGGGTACATTATCTTTAAGCCAGGTTATTTTAGGCTGTGGTGAGGCCTGTAATAAACAAAAACAAATTGGATTTGGCACCCTTGGATTTGATAGAAACCACAGTTTGAGACTTTGAATGAATCACCTGTGTGTAAAACTCACCTCAAAGTTCACTGTGATCCTGACAGAGTTTCCTGCCCTCACAACCATGAAACTCTTCATCTTGTGGTTGGTGAACTTTGGCCTCACTAGAATATTGAACACAAACAATGACAATGACTTTGGACAATATTTAACCTCAGGAGGTTCTTATATAACAGAAAACGCTCAAAAATGTATGCTTTCCTGGAAGTCCTATCCTTGAAATTACCAACCCAACAAGCTCGGATGAATGACCTGCTTATATCCTCCATAAAAATAGCATATTGAGGAGCCTTGAGGCCTCTTAAGAGCTACAAAAAACTGATTGTATCCTGGAAACTTTATCCCTCAGACTACCCTACTGTGACAGTTTTAATGTTTTCTGCTGAACAGGTTTGAAATATATTAAATCTCTGTTTAAATATTATGCTGTTTCTCTTGTTCTAGTCCTATAAAGCCAGCAAGACTTGACATACCAGGTGAGGGCATAGCAAGAACATAGTTGGGGAGCTCCTCAGGATCACCCTCCCCTCCATCATTACAGGCAATCACCCTCAGCCAGAACATGCCCATGGATTTCAGGCCTTTCACGCTGTAGGAAGTTGTGATGAGAGTCGTGGTGTTACAGCGGGACCATTCGATTTCCTCTGCAGGCCTGATCTCAACAAAATATCCCTTTGCTTCATCCTGAACTCCTGGTTTATCCTCAGGTTTGGACCAAGTCAGGACGATGTGTGAGTAAGAAGTTTCCGTCACCTTCAGGCTTGTGACTTTACCAGGAGGCTCTAAGGGACACAAAATTTACTGTCAGGAGACTTCATCAACAGTAAAGTCTCAAGATATTTCCAGAAATAAACTGGATATTTGCAATCTGTTGTTTGTGTTACTTACTCTTGGGATCCCGTGCAAAAACAAATTCAGATGGGCTGCTGAATTCTCCAACTCCTGAGAGGTTTATGGCTGTGACTCTGAATTCATACTCCATACCTGCAACTACATCTTTAACGGCATATTTCTTTTCTGGAAATAACATCAGATGGACAAAATGTCAGTGTAATATCATCGATGTGACAGATTGAACAGTGAACTAAAGTTACAGACCTTTTATCAACTCATCTGAGGCATTCACAACGGTCCAGAGATTACTCCCCTTCTTGCGTTTCTCCAAAATATAGCCAAGGATTCGTGAACCTCCTTTGTTACTCGGTGAATCCCAGGAGATGTTGATGCAGTCGTCAAAGGCGCTGACTACTTTTGGGGGTGCTGGAGGGCCAGGGAAAGCTGATACATGCAGAGACAAAGTAGGCCGTGTCAGTAAAGATCGTAATCAAGATATTTCTGCAGTTCTGAATCAGTCCTGATAAACAGAAATTTACTGGTAAATGAGCTATTTAAAAAATTCTGCTAGACTGGAGGGACATATGAGGCATGTGACTGCTTTGAATCGATAAAACTGTGTTTACATCCTGCTTTACACTCTAAATAAAAATCCTTGACATTAAAAAAATATCAGTTTACAGTTTTTTTCCCAACTCTCTAAATCAGCCTTGTGCACAAATGTTTACAGAAAATGCATCAATGAATTATGAATGGCTTAAATACTCTATTCTTTCCGTTAGTGATCATTTTTCAAGAGGTACAATTTGCAGGATTTGTAAAATGAAAACATTTGATGTGAACAGAAAAGAATAAATAGAAAGCAATCTACCTCTGAGTGGCATGAATAGTATTTAATTGTGTCTTATTTTGAGGTTGCATGAGAAAGATTTCAGTATAAACCAGCAGTCACAAGGATAGTTCAATGGTCACAGAAGGACAGCAGGGGGCAGTAATGACAATGAATCAATGTGCTCTATGCATAGATCCACTACTTCCTGAACTAAAGGTGGCTCCTATTGGACAAACTGATTAATCCAGGTGTTTCTGATCAGTCACAATGATTAGTCACACCTGGAGTGATCAGTTGTCCAATCATGTAAGACGGGAAATAGGGGAGTTGGCTTTAGTTCAGGAAGTAGTGGAGTTGTGCATAGAGTTCATTGGTGAGCTGCTGGGTCTTTGCCGTTAAACACATTTTGATATTTGTCATGACCCTTTAAGACCCTTTAAACAAATGTCAGCAGAACTTCAGTGGATCTGGGAGACTTATAATTTTATGGCCTACTGGAGCACTTATGTAGAAATTACCCCCCCTGCAGTTACCAATAACATCTCAAATGTTCCCATGACAAGCAATTGCTGCAAAAAGGTCAGTATAGTGTGGAAAAATGAATCATAATGTCAAAATGGAGAATGAAGCTCAGAGATGCCATTATATTTTGAAAGTTTTAGAAATCACTCAATATTTCTTTGCATGTCAAACCCTTTGAAACAGACATTAGGCCTACCACAGATGGACATGGACCATTCCCTCGCAAACCGCTGCAATGATAGGATGCTGCGGGTTCAATGCACTACTTGTTACATGCTGTGTCCTATTGTATGAAAGTTGTTGTGGAAGCGTTTTAGCAGTGAAAAAAAGGTTTTTTATCATAAGAATGATTCCAGAGAGTTTAGTTCAATGCTTGATTCATTCGCCAAGTGATTCAGGTGTCGGTGCATGTGGGCCCTCATTCGCCGACTGCTGGCTTGGCAATGCTGTTTCTCACGTTAGCTCAACTGAAGTGAGAATCGGTTCAGTACGTTCACTCAAAAGATTTGGTTCTTTAGAACGAATCGTTTGCGAACGACACAACACTCTATCGCTGAACAACCCCCCCCCTAATAGACCTACGTCACACGCGCACGCCGCCCCGAGTTGAAACTGCGGAACTTACTTCGTCAAAACTTCTCTTTTCCGTGTAGCTAGAGAGTGACGAGGCTATCAGTGAAATTAAAATACAGGTTTTCAAGGACTCCGTACATGTCAGCGGAAAACAGCGGTAAATATCATAAAACCGCATATTAACACAGTTCAGCTTTATTTAAGTTCGGTGCAAGAAAAGCTCTGAAATATTTTAAATTTTCGCGAACGTCGCTTCTTAAACGGTCGTTAAAAGTACGTGCGTTGATGTTTGCAACAGTTCGAGGCTATTTCTCTACACTTTGCTTTTCAACGCCTGACTTGTAGTATTAACATTATTTTTGTTTAAGGATGAAAAAGGAACTAAAACATTGTGCTTGAATAAAAATACAATTAATTTTGTGGCTATTTAGATAAATAGAAATTAAAGTACCAATCTGTTTACGACTTAAACAAGAGAAAGAAGTAGGCACTTTAAGTACTCTATGGATACTAGAACTGATGCTCTCTCCAGTATGTTAAAGCACATTTTGTCAAACATATTATTAAAAAATAACAGCATTGACATGTGATATTGACTGCACCAATCCAAATGAAAATGTTGAGTATTTTTACAGCATCTCTTGTTAGGATTGCAAATTTTAGATGGTCCCTGCACACCTCAGTCACAGTAAGTTTTTTTTGTTTGTTTGTTTGTTTTAATACAGCAGAGTGGCATCATGGAGAAAGACTGGGGGACGCCCAATTTTCCAGAAGACCTCAAAAAGTAAGAGTAAAGGGGTTTTTTTGTGGTATGTGTGGCTGATGTTGCTTGTTGTGTGTTGACTTGCTGCTATGTTGAAATGCTTTTCTTGTTTTGGCATTTTACCTGTTCTGCTTGCTTTAAGCTGTTTTAACATTTTCTAGTTCACATAATTTATGAATCTGAGCATTGTGGACTTTTTTGACATTTAGGGAAGTGAGATCTGCCTCTTTTCCAAGCACAATATAATAAGCATGTGATTGTTTTTTGTTTTTTTGTACAGTGAAGTGGCCTCATGGAGAAAGACTGGGGGAAGAGCCCAATTTTCCAGAAGACTTCAAAAAGTAAGAGTGAATCTTTCTTTGTGGTGCTTGCGGCTAATGTTGCTTGTTATGTGTTGACCCGCTGTCATGTTGAAATGCTTTTCTTGTATTGGCAATGTACTTTTTCTGCTGGCTTTGTTTGGCTGCTTTTAGCTGTTTTTAACATGTTTAGCTCATTATTTACACACCTTGAGTATTGTGGACGTTTTTAAGATCTGTCTCTTTCAGTTGAACTCATGTTTTGACTTTAAGTGTTCTCTGATCTGTAGTAAGGACAGTACAAAGGTTTGCAGACACTGCTGGGCATTTGGAAAGCAGAAATGACAGTTGTGTTTGAATGCTTTTTGTTTGGTCATGTGATTTTTCAGTGGAAAGTTGAGTCTGTCATTGCTTTGGTGTTAGCATTGATGCATTGTTGCTTTCGTCACTGCTCTGTGTGTGGGAAAAACTGTTCTGATATATCATACAAATACCAGTTTGACTCACCAAGAGTGCCGGCTTGCATGTCATCTGTCTCCATGACTTCGCTTGTACCTTCAGCAGTCACCGCTCGGATGCGGTAACAGTATTTCCGTCCGTGGTCAACATCTGTGTCCCGGTAGTTAGGCACACCTGGGATTTCCCCTAACTTCTTCCAGGTGTTTCGCCCCACTTGCTGTCGTTCCAGTATGTAGTTTATCACTGGTGAGCCTCCATCATCTTTTGGAGGCCTCCATTTAAATTCTATACACATGGCTGAGCTCTCTGTTACCTCTGCAGGGCCCTGGGGTGGAGTGGGTTTGTCTAAAAAAACATCAAAAAATGTAATTTAAAAGTTTAAAATCTCTTTACATCTCGTAAATTTTAATGTTTAGATTAATGTCGTGTATCAGAGATTAGAACAACATGGCTTTTCATACTCGAACTTTGAAAAATCTTCAACACACTGTACATAAACTGGCAATCTGCTTCAGGTAGATAAAAGTGCTTTATTTTTAATACACAGTATGTTTGTGTGAGAGCCTCCTCTGTAAAAACGGTTATCTAAATCTCTGAAGGCATAGATGGGCTCTGGAGAGTTGAACCAAATACTTTTGAAAAACAGCCAACTACACAAATGACATCCTTTTGGCTTTTATTAAGATCCTATTCAGATTATATTCTTAAAAGGAGTTTAAAGTATTTCTCTTTGATTTCTCTGTCATTATTGTGTTACACAAAGTGGCTAATCAAAACTAATTTTAGAAAACAGGTTTTTTAGGCTTTTTATGTTGTTATTGTAGAAGAAAGGGTAGTGGACATATCAGGAAAGTGTGAAAGAGAGCAGAGAAGAGACCACAGGTGAGACATGAACTCAGACCACTCACTTGAGGAAGTCTCAGGTGATCTTTACATGAGTACGAATTTGTAAGACACTGGTAAAATAAACTATCGATCTGGTGATATTGACACATGGAGACGCGTATTTGTCCATGACTCTGCATCTTTTTTGAAAATGGGTCTGCAGGTGGATATCTGGGTATTCGTCTTCATGTCATAGTTGGTATAAATAGATAAGTCCGGAAAAGACGGTGACCTCATAGCACCCCTCCTCCTCCCCGCCCCCCAACCCACGTTGTCACACACACAGCAACAACAACAACAATGGCGGTGGCTGGGGTGATTTTGTTCTTATTCCAGCAAATGCAAATATTGCTACGATGCGTTGTCATGTAAATGCACTAAGCCTATGTACAATACAATGTGTAAACAGCGATAGATGTTTTGGTGCCGACGCCGAGACAATATGGAGCCATCCTCGTGTAAGGAGGGCCTCAGCATATGGAGTGCATGCTTAAACCTCTCATGTAGTGGCGCCCTATATCAAAACAGATTTGACAAAATATGTCCTGTTTCCTAGTTTTCGTCATTGTCCTTCATTTACTCACCAAGCACGATGAGCTGTGAAATTGCCTCAACGAATCCATGTTCATTCTTGAGCTTGATCTTGATCTCCCCTGAGTCTTTCCTTTGGCACCTGCTCAGTAGCAGACGGCTGTGAGTCGCAGATTTCTCTATCCTTGTATTGTTATCGCCTTGCAGTTCATCTCCTTCCTTGTACCACTGAATTTTTATGGGCTCATGACCAACAAAGTGCATTTTGAAGATGGCGATGTGTCCCACTTTAACCGTCACGGGCTCAGAGAATGCATTGAGGTCTTCGAGGTCAAACCTTGGAGGATCTTTTAAAAGAGACATTCACATCATTTCACTATCTTTTTATTGTGTCAAGCAGTCATCTGCCTGACCTGGCTATGAATATCAAACATCTCTCCCCCTTTCAGCCAGTGGATTATGTCAAAAAGAAATAATTGGTTTTAGTATAAATCGTCAAACCTTTGACGTTTATCATTGCTTCTGTTTTGCGACCGTCTGCCTCAAAGCGGTATTTCCCAGAGTGCTCCTCTTTACAGCTGACAATGATTAATTTGTGGATTGCACCGTCCTTACTTATAGTGAAAGTGTCATCTGGGGATATCTGTTAGGATGAGAAGCAGACAGATGAGAATAAACAAACTGAGCGACAATAATTTTCACGGCATTGAGTTATTTGAATCAACAGCACTAGATGCCTTAAAGGGTTTTGTGACAAGCTATATTGTGTCTGAAATACACTCAGAATATCTCATCATCTGCCAAATATTTACCAGCAAGAAGTTATGTCGCACCTTCTGTCATAACTGAGACATGACTGTGACAGAGACAAGTGAACATGAAACCCACCAAAGCTCTTATTTTCTCCAGGGACAGAGTGAACACAAACACTGTTATAAAAGCAACTTTTGGATCCAACTCCAGAAAATGATGAGTTTGACCTTTTTTGACTGACCTTCTTGCCATCTCTGAACCAGACTCCGTCACAGTCTTCACTGCTGAGCTTACATGTTAACTCAGCAGTCTCATGGATGATGGCGCTGACATCAGACAAACCGCAGACAAACTGAACTCCTGGATCTGACATACAGACGATCTCACAGTTATCCACAACAATCATTTCGACTCGCACCCAGAAGAAACCCTGCTGTTTTAATCCTTTTTACACATAATTTTTCTGTTAGCTTCTGCTGACTGTAACCGCTATTTTTCTCAGAGACTGTTATGAAACATTTTCTCACTCAGTATGCATCTTTTATTTAAAGAAATGAACTCTCTCTTGTCAAATCCAGATCTTCTAAAAACACAAATTTCATTATACAGATTAAAATGAAATAATTTTGCTGTTTACTTTAATTTACTTCTGAAGAGGGTCCCTGCTGTGTCAAAACATCAAATCAGCATGCAGTACAGAGCAACAGAAGGAGCCAGATGTAGAGTTAATATTACATAAACAGTTTCTAACTAACAAAAGTAGAGAATATTCTTTTTTGACATAATTTCTTGTATCATTATTCAGTGTTGGAGGGAGTATTAACTCAAAGACTGATAGGCTAAACCAGTGGTTCTTAATCCAGTCCTCAAGCCCCCCTGTCCTGCATGTTTTGGATGTATCCCTGCTCCAACACACCTGATTCAAATGATCAGCTCGTTAATAAGCCATTACAGAGCTTGATAACGAGCTGATCATTTGAATCAGGTGTGTTGGAGCAGGGAAACATCCAAAACATGCAGGACACTGGAACTCGAGGACTGGATTGAGAACCACTGGGCTAAACCATCTTCTTTATTTTTTTAAATGACTGGGCACAGAGGCATGTAATACAATCCTATCTTGTGTTGAAATTCTCACACCTTGTAGGTGACTTACCAATCACTGTGTCTTCTAACAGCGGGCCTTGTCTTTTGCGCCTCGAAGATTTAACTGAGTCCGTCACATCTCCTGTGTCTTCGTTATCATTGGGATCTTTAAAATCTCCACTTTCACCTTTTTATGAGGGAAATCAATCAACATTGAGCTTAAAATGTATAGTAAATAAATGATGTCAGAATTATGGTTTTACAACAATCTCAAAGTATTGAATAACACTTAACAGTAGAATTAAGGTACGTATGTGGTCATGAAAAATAGTGAGCCATTTAAATGAGCCAAAGATGCAGAATTTATTTTCTGTGCTTTAATCTTACCATCGACTGCTGTCTGTGAAAGTTGACCTTTCTTTGAACTACTTGAATGCTCGACCTGGTCAGTGGAGTCTTCATACTCATCACTTTCACTTTCTTCATTGTCACTTTCCAGTTCATTTGGATCTGTGTAAGAGTAACAGACTTAAGGTAATATACACAATATTGTAAATTTGTAATGTTTACCCCACTGAGATCAGTTAAACTAACATTTCAAACTAAATTCCAATATTAACAGTGCTTTAGATGCTCTTGCATACTTTGTATACTTTGAATAATTTAAGAGGGTTTTCAGTCAGAGAAGAAGTGCTTTATTGGACACAGACTGTACAGACAGACAGTTCTTCTGGTCTTACTGTAACATATATTGAATAATCTTTAGGAGTATCATCAGCTAAGTTTGTTTTTACTCCATCCAGGAAGTCCTTTTGTGTCTTACCAGATGTGCGTTGTTTTCGCTGGGCTTTCTTTTTGTGCCCTTGACGTCTGGCAGACCTAGAAGAATCTTCATTTCCATTTGAATCACCGTCTTTGTTTTTACCTTCTGCAAATGAATGAATCCAGTTGAACCAGTTCAACTTTTCCTCAACAACAACATTTGTAAAAGTACAGCCTTTTATAAAATTAGATAGTTGGATCAGAGAGCACCTTTCAGTATTTTACACTTAACCCAGGCAGTAAAATTCAACCTCAATCTTATGGTTAATGTCATATAAACAATGTAGGAGAAAGTTTGCATGCACATCATACACACAAGTTTAGCAGTTATGATTGTGAATATGAAATTTTACTCTGTAATCGACTTTACCTGTTACCTTGTCAAAGACCTCTTGACCAGAGCCGGTACATTCCTCTGTCTTTAGCTCATCTTCTGTCAGCTGCTCTTCTGCGTTTGTAAAACACTCTGAATCATCTAATTCTTCTTCTGTACCATCTTCTCTTAAGATTTTGAACTTCACTTTTCCTTTCTTCCCTTTCGGCTTGGCCTCCGCAGCTCCGCTGTTTTTACCTGGTCCAGAGATTTCATTTGTTTCACAGCCTCCAACACTTGTGGTTAATATCTTCTCCTCTTTCAGTTGCTCTTCGTTGTATTTTGTTTTTACAGCTGCCAGAATCCTCTCCATTGCCTCTTGGTTTTGTAGTTGTTGCTCTTTGGCCACTTTCTCAAGGTCGATACGTCCTCCACCAGCCAAGGTACTTCTGCGCACTGTTTTCTTCCCAATTGATGAAGGGTCTCTCTCTGTAAAAAGGATGCAAAGTACTCTTTATGAGCAAGATTATTCTGATTAATTTGGGATAGTTAGTACATAAATTTCAAAATAGCAGCAATAACTATAATATATGTTATACTTTAAGGTTACCTTCCACAACCAGCCAGGCACTGCTGGTTGCTTTGCCTGCCACAGCTGAATAGATGCCTTTGTCCTGTAACTTGCAGTCCTTGATCAGCAGGCTGTGGATCAGTTGATGGTCTGACACATCAATGCTGTATTTCTCCCCATCCTCCAGCTCACTGCCCTTTCCCATCCATAAGATCTTAGGTAACGGATGTGTCAGGACACACTCAAAAAGGGCGTCATCATTTTCTTCAGCTTTAATGTCCTCAATTTTGATAACAAAGTCCATACTGGAAACTGTAAAAGCAACAAAAAGGAGTCGGTAAAGACTCAGTCAAGTTTTTGTCCAAATATTCACACACATTCATGACACTGACACCAAGAGTAGTCACAGTTCTCATGATTATTTCCATCACAAACCTACGTTTTAACTCTGTAAACAGGCGGTTGACCTCTTCATCCACTTGACTTTTCCTGATGTCCCTCTGCATCAGACCGTTGATTCTGTTATCCTTTGTCCCTCCAGCACACTTAAGGTCTTTAATGTGTTTCTCTGTTAGATCTCCATCAGATGTTATCCCACCATCCTACCGCAGAGGCACACAGAGCATGTAAAAGCAAGAAATAACTATTGAAATTTGATCCTTGAAATATAACACCATAATAGTAAATTGTGCATATTTTAAATGTCATGATATGATAAATGTCAATATGGCCATGATAAAATTATTATGTGTATTAGAAATTTGGCACAAAGCATCATTCTGGCTATTCTTGCATCAGTGTTTGTACCATGGAACATTTTGAGTGTTATTAAGAGCACTATATATCCTGTAAATATCGTAATCAGGCTCTAGGTGTGTCAAAAATGGCCATGTGTTTAGTATTTGTTCTTTTTAAAAATACTACAATGTAGTGCTGGGCGATAGGACGATAAATATCGTGGGCACGATAGAAAATGTCTATCGTGCCATTTTTATTTTTATCGTTTCGGGCGATAGGCTGTATTTTATCCATAGGGCTTGTGCCATCGGATGATTCATAGTAACAACAACAATAACTGCACATTCAGTAAGTGTATTTGGTGTCGAACGGGAAAGAAAACAATATTTTCTTACAAAGAAAAGGATGCGTTGACATGTAGGCTCGCATTTCTCTGTCGATTTTGCGACATGACGCCGCTTTACGTGCCCTCTTTGTGTCCAGCGTCTCCCGCCGTTGAGGGTTACCTGAGTTTCACACGTGAGGGGATCATTGTAAGCAGTGCTTAATTTGTGCCGGAGCAAGTCGGAGCGCGCTCCGGGACCTCTTTTGATCGGATCAGGGACCTATTTCAGCCGTTCCGGCACCTGTTTCATTTGCTCCAGGACCTTCCCTGTAGAGCATGACATTTTTCGGGAATTCCCGTGGGTCACGTGATTCCCGCGGGAATCCCACGGGATGGGAATCATTTTTTAATTAATCCCTTGATCGGGACGGGACGGGAAAAAAAGCAACGGGAGTGGGCAGGAGCGGGAACAACATTAAAAGATGATCATTTTCAGCCGTGTTTAACAACCAGATGAACAGGTGCGTCCATTTTTGTAGTCATCTCTCTGTGAGAGCCAACACTCTTGACCGTGCTAACAACACAAAAGAACTACAACAGTGGTTTGACTTCCTGTCAGCTGGGAGCGCGGCTGCGCATTTCTACCCTTCAAGCCAGCAGCGAGGAAACGTAATTTTGTGACATTCTGTAGTTTTTCAATCATTTCTGGAGTCGTGGCGAATCAAATCACCTTACCTGTCTGCTCCTGATAGGCGAATAAAGCGCTCGGATTCATGCTCGGGTCTTGCTACGTGCTTCAAGAGTAAAGTAAACAATGATGGAGGCAGAGAGTAGCTTTGGAGGAGAAACATCTAGCAGTGTGAACAACCTCTTCAAAAGAGCCCTAAAGACCTACCTTTTTAATAAAGCCTTAGGTTAGCTTTCCTTTATGCTTTTACTACCTTGCCTCTTACATTGCAACTCTATATTCTTTATTTTTTTTTATTCTTTTATGCTTTTTTTATGCCAATCTGTGACTGTCATTCTATTGCTTTTTTTATTGTTGCTGCTCTTTTTTTACTGTGTACTGTAGCACTTTGAGATTTTTTGTAAATGTAAAGTGCATTACAAATTAAATTTATTATTATTATTATTATTATTATTATTATTATTATTATTATTATTATTATGGAGTGCTTTGGCTCACACTATCGGCGTTTTCTGTGAGTGTTACATAACTTTGGGTGAGCACAGACATGAACGCACTTCAGCCACGTATTTATTTATTCATTTTTCTAGTTTTAAGTGCTGGTCTTGTACTGGTACTGTACTAGTGCAGCTGTATACACTTAAATTTTTCATAGAACTGAAAGCATACCATAGCTATATCGTGATATATATCGTTATCGTGATATAAAATGATCCATATCGTGATATACATTTTTTTCCATATCGCCCAGCACTACTACAATGTGTATACACTCAAAAATCAGACTGATTTCATACCATGCTGTCATTTTGCCTTCTCGCCTTCTTCTTCTCTGCTAGTTTCCTCATAATCGATTGAATGTCTTTGACTCCAAACTCAGCACAAATGCGTTCATAGTCACTCCTGTCAGCTTTTAGCATCGCATCCCAGAATTTCTCATCAGATTCCCCATCTTCTGCTTTGTTTTCTGCTTTACTAAAGGCAAAGTTGAACAATTGTTACGACCAGACAAGAAGGATTTATAATTCATGCATGTAGAAATAATTTGTCACAGGTGAGATCATAACACTTGTATTCTTACCTTTTCCGCAACAGTCTTCTGAAATCTGATGGGTTTGCTGAAGCTGGAGGCAGATGATTCAGATCAAGCTTGTTAAAACAACTTTATTTAAATGAAACTTTTAAGAAAACTCCAAAATATTAATGAGAAAAAAGGTGAAATGAAAGAAATTTCAGTGCCGGATAGATTACTCAACCCTGAAACATGCACAGTTTAAAAGAAAATTAACGCTCGTATACCATATTTGGAACAACTCTTACCATCATCTAGGTTTAATGTTGTTGTGCAGACGGCTTTGCCAAATTCGTTCACAGCAGAGCACTTGTACGTATCAGTTTCCTCCGAAGACACTTTGTAAATCTTGATATAAATAACATTCAGCTTTACAAGTCATGATGCAGAGATTCATTGCGTAAAAAAAAGCACTCGTGTCCATGCATAACTTGGCTTTCTTGCACTCTTAAAACCAACTTGAACTGCAAGTAGTTTAAAGTTGTTTTTTCACTCACCTCTAATATATGCTCTCCAGTCGATTCATCATATTTACTCAGAAATTTCTTCTTGTCCAGAATGTTTCCTTTAGTTCTTCTCCACGACACCTCTGGTTTTGGATCTCCTGTCACGATTGCCTTGAAAACAGCTATCTGTCCTAAAGGAACAGAAAACGATTATTACCTGCTAAATGCTTTAAAAAACAAACCAGATGAGGTCTGTGTGGTCATAAATCATGTTGAGATGACAAAGTGTAATTGGAAAGATCAGTTTTTGATCTGTGTTTAATGTAACACACCTTCCTTAACTTCCACTGGCATGGGTTTGGACTGGAAATCTGGGGTGCTTTTCCCCTCAGGCAGATTCACGACATACTGAGTGATCATTACACCGGGAATCTTTGATCGTCTCCGGATGGCAGCTAAACAAAGCAAGAAAAAAACATTCATTTGAAAAGTCATATGAGTAGATCAGTTTACAAGTTCAGAACAAAAAAACAAACAAAAATTAATTCAGCACATTAGATTTAATAAAGTTAGTTTGACGAAGCGGGGGTTAATGCTTTTAGTAGAACTTGGAAGATTTTTTTTTTTTTTTTTTTTCTACCAGCAGATGTCAGGGATGTCAAACAGATTCCCGGTGAAGCCATGTGTGTTTGTGTGTGTGTGTGTTAACAGAAACAGTAACTTACTGCCAGTTAAACAAATATGGAAATATTGAAGTAGAAGTAAAATGTTTTTTATACCTTTTGAGTAAAGGATGTATGTACGACTTTAATCTTTTTTTCATCAATGAATGGGCCAGAAACTCTCTTGAATAATTATTCAGGAGTTTCAAATGGATTATTAAAAAAAAAAAAAAAAGATGAGTATTTTTCTTTAACTCTTTGATCGATGGACTGAAGTTCAATGATTACACTCCAGGTGAAATCACTCACATCTCCAACAGCAGTGCGTAAAACTCTATAATCCTCCTACTCGGTTCGCAGTGTAGTATATCTTATCAGGCTTTTGATGTGCAAAGAGAGGATCACACAAAAGTCAATAAGGAACAACATTAATCCAGGGATTAATGATTATTGAGGCAAGAACTGAAATAGGAGAAGCGCCATGCAGTCAAACATGAAGTAGAGGGCGTCTGATTTAATAAGGTAGTGAATAGAAAATTCTGGCTTTCTACACTATGACAGGCAGGTCACAGGCAGACACTGTTATCAATAATACCTACTATGTTATATTAGACTAGAGGTCTATTTTAGTGCACAGAGACTAGAAAAATCTTCCATATTTAACAGGAAATAAAAAATATATGTATGTTTGATTTCACCTGACTTGTTGCCGGACACCTCATTAAAATGTTGAATGTATTGATGCACCATGGAGAAACCTGTGTGAAAGAAATACCATTCGATCAGTTACAAGCACAGTGAATGAATGCTATCTGTATGCTAATTTTAAGTATTTGTGATGGATGGATACATTATTGGAAATAAAGATTTAAGTATGTAGGGGGTCAGAAGTTAAGAGACCAAAGTAAACCATGGGCAGAGAGGCTGGGAGTCGAGACCCAGTCAGGCATAATGTGGAAAAGGAAAGCTCACAGAGGCCTGAATAAACTGAAGCTCTGAAAGGGTCACAGTGAAGGGCAGTAGGCAGGCAACCGTAATCCAGGGATGTTTTCTTCTCATTTTCTATTTATCGCTGAAGCCTCTGAGGGAAGACCTTTAATCAACTGGATGTTAAGGTGCCTGCCAGTTGGACAAACTCCAGCTTGTATGTGTAGAAAGAATTTTCAAAGTAAGTGGATAAAATGTGCAACTAGAGTGAGCGTTGCCATGTTCTTAAACCTGCAATAGCTGATTGTTGACCACTTATGGGAAGCAAAATTAGGTTTTTATTTTAATGCAACAGTGACATGTTATCACCTTAAAGTTAGCTCTGCTTTCAGTCTCAGAGAAATATCTGCCTCTTTAGCAGCTAAACGCTCTGGTATGTTCACCAGCTAGTCGCTAAATGTGTCTTTATACAGTATGATGGTACGGCGAGAATAAGGATAAAACCAGCCTTGTGCGTCAGATACACATGATGCATTAAGAGCAAAAGAGTGTACAGTAAAGTTGTGTGAAGTAAAGACAACAAAAAAGCGGGAAGGACAAAGTGAATTTGGGTACTTTACATTGTCTCCTGGGACCTCCGTTTTTTCCACCTTTCCACATTTTGGCGAAAGTTGTCAGTCAAAAGAGTGACCTGCAAGTAGAATGCAGACATAACCACAAGTACTGAAGATAAAATACAACATCAGTGTGTCTTGGCATTGCTGATTTAACCAGTTACTGCAACTTACAAATTACACTTGGGAACTATGTTGATATAAATTCATCTCCTCTGATATCAAGATGTCATTAAAGAAGAGAAAACCATGTTACCTTAACTTTTTTATGGTTGAAAAGACTTTTTCATCTTTTTAAAGGACTTGAAACATTAAAACAATCTCACAGAGAGGCCAACTCATGTTCAGTGGAGGGCGAACACTGATGGCGCCCAGCTATCAAGCCCTCGAGCTATAGTTAGCTGTCACCCTGTATAACTTTATGTGGGTCCACAAAGCCTGACTGTAAACTGTAAACCCTTACTGCTGTAAAATCTAAGTTTTGACAAATAAAAACAACACAAAGTAAGATACCATCCATATGTCAAAGTAATTAGAAGTACACTAATAATACATACAGGATTGAATTTCTTTTCAATGCCACCAAAGATTGCACCATCTCTTTAATATTTAAGTCTAGAAATTACATCCATTGTCAGTCAGCTTCTTTTATCTTTGAATGAAATATGTTACCAAAAGAAACAAGACAAATGCCACAACCAGTCTGTGTATGGTGGCGGAAAAATAAAACCCTTTATTTAAATTCAAACTTTGCATTTCTTGTACCCCGTCCACCTCCCTGTTACCTTTTTTTCCTTTCATAAACTTTAATCCACCTGGATGTCTCAACAAAGTAGGAGCTGACCTTTGGTTTGACGTAGGCTTGGTCACACACAGGCACAAACAAAGAGGAAGAGATGTTTACCTGCCAGCAGCTCTGTCTTCACTCACACAGAGACTTAGACGGTTTATGGAGGTGGTATGAACTCGCGCCTTCCTTTAGTTTTGCTGGATATTAAATCCTTTGGGGAGACATGTCTGGTTTTGCCGCCTGCGAGCTTGTGCCCATACTGTGACTGTCAAGGAGAGGCTTCTTCGCTTGAAGCAGAAGGATGCTCAGAGCATTTGGGTTATTATTAAGAGGAGGAGGAGGAGGAGGGGGAAGGCACAGTGGGTGGCTGCGGTGGGGGCTCTGGATGAGGTAAAGAGGGGAAAATAGAAGAAGAGGGAAGGGCTACCAATGACAAGTTAGTGGTGAAGTTATCTCCTAGTGTAGTAATTACTGATGACACCATGCTCATCTTTCACAGACAGTTGCTGACAAGAAAGTGACTGGTGACTTCATTTAGTTTGTGCGGTACGAGCCCATGGAAGAAGAGTTGTTATTGGGGTAAAAACTCATCAGGATCCTCTGTGGATTAATAAGGAAATACGTCAGTCCACCACCTTACAGCCAGCGTCCACTTATAACTGTCATAAGGATAAAATGAGTGAAGCAGTTTGATCAGTTGAGCTGTTCGTCCTGCAAATAGCTTTAAAAATTAAAGGCCCGCGGGTTGTTTTCTAAATGAGAATGAGAATTGTCGCTGTCACTCGAGGTTATGTTTTTAAACGTCCAAAATTAAACGCTGCTTTAACTATGATAATTTCATGGTGACCTTAGTAGTGCCTTGCAGACAACCTGACACAAAACAGGGCTTGTTTTTAATTTGGACTGTCAAGCTAATAAAATGCAGCTAGCAGTTATACTGCATTAGCCTTAAACCCATTAAGAGGTCACAACAAATTTGTAGTTTAATTCTGATGTGCACTTCAGCCTCGCCTCTGACAGTCTCCAAACTGTGAGGATGGCACTCATTCTGTTGTCTGCTGTGCTCTTCTTGTATTACAATGCATTACATAATCAAGGTTATGGCTTTCATGTCGTCTAATCTCTTCATGTCAAGGCTTTGAGACAGTTGTGTCTACGGAAAAAGAAGATCAAGTGAAGAGCAAGGCATTAATTGTCTCAAGGTCAAATACAAGAGTCTCCATGTCAGTCTGAATTTGACAGATTAAAACGTACATACTACATGTTCTGCCCTTTTAAAAGATAATATTGACACAAAACAGATGTCTCTTCAGCAGGTGATAAACATCAACGGCTGACTTTAACACTCTGTGTTTTTGTTACGGATCTAATTTCCTTATGGGAGGTTACTATGCTGAATTTTCTGTTATGTCCTATCCATGGAAACCGCTCTGTTTTTTTGCCACATTAGCAGCATGGTTCTAGAAATGGCAATGCCGTTAGGTCTGTCACTCTGTTATTCCACCGGTTCACCCCCTATTTTTTCGAAGGAGGACAACTAATAAGATGAATTGCCTTTGCCAAGTGTGATAGTCACAACCATGGAAGTACCCATATCAAAACTCAGCATATGAGTATTTAGATGTAAAGCTCAAAGTGCAGCAGAGCCTAACTAATGGAGCAATCTCTATCATTACTTAGAGGTCCAGTCTTGTGTACTGCTTGTAGATTGAGTAATACATGGAAAAACAGACTTCTGACACCTTGAATCGGTCGTGCCAGGACATTCACAGTATCCACCAGCACAAGGTCCAAGCAGTGCCCGTGTCCTATCATGCTTGTCCTTCCATGTGCAGTACCTCTAATGCATCTGAATAGGCTCTTGAGTAGGCCTGAGCCCACATAAACCAGCTGGATTAGGATTTAAACCCCCTCTGCCTACCCTGCTAATATTGATGAAATGTCATGCTGCATAGCTCTCATTCCAGTCATGGGGAACCACAGAGAGCCGCCAAGGTGCTAACTAGACAGCCTGGCCTGCTTCTCTGTAGTGTAGGTTGCTCTTCTGCGGGAAACCTCAGCAGTACATCAGGTGAGGCCTTGTCACTCACTCTTCAACAAGGAGTGAAGATATTCTTAATTGGACTTCACTAGGTGAACTAAGTGTATGTCCAGGCCTAGATTTAAAGAAATAACTGTCCTTTAAAGCACTGACTCTAGTGTTTTTCAGCATTGCAATAATTGCATTAAAATTTTTGTTTTATGGAAAATAATAATGTAATGATCTTTGTACAGTTGAAGAATTTTATGGCACTATTTGCCTGAGGTTTTAGTATCTATTAGTAATATTTTTTTTGTCATTTTTACTTTAACTTTAGATGAATAAATGAAATAACTGTCCAAAGAGAGACATATTTAGCCTCCAAAACAACAACATGTAGTCATTTTTATATACACAGCACGCAAGAAGTGTCTCCAAAACCATATTGAAACCACTTTTTACTCAAAGGACAGAGCACAAATGTGCATAAGGACAAAGATTGAGAGATCCTAAACCTCAACCAGACTATCTGGTCATGGTTCTTGTTGAACTATTGATGTGCCAAATTTCCCCTCTGGTGTATATAAAGCTCTTCTCACATCTTATGTTATGCATATTTTATGGTTATGAGAAAAAATTCAGATACTAGATTTTTTTCCTATCACAAAACAATACCTAATGTGTTTTTCCCTCAATCATATATTTACTAAAGCAACATAATCAATGTAACTGACAGTATTGCAAAGCTACAGAACTTACGGAGGCATACAAATGCTATATATTAATGTGCAGATTATACTCAGTGTTTTGCTGCGTCAAGAAAACAGAACATTTCAGACTCACAGTGTCCAGTTTTCTGCCTTCTTGTTCTTACTGATATAATAAGCTTGTCCACGTGGTTGGGTGTCAAGAGTACAAGCAGGTCACAGTCAGTCCAACAGCAGAAAACACTCACTCAGATGTTGCAGGTCTGCATGCTGACATGTAAGCTTTGCCAGGAAAACTTTCTGCATGTCCTGTAAAAAATTTTCATACTTCCTCTCTAGTTTCTTAGAAGCGTGTGTATTGCTTAACACAAGCCAAGGTGAAGAAGTGGCTGGAACTGTAACTGATTGTGTGCAATACCTTTTACCCTGTTGGTTTCATTAAAACATGCTCTAAATTTAAAACCACCCCCTTGATAGCGCAATATAATATGGGATCACATGTTGTTTAACTTTACCTGATAGAATACAGATTATGTTTTATACTGTTTTGCTGTAACCCTTTAATCGTTGCTCTATTGCATGTCTACTCATTGAGCTGTGATTGCTTTGATACAGCAGGGGCCTTCCAAAGGGCAATGGCAATGCTGATGTACCACTGGTGCCTATAAATCACGTTGAACTCATGACAGAATGTGAAGGAAAGCGATGGAAGTGATGTGAGTGTGACACTCACATTTATTGTATAGCTGTCTTCCAGAGACATGAATTGCCATGAAATACGCTTGTATAGTGATTCCTCGAATCCCAAGCTTCAGACTAGAATAGCCCAGGCAATTGTGCGCGGTGATGAAAAGCTTTGTTTGGTGAGATGGTTAATAATGACTGCATCATCTGCTACCATTTAAAGCTATTCAGTGCTGTTTTGAATTGAAGGACTTGTGTATTTGAAAATGGGATACAAACACAGATTCAGGTTGTTATTTTAGTAGACTAGAGGAAGGATTATGCATCAGTTGGGAATGAATATAAATGATATTTGAGCCGTGCCTCTTTGCTGTGATCTATATAACAGTGACAAAAAAGGGCCTACTAACATTTATTACAGAGAAGTATTGAGGTCTGTAGCTAAAACGTGGAGCCAAATCAGAATGGGTTCACAATGATAAGTAACAGGTGCAAAAAAGTCTCTGTTTGACTTTATGAACTCTTAATGATTAGATCATGTTACATTTCTGTAAGCACTACAACTCTGAAAACATCAAATTGACTGGCACATTGATTTAAAAACATGAGAAGATCATACATTCAATACTTTATAGTTATGAAACTGCGCATACAAGGTCTAATTTTACATAACGAAGATATATTCAACATATTCTCAGAGCTAGTAAGAGAAGTCATTTAATATGCAAGATGGTCCGTGTGATAAATCACACAGGATAGGGATATGACTTGAAAGTCTCTGTCAGCTGGCATGAAGAGAGGGAAAAAAAAGCTCCTTCTTCTTTGAGATAGGGTACTTCCCTGCTGTGAATTGCATTCTAAATCCACATCACATCCTCCTGGTGGCCCATCTCCATCCTCATTACTCACAGCTCCAAAGACTCTGCGCTTGATTAATTCTCCCAACTGTCAAATAATCTGTGTGCTTTAAACAATCAGACTTTGGCCCTCTGGCTGCTGCCTCGACTCTCTTAAGGGACATCTTATTTTAATAGCGTACGCAGAAACTGACCAATCCTGACCAGCTATACATAAACGAGGGCTTTTATTAGGCTGCAATTTCCATTTGCAAACATATTAGCATTTTTAAGGGTGTGTCCAAAGGGGTGGCCTTACTCTTCATCCAGCCAGGATCAACACCATGCCACAGTGATATCAAAGAGCCCGGGACTGACATAAACATGGCACCGTCTTCAATACCACATGTAATTTTGATCTGTTGGTATCACTACACACTTCACTCTGGATTTTCACAATGTCGCTTGATGTTATCTTTTATGGATGTCCACAGCTGCCTTAGCTAAAAAAAAATAAAGTATTTTACGAGTAAAAGTTGTAGCTGTTTAAATCTAAAATCTGTTTACCAGCCGTTTTTCACAAGGCATGGTGAGCTCTTTAAATATGAAACGTGTGCAACCAAACATCTCAACACAGTGGTGAATGTTGTAAGGTACAGAAAAAGAAAATATCTATGGCATGCACACTGTTAAGATTTGTAGATACTATTTTAAGATACAGTGTTGTTTGGTGTTGATTCTCTCTGTAGCACACATACCAGATATCAGCTCTGACTGGGAGGTTGTCTTTGGTTCTCATGACAGCTTGAACCCCAGAGTTTGGATGATTTCACTCATATTGTAGATGATCAGAGTCCCTGCTAAACAGATTGGTGATTCTTCCCTTTAGATTCCACAAGGGGGCAGTAGATTTCTTTTATGAGCAGTCTTAGCAAAATGTAACCCAGTGTGCAACATGTAAATGTGAACCCTTTTGTTACTTCTCAGAACATTAAATTTTGAGGAAGCGTACATTAGTTGAACATTTGAACGTGCGGT